TGTGTACGATGTTGACGTAAGCGGAACCGTATGCAGTCAGTTGGTTGTGAAAGGGGACTATTTTTAGATGAGCACATTAGCTGGTTAAGCTAGTGGGAGCTTGCGCCATGGGGAAGGGCAAGTTTAATGGTAACGGATGGTTAATCCCACGTTCGTGACGTGGTTAGCACCGGTTCCAGGCAATAGTTGGAAATTATCGCTTAAATTTAATTTTTAAAATAGCTTAAATTTGGTCAAAGTGGCCTTAAAAAAGGTCTTAAAAAGTCTTAAATTTGGCTCCCTTAAATCTGCAGATACCCTGGATGGAGATCTTTTCTTCATTGTTACCTCTGTGATGTTCTCTGTGTGTAATGTTTAAATATTTGTCAATAACAAACTAACTCATGGGCAAACAAATAAATAAACAAACCGCCTCCTGTAATATACATGTGTGCTGTGCAGAAAAATCAATGGTGGGGAAGTTTCTTAATATTTTAGAGGTTTTTAACATGATGTGGAGCTCTGGTCCAACCCATGAACAGGGTCACAATCTGGACTTGGTCCTTTCATTTGGAGTACATTTTTTTAGAAGTTAATGTCACTGAAGCAGCTTTTTCTGATCATTGTGCTCTTCTGTGTGAATGTGATTTTCCAGTCCACCCATCAGAATGTCACGATTTTTAAATGAACTGAAATAGTTTGATTTAGAGTGCTTCATTGTCCAGTTTAACAAATTATGTACATTGATTTTAGATGACTTGACTCCACTTTCCACCAGGCGATCCAGGCCCAATTCAGCACGGTGGAACACTGACGCTGTTAAAGCAGACGCAAATGTAGAAGAGCAGAAAGGACATGGAAGAAAGATAGACTCCCAAGTCTCCCTGGAATGGTTCAGAGAGAAGCTGAGATGGCATAATGAGACGGTCAAAAAAACAAAAAATGATTTTTTCAAATATTATTTCTTCAGCAGCAGGTAATCAGTGTACGGTCTGTAGGACTTTAAACTCTGTCCTTGATCTTCCCACTGGAACCAATGGCATGGAGCCATCAGTAGGAACCTGTGAGGAGTTTTTGTCTTACTTTCTGGAAAAAGCTGAAGCGGCGAGGTCAGCTTCCTCTCAGAACTCAGCTGATAACCTGTCTTCTCCATCTCACCCATCTGTGTTTTTAAGTTCTTTTATACAGGTAACCTTGCTCGAGCTTGAGAGGATATCTCAAGGTTAAAACCTGCTGGCTCTCCACGTGATGGTATGCCAGCCTGGTTTTTGAAGTTTGCTTTTTCTGCCCTTGCCCCCCTGTTTTAACTATAATTAACAGCAGTTTAGCCTCCAGCACAGTTACAGGGGAGCTTATACACGCTGTTGTGCGGCCATTATTAAAGAAACCAGGGTCTGATCCAGAAATCATTTCCAACTATAGGCCAATCTCAAATTTGCCTTTTTCTGCTAAAATGCTGGAACGTGTTGTGTATCTGCAGCTTCAGTCTTTTCTTGCCAAAAAATGACGTCCTGGAACCAGTTCAGTCTGGTTTTCGGGCTGGACACAGCACTGAAACTGCCCTCTTAAAATTTTAAATGATATGTTTTTAGCAACTGATGCGGGTGAGGCTGTGGTTCTCCTGCTACTGGTCGTAACAGCAGTATTCGATACTGTTGAGTCGACCATCAGATTCTGTTTAATCAACTAGAACACTGGGCGGGGCTCTCTGGTTCTGCGTTAGAGTGGATGAGGTCCTACCTCATGGATAGGACTGTCTCTGTTTCTCTTAACTCGCATTCTTCAGGAGATGCTGAGCTTAGGTGGAGGGTTCCTCAGGGCTCTGTTTTGGGCCCCCTGCTGTTCTCCCTCCATCTGCAGTCACTGGGACTGTTTAGAAAACATAACATTAATTTCCATCTCTATGCTGATAATTGTCAACTGTATGTGCCTGTTAAACAGGGGGCCACAGGTAGCATACAGCAGCTGGTGAATTGCCTGCATGATGTTACCCAATGGATGGAGTCCATCTTCATTTATTTAAATGAGGGAAAAACTGAAATAATAGTTTATACACCAAATGACCACCAACTTGGCTGCACAGTGGAACAGTGGTTAGAGCTGTTGCCTTGCAGCAAGCAGGTCCTGGGTTCTCTTCCCTGCCTGAGGTCTTTCTGCATGGAGTTTGCATGTTCTCCCTGTCCTTGCGTGAGTTATTTCCAGGTACTTTGGCTTCCTCCCACAGTCCAAAAACATGACTGTTCGGTTTATTGGTCTGTCTAAATTGTCCTTAGGTGTGAGTGTGTGTATGTGTGCATGATGGTTTGTCCTATATCTCTGTGTTAACCTGTGATGGACTGGCACTCTGTCCAGGGTGTATCCCACCTGATTGCCCGTTGACCGCTGGAGATAGGCACCAAAGCGTAAGTCAAAGGGTGATAAAAATGCTGGCAGCAAAGGGCTTTACTGATCAGGAAACGGCTGGCAGTGAATGAGTTAAAGCAAGGCTTAAGCTGTATTTTAGATCTGTTAGTTGTTTCTATTCACATTTCAATGTTTTATTATCAATATTCCTACATTGTTTTCAGCTCTTTTTTGTTTTTAAATGTTTTTATCACTCTGTAATTTATTATAGAGCTGTTTTGTTGTGCTGGACAGAACCTTAGCATAAGGATGGTAAAAACACTGTTAATAGTGACAGACATAGAGAGAATATAAAAGAAGAAAACAATGCAGAGCAGATGCGTTAGATGTGAAACCAAAAGTAAAGTGCATCACATAATTGATATGAATATTCCAGCGATCGTAATAAAACAGCATTACTAAAAGGGGACAAAGTATGAATGTACGATTTTATGTAGCAAAGCGCTACATGTTGGCACTTGAGGGCAGAGCAAGAAGAAACAAGAACAGGGTTCACCTGACGGCCTGTCTCGGCTGTAGTTTTTGGGTGATTTAGGTGTTTTGGCCAAAACATGAAAAAGAACTTTTGAGTCATGTTTGGCCAAAGATTTTTGGTGGCCGAATTGTCTGTGCATCCCTAATTCTTAGATCTCTCCACAGCTTTCATCACTGTGAACCACAGTATTCTGTAATCTTGGCCTGAACAGTAGGTGGGGATCACTGGACCTGCCCTGGTTTGGGTTAGGTCCTACCTCTCAGGAAGAAGCTTTTGTGTGAACAGGGTATCAATGGGGTCTTAAAGTCCTAAAACTTATTTAAGGAAAATCAGGTTAACCCAATTATTCTCAAGTGTTTGTGCTGCTGTAACAAGTGAGTTTCCCCACTGTGGAATCACTGACCATGTTTACATGCAGCCAATATCTGGGTTATGATCGGGTTAAGGTCGGTATTTGGGTTTCTGAGTTGATCAGAATAACCCGTTTACAAGCATAAATAGAAAGCGTTACCCCTAACTTGCATAACCCGATTTAAATGCGGACGTTGGGGTAGCGTCAGGATGTATGGACTACGTCCAGACGCAATATGCGTCATTTCCGGTTCTTCTTGTTCCCGTATCCGTGAAAACAACATGTTTCCCAGTTCGGAAGAGATAGTGACCGCGTTTGTTTGCGCTTTAGTTTCCTCGTCACTCCAAAAGTGTGGTGCTGTTCCGCGACTCGCCATTTTGCTCCCAACTTGTTATTTACTTCCGGTGTTCTGGCGCATACAAGACATCTCGCTACTCAAAAGACCAAGATTCCTTGCGAACGGAGCATGCGCAGAACACACGCTTTGATGGGGATATCCCGATTTACACGACCAAACATTCGGGTTAGAAAAGAGTTACCCCAGGTGTAGTAACCGGGTTTTTAAAAACCCGGTTATGAGCATATCCAGGTTTTTGACGGTGTTTACATGGACCTGCGGAACCGGGTTATTGTGAATATTCGGGTTTTAAAAGGGTTACTGGCTGCATGTAAACGCACTCAATAAAGTCTGTTCTATTCTAAGACCCTTAAAAAGTCCTAAATCAATTTTGTAAAGTGTTAAATTTGGTTAGTGTTGAAAGGAATTTCAAATACATTCATCCCATACTTGTTGCTTTTCCTCAAAATTTGCCGTTTATGAAGCCAAATAAGATGTTCACATGAATCGATGTGAGTCTGCAGTCCAGTTTAACTCACTGTTTATAAGAATCAATTTCAGAAAATGGAGTGATCATCTTGTCCACGAACCGTCTTTGTTAGTGGGTCACAAGTCCTCATTTGACCGTCATGGAGATTGCCCTTTATCTGCTGCCCTTTGGTTCAATTCTTTAGAAGCACAAGGTCAATTTCCATCTGTATGCTCACGATTGCCAAATTTATTTTCACTTGATACAGTGTTCTGCAGGCCCAATCAAGGAGGTTAGAGCATGGATGTCTTCAAGCTTCTTAAGTTTCAATGAGAGCAAAACAGAGGTCATTGTTTTTAATCCAAGTAGTTATGCCTCAAACAGGGCAGCCTAAGCTGTGGAATGACCTTCCACTGGTGGTCAGACAAGCATGCTCACTACCGGCTTTTAAGAGTCTGATGAAGACTCACTTTTATACAGTACATGAGTCGACCGTATTTTTAAATATTTTAGCAGTTTTTTTCATCCAGTTTTATTTTTGTTCTCTTGGTTTTATCTCCTGCTTTTATGTGTCTTAATGTATATTTAGTTGGCCCTTGCATGGGTCAGTGATGTTTTCAATTCTGTAATGCGTGTACAGCACTTTTGTTTGCTTCCTGGCTGATGGAAATTACCTCGTAAATAAAGTGGATGTTGATGATGATTTTCTGGTAGAGGTCATCACACTTAGACATACACACCATTGCCACGAAGTTGGAGGAGCTGATCCTCTCATCCCAGCTACTTCAGAATTGGCTCTGAACCTCCCGCGCAGGAGGTGAAGGTCAGTCTGATGGAGCTTAGTTCATCCACAATAAGCAGAGAGATGGAATCACCCCACCACCCCCAGCTGCCGTTGATGACCAAAGCTGTTTAATTGAGATCCGACCACATGGTTTAAGTGTATTAATGACTAATAGTGATGTTTGTACTTTTGTGTCTACAGGTCTTTCTGGAAACCCGGTGGATTTAGAAAAACGTCACTCAGCCTTTGGAAAGAACTTCATTCCCCCAAAGAAGTCCAAAACCTTCCTGCAGCTGGTGTGGGAGGCTCTGCAGGATGTTACACTTATTATCCTGGAAATTGCTGCAATTATTTCTCTATGCCTGTCCTTCTACCATCCACCAGGGGGCAATGCTGAAGGTTGGTACCTTCCTGGTTCATAAGAAAACGTCCTTGTTAATGCAAGGCTAGTTTATACTTCTCTGTCTGCGTCAGTACAGAGACATGCAATGTCATTATCCGTCGTCACAAGGACTCTGCAACAGGTTCGTAAGGACAGAGAGTAGAGCCCAATTTTCTAAATATCTGTCCAAGGAAATAGAGATCTGAAGCCTGTGATTGGTCAGGACACAGCTTTCTTCAACCACGTCAACAGCACCCACATTCCCCCTCGAAATAAACATAACAAGACACGGAGCAGATTGAAGAACTTCTCGCGATATAAACGTTTATACACCTGTGACTGAAGGAGTACAAAGATAAGCAGCAAACTTTTTATTTGCATCAGTAAAGTACAGGAAACATGCGTTTAGAGGTGGTAACTACATGAAGAGATGGAGGAGAAATGTAAATGTAAACACACTAGAGACATGACTTCAGTAGCAGGTTGAGCCAGAAAAACCACTAGGCCCTCTGCTGTCCTGGCAAAGAATTGCTGCACAACCCTGACAGAGAAGTATAAAAGGAAAACGTCTCCGTGAGCACGTGTGAGCGTGAGTGTAAACGTGCTCATGGAGACGTATAAACTAAGCTTTAGACACACACACACACGCAAGCGCACACACATATACACACATGCAAGCACACAGGTATACACATGTGCACACACAGGGTTTTGCCTGCCTTCAAATTTGCGTGGCGGCCGCCGCCAGCTAATTTTGTGCCGCCCCAGCCTGATTTCACTCTGCCCCCAGCTATATGGATGTTATTTTAACCCGTCCCACAACGCTCCTCCGTGAAAGCGGGGCGGGGTGTCGCGCGCTCCATCCTGCAGCGCCCCTCTGTGAGAGCTGGGGTGGGGGGTTGCACACGTTCCGCTGCTGTTTCTCACCAGTATAAGCTGATGGAGGGCTCTAGTTTTGCTGCGCCGTTCGTGTCAGCGGACATGGTAGAGTCGGGGAGGGGGCGGGGCATGACGCTTAGCCTGGTGGGTGGGCAAGCAAAGCCTGGTGGGCCGCCAGGCTTATAAAGCGTTGGGGGAAACCCATGTAATATTTATACATCTGATATAATTCAGATCACCTTCAAAACTCACACCCAGGGCCGTTTAAAGGTATTTTGCGGGCTATGGCTAAACAGAACCTCCCACCCCACATGTGCTTTTAAACGTAGCACTGGTGCGACATCTTTGAGGTACTATTTCCCCAGAACTTTATTTAACAAAAATAAGTTGCATGTAAGAAAAATGCTTTTTGTTGGCGCACAGTGTGGTAATCTGGATGCAGTGGAGGAAAATAAAGGCACAGGGGCTGAACCGGTCCAAAGTTTGGGATCAAAAGTGCAGCTACACGCAGATTGGCTAATGCTAAATCTACCGGGTAGCGGTCTCACGATCAAGTGGCGCACAGAAAAATATATGATGATCGTAAAACTTACGAAAGAATAAACTCTACAAGCGGATGAAAAGTCCCCACCATCCTGTTTTTTTTCTGCACCCTGCAGCGCTACGGATCAGAACCACTGCAGATACGAGTCACATTACTGCTACAAGTCTGCTCCATACACAGGAGCATGAAGTACAGCAAGCCGTTGTAGTATATAATTCACAAGCGCTGCCATCTTTGAACATAATTTAAACTGGATTATTGCTAACCCGTGCATAATAGACATGCCACCATTACATTGTTAGCAGCAGAAATTAAATGTTACCATTTTCAATACAAATGCATTTTAATGAAATGCATTATATTTTATTGTATATGTATGTGATATTTTGATGAAGATGAGTGTTTTTAATACAAACCTAAAATGTTACTGAAATGTAGGTAAAAAATTTAAAAATATTTTAACTATAAATTTCAGATGGGAAAAACAGAACTTAACACCAATCTAATAAATATTAATGAGCCTTTTATGATCTTTTGCCTTTAAAAAAGTGACACAGTTGGATGCACAGAGTATGCATGTGCTGGCGCATGGTCAGGATGGTACCACCTCTGCCTCACTTTTAACCCAGGAAAAACCCTGCACACATACACACGCACACACACTTATACACACTTATACACACACGCACACACGCAAGCACACATGTATATACATACCAGGGTGTCCGCGGGGTTTTAAAAAGTATTAAAAAGTGATAAATAAAAATAGTCAAATTTAAGTCCATTAAAAGTGTTAAATTTGGTCTCAGAGGTATTATTTTTTCCAAATTAGGTATTATTTTTTCAGACTATCAGATGTCGTATTCTCAACATCGACATAGAAATATATTCCGAATGAAATGTTTTGAACAATTATAAAAATAAAACGAGCTGATTATTTGCTCCTCCCACTTGCGCTGCCCTGAGTTGCAAATGAAGCGCTCCTCCACAGTGTTGCCAACTTGGCGACTTTGACGCTATTTCTAACAGCTTCTCAGACCCCCTTCTTGACTTTTTAAATCTTAAAAGTACCAACTACCTAGCGAACACCTCAGAAACATCTCTGGTAACCCTTAGCTACTTTCTGGATAACTGTCGTCGACATTTCCTGCAAGTTAGCTAAACACTCCGGACCGTTCTTCAGGACATTAGGAAAGGGAATGATGTAGTGATGTGTCAGTCGCTACAGAAACAGCTCTCAGAGTCGGCTCCCTGTTGGAGTAACCAGAGTGAGTGACACACACACCGCACCTGCGGACTCCTGAGCCGATAAAAACGGCTAAATGTGCGCGTGCGGCGCGTTAAACACATGTGCAGCTTGCCCCCGATTGTTGTGAGACCGGGTTGGGGGGTGGGGGGTGCAGCTGTGGTTGGGACAATTATTACATTAACTGATGGACTTGTAAATAAATAGTTTATAAATAAGGTAGAAATAAGTTCCTCACGCTGATAAATAACTAATCTCTCTGAGGACACGGTGCTAGTGCACTCTCCTACAGCACCTTGACACGACTCAATAAATGTTATGCAAAATTTAGTGAACATCAATTTGCATGTATTTGTTATAAATGCCACTGTATAATTCTTGCTGTCAGTATTAGCAAGATATTGGTATTTGGGTCTGTACTGGTTAGACTTAAATGAGTTAAACCAAGGTCTATAGCCCTTGTGTCATAAACTAGGAGCTATAAGTATATTGGTCTTTTTATACTGGGAATCAGGAGTTATTTTAGTGATCATCTTGTTTCTTGTTTATTTTTGCCCTGATTGTGCCCTGAGCAGTTTTATGACTGAATAAAAATAAAAAAATAAAAATCTACATAAATTGAAAAATCGTATTAAATAATCGAGATCTCAATTTCAGTCACAATAATCGTGATTATTGTTTTTGCCACAATCGAGCAGCCCTACTTAAGCATATCCGGTCACATAATGATGACGTCATATTCAGTGGTCGTTCTGCATCATTTCAGGCCTCGTGGTCAACTGTCTGAACCGCTGAAAAGAAGTGCCTGGCTTATTGTAAAATAAATATGTGCAATACGTTGTCAACATCAGTGAGTCTCTAAGTCTATTCTTTTTGTATGTTATATATGTTAAAATATGTGTAAATAGGTCGCTGATTAACACATGCAATTTAGTGTTGTGATGGTTTTAAAAAAATTCTGAAGGTAGTAAAAAAAAGTATTAAAAAGTAGTAAATTTTACTTAAGGATTGCTGTATATACCCTGCATACGCACACACATGTATATACATACGCACACACACACATATACACACATGTGCGCGCACACACACACATAAATACACACACACACGCGCACACACTTATACACACACATATGCATGCACACACACACACACAACATAGTGTTGTCTTTTATAGCTGTGTAATTGGTGTGGAGTTTATGTGTCTCTGATTGGTTCACCAGCCTGCGGCCAAGCTGCTGGCGGCGTCGAGGACGAAGGTGAATCTCAGGCTGGCTGGATCGAAGGTGCCGCCATCTTGTTCTCTGTCATCATTGTTGTCCTGGTGACCGCCTTCAATGATTGGTCCAAGGAAAAGCAGTTCCGTGGACTGCAGAGTCGTATTGAAGAGGAGCAGAAGTTAACCGTCTGTCGTCAAGGTCAAGTGATCCAGATCCCAGTAGCGGAGATCGTAGTCGGAGACATCGCTCAGATTATGTACGGTACGTCAAATTGGATCTGACCTGCATCAGTCAGACAGCTGAGTGTTTGATGGGCTTAGGTGCAGTTTAATTCAGTTTATTTATAGTCTTAAGTCACTCCCATTTTGGACCATGGGTCCTCTACTTCCAAACAAACAAGATTGAGGGTTTATGAGCAGAGAAGTTATTTCTTATCTTGTTTGATATGTGCCAGGGATTTAGTATATGATGTTTGTGAGTAGCTTACCATCACCTGCAGTCATCAACATGTAAAAACATGGACATAGCCAAAATTGCTCCTTTAGGGTGAAAGTTGAAGTCAAAAATGGAAGGTTCCCACCACAGATTTTTTTTGACAGTCATGCCCAGACAATCCAAAAATGGGAAAAGAGGTGGAGCTGAGGGTGGGGCTGTTACGTTTGGAACAGGGTTGGAGCAAATGTAACTAATCTAGCTAACTTAGCTAACCCATGTAGCTATAAAGAGCACCTGGGACTGCGGGGTAGCCCGCCCGCACAGCCAACTGGCTTCCATGCGAGACTGTGGTCATGCTGGTCACCTGTGGAGACCTAATATGGACTGGGACTGTTAAATTACAAGCAGAGCCAGATCGCTGCAACTGGGAGCCCTGGCCTTTCAGATCCTGAATGGTCGGAGATCAGCGGGACATTAGCTACATGCTAACCCAAAGCTAACAGTTTTTTGGGGTTTTTTAGCAAGAAAAACGCGGTAGAACGACTCCAACGTGAAGGCACCTCCGGCCTGCTTGGTAACGAAATCGTAACTAAGTAAGCTGACTGAGGAAATCTGACTTCACTCGTCCACCGCAGTCAAAAATATGCGAGTCCGCCATAGTCAATGCAGTATAAGCTGATGGAGGGCTCTAGTTTCGCTGCGCCGTTCGTGTCAGCGGACACGTTAGGGTCGGGGAGGGGGGTGGGGCATGACGCTTAGCCTGGCGGGTCGGCAAGCAAAGCCTGGTGGGCCGCCAGGCTTATAAAGCGCTGGGGGAAACCCATGTAATATTTATACATCTGATACAATTCAGATCACCTTCAAAACTCACACACCCAGGGCCGTTTAAAGGCATTTTGGGGGCTATGGCTAAACTGAACCCCCCACCCCACATGTGCTTTTAAACGTAGCACTGGTGCAACATCTTTGAGGTACTACTGATCTACAACTTTAAAACAAAACTCTAGAAAATTGGAGAGAACGTGGCGCCATACACACCAGAAGGAGTCCTACTTATCCTGAAAAAATAGTCTTGTGCTTCATAAAAATAAGCTTCGACAAGCTAGAACTGCTTATTTTTCATCGCTAATAAGAATAATCTTACTTAGTTCAAAAGTCATTATGGTTGAAGCATCGAGCATCGATTGGAACCGGGACCAACTGTTAGTTTTTCCAGGAATCGTTCAAAGTTTTTAATTTCGATTCCTAGAATGCCGACCGGAAGAGGAATCCGCGGCCAATCTTCGTGATTGCTGCTGATGTTAGATTTTATGTACAAATTAAAACTAGTTTTCAGTCAGAATACGTCTCTGCTGTTTCTGATCAGATTACATGCTAAACGGTAAAACAAGAGCTGCGTTTATATTCAGATCTTTGTCTGTGTTTCTGTTCACCATGTCATCCACGTAAGAACTGGAGAAGCGTGTGACGTTCTTCAGCTCAGACTCCTCCCACCAGGAGGAGGTGCAGACGCTGCAGGACTCCCCTCTCTAACACGCAGAGTGAAATTCTCCGACTCCCACACAGGAAAATGTCATCTATTAAACTGGAGCTAACATGTTAAGCTAAAAGCAGCTGAGAGTTTAAGACTGTCTCTAAAGCTGACAACAAGCTAGCCTAACATTAGCAGCATGCTGCCGGTTAGCGGTGGTTCTTATGGCTCGTTTTTTCTTTCACTCGGCTAAGTTTTATTTCATATTTTACTTTTAATTCACACTAAATACACAGCTGTAGGGTTAGAAACACCAAAGAGAAGTCTTACCTTTTACTCATTAGGAGGATCGGGGTCCGTCACCGGCTTCCAGCAGCAGCGGGCTGCTCGCAGAGGTGCCTGACCTTAAATCAGCTCTCCTAAAGAGGCTTATCAGCTGATGATGAATAACTGTTAAATGTCGGCCAGATTAGTCAGCCAACCGATAAATTGGTCGACTCCTAATTGAAACCCCTCTAGAGAGCTGTGATTGGCCAGCCAAAATGCTGCTAGGGGCTGCGGATGTTCCAATGGAGCGTTCCTAGACCGACTTTTGCGGAGCATGATTTTGGTCTAGTTCACTAGGGTACACTTCTTCAGCATTGCCATCCGTCTGTGACACTTTATACAAAACTCCAGCACTGGTTTTACTTTTCTGAATTTAGTTTTCTGTAGCTCACTTTTTAACGCTTTGCACTATCTTGTAGCTTTTTTTTTTTATTTGTGCTAGGGCTGGGCAATAAATCAAAACTGTATCGTTATCGAAATTTCTGACTCTTATCGAGATAATTTTTCCATGTCAATAAATTTAATAATAAAAAAATGAAAGAATGTGTGTAGGTTGGCAACGTTGATGACCCTTCAAGAAGCTGCAGCACTTTGAGCCACGTAAAAATGTGACTCGACATAAAACATGTGACAGCCCATATAGTGGACAACTTTTGATTCTGTGCACACCTGTAGGTTTTATTCATTTATTGTTATGAGGTCAAATCCTCATTGTATCATGCTATTGATTTTAGGCCCTAATTTGTGCCCTTTCAAATAATTTTTGTCACTTGCTGCATAATTATTTACGTTGGCTAGTGCTGTTGCCTTTGACCTGTTCTCCTATTCTGTTGGTTTTTATTAGGAATTTTGTCCTTGATTATTTATGCTATGTCTTTTTGTATTTTACCTAATTTTTGTGGTTCTACTTAGTTTTGCTGATAAATTTGAGAATTTGGCTCTTTTTTGTACAGCATTTTGGTTAGCTGCCATGCTATTTTCAAATAGTGCTTTATAAATAAATCTTTATATATGTATGTATGTGTATTCATGCAAATGTACCCCACAGAGCAGATGACAGAATCTGACACTATTTGATTTATACAGACACATGAAACCTCTGTTAGAAAGGTTCCAGAGGTCTCCACTGAGTCATGGTCTGTTGAAGCACACGTTTAGTCTGGGTCTTTCTGACCTTTGACCCCTACCTGCAGGAGACGTGTTGCCTGCTGATGGGATTCTGATTCAGGGAAGTGACCTGAAGCTGGATGAGAGCTCTCTGACTGGAGAGTCTGATCAGGTCCGGAAGTCTCTGGAGAAGGACCCTATGTTGCTTTCTGGTGAGTGCTCGCCTTCAGCTGACAGCTGAACCATGATGTAACACATCTCAGGTTTGTGTTTTACATCAGCGATTCACAGAAAGTCTCAAGTAAACAAAGTCAGAGCTGGTTTGTTTTATATGAGGTGGTGATGGTGTTTGTGATGTCTTCTTAGGGACAAAAGTGATGGAAGGATGCGGCAAGATGGTGGTGTCAGCTGTAGGCCTCAACTCCCAGACAGGCATCATCTTAACCCTGCTGAGCACCAGTGAACACAATGAAGAGAAGAAGGCCAAGAAAAGTAAGAAGTGAACAAAGAGCTGTTTGTGGCACACAAACACAACTCACGCTGAAGGTCACTTCAAGGACACACAACAACTCTTTTGAGAAGAAAAGAACAACTAGAACATCAGTCTGTTGATTTAATATTTGCTGCTACCGTTCAAAGGGTTTAGACTGAAAATGTGTTGAGTTTGCATCAGCTGATGTACCAGCCGATACTTTAAGAACTCCTCTAGTTTGGAGCTTGAATAGCTTCAAGTTACTTGAAGGGTCCAAAAGTATGTCCCTATTAACTAGGGCTGGGTACCGAAACTTGATAGCTCTCCAGTACTTTGCTGTAAAGACTCTGACACTAGTCAGTGACTCGATGCAACCTGCTGGGTTCCTTATATGGAAAACTTGTTACTGATTGGCTTAATTACCTGACCTGGATTGGAATGTTTACTGTGTGAAGGTCCTTGAGATGACTTTGGTCCTGATTTGGCACTTAATAAATAAACTTGAATTGAAATTATTGGCTAACCCTAACCCTTTACTACTAAAGAAAATGTACAGTGACCTAAGTCAGTTGCTTATAGCAAATGGCTGCAATAAAACAGAGTGGAAGATTGAGGGGTTTGAGTACTCTCTGTACCCCGTGTATATTGGTGCTAAATGTCAGTAATTTCCACGTAAACATTCCTGTGAATGAGCCACACAGGTCAGTTCGTCCCGATGCTGCACGTCACATGACTGGTGTCGCAGTCACACGGCTCCGCCTCTCATTTACAACAACGCTTCTGAGTTGGCACATTAGTAAAAGGTTTGGCTGCATTTAGTTAACTAGCATGAGCTTTTTGTTGAAGCTAGTATTTTACTGTTGTTATAGTTGGAAGAATATGAATTATTAGGGTTCCAAGCCCAAAGGGCAGGGAACCCTATTGTTTTTCTACGGATTTTTCATTATTAGGGTTCCAAGCCCAAAGGGCAGGGAACCCTATTGTTTTTTTATTTATTATTCTTCTCCGCTACGTTTGTATGGGGGCAGGAGCCAGAAATTGCCAGGAAAAATCTGACATGGCAGTCTGATACAAAATCCTGACCGCTACTCAGATTCGAAAATTTGGACCCCGCGTCACCTAGGTGGCGCTATTGCGGAGGTCAACACGTTTCAGCTACTAGCTCCCAAACCGTAGGTCTTACAGTCATATACTTTATATGTACATGATCCTTGGGTGATTCTCCATCTTTTTTTTATTGGCCACGCCCATTTCCGCCTAACTAGATTTTTTGCTAGATCGCAAAAAACGCAAAACTTACTTTTAATCACCTATTCGTCATTTTTCGTTGAATCAACTTCAAACTTCGTACATATGATCTATGGACTAAGATAAGTTGTGGTGATGAAGAAAAATGCAGAAATATTGAAAATTGGGCTAATGACACCATGTCAAAATCAGTGTGCTAGCTAGCACATGTGGTAATTGATGATATCTTCACCATTTCTCAAGATAAATTGATGAGACTCTAGACCCTTATGAAGTATGAGCGGTAAGCCCTATCTACCCGATTTTCTGTGGATTCACCAATAGGGGGCGCTAAAGAGTCAAAAAGTTTGTTTCAGCTAAACGGCTGGATGGATTTCCACAGAACTTGGCACATATGTTAATCATCGGACCCTTAAGCTATATTTTGAAAATGATTAAAAAGTGGGCGTGGCTTATAGGCTATAAATAGGCTTTAAACGTTTTTGCCCATTTACTCCTGAAAAATACATATTCTATACAGAAAATTACAATTCATATCAGTCATAATGACATCTACAACCACAGAAAATTTTTTGAATTTTGTCCAATAGGTGGCGCTGTGGTACCCCAAAAATATTTTTGGCATGTTTCTCCCCATTACTTTTGTAAAAAAACAAATGATCTCATCCAGTATGTTCATTGAGTCAGTCAAATTTAGATGAGTATTTTAAAAAATGTTTTAAACGTATGCAAATTAGTAGAAATTTGCATAGTAAGTCCAACGTACTTTCGTTAACTCCTCCCGGCCGTCAAACTCAATCACATCACAACTTTCCCTGACAAGAGAGGAGGAGCGGCTGACCAAAAGATGTGAAGGGATTTTGGATAATTTGCTTATTTTTTTTATATGATTTTTTAAAATAATTTTTGGGGAATGAAAAAGTTTTTTTAGCGTAACTTCAAAAGATTTTGACATTTTTTAAAGCTGTTCATAACAGTCGTACCTAAGGTCAATTCAAGTGTATGTTCTGGTTTTCAACTTGATTAAACAATAGGGGGCGCTATAACTAGGAAGAAATTATACTGCTGAACTGGCTAAATGGATCTGCACGAAACTTAGTGCTTGTCAATAATATAGAGTCTTAAGATTACATTATCAATATGGTAATGATTGATCAAAGTGGGCGTGGTTTATGATCATTTAAAATTTCAAATTTGAAAAATTTCCTAAAAATCATTATTTGCAAGTAAGAGGCTAAGATTTCCAGATTGTGTTAACTGGATAGGCTAGAGCTTATGTCACGAAAGCCGCAGCTCCACGAAGAGGTTTGCGCTTTATATTTATGAAAATACATTTTTAGGCTAGCAATTGTAGCGCAAATTCTTTTCTCACAATCTTCTTTTAATTTGGCAAAAAGTTCACTCTTAGGTGGTTTATGAAATTAAAAAAATGTCATCTTGATTTGAGCTCCCCCTTGTGTTTAATTATAGGACTAATTTTTGTCTACAGCCACTAATGCAAATATTATTTTATTGTAAGTACAGTTTTACATTTATGACCCCAACAAAAATATGAGAAGAATTTTCACATCACTGAGGCAACCTGGGAATATTTTGAGATTTCTGTTCAAAAGCATTGATTTTTAATGAATTTTTTACTTTTTGCCAGTTTTTTTGTATAGTTGGACAACAACGTAATTCATTTTTGTTAGAAAGCTTTTTAGGTATACAGTAAATATAAGCCATTTACAACATTCCACATGTACCTATGGGGATCTGAGATTTTTCTCCTAATTTTAGAAAGTAGCACTATTTTTTTATGAATATTTAAATTTTTGTTGTGACCTTTATAGTTCTATTTCCCAAATTTTCTTCAAAAAAGCTTTGAGTCTACTGATTTAAAAACAACATCATATTATTCCGCATGTTAACACTGCCATGTGAGAATATTTTGGTAATTTTAGGATGAGTTATGTATTTTTCATGATTTTTTAAAACATTTGGTCAGTAAGTCACAAAATGAAACTCATTGTTTTTGTTGAAAATCTATTAAATCTAAACACATTATCAAGTATTTATGTTATTTGTAATATTCTGTTGATGTATAGATTATTGTTTAATAATCTCACTCATTAAATCTTCACGTTCTTTAATAAGGAAACAGTGGAATTCCATTGTAATCACGATTGAGAAGTCAGCCATGCCTCTGAAAGATATGTGTATAGGCTTAGCCGGTTTAATGACGTATCCTGAGTGTTAGTTTCATTGCGCCGGTTGAAGTGAGCTAACGGGACGCCGGCGGGAGAACGTGTTTTCGGGGCGGGACCGAGTGAGGACTGGCGAAGTTGAGGGCGGGGCCGGGTGGCCGACTGGCGCTGGGGGCTTGGAACCCGTTGATAACTGCTTGCAGTTCTAGTTACATTTAAGTTCCTTCTGGGATTATTAAAGGATTTTTGAGTTTGAATGTTGCTTTGCTAACAATGCAAAAGACAGCTATTTATTTTTATACAGATATTTATATTTACGGCCTAAATTGCTCTAAAAAGAAAAGTGTTCAGTCATAGTTAACTGTTTCCACTGAAAGTTTGATGTTTCTGCTTAGCTTAATAAACACAACATTTACGTACTTTTTACTCACTCTTAAAAATCTGACTTAAAGATACAGGTACTGACCAAAGTATCATTCAAGTACCGCTACCAAAAGCCAGGTCTAGGTAAAGTACTGATATTAAAATAAACCTACAGGTACCCAGCCCTAGCAATAATCCCACAGCTGAGTAAATGAGACCAACGATGGCTTCCATTTGGCTTTTATCCACTCGTTTCTCCATCTTGGTGTCATTTATCTCTGGTAGCTGACTGAAGATCTGATTTTAAAACACTGAGCATCATTTCTTTGTTTTCTGTCACAGTTTCAAAAGAAACCCTTCAATTGGCACCAAACTGATCTGAGAGCAGATCCATACAAACCAACAGGCTCCTGCACTCTGTCTCTATGGCTTTAGACTGGCTTGTGGTCACCCTTTTACTCATGTCTTTTCCTTCAGCTTGTTTTTGTCTAACCATTTGTTTTATTGGCTAAAGTTGAGTTTGTCATTGTGACCCGGCTGAATGTACCAGCTCAGCAGAGAGGGACACTCAGGGCACATCTGGCCTCAAATCTGTTTGAGTTTTATTTTCACCCTTAGTTTGATTTGATCTTTTTCTTTGAACCATCTTATCAGCATTCCGCCCTCTCTCTCTGTCCGAACAGGTAAAAAACAAGGACCCCCTGAAAATCGCAACAAAGGTAACCCCTTCATTCATCCATCTGTCCCTCCGTCCCGTCATCCTTCCTGTTTCTCCCCCTCTCCACCCCCAGCCAGCAGCAGGGGGGGAGTTTCCAGTTTGTCTCTATCACTACTGAACAGTGGGGGACAGCCTTTCGCCTTGCTTTACCTGTCCAAGGGTGCAACTCTCAGCTCTTTGAAAACCAATCTGGCTCCACGGTTGCCATAGTAACTTACTCTGTAGGTAGTAGGCAAACCTCTATGCAAATGTATTTGGCAAGAAAAAATCAAAGTTAGATTTGATTTTAAACTCGTGTTCAAGTGCTCTGCTACTGTGCGTCGTCCGTGACTGCGGGGGGGGGGGGGGGGGGGGGGGGGGGGGCAACTCGCCAGGCTTATAAATCGCTGGGGGAAGCCCTGCACCAGTTTCCTCATCATTACTGAGGTTTCTGTTATCAGCTGTGCTCACGTCTGTCACGTGTTTGATTTCAGACATGTCAAACAGAAACCATCAGAAACGCTACTAAAAGACCACCAGCTGGTGAGGATGATGATGATGCTTTGATCCAGTTAAGCTGAACCGAGAAGCCCAAACGTCCTACCAGGTGGTGGATAGCCTGGCCTGCCAGACTCGTCCTCTGTGGGAGTTGCACCCTTTGCATTATTGCTGGGCTCCTGCAGCTCGTGTAGCTCCTGCAGCTTCTGTAGCTCTTGTAGCTCCTCCAGCTCGTGTAGCACCTGCAGCTCCTGTAGCTCTTGTAACCCCTGCAGCTGTTGTAGCTCCTCCAGCTCATGTAGATCCTGCATCTCATGTAACTCATGCAGCTCCTCCAGCCTGTGTAGCTCGTGTAGCTCCTGCAGCTCGTGTAGCTCCTGCAGCTCGTGTAGCTCCTGCAGCTCGTGTAGCCCCTGCAGCTCGTGTAGCTCCTGCAGCTCGTGTAGCTCCTGCAGCTCGTGTAGCTCCTGCAGCTCGTGTAGCTCCTGCAGCTCGTGTAGCTCCTGCAGCTCGTGTAGCTCCTGCAGCTCGTGTAGCTCCTGCAGCTCGTGTAGCCCCTGCAGCTCGTGTAGCTCCTGCAGCTCGTGTAGCTCCTGCAGCTCGTGTAGCCCCTGCAGCTCGTGTAGCTCCTGCAGCTCTTGTAGCTCTTGTAGCTCGTGTAGCTAATGTAGCTCCTGTAGCTCTTGCAGCTCCTGTAGCTCTTGCAGCTCGTGTAGCCCCTGCAGCTCTTGTAGCTCCTGCAGCTCGTGTAGCTCCTGCAGCTAATGTAGCTCCTGTAGCTCTTGTAGCTCGTGTAGCTCTTGCAGTTTGTGGCTTCTGCAACTCCTGTAGCCAATGTAGCTCCTGCAGCTCATATAGCTAATGTAGCTCCTGCAGCTCCGGTAGCTTCTCCAGCTCCTGTAGCCCCTGCAGCTCCTATAGCTCATGTTTTGTCTGTGTGGTTTTTGGTTTTCTTGCTTTCACTGTTGCCTTCTTGCAGGGTGTTGCTCTGGACTTGGTGTTGTCTTGTAATCACCGTTTGACACTCTTCGTCTTCTCTATCCCTTCCTGTCTTGCTGAAGCCTCCTGCAGCTCCTCCTGTCTCTCTGTTGTGGTTCTGCATTGTTGTTTTTGCTCCATTTCTGTTTGGGGTGATCCTTTGAGTTCATCTTTTCCTTGGGTTTTCTTTGTTTCAGTTGTCAGACACTCCCTCTCCTTTTGCCCGCCATGCGTTCTCTCATGGTCTGTTGTGGTTCAGTGGGTCTCAGTCCTGTTTGTGTCAGTTAGTTTCGTGTTGTGGCTTGTGGGACCATGTGCTTCCTGGTTCTACACATGGCTCATTCCAGCATCCAGAATGTTCTGTGTCCTGTAGAGGTCTTGTTGCTGTGAAATGATTTTTATATTGTGTGTGAGGAATGATCTGCTGAAACTCAGAGCCAGGGGCTGAAATACAATGTAGGTCCAACAGGGCCTCCACGGTGTCCAGTGTGTTCTAGAGGTTCCTTTGCTCCAGCACAGCTGGTTTGAATAGATTTACCAGGTGATGCAGTTGTATTGGAGCAGGGAGACCCCCAGGAGGACCTGTGATGGATGCCCTGGCATAGGCTCCCCTACAGAAGACATCACAACAGAGAAAAGGAGGAGATGATTTAGTAGAATGTAATTAATCCATTAGAAAGATCATGATGTTTGGTTCACAGACTGATTTAAGCATGTTTATGAATGAGTTTCATCCTGAAGTGCTCTGTGAGAGTGATGTCTAGTTCAAGTGCAACTTCATCCACCAGACTGTTTCCATCACTCCAGCCTAGTTGAGCAGAACTGCACACAGTCAGCTGTGTGTGTGTGTGTGTGTGTGTGTGTGTGTGTGTGTGTGTGTGTGTGTGTGTGTGTGTGTGTGTGTGTGTGTGTGTGTCAGTGTGTGTCAGTGTGTGTGTGTGTGTGTGTGTGTCAGTGTGTGTGTGTGTGTCAGTGTGTGTGTGTCAGTGTGTGTGTGTCAGTGTGTGTCAGAATGGAACTTTTGTATTGTCAGTGTGACAAGAGCTCAGATCTCAATCATCCAGCAGCTCCACTTGCAGGGTCCGGTTCAAACCAGATTACAGCTGATGAAGTAAATGCAAATAGAACATTTGCTTATGTAAACCAAAGCGGACCCGCTCAGAATTCTGATGAAAACAAGGCCCAGACCACATGGACCTGGTTCTGGTAACGGTGTATTGATGTAACCTGAGCATTGTAACTGAATGTGGATCTTTCTGTCTCTTCCACCATCACCCGCCATCTTTTGCTTTTTATTTACTGATGAACATTGTTTTCTTTCATCTTGTCTCCCTGTTCGGAAACATAAAACTTTCGTTTTCTCCTTATCCTTACCCCCACCCCCCAACTCCCCCTGACCTCCCCCGCACCAACATGTCCTGACTCAACCTCGTGTCCACCTTTTCTGTTGTCCCTTAATAACCCTGCACCCTCACCTCCACCTCACCAGCCAAGACTCAGGATGGAGTCGCTCTGGAGATCCAGCCACTGAAGTGTGAGGAGGCTGCCGAGTTGGAGGAGAAAGCTGAGGTTAAACAGGTGAAGAAGGTCAATGTGACGAAGAAGGAAAAGTCTGTGCTGCAGGGAAAGCTGACGAGACTCGCTGTACAGATTGGAAAAGCTGGTGAGGAACTCACACACACACACGCACACACACACACACACACACACACACACACACACATGAACACTGATGGCCCGTCTGTCCACCCTGTTTTAGGATAAAAGGGGTTTCCACGCAGTAGCAAAATGTAGTAAATAAGTTTGCTGGCTAATAATTTTCTCGCCCTTTTAATATATTATAGCTTTTCAGAATATCAGTCACTATAAACAAGTTGGTCAAAATGGCTTTTTTTTTTTAATTAATTTAACAAAACACTATATTACCCACCTGATTCCTATCCCTGATGGCCGACTTCTGGTCCGCGTTTGCGCTAATACTCTGGTTATGGGCTTTTAGAGACTGAAAACATGTGAACACCAGCTGTCACAGCTCAAACGGGACATGTTACACTCCTTCTGCCGACTGCTCCAGAAGGGTGTGAGGATGATCTTAAAGTTTGGACAAAGCTAACATACAGTAGCATTTTAGCTACTTAGCTACAGCGAGGCAATAAACAACCTTAAAGCTTTGAGGCTCAGAAAGGCAGAGAAATTATTAACTCACAATAAAAGAGATGTTTTGAGTTTGCGTCCTCTAGGGATGGGTACCTTTGACATTTGAATCGATCCGGTACTAATTCCCGGTACCTACGAATCGATACCGGTACTTAACGGTACCAATTTTCGATACTTTTGAGTGTTTAATATTTTTAATTCTCTTTTATAATTAAATATATATTTTTCTCAACATATAACAATATTTGATAAATATCACGATAAATAACATACAACTGTTTGTATTTTAACATCGTCCTTGTAGTTTTATAAGTTGATAATTAAACTGAAGTAAACATCTTTACTGTGAACTAAATTTACTGTGTACAGTGGGGCAAAAAAGTATTTAGTCAGCCACCGATTGTGCAAGTTCTCCCACTTAAAATAATGACAGAGGTCAGTAATTTTCATCATATGTACACTTCACCTGTGAGAGACAGAATGTGAAAAAAATCCATGAATTCACATGGCAGGATTTTTAAAGAATTTGTAAATCAGGGTGGAAAATAAGTATTTGGTCAATAACAAAAATTCAACTCAATACTTTGTAACATAACCTTTGTTGGCAATAACAGAGGTCAAACGATTACTATAGGTCTTTACCAGGTTTGCACACACAGTAGCTGGTATTTTGGCCCATTCCTCCATGCAGATCTTCTCGAGAGCAGTGATGTTTTGGGGCTGTTGCCGAGCAACACGGACTTTCAACTCCCTCCACAGATTTTCTATGGGGTTGAGGTCTAGAGACTGGCTAGGCCACTCCAGGACTTTCTAATGCTTCTTACGGAGTCACTCCTTTGTTGCCCGGGCGGTGTGTTTGGGATCATTGTCGTGTTGGAAGACCCAGCCACGTTTCATCTTCAAAGCTCTCACTGATGGAAGGAGGTTTTAGCTCAGAATCTCACGATACATGGCCCCATTCATTCTGTCCTTAACACGGATCAGTCGTCCTGTCCCCTTAGCAGAAAAACAGCCCCAAAGCATGATGTTCGCACACCCATGCTTCACAGTAGGTATGGTGTTCTTGGGATGCAACTCAGTATCCTTCTTCCTCCAAACACGACGAGTTGAGTTTATACCAAAAAGTTCTACTTTGGTTTCATCTGACCACATGACATTCTCCCCATCCTCTGCTGTATCATCCTTGTGCTCTCTGGCAAACTTCAGAAGGACCTGGACATGCACTGGCTTCAGCAGCGGAACACGTCTGGCACTGCAGGATTTGATTCCCTGCCGTTGTAGTGTGTTACTGATGGTGACCTTTGTTACTGTGGTCCCAGCTCTCTGCAGGTCATTCACCAGGTCCCCCCGTGTGGTTCTGGGATTCTAGCTCACCGTTCTCATGATCATTTTGACCACACGGGATGAGATCTTGCGTGGAGCCCCAGATCGAGGGAGATCATCAGTGGTCTTGTATGTCTTCCATTTTCTGATAATTGCTCCCACAGTTGATTTTTTCACACCAAGCTGCTTGCCTATTGTAGATTCACTCTTCCCAGTCTGGTGCAGGTCTACAATTCTTTTCCTGGTGTCCTTCGAAAGCTCTTTGGTCTTGGCCATAGTGGAGTTTGGAGTCTGACTGTTTGAGGCTGTGGACAGGTGTCCTTTATACAGATAATGAGTTCAAACAGGTGCCATTAATACAGGTAACGAGTGGAGGACAGAAACGCTTCTTAAAGAAGACGTTACAGGTCTGTGAGAGTCAGAGATTTTCCTTGTTTGAAGTGACCAAATACTTATTTTCCACCCTGATTTACAAATAAATTCTTTAAAAAATCCTGCCATGTGAATTCATGGATTTTTTTCACATTCTGTCTCTCACAGTTGAAGTGTACCTATGATGAAAATTACTGACCTCTGTCATCATTTTAAGTGGGAGAACTTGCACAATCGGTGGCTGACTAAATACTTTTTTGCCCCACTGTATCTTCATTCCTTTTGCCGTCCTTTTTCAATAGATTTTTCCTACTGGGAAGTTAGAATTTCTGAGGAGAAAGCGAACGCACCATTAGATGGTAACAATGGTGGCATAGGAAGCTAACATATCAAGCTAACGTTATCTTAAACAGTTTATTTAACTGCTGGAGCAGATTTAAACGGTGATGCCTCACACTTAAATCGTTTTCAGTGGTTTCATCTTCACCCAATCACCCGTCGCATTTAGTAAAGTGAAGCCAAACTTTAGAGCGCGTTCATATTCTTCTAGTCGGAATTTCGGAGTTCCGAGGAGAAAGCGAACGCACCATTAGTGAAACGGAAGCTAACAAATCAAGCTAACGTTATCTTAAACTTTTTATTTACCTACCGGAGCTGATTAAGATGAGGATGTCTCACTTAGATCGTTGTCGCTGGTTTCATCATCACGCAGTTATCCATCACATTTAGTGAAGTGGATCCAAGCTTTAGCTTTCGTTATTTCTACCCATGCTGCTCTGTTTACAACTCGCTTGTAGCGACCGATGACATAACGCTCTTGCGCATGCGCAGCTGTCTAGGCAAGTTCTCGTTATGAAGGACGGGTACCGAAACGAGGCACCGTTTCAAATGAAGTGAATCTGTGCTCGGTTGGTACTGTGGAATTCGGTCGGTACCTTAAAATGTACCGAATTCTGTACCCATCCCTAGCATCCTCAACATGTAATTTTATAGGCTATACCGGGGTCGGCAACCTGCGGCTCTTCCATCCATCTGATGCGGCTCTCTGTGCTTGTAAAATAATGAATGGATATTTAAATAAAATGCTTTATTTTTACTGAATTAATTTTATATCTGTAAGTCAATTCTATGTAAAGATTATCTGCGTAAACCTGAACAGGCCCAACCCGGTCTTACTGTGAGACCGGGTTGACGGGTCACGCTTGTGCGTAATCATGTGCGCTGTCTGAGATTCTGGGCTTCTCCTCAGACGGCTCCTGGATGTGTCGCCACATTGGAGACAGGAACAAGCACTATTCAGCCAAAGTTTCATAATCAGGGAACATTTTCTAAGTGACAAGTCTCTCTAAGAGACAGGGTTTGGAAAACACTCGCTTCAGTGGGAGGAACCTTCCCGCATGCGCTCTGGTTCTGCAACGCGCTCCAAGCCAGTCTCCACAACTTCAGCTTGCTGTGCACATATGCGCTGACAGCGAGCTGCGCTGAGCAGTGTCCAGCTCAGATGTTCAGATGGGAATCTTTTAGCTACATCTGCAATGTGCATAACGAATAAAATGTCTGTTCGTCTGCGTGCGTCGGGGTAATTCTTTCTATTCTTTCTCCGTCAAAATAAACGGTCAAATACGGGAACAGCCCTGCTTTTGACTGTTTTGTTTTCTTGTGAAAATTGTTGGAAAGAGATCAAATTTTACTTGATTACCACCAGAGCCTGCGCCGTCATCTCCGTGATGGTAAATGAGGGAAAAACAAATTGATCGGATCCTGCACATCTTTTAACACATTGGTCAGGATTGACGCACTTTGTTTTCATTTAGTTGGTTAAAAAAAAGTCGGGCTCGGGTTGGACCAGAGAATCCTGAAAACCTTTTTGGGCCGGGTCGGGCTGGGGCTCCACCCCCTCGGGCCGGGCCGGTCACGGGCTCAGATTTTAGGCCCGTGCAGGGCTCTAATTGGGAGCATATATATAGAAAAATAAATTGGTCCAAGCACTGAACCCTGTGGTATTCCACAAGTAACCCTGGAGTATGAAGACGATTTGTTCATGTACATTTACTAAATGAAATCTATCAGACAGGTAGGATTTAAACCAGCCTGACACTGTTCCTTTGATCCCTACAACATGTTCAAGCCTTTCTAAAAGAACGTTGTGATCAACTGTGTCAAAGGCAGCACTGAGATCTAACAAGACTAGAACAGACACAAGATTCTTATTTGAGGCCATGAGAATATCATTTGTAACTTTCACTAATGCAGTTTCAGTGCTGTGATTGTAAAACCAGACTGAAATTCCTCAAACTGATCATTGGTGTTTAAATGCGCACATAGTTGGATGGCCACTATTTTCTCAAGGACTGTTAATAAAACTGAAAGCTTAGATATTGGTCTATAATTCATTGGGTCATCTGGATCCAGAGAAGGCTTCTTAAGTAAAGGTTTGATTACAGCAACCTTAAAATCCTGTGGTACATATCCATTTACTAAGGATAGATTGATTGTATCTAGAATGGGGGCAGTAACCAAAGGAAATGCATCTTTAAATAATTTGGTTGGGATTGGATCAAAAATGTAAGTTGAAGGTTTGGATCAAGCTAATATTTTTGATAACTCTGAAAGCTCAACTGGATCAAAACGGTTCAAACACAGATGAGGTTCTACAGTTACCTCTGATGCTGCCTCACTTACCGAGGATGACGAAATCGTATTAGGGAGGACGCTAATGATTTTGTTTCTAATAGAATTAATTTTACTCGTGAAAAATCCCATGAACTCGTTGCTGCTGAGGGGTAAGGGAATAGATGGTTCAGAGCTATGATTCTGTGTAAACTTGGCGACTACTGAAAAAAAAAAGTAGGATTATTCTCATTCTCCTCAAATAGCGATGAAAAATATGCAGTTCTAGCTTGTCAACGCTTATTTTTGTAAAGTACTTAACTCCTGTGCCACCGTTGCCCCAAGCTAAAGGTGTGGAACACTGAAAACCCCTGTTTTAATGATTATTTCTTATTCTAACGGGTCACTCTTGAGTTTTTCATGTAGACTGAACATGAAAATATTCTCCTACACCTATCTCCTGCATTAGCTTCTGATAGAAAATAGAAAGTGAAACTCTAGGATTAGTTAAGCCTGACAGATCTACGTCACACTGTCACTTATTCATGGACTCTTCCATCTTGACTCACGACGGGGAAGGCTGTTTTTGGTTTGGCATCCAGAAAACAGCAAAGAACGTCTCAGCTAGAAGAAGCTAACTGTTAGCATTAGCAACTCCACCACACAGCAGAACTTCTCTAGGCTTGTGTTATTTGTGGAGGTAAAGCATCAACGTTGCAGAGAAACTGTCAGTCGTGTTGCCTTTAGCCAATCAGAGGAGAGATATCCTCATATCAGGAAGTAAAACTCCAAATTCCCCCTTTTGCTGCCACCCTCTTTGACAGTAGACTTGTCCATGCTGATTCAAGCAATCCCCCCCCCCCCCCCCCCCCCCCCCCCCCGAGTACGGCTTGCAAGACATTCATTTCTACTAGAGACCTAGTAGGGGTTAACGGTTCACGGGGAATGTTGAACCATTTTGGTTCGGTACGAGTTTTACAGAAGAAACTCTGGGCGGTGTGAGTGAGTTTTTAAGGCTCACTGCGGAAATAAAAACACGAAGCATCAACAGTCAAACACAATACTTGTCCGTATGAGCGTGACACTCATAGCTGCACAAATAACCTGTGAAATAATTAAACATCATGCTAGATCAGCAGCCTGTGATGACACCTGGTTCAGATATTTAATAAATAAATATAATAATATACCAAAAATTAATCTACCCGAGCTCTTCAAAACAATGAACCGAACTGAATACAATTTTAGCATTCCGTTACACCTCTTTCCTTTTGCATGTCTAAGTCAGACTCTAGTGATGAAACCAGTAAAATCACAATTTTATGTTGTCAGGTTTGTGCTGTTGTAGTTCTAAGCGGGGTGTGGTTTTGTTTCCACCAGGTCTGTTCATGTCGACCCTCACCGTCATCATCCTCATCGTCTACTTTGCGATTGACACCTTTGGGATCCAGGGTCGGCCCTGGTTGGTTGAGTGCTTACCAATATACATCCAGTATTTAGTAAAGTTCTTCATCATCGGTGTGACGGTTCTGGTGGTAGCAGTTCCTGAGGGTCTGCCGCTGGCTGTTACCATCTCTCTGGCTTACTCAGTTAAAGTATGCAGGATGGGACAATCAAAACTGCTGTCTTATTGTCCCCGTTAAGCGTCAGTAAGCAAATTATTGTTTTGTGTTCTAGAAAATGATGAAGGACAATAACTTGGTGCGACACTTGGATGCGTGTGAGACTATGGGCAACGCCACAGCCATCTGTTCAGACAAAACGGGTACACTCACCATGAACCGCATGACGGTGGTGCAGGCGTTCATTGGTGATTCACACTTCAAGAAAGTCCCTGAGCCGGATGCCATTGAGCCAAGAGTTCTGGACATGTTGGTTAACAGCATCTCAATTAACTCAGCGTACACCTCTGATATCCAGGTACTGCCTTTGGCTGAAAGTTTGGGCCCACCCTTTAACCCTCCCACTGTCCTAATGGGTGTGACCCCGCAAGGAAAGTTGACCATTGAGCAGGATTGATGGTTTATCCCTTGAGGTCCATGTGGCAGGGGTGAGGTGGTGCTCACTCCTCACCCCTGCCACATGGACCCAAGGGATAAACCATCAACCCTGCTCAGTGGTTTACTTTCCTCACGGGGTCACACCCATTAGGACAGTGAGAGGGTTAATTGATTGTTGGAAGAAAGAACTAATATGTACTAAATACCTTTGTTGTAAAGTAAAATAATGGGCCAGGGAGCTGCTTGGTCATTAATCCTGATGTCTCCACAGGCTCCGGAGAGAGAAGGTGGCCTCCCCCGTCATGTGGGTAACAAGACAGAGTGTGCTCTGCTGGGTCTTGTTCTGGAACTAAAGAGGGAGTATGATTCAATCAGAAACGAGATCCCTGAGGAACAACACTTCAAGGTGTACACGTTTAACTCCTCTCGCAAGTCAATGAGCACCGTGCTAAAGATCCCTGATGTAGGCTTTAGGATGTACAGCAAAGGAGCATCAGAGATCATCTTGAGGAAGTAAGAAAATCCTTATCCATGTGTCCGATGGACCTGCTGCTTGTTGCGTAATGCCTTTTAAATTTTGTGTGCCTTATTTCTCTGCTAGATGTTCCCATATCTTAGATGCCCATGGTCAGCCCCGCATCTTCAAACCGAAAGACCGCGAGGAGATGGTGTGTAAGGTAATCGAGCCAATGGCGTGTGAAGGGCTGAGGACCATCTGTGTGGCGTACAGGGACTTTCCCGCTGAAGCTGGAGAGCCAGACTGGGACAATGAGAATGAAATCCTGAGTGGTCTGACCTGCATTGCTGTGGTGGGCATTGAGGATCCCGTCAGACCCGAGGTACGCTATTTGTGATGACTAAAGCCGTCCAGTCTCACCAGGGTAGTTCAGTAGGACCTGATCCTAAAGTAGCTGTTTTTATGGTTTCTTAGGGCTTGTAATGATGCATATGTGTTCATCATGGCTGCCTCACCAAACCTGCATTTGCGTGAAGTGTGGTTTGTGTGCGTCCTCTGAAATCAACACATTGTTTTTTGGAGTCACGTGGGCACGCCAAACAAGATGGCAGCTGGTTAGAGTACCTCCGCCCTTCGACTTTTGATTAGATTGTTATTTCTACAGTCCAGGCCTCAATTCATTGCCACTCTCCTTCGCGTGTTGAGTAAGAGCCGCCCGCTGTCACCTATTTGAAGCAAAATAAGGAATATAATCCAGTAATGGCTTCACCGAAGCGGACTAAAAGTTCGAGCCGAGTGGCTACTCGCAGCAGCCCTGAACATGAGGAGGAAGGGGGCGAGGCAGCTGCCCCGCCCGACTTGGCGAAGCTATTCAGTGAAGTTTTCAAGATGAGTGGCACACTCCAAAGTGTTGCGAGCGATGTTTCTACAATAAATCTGACGACAACCGAGCTGAATGCAAAGGTGGTGGCTATGCAAGAGAAGATCACGGAGGCCGAGACCCACATTTCCTGCTTGGAGGACACCTGGGAGCGGCTACATACTGATGACCGGGAGAGAAGCAAACAGGTGGACGCTATGCGGGAGCGCATCCAGGCCCTCAAACTACAGTAAGGGAACAACGTGAGAGTTATTGGACTGAAAGAAACCGTTGGTATTGGTGGGACACTGCTGAACTGTGTTCGGAGGATGCTTGTTGAGGGCCTGGGGGTGCGTGATGATGTTGAGGTTGACCAGTGCTTATACGCTTCCTGAGGCAGTCAGCGAGGGATGACGTAATTACGACAGTCAAAACGAACTGCGGGTTTGATTAGGAAGGATGTCGGCTGTCTGTGTTTCCCGATTTGACCAAGGAGCTGCCGGAAAAAAGGAAGGCTTTTACAGCTGTGAAACGAAGGCTTCAGGAGCGCAACGTCAAATACACCCTGGTGTTCCTGGCAACACTACGTGTAAAGTGGAAGGGGGGAAATGTAAGCTTCAGCTTGGCAAAAGCGGCGGAAAAGTTTTTCAGCCACGAGGATGAGCAGGAGAAGAGGGCGCAGGGAGGGGAGACCCCAAATTCGACTGACATAATCTCGAGGAGCCTGAGACATCTGGTGCCTGACTGTCGGAGGGTGCAGATCTCATCATCTGTCATCTTAGGGAGGGAGAAGCAGAGCAGCATCCTACGGACCCGATAAGGTTTTTGTTAAGGCCCTGTTCATGGGAATGTTTTTTTATTATGTTTTTGGCTGTGTGCACCCATACAGTGGGTCTTTTCTTCAGGGGAGGAAAGGTTAATTTTGTCTAGCATGGTTGCAGGTTTAAATCATATTGGGACTTACAATTGGAAATGACAGGAAAATATGTAAAATGTATATCTTGGAATATTAATGGGTGTAGAAATCCAACCAAAAGGCGTAAATTACGATCCTATTTAATGTCAGTACAAGGAGTGTTTGGGTGAAGTAGGGCTGTCGCGGTTGAGGAATTCCCCCTGCGGTGATTCAGGGTGGCTTAATATTGCGGTGTGTGATATTATTGCAGCCCTTTTTTTATTGCAGTACTATCTAAACATAATGCTTACACATTTAAAAAAGGTTAAAAATTGCCGTGCCTTCTTTTATAACACTTTACTGAATGCAGATCAAAGGGCAGTAACAACACAGATCGCAGTAACGTTTGTTTCTCCGACAGTCGGAGTCCGACTGAACTTAAAAACAACAAAATTCAGGAGAAGGTTAAACTTATAAATGCAAATTTGGCTGCAGCATCTAACAAATAATAAACAAGTCCCCATTTTGTTTAGTTGTTTAAAATCAAGCATAAAAAATTACATGTACCGGGCACGCGCGCGCCGGGGGGGGGGGGGGGGGGGGGGCGCACTATCATTTCACTTTCACACACACGAATGACGGTGATTTATAGCTCGGTCACGTCCTTGTTACCTACAAGGAAAACCAGCATGTTAACCATATACGGTTTGAGAGAGGATCTGAGAGGGGTGGCAACATTTCCAGCAACACTGAAAACCCTCTCGGATGGTGCGCTCGTTGCACTAACGCACACGTACTTGCGTGCGACTCTGGCAAGCAAAGGGAATCTCTCCCGGGTTGTTGCTCCACCATGTCAGGGGGGTTTCTTTAGGGTGGATGCATTCCTCCTGCAGGTAGCGAGTGAGCTCCAGCTCGGCTCAAACTCTCTTCGGGACGGTTGCAGAAGCAGTGCTTGTCCGGGACTTCAGCAGGTCTCCGAGCGTTTTTTTTTTTTTTTTTTTTTTTCTTTTTGCCGCTGGTGGCAGCTCTGTCTCGGCCAAGGACTCTGGCTGCGCAGCAGCTGACGTACTGAAAACCAAAGTGCTCCCAAAGGAGCGAAGTAACGTTTCGTTTTGATACCAGTGCAGCCATCCTTCTCAACATGCATCATTGAGTTGAACCAAGTTCAGTAATCGCGGTGGCCCATGATGCAGCGCGGTGGGCTTCTTCATATTGCGATATTTCATTTTTGCGGTTACCGCGACAGCCCTAGATAAATATTGGTAGTACGGAATATATTCAAAGTGTTTGGGAAGCCTCTAAGGCTTATGCGAGGGGCAAATTGATAGCATATGCTTAAAAAAAAGATAGTGGTCTTAAGATTCAACAATTGGAGAAGGAAATTAAATTGAGAGAAAATATTCTGTCTATTTAGTATAGCTGTGAGCTTAAGATTCAGTTAAATGAAATATATAATAAGAAAATAGAATACTCCTTGTTCAGATTAAAAACTACATTTTATGAGGGAGGTGAAAAAATGGGGAAGGTACTAGCAAGACAAGTTAAAAAGGAGGATTACTCAAACAGTATTCCTGCTATTTAACAAGGTAATTCTTTGGTAACCTCAGAAAAAGATATAAATAATGTATTTAAGCGATATTTTGAAACATCAAATGCATCCATGGTCACTGATGCTGAGAGCCAGGAAGGGTGTGATTATTTTTTCTCTAAACTCCGTCTACCTAGATTGCTTCAGGAACAGGCAGAGTTGTTAGAGGGTCCAATAACAGAAGGAGAAATTAGAAAAGCGATTTCATTAATGAAAAGGGGGAAATCCTCAGGCTATGATGGCATTCCCGCTGAGTATTACAAAGAGTATATAGACATTCTTTCCCCGGTTTTGCAAAAAGTGTTCCAAGAATCTTTAGAAAGAGGCCAACTCCGTCCTACATTTAACGAAGACTGATTTCTTTGATTCCAAAAAAAGACAGGGATGGTACAGATCCATCAAATTACAGGCCAATTAGTTTGTTGAACTCAGATTGTAAGATACTTACTAAGGTGTTAGCCTTGTGCTTACAACAAGTCCTTCCTAATATCATACACCTGAACCAGACGAGATTTATGAGAAACCGTTCTTCAGTGGATGATGTCGGGAAGCTGCTGCATTTAATGTGGTTGAATCAGTCCAAAGATGAACCTGTAGCTGCCTTCTCCTTAGATGCAGAGAAGGCGTTTGATAAAGTTGAATGGGGTTTTCTTTTTTCTGCTTTATCAAATTTTGGATTTGGGTCACAATTTATAAATTGGGTTAAAATATTGTATAAAGATACCTTGGTACCTACCCTGGAAAGGAAAAGGGGGTGGGGGGTGCACAAGCCTGTGTGTTTTCTTTTGTGTTTGTATGTTGTACGTTATAAAAGTTCTGAAAATAATAAAAACTTTAATTATGAAAAAAAAAAATAACGCAATGCGTTCTGAATCTCTAATTATGAGTAACCAGTAGGCAGAGTTGACAAAATGCCATCGTCACCCCATCTCTGCTTTAGAGGTCTTGCCTACCATCTGCGATACCGCTGCTGTCATTTATTCTGTTGGGATCTCAAAAGGAACCAGCTGCTAATCTCTTCTATTGATGGCATGTTTGTTCCCTACAGATCCGGTCTGAGTTCTGTAATGTGCCCCCTAGCAGAGTCCTCCAGTACTACGTGCAGTGCAGCAGTAGGTTAATGGCCTGTATTTGATATAGCAGGTGCTCCACAACACCATCGGTCATCCACACTCGCACACACACACACAGTCATACCTTGGAGGTGATGAGCTACAATGTAGCTACAGCTAGGGCACGCTGACAGAAGTGAAGTATTACAGAAGTATGTGAACACAACGTGCCTGCCTGTGTCAAAGCAAGGTTAAAAAGCAGGTATAAGTAAGTAGCCTTTATTGCAGACTCACAGTCCAAAGAATACACAGGAAAAATATACAAAGGTGACATCAAAAAGAAATCAACAAACTCGTTAAAAGAACGGTATCCTACAAGAGACAATCATACCAGTGCTTCCACAGTTTAGAGGTGTAGCGTACAGCACTATATCTGGTATTATTCAGAGTTAGGATGACACTGTTCTTGGACACATTAAGACGGCATATAAATTTATACATAAAATTTCTTAAAACAGCTTGACCTCTCCACTTTAAGGGGTTAAAACTTCATTTATTACTTGTTTATAGCCTACATTTTGCTCATATTTTTTTTCATGAGTGAAAAGTTTACTGATATTAAGACAGGAAATAATTAGTAGAGAAAAAGTAACACTTAAGAACATTTTGCTCAGCTCACTGTTTTATTTTCAAGTGTCAAAAGTTCATTAAAGATAGGACTGGTCGATTAATCTCAGCCTTTACAGTAAATAATCTAGTATAAACAGTAATATACACATTTAAGTACATTTTGCTCAGTGTATTTTTTATGTGTCAAACGTTTATTGAAAGGAATGATTGATTTATCAGTGTTTACAGGAAACAATGTGTTCAGAAAAGTAATACAAACTGTCAAGCACATTATGCTCTGTTTGGTTTTGTTAATGACTTTGTTCTGTACTGGAGCCTACTATTACTGGTATCTATTGAATCAAAGCATATTAAAATGTGCTTGAACAATTTTATCATTTCTTAATACTGTTTGTACTGGAAGAGAGAATGGGAGGGGGTCGTCAAAAATTTTACTGGTAAAAAATGGGGTCCCTTGGGAAAAAGGTTGGGAACCATTGAGTTATATAATCAAATCTAATGAGGATTTCAACAGGGATATGATCCATACTGGACATATTGTATAAGATATTCATGTGTGTCAGAGCAGCATGAGCATCTGCAGTAGTGATACAATGGTCCAACCAGGTCGGGGTATGCCAGGCTTCACTTGTATATGTGTAGCTCTCTGCCGGCAGGAGCTCTCTACTGGATAGTTTTTTAATGAAAATCACTACAAAAATGGATCAGATGCTTGGCAAAAGCAGAGTTCTTATCAGAGATATCTGCATTCAAATCACCAATTACATAGACAGATGTTTCATTTTGTAAAAAGGAACTAATGAAAGCTTATTTAAATATTCTGTATGCATTCATATTGAGCATACACATTTAAAATGATAAAATCTTTGCCATTCTGTTTCATTTTAACTGCAATACACCAGTCCACACCGAGTAACAACATTTATCATTGAGTCCAGACTTTTTCCACAGTGTAGCCACGCCTCCTGGTATCCTTCCTCTTTTAATTCCCAAACTGAAGTCAGTAGTTGACTCTCCAGCCCCAAGAAAATTGTCGTTGATGGAGTTTAGACAGTCTTAAGTTCTGCTTGGCAAAAATGTTTCTTGTAAGCACAGTATGTCATGGTGTATAGTCCCAGCCTTAAGCTAAACCTGTACAACAACTCTGTTCTCCCACCTCTCAGGTACCCGAGGCTATCACTAAATGTCAGCGTGCAGGAATCACTGTCCGGATGGTTACTGGAGATAACATCAACACGGCCCGCGCCATCGCTGCCAAGTGTGGCATATTGCAGCCGGGGAAGGAAAGCCTGTGTCTGGAGGGCAAAGAGTTCAACCGTCTAATCAGAAATGAAAAGGGAGAGGTGAGACGAGCCTGATCTGATGTTTAGTCATCATTTATGGTCCCCATCAATACAGTAATCTTATCTGGGCTTGCTGCTTATCGCCATGTGGTGTTTAATGAAGTGGAAGGACAACCCATGAGATGTGTGTGTTTGACACTGTGCTCCAGAATCAGAAGGTTTTATTGCTATATCAAAGTTAAAAGTCCCATCAGTTGTCACACACACTGATGTGTGTGTTGTTCTCCTTATTTGACCCATCCCCTGGGGGAGTGGCCACGCTCGGGAACCATTTGGTGGTTTAACCCCCCAATCCAACCCCTTAATGCTGAGTGTCAAGCAGGCATTGTTTTTAAAGTGTTTGGTATGACCCGACCAGGAATTGAACCCTGATCTCCCAGTCTCAGGGCAGACACTCTACCACTAGGCCACTGAGCTGAGTGAGAATCACATTAGGAAATTGTTGCGGTACTTGGTGCAAGAAAGGAAGGTAAAAGTAAGAGATAAGCAAATACAGGAAGTAAGAATATAATCAGGATAAAATAACAATATAAAGTGTCGAAACTTAGAGAAACATCTTCTTTAGGTTCTGGTCAGAGTGGATTAGTTCAGGTACAAATACAACACAGGGTCATGTGACTGCGACCAGGCGACTGGAGTCGTTCATGAGTCCGACTGCAAAGGGAAAGAAACTGTTCTTGTGGTGAGCGGTTCTGATCCGAATGGATCTGAGCCTCCAGCGAGTCAAAAAGAGACGGGTCAGCTGTGATCCTGACTGCATGCCTCAGTGTGCTGGAGGTGTACAGATCCTGTATGGAGGGGAGTCTGCAGCCAGTGACCTTCTCAGCAGAGCGTACAACACGCTGCAGCCTCTTGTCCCTGATGGCAGCTCCAGCATACCACACGGTGATGAAAGAGGTGAGGATGACTCGATGACTGCAGCGTAGAACTGCCTCATCGACTGTGCTGATAGGTTGAATTTCTTCAGCTGCATCAGGAAGTTCATCCTCTGCTGGGCCTTTTTATGATGGAGGTGATGGTGGGCTCCCACTGGCGGTCCTGGGTTATGGTGGTACCCAGGAAGTAACACGAGTCCACTGTCGTGATGGGGGTGTCAGACAGGGTTATGGGGGGGGGGCTGTGTGCTTCCTAAAGCCCACAACAACCTCCGCTGTCTTCTGGGTGTTTAGCACCAGGTTGTTGTGGCTGCATCAGGACACCAGACGTTCCACCTCCTTCTGTAAGCAGACTCATCCCCGTCAGAGATGAGTCTGATGACAGTGGTGTCGTCTGCAAACTTCATAAGCTTGACAGTCTTCAAAATCAATCAAAATTTATTTATGAAGCGCTTTTCATGCAAATGCAGCTCAAAGCGCTTCACAAAATTAAAAACAACCAGACAGCAGTCGGTTTCCCACCCCTCCCACACAGATTCACATACACAGACTTGTGGTTGGAGGTGCAGCTGTTGGTGTACAGGGAGAAGATCAGAGGGGAGAGGACACAGCCCTGAGGAGAACTGGTGCTGATGGCCTGCAGGTCCGAGGCATTCTTCCCCAGCCTGACCTGCTGCTTCCTATCTGTCAGGAAGTCAGCAATCCACCTGCAGATGGGTCAGGCGTGTTCATCTGGGACAGTTTGTGTTGAAGGAAGAGCTGCAGTCCACCAACAGGATCCTGGTCTTGGTACCCAGGGAGTCCAGATGCTGCAGGATGAAGTGTAGAGCCATGTTGATGGCATCATCTACAGACCTGTTGGCTCTGTAGGCAAACAGTAGGGGGTCCGGGAGGGGGGCTGTGAGGGTCTACAGGTGGGGGAGAACCAGGTGACTTCATGACCACAGATGTCAGAGACACAGGTCTGAAGTAATCGAGTCCACTGATCCTTGGCTTCTTGGGGACAGGGACTATGGTGGAGGTCCTGAAGCAGGCGGGTGAGGAGTTGAAAATGCCCATAAACACTGGGGCCAGCTCTTCAGCATGGTGTGTTAGAGTGGCAGGAGACACGCCATCAAGGTCCGGGGCTTTTCGTGCATTTAGAGTCTGGTGTCCTTCCTGCTTGTTGTGGTGGAGATGTGATATGATGAAGACCTCCTGGGTGGGTGGGGTATGAGGAGGAGGGTACTGAAGGTAAATTCCACAGTGATGGTGATAGCTCTGGAGTGGGGGGTAGGTAACCATTGTCTATTGTTGGGTCCGGGACAGGTGAGACCTTCCTGGTGGCTCGTTGGTTTATGCTTGATGCGTCCGCGAGGTTCGCACGGCTCCGCGCGGCAAAATTGCATCAATTTTTCGATATTTAATTTTTCATTTATTGACATTAAAATAAAAATACAGAAAAAAATTGCTACAAGCCAAAATGAAAAGGGGGACAGAAAGAAGAAAAACTTATGTTATCTGCCCCTTTTAACTAAAATAACATTAATACAAATGAAACAATCATGATTCTTAGAAGAAAATTGGAACAATATAGTTCCTGGACTGGTTGGCCCACACAATCTCAACCCATGAATTAAAAAAAAGAGAAAACGAGTTACACAGAGAGAAGCATAAAGTTATAGACCTCTATTCATACATATATACACGAATGAATACATAGACTTGTTTCCTTTTTTTTTTTTTTTCTCTTTTTTTTTCTTTCATCCACCCAACCCCTTTCCCTCACACATTTATGTAACAACCACGCCCCTCCACCGCGCCTCCGCACGGCCCAAGCTTTCTGCACCGCGCACCTAGGAAATTTTCTAACCACGCGGACGGTCGGACGTGGAAAAACATGGCGGACCGGCAAGAACTAGTATGGCAGAGGTTCGTAAATACAGACATTTGTATGATTCAGCTCTCAGAGATCACCGTGATCAACATGTTGTTAATAATTCTTGGAGGGAAATAGCTCGCACTGTCGGAAAAGACGAGGACGCTGTTAAAAATGCTGGAATGCCATGTTGTAAACAACAGTAATTTTTACTTCTACTATGGTGTAGTGTTGGATGCATGCTGTAGAGCTCCATGCTGCCCCCTACAGTTTGGGAGAATATTGGCTCACCACAGAGACAAGTCGCATGAACCATAAACACTGCGAGTTGTGAAGCGCGTTCCATCCGTGAGCCGCATCACCGCGTGGAAAGTGAATGCGTCAAGCATAAACCAACCTTAAGCTGTTGGCCAGGAGCAGATTATCAGTTCCTGGGCTTCTGAGCTTGTAGTTTGGAATGTTTCTGAAACTTTTCCACACAGAGATGAGTCAGTTTCAGATTTCCTCTGATGTTTAGGTGGAACAAGAACGTCTGGACAAGGTTTGGCCCAATCTGCGTGTTCTGGCCCGCTCATCACCGACAGACAAGCACACACTGGTTAAAGGTGAGCGCATTCTGAGGATGTTTCCTGTTGTTCAGTGTGTTCAGCTCCTCCTCTTCCCCCTCCTTCTGAGTTATGTGTAATCGTGACCAGCACAAAGACAATCGACTCCTAACTGAAACTCATTGAGCCTGTGTTTGTCTCTGTGATCCAGGCATCATCGACAGCACGGTGGGAGAAACCCGACAGGTGGTGGCAGTGACGGGAGATGGTACCAACGATGGCCCCGCCCTCAAGAAAGCTGATGTTGGCTTTGCCATGGTAACTGTTCCTTATCTGTTTCTTTGTTCCTCAGTTCTCTGGTGCTTCACACATCTGTTTCAGTAGGAGCAGATATGAAGCGTTGTCCACTTCTAATATTGAATTAGACACCAGGGATTCACTTCAATCAATCTGGCTGTCCTCTCATAGCTGGGCCTGCCAGACTCGTCCTGTCTACACGGAGAACTAGTCTGGTTACTCACAGGCAGAGAGGCACATGAGGTCAGACCTCCTTTTCACCCCTGGGTTCCTATAAGCCGATATTCCTGACTCGTCTTCCCATGTCCCGCGGTCTGTCACCCGACTCCGCTGGTCTGACAGGTCTCAATCCTTCTGTTGGCCGGGGTTCTGTCTCCTCCGACAGGAAGCCGTCCACCTCACTGCGCTTCGTCATGTCCATCACTGCTTCCCGTGCACTGCTGTAGGTTTTCGTTCCACTTTCCCAGTGCGTGTATCGAGAGGTGTCTGGGATTGGATTTTCATTCATTTGAGCTTCTTCTTTATTAACATGTAGACTTTCCTTTGTTGTAGTGTTTTTGCTGTTTAGTCATGGTAGAAATATATTTCGTCTTCACTGAGCTTCACCTTTTCCTTCTTCAGTATCATTTCTTTTGTCTTGTATTGTTTATGATGATTGATCTGGGTGTCTGACCTTCGTTCAGATTCGGTGCCAGAGCTCCGTGTGCTCTCTGTATTTCGAGATCTTCATCTATTTCAAATTCTTTTTGTCGCCGGTTGTCCAACACCTTTGTCCATTTCTGAGATCGTGATTTGCTTTGTTACGTACAGCCTTAGATTATTCCTCCCCGCTCTCGCTTCCATTTCATCCAGTTTGTCCCACATAATCCTCCGTTCTTCCTGTAGCTCTTGAATGGCCTTGTTAGCTTCGTGACTCCGTCGCTCCAGCTCCTCTGTTCTTTCTGTCAAAGCCTGTATTTTCTCATTTTGCTCTTTAACTCATTCACTGCCAGCCGTTTCCTGATCGCTAACGGCCTTCGCTGCCAGCGTTTCATCGTTTTTACTGTTTTTTTTAAGAGTCACAGAACGTTGCGCGCTAGGATTATGTCGGCGCCAAAACAAAGCAGAGACTCACCTCTTACATCAGGAAGAATCCGTGTGTTTCGAGCTTCATCCGTTCTTTCGTAATTCGTTGTTGAATTGTGATCGGCAGACACTTTTCCGGTTCGCGCCTCACTTTTTTTTACAGGAACGGCCCAAAACGATCTCCTAATACATGGATGGTCTGCTTCCTGATCATGTGACGTGTGACGTATGCTGATGAAGATCGGCTTCAGGGCTGAGATGTTTGTTCTCAGCGCGGGGCCTCGTTCTGATGCTCAAACAGTAAAAAAATGCAAATGACTACTTTAGTCGTCATTGGCAGTGAATGAGTTAATTTCCTCTGGTATCTTATCGAGGGTGCGATCCATATCTTCCTCCATCAGTTCATTTCTTATATCAGTTGCAATCTCTTCTTTAAACATTTTTAAAGCAGAGTTATTTGCGTTGTTTTCAGCGAGCTTCCAAGCCACACGTCCACTCTACTTCGCCGTCATCCAAAAGTCCTATTATGTTTCCATTTTTGGTTCTTTTTTAATTCACAGGAAAGGTTTCTCTTTACCTTGCTGACAGTTTCGTTTGCGTCTGCAAAAAAGAACCAAAAATGGGATTAGAAACCAAACAGAACGTACCAAAGAAGTCCTATTATGTATTATTTTATTAATTTGTTATATATAATGTTTAAGGTTTACGTTTATGCAACCAATGCTTAATAAAATTGGTCTTTTATTTATTTATTTATTTTTTCATGCTTGTTCTTGCTGGCTCTTGTTCTCTGAGTAATATCACTTGATCGGGTCTTTCATACGTTCCACAGTGTGAAATAGGTAAAGTTTGTATGATTTGGGCTGATATCGGTATGGGTCGATACTGAAGGCTGAAGCATCGGTATCATATCGGAAGGAGAAAAGTTGTATCGGGACATCCCTAGTAAAACGTCACACTCGGGGTGAGAGATGTTTAGCAGGATCTCGTTAATGCAAAGGTGCTTTTTAACCTGATTACATCTCCATGGTAATGCGTGAAGGTGGAAGGGCTTTTATTCTTCAGCTGTTGAGAATCGTTTCTATCGTGTTTCAGGGAATCGCCGGCACGGATGTGGCTAAAGAAGCATCTGACATCATCCTAACCGATGACAACTTCACCAGCATCGTGAAGGCTGTCATGTGGGGAAGAAACGTCTACGACAGCATCTCCAAGTTCTTGCAGTTCCAGTTGACTGTCAACGTGGTGGCTGTGATTGTGGCGTTCACTGGCGCCTGCATCACCCAGGTACACCATACCGCTCCAGGCACACTGAAACACATGCACAGCTCATACACAGACCTGGGAACTCTTTTAGATGACTTGCCAGTGTTGCCAGTGGCAGATTATGGATGTGATATTTCTTTATGGTGATGCTCAGTATATTAAAACTGAACGCATCTTTGTTTTACTGAAACAAAGGTCTTTCAAAGCTGCCTCACCTTGTTCCAGCCCTGTGTCTTTTAGGTGGTTTAAAGTCTAAATTAAGTTTAACTGAGGTTCTCCTCCTTCAGGATTCTCCTCTGAAGGCCGTCCAGATGCTGTGGGTCAACCTCATCATGGACACACTGGCGTCTCTTGCTCTGGCCACTGAGCCGCCCACAGAGTCTCTGTTGCTACGGAAACCATACGGACGCAATAAGCCTCTCATCTCCAGGACGATGATGAAAAACATCTTGGGCCATGCTGTGTTCCAGCTTGTCATTATCTTCACGCTCCTCTTTGCGGGTGAGTACAACAACTGTCTGTTGTCTCGTTTAAAAGAGGTCCAACATTTTCTGTTTGAGGATTCTCTCCATCTTTGTTCCTCAGGTGAGAAGATTTTTGACATCGACAGCGGCCGTAACGCCCCTCTGCACTCACCTCCATCCGAGCACTACACCATCGTTTTCAACGTTTTTGTTATGATGCAACTGTTCAATGAGATCAACGCCAGGAAGATTCACGGAGAAAGAAATGTGTTTGAGGGCATTTACAAGAACCCTATTTTCTGCAGTGTTGTACTTGGGACCTTTGTGCTGCAGGTAAGCTCATCATCTAGCTAGCAGGCAACATCTGCTTGTCACTAACGTTTCTAGAAATCAGACCAAAGTTTGCGATCACCAAGGGCCTGTTAGGGGTCAGCTAGGGTCAGGGAGCATCAGAATGTGTGAGTGTAAAAAGTAAACCTTGGCTGTTTTCACAGATCATCATCGTTCAGTTCGGAGGGAAGCCATTCTCCTGCCACCCTCTGACCCTGGACCAGTGGCTGTGGTGTGTGTTCATCGGAGTGGGGGAGCTTCTGTGGGGACAGGTGAGACCAAAACCACATGTGGAGAGGAGAAAGGGGCGGAGATTTGAGGTTTGGTCTGAAACAAACTCACTGCAGCACCTACAGGGTTGTCATCATGACCACTGGTGTGGTAACAAGCTTAGCACTCGGGCAGAGGCAGGCAGCTCCTGTTTCAGTTCCACCGTGGGCACACACACACACCCCCCTACTCAGAAAGCCCGGTGGGTTCAGTTCAATGACTGTAAAATAAAAATGGACAAACCCTCCTTGATGCCACCTATACGGTTCTGACTGTTCAACTTGCAGCCTAGTGGGCGGTTCCAATCACCGCCATCTTGTCCGTGTCGCACGTCTCAACACTCGCGGAAAATACAAAAATGGGAGAAGGGGAGGAGCTAAGCACGGATGTTTGAGGATCTGAGTCTGCCATTCTGCTACAAGCTAACTGAGCTAGCCAAAGCTAATTAAGGTTTGCGGGTGCTTTTAGCAAAAAAACAAACAAACAAACAAAAAAACATGGTTGAGCGACTACTGCGAAGCACACATCAACCCACCAGGCTGCATTGTTTCTGTGGTCTCCCTCAGAGAGCTCCACAGGCGGAAAGCACAGCCTCAGACTGCAGCGATCGGAGTCACCGCTGCAGAGACGATACGAGTCTTGGTACAAAGCCCTACCAACATGACATATTTAAACCCAGTTTGACCAAGCAGTGTTATGTTAAACCCACAACATTTTTCCCCATTCAACTAGCTAAATAAAGTAAGGCAGGTTTATTCATACAGCACATTTCATACGCAGAGGCAATTCAGTGTGCTTTCCATGAGTAAGAATATTAAAATCAACATGACAGAAATTTGTATTTAAAAATTAAAATGAAATAAAGTTAAAGGGTGAGCAAATACAGTACAGAAGGTGTAGCATAAAAACATTCTTTCAAAGGCTGATGAAAACATGAAGGTTTTCAATTCTTATTTAAAAGTTACTATAGTCGGGTCACATCTGAGGTCATGAGGAAGCTGGTTCCATCTGTGTACGTTTGACTGCATCCAGTCATTGACTTGCTCCAAACACTGACAGAGTGAGTCTAGAGGACCACAGTCACTGGGTGATAGAGCTAGGTAGATATGAGTGTCATCTGCATAACTATGATAGGCAATATTGTTATTGTTTATGACCTGACCCAGGGGGAGCATGTAGAGAATGAAGAGCAGTGGTCAAAAAATTTAATCTTGGGGGACCCCAATTACAATTATAAAGAAAACATTAAGATGGTAACAAACAAGGATTTATTAACAAAACTGCTGATGTCTTTCCAAAACTTGTGTGTGAAAGCCGAGTGGATTTGCCGTAATGTGACGTCATCAGCAGGTGCAGGACCCCGAGCAGATCTGGTATAGACAGCGTCACTTCCTTGCTGATAACACAGTCCCATGCATCATCCAATGTGTATGTTCCATCATCTCATTTCATAGTCCTGTGCGCGCGCTTCCTTATCTCTTGCTTCTTTTATCCATCTTTTATATATAAATACTTTTAGATAAGCAGAATCATCAGCCCATTATTAGGCAACACAGATCAACACTGTAAAAACACAGAACTAGCACAAGAACTGAAAAAGGTGACAATAGAAGACAACGGCACATTCATCTCACATGTTACATCCCTGATCCCAAAAACACCAACCCAGACAAGATCAGACAAGACACAACATAAAAGGACAAACCTCACAGCAGACCACATAGCACGATTGATACAACTGATGGCTAACTCCTCTTCACTTACAACAGAACAATATACAAACAACTAGAATGCTTCGCCATGGGAAACCCACCATCAGCTACCCTTTGGGAGTTCTTCATGGAAGATCTGGAACAGAAACATGGCCATTACCTTCCCAGACTGCAAAATAAAACAATGAAATCGCTACGTGGATGACATATTAGAAATCATTCCCAAAGGACAAACCGAGACACTCACAAAACACCTGAACAGCATCAACGTCACCAACAACATAAAGTTTACATATGAAGAAAAAGATAACAGCATAACGTTCATGGACATGAAAATAACCAGGCAGACAGACAGAACCCTAAAAGTAAACACATGCAGGAAACCAACACACGGACCAATGTGTTTTATGGACATCAGAACATCCCACCATACATAAAATGTCAGTTATCCGAATATTATACCACAGAGCAAATAATAACAGAAGAACAAGATAACAAACTGGAAGACAGAGACATACAAAGCACATTAAAAACCTGTGGATACCCAACATGGGCAGTAAGAAAAGGAAAACTACAAACCACAGTAGAAAAGAAAAAGAACCAACAAGAAAAGCCAGAAAAGCAGAAAGACCAGAACAAAAACCAGTAATAACCCTGCCATATATCAAAGGCAAAACAGAAAAAATAACAATGAAAAACATGATGGCAACACACCAACAAAACCATACATTACAGTCAGAAAAAGATTAGTACATCCAGAGGACGGTATATCAGCAGATAAAGAACGTGGTTTCAGATTGTATGCTTCTCCGTCTGCGTCAGTGCAGAGACACGCAACGTTCTTGCTTGCCTGCCGGAGAGCTCCGCAAGGACGGACGGAGTCGAGCTCTCTTTTCTAAACATCCGTCAGTCGAGACGGATAACGCAAGCTTGTGATTGGTCAGGACGCCGCTGTTGTTTACAGCGCCGCCATTGCGCCCTCAAAAACATAAAGAGAGCCGAGGATAACAAGCAGCAGACACAGAGAAGCTTGAAGAATACCTCGCGAAAAAACTCTACAAATATGAACGTTTAATTCCCCCTTGACTGGAGAAGTGAAAAGATGTGCAGCAAGCGTTTTATTTGTGGACGGAAATGACAGGAAACGTGGGTTTAGAGGTGGGGAGCGCATGAAGAGGTGGAAGGGAATGAGAGACAAATATGTCCGTGTTAAAAAGTATCTTATATACACAAAAAACACAATATAAACACACTATCTTACCAACATGACAGGATACCACAGAACAGCACTACGCCCTCTGTTGTCCTGCCGGGCAATTGCTTTGCTTTATATCATATTTGGTCCACTTTTGATCAAAACTATTAAAATACTAGCATTTCCCACTCTTTAATGAACAAAATACGTTTATTTTTCATCAGAACAGAGCTACGGTGCGTTTATTTTGATAGTGGGTTAGCTAATTAGCATTTTGAAGGATCGTGAAGAGTAAAACCCAAACGCACACAGCAAAATGTACAGTTTACACATGATTATTTACAACAGAAAACTTTATATTGTTATATTTACATTTCTAATATAAAACATTGCAGTTATTAGCTTTCTCCTCTGACATTCGGAGTTTAATGCATTGATGCATCCTCGATACAATGGACAGAGCAAGAACACATCCGGGAACGTTGAGCGAACTTGCTGTGATGCATACTTAGGATTGGAACAGTACTTGGGCCGTCGATGAGGACGTTTCACAAGGACGTGAGTTTGGACAAGTATGCATATTGAGAAACGGCCAGAGACGAAATGAGCATTTACTAACCTGAGGCTGAGCCCATCCCCAGAGATAGCTGGTAACGTTAGCTCTGACATTCATGCTACCCATCAATTAAGTCTAATTATTCATAATTTAATTACACCTATATTTCACCACCTCAATGAAACAATCAGTGTAAAACTTGAGAAACCGACCAAACCCATCCTGATGTTCTGGATCCTGACCGATAGTTCAATGAAACAAAAGGTTCGGTCAGCTCAAACAAACCAGTGTCACCTATCCACTCAGGTGGGATGTCACACTGGGACACACTGAAAGCCAGATGTCTTCTGACGGTTCTAGTCTGGTGTCAGGATAATTATAGCAGCTTTAAAACCCAAACAGGAAACTGATGAACCCTTTGGTGTTTTCTCCGAACTTCAGCTGGTCACTAGTATCCCAACTCGCCACCTAAAATTCTTGAAGGAGGCTGGACACGGGATCACCAGTGAGGAGATTCACGAGGAGGATCTGACGGAAGGCACGGATGAGATCGACCACGCTGAGATGGAGCTGCGAAGAGGCCAGATCCTCTGGTTCAGAGGTCTAAACCGCATCCAAACTCAGGTACGTCCCAACCCAACACAGCTCCTAATGACTCCGCTTGCTCTGAAATATGGAGAAAACAGTTGCTATGGTAACTGCTTCACAGGGAAGAAACGTGATTTGCTGATGAAGTTTCTGTATGTTTAAATTTTCCTTGTTGGTTAATTATTGTTTGAACTTCCATGAGCCTGATTCCAGGTTAGATCAGCTGTTACCGGCTCTGCTGACAGATTAGAGACAAAAACACCCACCAGCAGAACCGGTGGTTCATCTACCTGAACTTAGGTCCACAGGTCAGATCAACAAAAACACCCAAACTAAACCTGGTCGGGTGAGCAGGAAGGTCCTTCAGTCCTGGAGCCTTGTCTTGTCTGCAGCACACCCTGTTCCCCAGAGGAACCCACCCACCCACCCACACACACACACACACACACACACACACACACACACACACACACACACACACACACACACACACACACACACACACACTCACTCACACACACTCACTCACTCACTCTCACACACACTCACTCACTCACTCACTCACACACACTCACTCACTCACTCACACACTCACTCACTCACTCACTCGTCTCTCACTCACACACTCGTCTCTCACTCACTCACACACTCACTCACTCACACACTCACTCACTCACTCACTCTCTCGTCTCTCTGTCACACACTCACTCACTCACTCACTCACTCTCTCGTCTCTCTGTCACACACTCACACACACACACACACTCTCTCTCTCTGTCACGCACACACACACACACACACACTCTCTCTCTCTCTCTGTCACACACACACACACACACTCTCTCTCTGTCACACACACACACACACTCTCTCTCTGTCTCTCACTCACACACACACACACACACACTCTCTCTCTCTGTCTCTCACTCACACACACACACACACCCTCTCTGTCACACACACACACACAGGTTGACTGAAGCTGGTGCCCTGACTGACATGAGGATGACAACCACTGATTGGTTTAAAGACATGACCTACACAGGTGAAGAAGTGTCTCCAGGACAGGACTCTGGACTCTGTGGTGTCTTAACATTGAACGTGTCCTGATGAAGCATCCAGAAATGAGTTCTTCTTCTTCGTCACACATCAGAGGCGATTGAGGAAGTCCTTCAGCCTTTTGATTGTATTCCAGTAATATCTGTCCCTGTCGGCCTCCTGGGATGGAGGGCGGTGGGTGGGAGGCAATAAAAGCTGCAAATTAATTAGGATTATCTCTTCGTGCTCCTATTCTTGTCCTCTGTCAGTGTAATGGGGCGTGCCGGGCGGCGTAGCGCTGCCTAACGCCTTGTCAGTCGCACACAGAGGAGAATAATTGGTACAAGCTCCAACCGAGATGCTCGAACTTTCAGTCTTCCTCAACGTCCTGCGCCTGTCGCTGGGATGTCATTCCGATTCTGTAATCGGGATTCCACTCTTTGTTTTCATCCCTTCATTCTAGCCAACTTTCTTATAAATTCTGTCTGTCGTCTTGTTGTATCTAACATGTCTCTTCTTCTCTGTTCTCCAGCTCGTCCTCTGTTTGTCTCCTTGTGGTTTTGTGTGTGTGTGTGTGTGTGTTTTAATTTTTGCTAATAGCTCAGAGGCTCATTTATAAAGCTGCTTACACACAAAGCGGGCTCTGAAAACTGGTTGTCATTTTCTACACAAGCTTTGATTAATGAAGGAACACACACCAACTGCACCTCCGTCTCTGAACTCAAGAGTAGAAATATCTTGTGTTTAAGATATCACACAGTTATCATCATTGTGTGTAATGTGGTTATTGTGTATGACTTGGCCCAGGGGGAGCATGTAGAGGTTGAAAAGCAGTGATCCAAGAATTGAGCCTTGGGGGACCCCACATGTTATGGTGATAGGCTTTGATTTGTGATCACCAATAGAAACAACGTGTCTTAAAGATAAGATCAGAACCAACTGTGCCTGAAAGTCCCACCCAGGTTATGAGCCTATCAAGCAGGACGTTGTGGTCCTCATTATCAACGGCTGCAGTGAGATGGAGCATCATCAGGACAGATGTTTTACCTGAATCTGTATTTAGAGCTGCAGCAAAAGTCTGAGCCAAGTATTCCAGCCTTACATTCATTTCTAACTAAGGTGGCAACATTAGCATCTTTATGTTTTCAGTTGAGGTTGTAATACTTTTAACACTTGTCATTCAGAGGAAAGCACCTCTGGCCAGTACCTTCAATGGTGTTTTAGTACGCATTCTACAACGTTTTATAAATGAGGCCCCTGGACTTTTAACACCTCTGCATGTCTTTAACTTGGTAATTATCCTACAGCCTTTATAACCTCTCTGGAAGCGTTGTCCTCCTGGTGTCCCTGTCCCTGTCTCTTCTGTCTAACAGTACATTATGACTGTCCTTCCTTCAGATGGATGTGGTCTATACCTTCCAGACGGGCCAGGCAGCAGTGCCTGGTGCCCTGCGCCGCCAGCCGTCCGTCGTCAGCCAACACAATGACGCCACTGCTGTCAAAACTCTTTCTAGCCCCACCCACGTAGGGCTTAGCTCCTCCTCCTCTGTCACCAACTCAGCTGGGGCTCCACCCACTGCTGCTGCTTCTTCCTCTACTGCAGGCAGTGAGTTTGTGCCTGGAGGCTTGCTAACGAAGAGCTTCACCAGGCTGTGTTGGGTTCTGTTGTTTGGACTGCATGAAACCTAGCAAAGCTCAGATGTCTGCATGTTCTGACCCGTAACCCGTGCTCAGATCCAAATACTTCAGTTAGACTCTAGTGTCTTAAGGTGATTGAAAGGTGTAAGTGTGAAACCGAGCCCCAGAAGAACTACCGTATTTTCCAGAGTATAAGTCGCTCCGGAGTATAAGTGGCACCAGCCATAAAATGTATAATGAAGAAGAAAAAACATATATAAGTCGCATTTTGGGGGGAAATTTTATTTTTCTTACAAAATCTGAGACCAAGCATTTCACATTGCAAGACAAGTACCGGTAACAATAACAGAATAAACAACGCAGGCGCAGCAGCACATCACGGTCTCCAGCAGAGGATGGTGGTGTTTGAAACCCTCCCAGCAGGACAGGGGAGCTCATTCCTGGGTCGGAGCCGGCCCGCAGCAGCGCGGTATAGCCTACATAATTTGGTATATAAGTCTCTCCAGAGTAAAAGTCGCAGGACCGGCCAGACTATGAAAAAAAGTGCAACTTATAGTCCGGAAAATACAGTAGTACCAAATCTTCATGTCAGTGAAACTTGCTGTTTATTTTTAGTCCTGGAACTAGTTTGAAGATGACATGCAGACATCCTGAACCTCCTAGAGCTTCTCATCCATCTTCATCTCTGCTGCTTCTCCTGCATGTTCTGAGTGTTGTTACTCCTATATCGACCCTGGTGAGACTTGCTGCTCACAAGACCCCAACTAGTCCCCCGTCCGTCCCTGAAACCAAGCAGATTTACTCTTATGTGACATTGAGGACAAATCTATAAATCTGTCTCTGGTTCTGAGTGGTTCCTGGGAGGCTCCGCCCCCTTTACCTGCATCATCCATCACTTTATGCTGAGTTGTGCTCCACAAGTCTCTCGTGTTGTGTGTGTGTGTGGTGCATCAGCTGCCTGGGTGATATCACTAAGGCGTGTGTGGTGGACCTGCTGACCTCTCCCATGTCTGTTCCAGATTAAGGTGGTGAACGCGTTCCGTAGTCCCCTGTTTGAGCTGGAGAGCCCACAGTCCATCCATTCCTTCATGGCCCATCCTGAGTTCCTGCCACAGTCAGAGGAGGAGGCTCACTCTTACGCCACCGAGGAGCTCGACCCCCTCCCTGAATCCTCATCTGGGCCTGCAGGAGGACAACCTCACACCACCTCCTCCGACAGCAGCAAATCAACCATCTGAACTGTGTGTGAGGAGGGAATCCTTCGCCTCCATGTTGTCTTTTCATGCCGAGTTTAGTCTTCTGCTTGTGTTTTTGTCCCATCAGCATCACATCCAATCAGTTCCAGGGTGGAGTCAGAAGTGTTTTCCTGACCATCTTTACTTTGTTGATGATCCTTGTGAGAAGCTATTAAAAGCTTTATGTTCCAACATCTCCAGACCTGAGGAGGTGCGTCCTCTGCTCTGTGTCGGGGTCCTCCTGTTCTCGGTCTGATGCAGCTGAAGATCACGGCGGTCAGTCAAACATCCAGAGAGAGAGAGAGAAGGGTGTGTCTCCTCCAGGTGGACTAGGACAGAAGCAGCTCTCATGTACCATATGAATGTTCCATTGGGTCAAAGTTCACAGAAAGTTCTTCCTGTTTGGTTTTTGTTTCGTCTCCACGACAGACGTGGAACACAGAATGTTTACTTCCCAGATAACCAAATACAGCGGCATTTCATTTCATCTCGTCAGGGTTCTGGTTCCTTTTTCTTCACCGCCAAGTCTGTCCACAGCCCCATGGACGGTCCACCTGGACACTAATACAGCTGTCCATGTCGCCCCCTGTCCCACCTGCAGGTGTCCTAGCTTGTGTAACCATGACACAACTTCCTGTTTTCTAGATGAGATGGAAAACCCTGAATGAGGAAGTTGGACCTCAAAAGAGCATCAATGTGGTCCTATTGGTTCTCTGTGTAGGAAGTAGTGTTGGAGCTGGGAACAGAACCTGGACTAGTCTTTGTTCTGTCTATCAGATCCAGGATCAGCTGTCAGTGACATCACGCAGCGGCAGTGAGCAGGGGGGTTGTCATGGTGATGACGCCTGTCCACTCGGCTGTGTTTGACATGCGTTGGTGTTGAAGCCACACTGAGGTTTATGGGAGACTGATGATGTCACCAGTCAGCCTGTAGAGTTAATTCCACTGTGTCCTGCCGCCGCTTCTGGCCCCGCCCCTTCCTTCTCTGCCCTGTCTGTAGATGAAAGAAGGAATCACTCAGCATCTGGAGGCGGCGGCGTTTAGCCTCTTACGACAACAGCCACCAGCCGTTCAGTGTAACCCTAACCCTCGCTGAGGTGATGTGCTGCTACTGCCATACCTGTTCAGAGCCATATTTTATAGGATGTTGTTTTCTGCCATTGTTAGTGGGCCCACCCCCCAGCCCTTTACTCCAAACATGACCAAAAGCCAGAAGAAGCTCCGGTGGTCACTGCCGAACCTCTGCCATGTTTACATGAAGCGCGAGTCGTTGGTGGTTCGCCTTCATCCAGCCACTTCCTGTCTCATTCCATTTTTACACTAACTATTAAAACGCCATGGGGAATCTTACTTGCATGGTTTTCATATAAAATTCAATGTTTTGCTCATTTTTTACGACTTCTGTATTTTTATATTAAGTACTTTTTAATATTTTGGAGATGTGAGTAAATGTATGGGCTGAAGTGCTTGAGAGGAACCTACTGTGGACTTTTTACAGCTCCATGTTGTCACCTGATGTTAGGGCTCAGAAACCTGCAGTGACTTGTTTACTTCCTGTCAGCTGTTGTCCTTTAACCTAGTGTGTGGCTCAAACCCCTCCCAACTGTTTCATATCCATGAATGAGTGAATCGATGCGTGTTCGGTTTCCAGCTGCAGCCGTCACAGTTGCCATGGGCCACAGTTGTGTCCTGCTTAAGCCCCACCCATCAGTAGGGGTGGGTGGGGCCTAAAGTAGAGCACAGCTGCAGGACATCACTTCCTGTTTCTGCCATGGGACCCAGTAGTGCACCTGCACTCTGACGCTGTAAATCCCATCCTGTAAGTGAGCGATGTAAGGGGAATCAGCCAATCATCACCCAGTGTAGCTTTAAGAATGTTCTGCCAAAGTCCCTTGTTTTTGTCACATGACCACCCCCCTACTCTGGGGTTGTTTGGACTGGTTTCCTTTTGGTCCCACCGTTTCCATCAGGACAGCTCATCCAGACTGCATCACTTCCTCTACAGAGCACTACTTCCTGTTTGCAAACTGAAAATTCTGTGGAGAACCTTCTCATCGGTTCTAATTAAGTGGAGTATCACAGCAGGTGGAACTCTTATGTTTGGTACGTGTATCAGATATAAAGATAAAGACTAAAGATGGTTCTCAGTACTACTTTATTGCAAAAAGACTGAAAGGGTTTTGTTCCTGTAATTAATTCTAGCAGTAATAACCCTTGGTGGTATTTTTGTAAAAACATGATATCATCTATGTGGCATGCATGACATATATACAGAATATGGTGGTTTAAAGCAATATGTGCAGCCTGGTGCGATTGGTTCTGTTGTGTTCTGTGTAGTTTAAAGACAACAAAAAACACTAAAAAACGGTTCAGTATCTGTTTAATGTTCTGTGTTCTGCATGTTTTAGTACGGAAGGAAACTTTCCAAGTGTTGACTCCTTTTCCAAAACACACACACACACTATTTGCACTGAGGTGAAACACACTAAGGAAATCTAGTGTGTGATTTATCTACCTGGGTTTGGTCAGGACTGTCCTGATGAATGGATGAACTGTCAAATTTATTAGTTTGAAATAAAATACATGTTTGATTTAAATGTTTTCACAATAAAAGTTTTTATTAATTAAACTACTTGTTTTTGATTTATGACCAAACTGAATTAATATTTGATATTTACCAAAATGTTAAAACAAACTTTACCTTATCAGGTGGTGACCTCAGTGTTTCTTCAGATTCTGTTAGTTCATCCTAAACCAAAAGGGTGTGTGTGTGTTTCCTCCACCCATCTTCCATCCCATGTTTCTGTCAGATGTCCTGTTTGCTTCGATCTATGCAACAGAATCGCCTCGTTTGGCTCCAGTTAAATCTTCATCTAGTTCCTCACTGTCTTCACTTTGTTAGTTTCAGTTGCTTGTACAGACAGAAGCACGACACATGAACACCGATGTATGTTTGTGTGTTCACACACGACTCGTTTGCTTTACTCTTTTGTAAGACATGATCGTGTGGAATGCCCTGGTCTTCGTCCTGTCCTTTGAATATAAACTGAAAACATAAAGCAACAGAGTAAAGGTTGTTCTGTTAATATATAAATCTATATACAGAAAATAAAGCCATTGAAATTTGAACTAAGCTTGTCTCATTTATGATTTTTATTTATAGCGTCATGAGACTATTGTCCCCTCTCTCCTCATGAACTTATCTCCTTGAGATATTGCTCAGGGCCTTTGATGCCTCTGCATCTAAACTGTTTTAACAAGCTATTTGCCTCCCCCTACAGCTCAAGAGAAGATCAGAAGAACTCTTAAATGATCAAAAAACTTTGTTAGTCCAAATAATCATCTGAAGTCAATGTTAAATCAATCTGAAATGACAATATTAATTACTTGATATTATAATCCTATGATAGTATTTTAATAAGTAATATAACTTTAAACTACACACTAGACTCCTATCACAAGTAATGTTAAAATCACACGACATTCCTTTGCCTCTCCAATCAGAGCTTTCCTTTCTGACGCGTGGCACAGTTTGTGCAGTGTTTATTTTTGTTGTCACATTCTGATTCGACCATAAATCAAAACCTCTGAATTATAAAACTAATTCCCACGTCACCCTTAACTCAGGTCAAACGTTCTAGACTTGCGAGCCGGCCACTCGTAACTTTTTAACCACAAAGAACCTTGACAAGCTGGAAAATAAAACCTGTTGCAAGCTACACCTGAATGCAACGCTCCTTCAGAGTAAAAGCTGAACTCACTGACCCTTCAGGGTCCCGCTGACGCTGTCAAACACCCGTCGTTTACCTGGAGGCAATCCCAAGACTAGTCTGTCGTACCGTACGCTGTTTCGCCGATTCCGGTACCAAAGGGAGGTCCAAGGTCTCTGCAAGAGTATGTAGAGCGGCAAGATGGCGTCTGAATGTGGTTTTTGAAACTCCGACTGTAGTTTAGAGCAAAAACATTCGCTCCCACACAGAACTAACGCTTCTCTGGAAACGAGTTCTGATAACATTCCTTACACCATCTATCTTGCCTCATTTACACCTAGATCCATTCATCACATAGTGTTCGGAGTTACTTAGCCTCGCTTTAAATTGTTTAGAAATAAATCTTCTTAAACTTTAAAACTTGTCTCTCTTAACTCTGGGTTAATACGAAGTGTTACCTAATCCCTGCAATAAAAAGTTCCGATCTTCTGTTTAAAGTAATGTTCAAAAATGCATCAAATTGATTTCATATTTTTTATGGAATCTCACCTTTGATGGTTTCCTACGTAAGATGTAACTACCGAATCACTACATATTTAAACAATTAAAAACTGAAGTACCTGAACATGAGTAAGTTTCTGTGTAGAACACTGCCATTATGTGGACACATGGAAAACTAACTTTGAATGTTTTCAGATTTTTCTTGTGCAACCAAACTGATAAAAGAAACACTGATTAGTCAATAAAAAGCCTGTTTCATCAGTGAAACGACAACGTAACACTGATGTTTACCAAGAACTTTCTTTTATATAGCACCCCTATCTACAAACCAGGTGCTTCACTAGCTCCAGAATCTAAAAATTTTTAGAGAAGAAATTTTTAATAAAAATTCAAAAATGTAAAGACGGGAGAAGCTACTGAAAAGGAAGACAATCAGGAGGTCACCTCAAAGCCAGCCTGAACAGGTGAGTTTTCCGCTGCTTTTTAAAGGAGTCCACTGATCTCAGGCTGGTGATGACCAAATGAAGCCTTATCGTGGCAGTGTGAGCATCCTGTCAGTGTCCCGACTGATCATGCGCCCTGGCTACTTGGCCAAGGGGGTGTCCCTTTGGCTGACTGGTTAGTGCGTATGACTCACCGGGGAGGCTGGGGCTCTAATCCCGCCCGGGCCCTCGTTTCTCCACCTTGCCACATTATGAAGCATTGAGGCTTTCCCGCCAATTGTTTAACCCAAAGTTTAAAATCTATAAAGTTTGAAGAAAATCCTCAGAGTTTGTATTTTATTTTGAAATTTACCAAATATTTTACTCTGATAACGTGATCTCGTTTAGCTATGTGTTACCTGATTACACAGTAATGTTTTTTTATGTCGTTATGTTGCCTGAACGTGTGTATGTTCTTGATGAATGCTTCAAATTTAATAACATTTCCACAAAGAGGCTGCCACAGAAATTTAATTAGCAACTCTCAGGAAAAAAAGAAAAATAAACTCATTGCTGGTCTAAAGTCACGCTAGAAATATCGTGGTTGTCTAGCTGGCTACTGGAATCCTCGTGGTTCGTGGCTGGCTGTTGGAAATGTTGCGGCAGTCCGTGGCTGGCTGCCGAACTCAAAGAAATTACTCATTCCTAAGAGGAAAATATTGATTGTATTTCTATGTGTTTCTCACAATAAACAGATGAAAAAAAAAGTGATTTGTATGAACCCACAATATCCCAGTCTCAGGGCAGACACTCATACCATAGCCGATGGAGCTGGTTTTAAAGTATATGAACTCCACTGCTGTGCTACAAGCACGTCACAAACGCCCGTCAGCGTTTATACCTAGGGTTTAAACCTGGGTCCAGAGTGTGTGGAAATTTAGATGATTTGTTGTTGATAAAACCCAACTTTATACCCGTTTTGACTAAATGATGATGTAAATATCAGATTAACTACAGTAAATAAACACTGACGCATCAGTAATCCGTAATCTGTTTAATGAGTCCTTACAAGAAAATGGATTCAGTTTATCCTGTTAAACATACTTTAAATGCTCCCAGCTGCTTTTGTGGGAGAAAATACTAAAAAGCCTCAACTCCTATCTACTAAAAACCAGGACAGAACCGACCCAAACTGCTGCTCACCCAGCGGTGGTTTGGTAACGACGGGTTAAAAAGATTTGGCTTGAATTCATCAACATGGAGAGCAATCAGAACCGTCAGCGCCTTGGCTCAGTTACTGTGTTGAGGAAACTTTGTCTCATTGCGTCTTTAGTCTGTCTCTGAACAGTGTCTCCAGAATGCCGTACAACAGCGCCCCCATGAGGAGGAGCACTGTACTGGACAGGGGCCCCAGAGACACAAGGGCCCCCAGCACATAGAGGAGGAGGAGCAGGAGCAGCGTTCTGTAGCTGGCCAGAAAGCGCAGGCTCAGCCGAGGTCGCCAGTTTTGCTTCGGCGTATGACGGGACATCGGACTCCTCTTCGGTCTGAAGTAGTCGGGATCCATCAGGTAGTAACGCCCCAGTTGACCCAGGAAGTCTGAGCGCAGGCACAGCATGTTCATGTGACCGCCCAACTGAGAGGACAAAAGCAGCACATTAAAAAGGACCCCCTGACCATCAGTGATGTTTGCTTCTGGACTGGATCAACAGGTCTGGAGCTAGAGCACACCAGGACCAGAAACCTGGGGCTTCATTCATCAAACGTTTATAGGAACAGTCCTAAAATCGTTCCTATGAATGAAATTTAGAACGTTCGTACGAACGGTCAAAATCCTGATTTATGAAACGTGGTGGCCTCTCGTACGCACGTTCCTCCGGCCTCTTCTGACGATACATCCCACCTGTGCGTACCCAGGTGCTCGTGTCCGTTCTCAGTCATTTACGATTGGAACGCCCTCAATTTGCTGCGTTCCTCTGTTGTAACGAGTGCTTATTTCAGTCAGAGTTGCTCTTCTATCAGCTTGAATCAGTCGGCCCGTTCTCTGACCTCTAGCATTAACAAGGCATCAGGGAGAAGTTGAACAGGTGTTCCTAATAATCCTTTAGGTGAGTGTAGAAACAATTCACAGTCGAAGGCACCAAACTGAAGCGATGAGCTGGGGCCATGAGATCTCAGGTTTTCTAGAACTCCCAGAGAGCCGCCATTTGGCACCGTTGTTTTCACCTAGCACTAATCACTTGTGAACGTTCGTTTTTGTTCTGTAAATCACTTCAGGAGATGCTGGTGCTCCCCTCACCTCCCCCCTTGCCTGATTTTTTCTAGCAGTCAGGTAAAGAGGCAGCTAGAGAAAAACCAGACACCAGACTACTCAACAAGAGTGTCTTCAGTCAGCGGCTACATGCAGCATATAAAGACAGAGCATACAGGCGTCTGTAAAACATGTTTTTTTTTATTACTAAGTTTGTAGCCTTTATAGCTTATGTTGCATTCACAACTTGTGTGCTTATCTGAAGTCTTCACAAAGTCAGTCATACTGTAAATTATTTTGGGTGGGTAAGTTCGGTTGACCAGGTTCAACAGAAGCCCTTTTTACAAAATGCTCAGGCAATCCAAGAAAGCATCAAGGTTTTATTAGAACAATAAACCTTCAAATGCACGAGCCTTTGTGAATGTTTTGTATTGCAACTCAAACAATTTTGGGGGAATAATGCAGGTTAACTGCGATGCAGGCTTCGATTGTCTAGGTTCCAAAACAAGGTTCATAACAGCTGTGCTGAAGCTGCTTTTCAGGTGTTGAAGACAACCCAGACTCTTGAAAAGGTGATCAGCTAAATCTGACTAGAATTTATTTTTCAGGTTACCTGGCTGCAGTTGCATGTAAAAAGAAACAGTGAAAAGTGAAACTTCTTCAATCCTTTGAGTTTTGACGTGATCTGTTCTCTGTCTCTGCTGAAGCCACGCTCCTTGAGTTTAAGAGGTGGCTGTCCGTCACAGTTCCTGAGAATTGTCTGGCGACTTCTGCCTCTTCTTGTAAAGACAAGTTCACAGATCTCGTTGTCACTCCAATTAGCCATGTCCGCGGGTTGTTCACTAACTTACCCATGTTTACGTGGTTTATATACTCTCTCTGGTCGGGGGTCGCCACACATTTGCTACGTCATTTGACATCTTCCTCTGTTGTGCCAAGGCGCAATCGCTGTTTATAGGACAGACAACTACCGCAGTATTACTACCAAGCGAGGCGCAACAAATGCAGCAAAATTCGCACAACGCCATGCCAGCATGGCGTGTTTATAAAACACACTGTTGCTGTAATGTTTCGCTGATTTGCCGGCACAGTGTCTCTTGTAAAAAGGGCTTGTCAGTCATTTTCTACCAGGGCTAAAAGGGCTAAAGAGTCAAACTAAATGTGGCCAACCTAAATGACTGAAAATGTTCAAGTTCCTCCACATTCCAATGGGCCATTGTCTGTACTCTGCACAGATAATGGATACATTTACAAATGAAAGGCAGCTAATTGTCGGTGATTGAGTTGTGATTTTCAAACCAAGGAGCCATTTGGCTACCTCTGGTAGAGCTGACGGTAGTTCTAGTGTTGAAACTACTTAGGTCAAAGATTCGATTTTAACTGGTTCTGGTCTGTGGAAACTAAGGCTCAACCCCTCAGTTAGGACCTTAGAGGACTCAGCTTGGATCATGGGTTCTGGACCGGATCGTCTGACTACTACTCACCCTCTCGTTGATTAGGGAAGACACTTTGTAAAAGAACCGAACCAGCATGGCGTTCTCGTAGCTCCTGATTGGCTGCAGCTCTGGGTCACCTTGATACTGAATGTCAAATCTGCGCAGTCCATTTATGATCTACACACACACACACGCACGCAAACACGCACACACAAATTGAGTGAGAGCTTAATGCTGACTTGTGGACCTGCAGGACAAACACTGACCTGTCTCCGGCCCACGTCTGTGAGGATGAGCCCGTTCTCTCCCACAATGCAGTCTGGCAGCTGTTTGGACGGCCCGTCTTCCTGGGAGAAGCTCAGGTTGGAGATGAGCTGAGTCAGCTGACCCTGGTTCAGCTGCAACACAAATATGAAGATCAGAACAAGTTGTGATTGGACACACATAGAAGGTTAAACCTGACCCGATTGGCCCGTTTGAGGGCGGACATTCAGACAACATGGCTGCATTCCATTTAGAAGCAGCCCTTCTTTTACAAAACCTGAGCTTTGTAGGTCTTCTCCAGCTAAACCTACTCAGTACCGGGTCTTTTCAGTACCTGCTTCCATGTGGTTCCAAGGTTCCTCTGGTTGCATTGTTGTGTTAATCTCTCAAACGTGTAGAGACGGGCTGAAATCTATGGAACAGTGACTCCGCCCCCTAGCCAATCAATGACGGAAGGCAGCGATGTCATGGCGTGAAGGAGTATGCTTGGAACCACAATGAAGCAGGGACTGCAAAGTTGGGGGGGGGATGTACCGGGCCGTGCCGTTCACCCTACAGTCACTCATTCACACCCTGGTGGTGACCAGAGTCTCACTGACAGAACTTGACCCAGACCTTAAAGATTTGGCACAGGTTGTCCAAAGTTCTGTCCAGGAACTCGTGGGTCTTCTTCAGACATTCTCCACTCTCCTCGGGTTCGGTGCCAGTCAACGTGTTGTTGAGGTCTGCAGAGCTGAGCCCCAACCAGAAGAGGAAGGAACTGTTTGCCGCCACTTCGCTGGACTGATCCGATATCCTCTTGGCCGTCTGCCGGGCCTGTGCGATGACCTGGATGAAGTTCAGGACCTGGAAGCAGAACCAAGTCCCTCTGAGCTCTGTGGAGGTTTTTAGAATCACAGCAGGACTAAGAAGAAACTCACGGCTGCTCTGAACTCTGACCCAAACATCTGCTTGTAGCGACAGTCCTGTCCTTCCAGAGAGTACACGTGACTCTTCACCTTGAACACCATGTCAGTCACCACCCGTTGTCGTGACGACAGGTAGCTACCGCCCTGGCTTGGAGACAGGTAGCCTCGGGACTGCCGGTGGTGGAGGACATGTTCCGGCTCCAGAAACAGCTGCTCACCTGCAGACAGGTCTGATTGATGAACACCAGAGACCAGAAGAGCCTGCAGGAACAGCTGGTGTTCTAGGCCTCACCTTTCTGGATCATCTCTGCAAGTTTTGGCTGAGCGAACACTTTAGCCACCCTGAACACCATCAGGGCATTTTTGGCGTTAACCAGGTCCGTTCTGACGGCCCGGTTCAGAAACACCTGGAACAGCTTGGTGTACATCAGCAGGTTCTCATGAACAAAGGGCTCCCTGCAGAAAAAGGTCGACATGTTCATCAGAAAATGACGGAGCAACCAATCACACGTGTGTCTCACCATTTAGCGTGAATGGTTCTGTCTGGGTCAGGCTGAGGACCACTTTTCTCCCCCGTGTATCTCCACGGCTGGATGTAGCTCAGCCACGTCTCCAGAACCTAAACACAAGAGAAGTTCCATGGAAGGTCGTGACCTTTGACTGAAAAACTTATGGTGTTGTAGTCGTAACTCACAGCTCTAAAGGACGCGTCCAGAGGCCAATGGCCAAAGCAGTGCTGAAGGAACAGGAAGAGCTTCTGCTGCACAAACCACTGCACCACCACTCTGCAAGGGTATCAAACCATCACACATCTTAGGTGTGGTCTTGCTGTGTCGTATTTCTAATTCCATGCTGTAGTTCTTTTTTAAAACACAGAAACAGTTTCGTTACCTGTTCTCCCGCTACGTTTCGTTTGTGGCTGCAGACTTCCTCAGGCTGACACTGATGGTGGCGTCACTTCCTTCTCCGTTTATCCGCGGGCAGCAGAGGACGTTGTCGCCCTCTGCTGCCCGCTCTCGTCCTCTGCTGCCCACTCTCCCCTCTCCGATGATGCAGTCCCATGCGCGATCCAATGAGTAAACTCCATCGTCCCTGTTCATGGTCCCACATCCACGTCTCCTTATCTCTATAGCTTCTTTTGTCCATCTTTTGTATTTCTGTTGTTCGGTGTTTATGATCCTTGTCTTGTCCCAGTCCATTATGTGGTTTTCTCTTGTGCAGGGATCTGTTACGGCTGACTTCTTTATTGTGCTTTCTGCTTCTTGTTTTGCTGCTCTTGTGCGTTTTTGACTTGCCTCTTTCTCACACTCCTTTCTATGTTCTATTGTTCGTGTGTTGAGTTGGCGTCCGGTTTCTCCTATGTATGTTTTATTGCAGGTTGCATGGGATTTCGTAAACGACTCCACACTTATGTCCTGCTGGTATTTTGTCTTTTGGGTGCACTAGTCTGTTTCTAACTGTTGTGTATGGTTTTGTTGGTGTGTTTACGTTGTGTTTTTTCATTGTTGCTCTTATTTTTTCTGTTATGCCTCTGATGTATGGTAGGGTTATCACTGGTTTTGGTTCTTGTCTTTCTGGTTCTTTGCTGTGGTTGTTTTTTTCTTTCTGTTGTTGTTTGTTGTTTTCCTTTCTTTACTGCCCATGTCAGGTATCCGCAGGCTTTTAAAGCATGTTGTACGTGTTTGTCCTCTTGTTTACGGTCTCTTTCTTCTGTTACCATGTTTGTTTGGTGATATAATGTTCTGATTACTGACATTTTGTGTATGGTGGGGTGTTCTGATGTCCATAATAGATATTGGTCTGTGTGTGTTGGTTTCCTATATGTGTTTATGTTTAGGGTCCCGTCAGTCTGGGACCCTAAACATAAACACACCAACAAAACCATACACAACAGTTAGAAACAGACTAGTACAACCACAAGACAAAATACCAGCTGGACTTAAATGTGGAGTCTTTTACGAGATCCCATGCAAACTCTGACATACATAGGAGAAACCGGACGCCAACTCAACACACGACCAATAGAACGTAGAAAGGAGTGCGAGAAAGAAACAAGTCGAAGACACACAAGAGCAGCACAAGAAGAAGCAGAAAGTACTTTAAAGAAGTCAGCTGTAACAGATCCCTGCACAAGAGAAAACCATATAATGGACTGGGACAACACAAGGATCATAAACACCGAACAACACAAATACAAACGATGGACAAAAGAAGCAATCGAGATAAGGAGACGTGGATGTGGGACCATGAACAGGGACGATGGAGTTTACACGCTGGACCGTGCATGGGACTGCATCATCGGAGAGGGGAGAGTGGGCAGCAGAGGGCGACATCGTCCTCTGCTGCCCGCGGATAAACGGAGAAGGAAGTGACGCCACCATCAGTGTCAGCCTGAGGAAGTCTGCAGCCGCAAACGAAATGTAGCGGAAAAACAGGCAACGAAACTGTTTCTGTGTTTTAAAAAAGAACTACAGCATGAAACCATCACACAGCTGACCCACCACTGAACAGCATGACAGAGCTCTGCTGCCATGGCAACTAACTTATTAAACCGTCTTAAAAGGATCTGTTTATTTACAACATGTGAGCCTTGTTGTGCCTCACAATGACCCAGAAGCCCGCCCACCCACTCCACATGAACGCAGATTTAAAGGAGATACATGCTGATTGGCCAGTTGACTCCCAACGGCTTACTCAGTAGATTTAGTAGCGCATCAGAAAATCAAACTATTAATTAGACTGACGTTTAACGCATGTAAACATGTTAGTCTGGCTGAAGGTGAACTGCTTGTAATTGTGCTGAAGCACCCAGATAACCGACTACATCTGCATGTCAACGGCTCACTTCAGTAGCCTGACCGGCCAGCCCCAAGCTTCCTTATATTCAGATAACCCCGCTCCCGAGAATTCTAACCGAGCCAATCAGCGCCGAGCAGCGTACGTCACACAGCGACTCAGCATTTCTCATAAAAATGGCGTCTGGAGTAGAGTGCGCTGCGGCTCTCTCTGTTCTAAATGACATAAAAAGCGCTAAAAGCCTTTCACCTAAAAAAATATGTCTGCGCTGACACCATTTTTTTACTACAGCTAAAAAACTACTGCGTTGCGTGGTGCAGTCGGCATCTCCATCTTTTTTCTGATTGGTTATTTTTGAGCTGGCTAGTCCCGCCCCTCATGTTCCTCTGCCTGTGAGGAATATGACTCGTTCTCTGTGCAGGCCAGGCTTCAGTTTAGCTGATACCGCTAACTTCCAGAAGTGACGAGACCGCAGAAGCAGTAACACGTTACATGTTAACCAGAACGTACCAAATCAGCTGTGCTGCGGTGTCGTCCATTCCTTCGGCTATCGTGCATTTCCTGTTTTTACTCTGCTTTCCTCCTGCTAGCATTTGTTTACCACCTGTGTTGCTACAAGCTAACCGGAAGAATACCAACATGAAAGCGCTGCCACCTACTGTACCGGAGAGAAAGAAACTTCTGTAGAGGGTTTGGTTTTCTAACGTAAACTAGGATGAAGACTCCTAGCTACACATCGTTGAGGTGCGTCTTGTAAAAAGGGCTTTGATCAACCAGGTTAGAGTTGCCTAGAGCTAGTTACTGTCTGTGAGTGCATAGGGCGGCTGACCTCTTGAACTCCTCCAGTGGACTGGTGTGTGCGTGTGAGTGAGCTGAAGCTGATGACGACACCTGCTCTGGCTTCAGGCTGTTCGAGAAGGCATGCAGATGTTTGACCAGCAGGCGGACCACCAAAACGTGCTCCTCTGATGGGCTGAACGGTTCCTGAAAAGGAAACCAGTCACACAACGATCCACACACACCTTCACCTGTCCCCAGGTACAAACAGAAGCCAATCACAGAGTATCCCCAGCCAAAGCAGCCCAACAGCATGCCTGTAGAACCCCAGACACAGAAAACCACTCCCAAAGCTGCACGGTACCGTCGGAGCTCGTGTCAAGGACACTTCTCTGCGGGGGGGGGGGGGGGGGGGGGGGGGGCTCAGGTGATTAAAGCTTGGTTCAAAAAGCAAAAACCTTCAAATTACCCGTTAGCAGCAGTTAGCATTCTCTAAAGGTTTATCGGCTGGTCTTCTGAAAAACTACATCCTCGTGTACGGGGCATTTTACTTACACGCACGCGCACGCGCGCACACACGCACACACGCACACGCACACACGCACACACGTAGTGTTAAAGGTATTGCCAACAGAAAGGGGGTGCTTTGTTTTTCTTCATGGCCCGTCAGGCTTTGCTGGACCTAGGGTTACTGAACCTTCTGAGACCCATATTTGTATTTGGTGTGTGATGTAAAATTAAGTTAAACTAAAATATTGGCAGTTTTCCTAAAAATTAAAGATATTTTATCTTAAATTCAATTCCAAATGTTTCTAAATAATTAAAAAAGGTTTAAGTTGAAAGGAGCATTATGGAAGTTTGACAGCCAAAACAAGTATAGAAATAATAAATTTATTCTTCATACATTCTCCTGCAATGCCCTGGTCCTGTAGAATGAGCCCTGGCATTTTTACTGCGATTGCCTGTTTTTCTGTAAAATCACAGAAAAAGAGAGCTGCTCGGGTCGAGCAGGCTGCTTCATGCGCGTTCACGCTCAGGCATCGCCCGTAGCATTTGCTATCCGTAGCTTTAGCAGCAGAGAGTGAGGTAGTACCAACTCAGCGACTGTCACTGTTCCTAACGCCTAGTGATGAACCTAGCTACATCTCTGAGGACCCTTAGCTACTTTCTTCTAGATATTTCCTGCAAATTAGCAACAAAATAGCCATTTTTGCTCCGAACCGTTCTTTGAACGTTGTTTCAGCTGTCATCAAGGATATAAGAGCTACAGATACGAAAGACATTACTGGCGCTTTAGCTCATCTAGAAAGACGATGGACTGTGCGGAAAATCCGGGTTCGAATCTAGATGTGAACAAAATTTATTTAGTTTCTTTTTTAAATTAATGGCATTTTTTTTTTACAGTAAGATGCCCAAATTTTTATTTGAGACTCGTCGAACGGCATTGAATTCACAGATAAAAAAGATGTGGGTTCAACTTTCATTTTGGAACAATTTTTCAAGCAAGGGAAGGGAATGATCTGAGCATGCAGGAGGACTGACCCATCATAAACCTTTGTCGGCTGTGCTGAAGAGAAAGGTACAGAACCAAATTATTTAATTAATTAGCTGCACGTTCTTCTGTCCTCTGTCCTCCGGGCCACACACACACACACACACACACGGAGCTGACTGTCAGCTGTTATTTTCATTAAGGAGTGTGCACGTACAGCATGCGCGCCTCGTGCACGAGCCTACTATTGAAGCTGCCGTTACGCTTTTTGCCTGAGGGGGCAATCGCGAGCATAAAAATTCAAAACTCCGTAAAGTCCCTTTGAAGAGAATAAAATTCTGGTGCAAGAAGCCAATGTTGGTAAATGTGGACGTCTCAGGAGGTTATGGTGTGGGTCACAAAATGAATGATTAGTGTAATTTCACTTGTGCCAATGGTAATATTTGCCCTGGGAGGCGTGCAACAGCATGATATAGGCCCTGTAAATCCCTTTGATTATCATGCAGAAGCAGAAAAACAGACATCAGGGTGAGAGAAGTAGCCTTGACTGAGCTCAGCTGACACGAGGGTTACCTCCAGGAGGCACCGGAGGGGCGGGGCTGAGAGAAAAGGTAAAAATACTTGGTAGGTGTGGAGGGGCCCAGAGCCTGGTGGGGCGAGGGGTTGGCACAGCATGCTGGACATACTGAGGCGGTACTGCAGAAGCGCCAGCTGATCACCCATAACCACCAGGTGGGAGGGGACGAGCAACACAGGAAGACAGAAATAACGTGAGGAAGAAGATGGGGGGGGGGGGGGGGTCGTCAAAACCATTCAGGCAAAAAACACAAGAGAAGAGGGACAAGAGACGAAACTGTAATAAAATGTTTCATCCAGACAGAATCAGCTGATCTGGAATCCTCAGATTCTGTTTAGGAGCAGAGATCATCCTTCTGCGCAAGCGCACACACACACACACACACACACACACACACACACACACACACACACACACACCTTGAACTGCTGGATTCTTCTTTTCTATCCAAAGTGGAACAAATTTGGTTTTTATTAAACTTTTTCAAATGTCACCAAAATCAGAATCCAGGAGTTAGTCGTGTTGGAGCGTCTTCATGTGGATGCAGGCAGACAGAATCGGCTGCAAAAATTCAGCTTCAGCACTCTTGATGATGTCAGATGAACTCGTGATTCCCTCGGAGAGAGTCGGGTGTGAGGAGATGAGTAGTAATGGGCTGGAGGTCCGCGGATCTCCTACTGCTCTCCATGCCCAGGATGAGATACAAATCCGGGGAGGCTGCCCTATGGTCAGACAGGCTCCATCTCTTTCAGATCATGTCTGTGATTATATTGATTTGTTGATCTTATTGTTTATCACCTTTTATTAAATTATGTTAGAAAGTATTTTATGGGAAGCACATTGGTCAGCTCTCATGCTGTGTGCTACACAAATAAACTGGTATGGAGATGAGAGCTCTGAACTGTGGGGGCCAGCTGACGCACAAGCTCCAGGTCAATCCTGCAGGGCCGTATCCAGCACATTCTGGGACAAGGCCCCTGGACCACTCAAGGACACACTGGAGGGGTTAAATTAATGGTTACGTATTGTATAGGAGCAGCCCTGAGCTGCTAGTGGATGATGTCCTCGTTAGCCATCAGTTACTGAAGAGTCTGAATACAAGCCTGCCCTGCTCCAGCATATAAAGTGCGATGAGCACACCATTCATCTCCCAAAGGCTCTTGACCAAACCAGAACCAGTGAGGCCTGCCGCTAAAAGGACTACCCCTATACTCAGAATATGGGGTTACAAAAGGTAACTATCATTCTATTTCGTATAGGAAGACTAAGCCACGCCCATCTACTTCCACCTATAGCTCTTAATGGTGTTGAATGCGAGGCCCCTGTTCATCAGCACCTGTGGAAATAATAAAACGTCAGCCAGAGAACGTGAGAGGGGGTCGCCACCCCACCCCTCGTGCCAGCGCTTAAGGCACAAGCGACACGCGCACTTTGAATTGTCCAAAATACTTCATAAGGGTACCTTGAGGCCTTTAAGTGCGTTCTAAGTTGCTGGCCTATTCCCTGATCCCGCCCCCTGCTTGGAGGAGAGGATCTTCCCTCCATGGAAGCAGCCATGGATTGCTTGTCACAAGCAGCTGCAGATCCGGGCTATTAGGATCATTGGGAGTTGTTCCACACAAACTCAGTCTAGGAGTCTGGGAATCAGTGGGAACTGAGGAAAATCCATGAAGGAGCATCCTGGGCTAAGGCCGGTGTGCAAACCCGTACACTCCCACAGATTGCTGGGGGTGGGATGGGTGGGGGGTGGGGGGTATAAATAAAGGCTGGTCTTACAGGCCAGCTTTACTGCACATACCTAATCGCAGTTTGGACGGCTCACTTTCCCTCCAGATGGATGCGTCACAGCGAGTGGCAGTGACAGATGTTTGTTAGGAAGGTGCTGAAGGAAAAGTGCTGGGAGCCGTCAGAAAAGGAAAACTGATGTGTTGGAGTTTTTATTCCTACTCGCCACCATCCACCTGGATATCACTGCTAGCCGCTGAAGGTAAAGCGACTCTGTTAGCACGGAGGATGAGATTAAACAGTTGCAGGATTTTATTTTTTACTTCTAACCAAACGAGACCCGAACGGGTAAACTTTGGAGCGGTAAGGTTGCCTTTTGTTGTGAATCAATGACCTAATTCTCACCAGGTGTTTGCAAAGCACTACCGGCGTGTTTGCTACGTTTGCTACCATGCTGGGATTTAGCCTGAAACTACGGTGTTCGTTGTAAATGTTCTATACGTACGTACAATGTTAGCTGTACATTTTTAATGAACTAACCTGGTGTTTATAGGTTAAAATAAACACAATCTTCTTTTATTTATTCTACTGGTTGTTTATTTTGCTCAAATTGAAACTGAAGCCTGCCTCTAATTCTGGCCTCCTTCCAATAAAGACCTGAACCAGGATGCACTTGAGTAAATAAAGGCCTGGGCCTGTATTAGAGGATTTACGGTATACACAATTTAAAAACTGAAGCGACTGAATAAGTGAATAAAATGTCAGCAGTATAAAAAAGAATAGTAAAGAAAGTAGAGCGGTTTTTAGTCATGGTGGGAAATAGTTTTACCGGCTGGAGTTAAAAAGCAGAATGGCTTTGGGAACAAAGGTGACGCCGGCCAGAGGTGAGCCACTGAAGCGTGAGGTGAAGACTGTGGGAGGAGTCACTGATGATGTTGGCTGCCTGTCTAATGGCCTGTTGGCTGGAACTCTGTGCAAGACTTCTGACAGGCAAGCCAATAATCCTGGAGCACACGATTGGTGTGCTGCAGTCTGTTCTTGTCCTGTAGGCTGAGGGAGTGGAGCCGGCAGGAAATGGAGAAGGTCATTATGCTTTCCAGGAAGGCATAATCAAAAGTCATCATGATGGGTGTGCTGACTTCAAAGGAGTTGAGTTTCCTGAGGAGGTATAGCCGTTGGTGGCACTTTCTGAGAATTTGTTCTGTGTTTGCAGAGAATTTCAGGAGATTGTCAAAGATGGTTCCCAGATATTTGTACTTCTCCACTACCTCCACTGCCTCACCGTGGATGATGGTAGTGACTGAAGCAACCAGATCCCTCTGCCTACAGGAGAAAGTCACCGCCATCTCTGTGGTTTTACTTGCATTCAGTTCAAGTTAGGAGCTGTCACACCAGTCTACAAACTCCTGAAGAGCAGGCCCGTGGTGTTGTGAAGGGCCTGACAGCAGTGACAGGAGTAGTGTGTCATCAGCGTATTTCGCCAGGTGACAATTGAGCTGTGTGGATCCGCAGTCATCGTTATAGAGGATGAAGAGCAGGGGGGGTGGGCACATAGCCCTGAGGGGAACAGGTGGAGAATGACTGTTGTAAAGCACCTTGGGGGGATCCAGGATTCTAGAAGGTGCTTTTTGTTTGTTAGTGCTTGTGTCATTAAATTTCATAGACATTTGCCCCTCTCTTCCACCCTTGCTGTGCTTTGGCCAATGCGTTGCTAGAGTTAAGGCTGGCTTACATTAGGGCTGGTGCTGTGAGACAAGTGTGCTGGCATTAGGGTGAGACTAACAGCTGGTGGTGTGCAGCATGCAGAAGAAGTGAAGCAGAAGCACAAAGACCACGCCCAGAAGCAGCACCTAAAACTGTACTCAGATTTCAGCCAAAACATCAGATACAGGTAAGTTTTAGAGCAGATGTTTGATGATTTGGATCACTGGTGGAGCTGCAGGATCAACCATAAGGAACTCCTCAGGAATAAAATAAAAAAGCTGTTGCCACAGCGACGGGGTGAAAATGATGAAGGAATGGTTGTGAATAGCCAACCAGCTGCAGTACAGTGGGCAAGTGGGGTGTTTAAATGTCTTACCTTTACCTGAGGAGACTGAAGCTTCTGGTACATCTCTAAGGAGTAGTGGTGGAGCCAGATTTCCACAAACATCTTCATCAATAAAGAACACAATGTAAAGGTTGTCTCATGGATGAACTGTTGTGACGACAATACAAACAATCCACAAATCAGTGTCTCACCTGCAACAGGGTCTCCGACCTCCAGATCTCCTGAGCTGCAGGGTCAGCATTCACCGACGGCTGGTGGAAAATGTGGTGTTTCAGGAGACTGGGACTGTGAACGCCATAACCAGCAAAGGACGTACTGGAAGATCTGCAGAAAGACCAAAACTGGACTTTAAACTTGATGTTAAAATAATGAATAAACAGAAAAGTGTTGTTCTGATCTGGTCCTGGTGAAGAGCGGGAAGGTGACTCATCTCTGTAACCACAACAAAGACTGGTAAAGGTTTAAAAAGTGTGCCGTTGTTGTTTATGGCATTAAATTAGTCTCTGAGAACAAAGTAAGGAACCTTGGTTTTATCTGAACAGGACATGTCATTCAATTCCCACGTTAAACAGGTTTGTAGGATTTTCTTTTTCCACCTTCGGAATATTGCTAAGATTAGAAGCATCCTTTCCAGGAGTGATGCTGAAAAACTAGTTCATGCATTTACTACATCAAGACTGGATTACTGCAATCCATTACTCTCAGGAAGTCCACAGAATGTAGGTAAAAGTCTTCAGCAATTAAAAAAGAGGGACCATCTAAACACATTTGGTGCAATTATGTGCTTCCCTCATTTAATAGAAACATTTGCAGTGGTCTCCAGTAGAAATAAATGCCTTGTAAGTCCTTTTCTTTGGGGGGGGGGGGGGGGGGGGGGGAGCTCAGATGCGTCTGTTTCAGGACTAGCAGAATGCCACAACAGAGAAGAGCTGAACTCAACAGGATCTGGACTCTTACTTCCTTATATCCAGCATCTCTCCTCTGATTGGCTAACAGCAACACTACTCTACCACAGACCGTTTGCTCTGCAACGCTGATGTTTTATCTCCATAAATAACACAAGCCTAGAGGAGTTCTGCTGTGTGGTGGAGATGTTAATGCTAACGGTTAGCTTCTACTAACTGAGACATTCTCTGCTGTTTCTTGGACGCTAATCACACAACAGCTTCCCTGTCGAGAGTCCAGATGAGCGAGTCCATGAATGTTGGTGACAGTATGACGTAGATCTGTCAGGATTTTCTAAAGCTAGAGTTTCACCATCTGTTTTATATCAGAAGCTAATGCTGGAGATGGGTGTCGGAGACAATTTCACGTTCAGCCTGCATGAGACACTCACCCCGGTTTCACACCGCAAGCATCAGCGGAACGGAACGGCAGTGAAGCGGCACCGCTTCAAATGGAATCCAAATATAGTCTATGGAGTGTTTCAAACCAGCCGCGACGCGGCAATTTTCAGGCGTGTCCCAGAAGCGGCATGCCGCGCCGCACCACTAAAGATAGGATCGAGTTCTATTTTTTCCACGAGCCGCTCCTGGGACACGTCAATTTCCGCAGTTCACATAGTGCGACACAGGAAACCACACACGGTTTCAGTGTAAAATCCCTGATTATTTTCAAAATAAAATGCAACGTTGCGATGTTATATATAACTTACATCAAGCACGTTTGAGTGAACGGCTTTGTTTACCACCAGTTTCTTTCAAGAAGTGCAACGGTGCAATTCCTCGCGGGGGTTGTGATCTCTTCATGAGGAAGGATGGCGGAAATCTCAAGGGATTGTAGAATCTCATGAGTACAGCGAGGCGCAGCGAGGAAGCCGTGCAGTGGCCAATACTCTCCCGGTGTGAAAAGGACCGCTTTGAAGTTCACGAGTGAGCCGCTCCGCTGCTGTTCCATTCCGCTGGTGCTTGCAGTGTGAAACCGGGGTCAGTGACCCGTTAAGAGCCAGAAATAGTCATTAAAACTGGGTTTTTAGTGTTCCACACCTTTAAGAAAAAAAACGATATGGCGTCTAGGGCCCGACCGATATATCGGCCGATATTGGGGTCATTAACACTATTGGCCATCGGCCAAAAAGATGGCCGATACTGCGCTACCTATCCAGCAGATGGTGCCAGCTTTATGAACTCATGTTGTGTGGCTCCTCCTCGGGGGGTGGAGCCACCGACACAGCACACATGCAGCAGAGCAGCAGGAGCAATTCAGTCAAGCAGAGACGACGGTGATGAGGAAGTAGGAGGAAGGTCTTCATTTTTAAGCATATTTGGTGTGTCAGTGGTAAGTTGAACGGTAAAAGCAATAACAAAAGTATGTTTCCCCTCAACATGCTTCCTAAGTTTATTGTGTGCCTCGTGGCCTTGTACTGAAACGTTAACCTGATAAAAAAAACTGCTGCAGCATTACGCTCTATGCAGAGCTCATGCTGCTTCCCTTTTAGTCATGCAGGGCAGTAAGTAAGTAATGATGGCCTTTTTCTGGTAGACATTCTGGAATATTCTCAGACAATTTCATCCGCTCTTCTTCAGCAGTCTTTTCAAACTCACATGACCGCTGTCGCTGCTGAGGACAGGGGAGGGGGGATTGACAACAAGGCAATGAAGCTCTGTGATAGCAGGGAGTCCAGAGGAGGAGGGGCGGTAATACGAGGAGAAAATAAACATTCTACAATAGAATAAATCTATTGTATTTTTTCAGCCTTATATTTTATTTAAGGTTTATACAAGTTGTCGTCGTTGTCTTCCTCCTCTTATCCGGGTCCAGGTCGCAGGGGCAGCATGCCAACTAAGGAGCTCCAGACCGTCCTCTCCCTGGCCTCCTCCACCAGCTCCTCTGGCAGGACCCCAAGGCGTTCCCGGACCAGATTGGAGATGTAACCTCTCCAACATGTCCTGGGTCGACCAGGGGGCCTCCTGCCAGCAGGACATGCCCGAAACACCTCCCAAGGGAGGCGTCCAGGAGGCATCCTGACCAGATGCCCAAACCACCTCAACTGACTCCTTTCGATCCGGAGGAGCAGCGGTTCTACTCCAAGTCCCTCCCGAATGTCCGAGCTCCTCGCCCTATCTCTAAGGCTGAGCCCGGCCACCCTACGGAGGAAACTCATTTCGGCCGCTTGTATCCACGATCTTGTTCTTTCAGTCATTACCCAAAGCTCATGACCATAGGTGAGGATTGGGACGTTGATCGACCGGTAAATCGAGAGCCTGGCTTTCTGGCTCAGCTCCCTCTTCACCACGACAGATCGGCTCAGCGTCCGCATCACTGCAGACGCCGAACCAATCCGCCTGTCGATCTCCTGATCTCTCCAACCCTCACTCGTGAACAAGACCCCAAAAAACTTCTAACTCCTCCACTTGCGGTAGGACCTCTCTCCGGTTAGGGTTAGGTCGAGAACCATGGTCTCAGATTTCGAGGTGCTGATCCTCATCCCAGCCGCTTCACACTCAGCCACGAACCTACCCAGCAAGAACTGAAGGTCAGAGCTGGATGAAGCTAAGAGGACCACATCATCCGCGAAAAGCAGACGAGATTCTCCTGCCACCAAACTCGACACACTCCATACCACAGCTGCGCCTAGAAATTCTGTCCATATAGGTTATGAACACAACCGGTGACAAAGGGCAGCCCTGGCGGAGTCCAACCCTCACCGGGAACAGGTCCGACTTACTACTGGCTATGCGGACCAAAGTCACGCTCCTCTGGTAAAGGGACTGAATGGCCCTTAACAGAAAGCCACCCACCCCATACTCCTGGAGCGTCCCCCACAGGGTGCCCCTGGGGACACGGTCATAAACCTTCTCCAAATCCACAAAACCCATGTGGATTGGTTGGGCAAACTCCCATGCCCCCTCCATCACCTTCGCAAGAGCTGGTCCAGAGTTCCTCGGCCAGGACGAACACCACATTGCTCCTCCTCAATCTGAGAATCAACTATCGATCGGGACCCTTCTCTCCAGTACCATGGAGTAGACCTTTCCAGGGAGGCGGAGGAGTGTGATCCCCCTATAGTTGGAACACACCCTCAGGTCACCCTTCTTAAAGATGGGGACCACCACCCCGGTCTGCCACTCCACAGGAACTGCCCCCGATGACCACGCAATGTTGCAGAGATGTGTCAACCACGACAGCCCTACCATATTCATAGCCTTGAGATACCCAGGACGAATCTCATCCATCCCCGGTGCCCCGCCGCTGTGTAGTTGTTTGACTACCTCAGCAACTTCTGCCCCCAAGATTGGACAGTCCATCCCCAGGTCTCCCGGCTCTGGTTCCTCCTCGGAATGCGCGTAGGTGGGATTGAGGAGCTCCTCAAATTATTCCTTCCACCATCCGACTATAGCCCCAGCTGACATCAGCAGCTCCCCATTCCCACTGTAAACAGTGTGAGCGAGTTGCTGCCTCCCTCTCCTGAGGCGCCGAACAGTTTGCCAGAATCTCTTTGGAGCCGATCGATAGTCTTTATCCATGGCCTCAGCAAACTTCTCCCACGCCCGAGATTTTGCCTCGGCAACTGCCACTGCTGTACCCCGCTTGGCTATCCGGTACCTGTCTGCTGCCTCCGGAGACCCACAGACCAGCCACGTCCTGTAGGCCTCCTTCTTCAGCCTGACGGCTCCCCAAACCTCTGGTGTCCACCAGCGGGTACGGGGGTTGCCACCACGACTGGCACCGGCCACCTTGCGACCACAGCTAGCAACAGCCACCTCAACAATCGCAGAGTGGAACAAGGCCCACTCGGAGTCAATGTCCCCCACTGCTCTCGCAAATGAAGCGCTCCTCCCACAGTGTTGCCAACTTAGCGACTTTGACGCTATTTCTAACAGCTTTTCAGCCCCCTTCTTAACTTTTTAAATCTTAAAAGTACCTAGCTAACACCTCAGAAACATCTCTGATAACCCTGAGCTACTTTCTGGATAACTGTCGTTGACATTTCCTGCAGGTTAGCTAAACACTCCGCCTGCACTCTGGACCATTCTTCAGGACATTAGGAAAGGGAATGATGTAGTGATGTGTCGGTTGCTACAGAAACGGCTCTCAGAGCTGGCTTCCTGTTGGATTAACCAGAGTGAGTGACACACACACCGCACCAGAGGACTCTTGAGCCACTAAAAACGGCGTAATGTGCGTGTGCGGCGCTTCACCGTGCAGCTTGCCCCTGATTGCTGAGAGACCAGGTTGAGGGGTGCAGCTGTGGTTGGGACAATTATTACATTAACTGATGGACTTGTAAATAAATAGTTTATAAATAAGGTAGAAATAAGTTCCTCACGCTGATAACTAATAACTAATCTCTCTGAGGACACGGTGCTAGTGCACTCTCCTACAGCACATTGACACGACTCAATAAATGTTATGCAACATTTTGTGAACATCAATTTATTTGGATTTATTTGTTATAAATGCCACTGTATAATTCTTGCTGTCAGTATTTGCAAGATATTGGTATTTGGGTCTGTACTGGTTAGACTTAAATGAGTTAAACCAAGGTCTATAGCCCTTGGGTCATAAACTAGGAGCTATAAGTATATTGGTCTTTTTATACTGGGAATCAGGAGTTATTTTAGTGATCATCTTGCTTCTTATTTATTTTTGTCCTGATTGTGCTCTGAGCAGTTTTATGACTGAATAAAAACAAATAAAATCAACATAAATTGAAAAATCGTCCTAAATAACTGAGATCTCAATTTCAGTCACAATAATCGTGATTATCGTTTTTGCCAGAATCGAGCAGCCCTAGTCCAAAGCCCTCGGGACTAGAGCTCCCATTATACCAACATGTCTGCTGTATTTGGGCAGTGCCATGCTGATTAGATGAGGGGTCAAAGTTTGACCTCTAAAAAAAACAACAGATGTTGTGAATTAATAACCAACAGTAAGGGTTGAAGTATGTCTTCAAGTGAAAACATTACCAACATTAATAAGTACTGTTAATAAAAGGCTCATAACACCATATACTAGTCATTTACAAAAACACAGTGGTGTTCTCTACCACTGGGCTTTGTGGGGAAATCCTGAAACATCTCATGTTTCTGTGTTTAGCAGACACTTTAGTCCAGAGCGACTTACAGGTGATGAAGCACCAGGTTGCCCTGGAGGCTAACAATCACTAATCAGTCCATCCTAGGTGGCAGTGTAATTTTTCCTCATCTCTTCACTCTGGAGGCGGCTGTAAGAAGGTCTCATGTTTCCTGATATGAAGAATTTAGATGTTCCTCGTGGAGCTTTCTGTGTCTCCACCTGCTCAAGCACACTCGTCCAAGACCAACAAGGTTGTGACTTACAGGAGGAAGCCCAGAATGTTTACAAATTATTGGGAAACTCCTTCAGTTCAACGCCAGCAGTGGCTGGCAGTGGAGTTTTATGTCTGGTCCATGTTTTAAGTGGCGTGTTGTGGCAGGTGGTGTTCTGATGAACAGTACCGTGGTGAAGAGGCAGCAACAGAACCTCTGGAATCGGAGAACGGAGATGATGGCACACTTCCTTCGATGGGGAGGAAATATTTCAGATACGTGTCCACCAGTAGAAAGTAGGCGCTGTCTGTCATGGTGCTATGCTGGCCCTGAGGAGCATTCTGTAATCAGAGTTACCCAAGCATGATCATCAGTTCAAAGCTTTCAGAGTTGTGACACGACATCATCAACTCTCCGGATAAGCACCTGGGGCAGAGATGGTATGTTTTCATTTGGGAGATAGACACAGAGAGGCTAATGGTAGCTGTGTCTGAAGCTAGCGCTAGTAGAGTGTGAGGCTAATGCATAAATATGTGTGCAGGTTCTCACACTATGTCAGACAAATACTAACAAAGCCTCTTCAGATTTCTGATGTCAATCAGAACGCTGTGATTGGCCAGACCTACTGAGGTCACATTGGAACATGGCTGGACTGACCTGTAGAGCCACGTATTTTATTGTGTTTGGTCTAGACTTCTTGGCTACGCTCGGCCTGCGTGCTGTTGTGTTGTGGCCACGAATGACTAGTGACACTACAACAGTCTAAGAGCAGCAGTAGCTCAGGGGGTTTAGAGGATTGTGCAGTAATCAGAAGGTTGCAGATTCGGTCCTGGCTCTGTGATTTCTGCTGTTGTGTCTTTGCCTGCTGGTGGTGGTCGGAGGGACCGATGGTGCCCGTGCTCGGCAGCCTCACCTCTCCCAGTGAGCCCCAGGGCAGCTGTGTGTGTACAATGTAGCTCATCGCCACCAGTGTGTGAATGGATGAATGATGCGCTGCAGTGTTAAGTGCTTTTGAGTTAGGATGGCCCATGAGATGCTGAGATGTTACTCACCTTTGGAACAATGAGACAGTATGCTAAATGAAACGTGAAGAATTCAAAGGGATCTGCAAAATGTTAAGGAACAAATTCATCACAGGACAAATCTACCCCCCCAGCAAATCCCAACTAACCATGTTATTTATTTTGTGTTGCTATGTTTAATTCTGTTCATGCATTTTCCCTCATCTTATCAAGCTTGTTCCACTTAGCTGTAATAACGTGCGAGTCATCTTCAAAAATCCACATGGAAAATCATTTTCAGAATATCATCTTTGTTTTAACAGATTAAAGGTGAAACAGCAGATGTAAAAATCCAATTATAAATCTTTTGGATTGTTTGTGAAGGATACTGAGAGCCACGTTTAAGGTCTGGACGCCCAACAGGGGAAACTGCAGCTTGTTGTGGAACAGGGGGCAGTCAGGTAGGACCCCATCCTGGATGCAAGCCTTCACAGGACCCTACAAAGACAACTCATCAGGCTACAAGTAGAACCCCACTTGGATCCATTTCACATTCATTTACAGAAAGAAGAGTTTATTTACAAAGCACCCGGTCAAGAGGAAAATCACAAGGAGGTCCACAAACACAATAAAAGGTTCAAATGAAAAAATAAGAACAAACAAACATGAAGCCTAAATCTTACGTCTCCATCAGCTCTACGAGGGAGAGACGAGCACTAGCAGAGACGTTTTGCTCTCCGTCTCCCCGCCAGGACAACAGAGGGCGTCGCGCTGTTCTGAGGTATCCTGCCTCCATTAAAGTCACGTTTCCTGTCCATGATAGTGTATCTACTACTGTGTTTACATGGCTTTAATGTATTTCAGAGACTTAACAGGGACACATTTGTCCCCCGTTCACCTCATCATACGATCGGCACCTCTAAACCCACGTTTCTCGTCTTTATCGAAACAAAACGCTTGCTGCATATCTCCTTCAGTCACGGGTAAATAAATGTTTGTATTTTCAGACTTTTTCTGCGGTTCTTCAATCTGTTTCACGTCTGCTGCTAAATATTTTTTTACTTTACGAAGGGGAAAAGGTGGTGCTGTTGACGATCTACAATCCGTCACCCTCTGAGAACCTGTCGGAGAGCTCTTGCGCCAATGCATAACGGCGTTGCGTGTCTCCGTCCCAACGCAGACGGAAGTATAAATTAGGCTTGAGACCATAAATTACAGACATGATAGAAACAAGCAGGAAGAAGCCAATTAGTAGGGTCAAAACGGACACACACACACACACACACACACACACACACACACTTTACCGGCAGATAGTTGACGGGTACTTCGTATTTGTATTCTTCAGCTTGGAGTTTGTACACCAACTTCATCATGGGACCACTAGAGAACAGAGAGACGTGTTTGACTGGATTAAATGGAAATGTGATGTGTGTTCAGACGAGCTGCGACTACCCTGGGTTTAGAAACTCCAAAACAACATTGAACTCATGGTTTCGCTGATTGAGGAGACGCAGGTTCCAGCCTGAGATGGTGCCGTCCAGACTCCCAAACACATTCTCCACCAACCAGGGGAAAATCAGGTGCAGCTCCTACAGAAACAAACAGACTTCAGGAACTCTAGAATACAAGTCAGGTCCTCATCACCTCCTACGGTTGTCACGGTAACCGGTGTAATAATTACCGTCTTGTTTTTTTTAAAAACGATATCTCGGTGGATTACCGTGGCTGCGGTGTAGGCACGGTGACCCTCACCAGCCTCCGTATCATCTGCTGAAGTTGCCGGCGGCACATGTGCACTTTGTTTACAACCAAAACTTTCTTGAAGCTAAAGCTGAAATAATGGTCAAAGGAGGAGACGGCAGCGCTCAGGAGGACATATTTTGTCCCTCAAAGAAGACAAAGTGGGAAGTACGGGCATTTTTTGGATATTTGAAGAATGCCGAGGGACAGCTGATAGAAGACGGCTATCCTGTTTGCAGCAAGTGCAGGAAAAGTGTCTGTGAAAGGCAGCAACACTTCAAATCTCATGACACATCTGCGTGACCATCACCCACAACTCTACAGTCAACGCAAGGCAAGCTAACGTTAGCATTTTAGCTAAAATGCGTGATCCGAGGATTTGGGTTGAGGGAGAATGCAACGAGTCGCTATATAAAGCAGCCGCAGCGCCGCTACCTGCATACAAACCGTGTCGCGGACACCCCCATGTTGAAATGACGCTATGCATTACAGGGCTCCCAGGGGCAGATAAGAGTTGGTCTCTCTCCGAGAATAATTATGAATTTATGACATTTTCCTAAATCTGCAAAGCTCACTGGAAGGACACAAACCGAGGACAATATTTTCCTGATATAGGGTTTATTACTCAAGTAAGGGTAAAAAAGTATCTGATTAGAAGGCTACTTGAGTACTGAGTATCATCTGATCTAATATTTTTAAATGATGACATCAAACAGACATAAAATAAGAAGTTATGGGCAAATATTGGTATTTTAAAGACAAAAGGGAAAACATGTAAACAAATAAACAACATAATTACAAAATAACACATTTTAGGCAAAATTTAGACACAAACTGAGGACAATATTTCCTGACATACAGGGTTTATTTAATTTTGTGAAAATGTAACACGTTTAAAAAAAATACCGCGACAATACCGAAAACTGTGGTAATTTTGGTCACAATAACCGTGAGGTTAAATTTTCACACCGTGACAACCCTAACCCTCAAGGGCTGGTTAACAGCATGTTTTAGCGGTTTCCCTAATTTAACAGACCTGATTTTAATTAGGAGGTGAACACGGCTGAAATCCCACCGCCACGTGTACAAGATCCCAAGTTTTTTTTGTTTTTGCGCCGTTTCCCGAAGAAGCAGCGGGAACTACTATGTTGTCGCTTGTGATCACAGCCGGCGGGCAGAAAGGAGGAGCAGGCAGGGCGAGGTGAAGTAACAGCATAAGTTACTGAGTTTAAAATTAGAAAGGTAGCAGTGGATACAATGCTTTTTGGTTTACATGTTTCAATAGCATTAAGATAAACGAGTGCTGACGATCTTGACAGGTTTTCCTCCCCCAACCAGGCTAAGCATCACTTATTCATGTAAAATTTATTTATGTTTTCATGTCTGACTTTAACCGCATCTAATACTGTATTACGGCGTGAGCGCAACAGCGACAACTTAAGATCGATGTGTGAGCAGCCTGAGAGGTCGGGTGTTTTCATCTGAACCCTTAAAACCTCCAGCAGGCTACGTTGCATTATTGACACGTTAGCGCGTGGCGCTAACAACTTAGCGATGTGACATGTCTCGGAGAAAGCGTAAAAACACGTTGGACGCTTCTTCTGAAGCGGGAAAATAACACCTCTTCTTAAGCAGAGCACGACGTCGCCTCGGCTCGTTCACCCTCTGCCGAGCCGGACTGGGCTCGATAACATTGACCCAGCACAGCCACTGGGTCGTTGGAGCTGCCCCTTGACTGCCTGATGGAAAACCAGCGGGTTTCATATTACGTGAACGGACCCATCTGATTGGCCGCATATCAGAAGGACTACATTTGATTGGTCAAATACTTCCGCGTAAAAAACAGAGCTGGTTTACAAAAAGCTGATGTATGACATGGATGGAAATGTTGAACCAAACATTTATCGCCGTGTTTGACGTGCTTTGCGATGGGCCTATCGCATGTCCTGTTATCCCGATGACGATAATTTTTCGATATATTGTGCAGCCCTACATATAAATAATAGTCACTTCCCACTACCTGTTCTCAAGTCCTGCGTGACGTTTTTAAAGTGATTTTTATTTTTTTAATCAAACTATATTCCAAGGTATGACAGTGGGATTATACCGGGTGATTTTAATACTCACATCTGTTGCCCGGAGAAAACCTGGTCAAATATTTTTTGGATATCTTGGACATGGGCTTCAAAAATCAGTTAATCCAACTCATGAGCGCTCTCACGTCTCAGACCTGGTGCTATCTTTTGGTGTGACGACATCGGATCTGATTATTGACTCTGTGTGCATCTGACCATTTTCCAGTCATTTTTAGTTTTTCTGCTGTAGTCCCTGCTCCTAACCCCGGCTTTCCACGGGAGCCGTCAGCAGCACGTTACTGCAGCAGCACGTCTTGCTCGCGTAAGCTGCTGCTTGGCCCTTCCCACGAGACGCGAAGCAGCAGGGGAGCAGCTGTCACCAACCGACAGTAAACAACAACAAGCAGGAGAAAACTACAACATGGTTCCAAAAGGTTTGTGTTTCATGTTCTGTCCGTTTTATAATCGCCAATACGGACCTGAAAAACAAAGGAGACCGCTAGCTAGGTGATAACTTCTCACGAGGCCGCACAGTTAGTAACTGTTTTTAAAAGTAAAGCAACCGTAAGGCAGTACGATTTTTTATTCTGAAAATCTCGGGAGCTTTGCTCCATTTCCGCGTCCGATTTCCTGTCTTTCCTTCCCCAAAAATGTTGAACTTGACCCGTTTCAGAGGCGTCGCGTAGAAAATAGAACCGGCGCGTAAGGGCCGCGGCATGCTGCTCCTGAGACGCGACCGACTCGCGCTGCCGACGGCTCCAGTGGAAAAGGTTCTGTTGACCACAGCGGTTCCCATCAGCAGCTATGACGTGCTGCTGCAGTAACGTGCTGCTGACGGCTCCGGTGGAAAGCAGGGGTAAGAGACAGCATCCTGGCCGGGCCTCTTGTTTGATTTCTCCTTCCACTAGTGCTAAATTCTCATCTCACCTAGCAGATATACCATCCCTCCCCTGCCAGGTTGCTAGACAATGTGATAAACTCCTTCCTGACAGCGTGTTCTGCATCATTAAAATCGTTGGCCCCTCTGAAATTCCGACAGAAGAAGATGGCCTCTGACCCTTGGTTAAATATGGATACTAGTCCTCTCAGGCAGGATTACAGAAAAAAATAAAGAAAATAGAGAAAAGGCAAACGTCTCATTTCCAAATTAATGCTGGCAGATGTGTATTCACACATACTGGTTCAAGAAAATGATTTAAAAATGTGTAAAAGTGACTTAGTTTTTCTTTAAATACTTCACCGGTTAGTGAATAACTTAAAGGGGCATTATGGAAGTTTGACAGCCAGAACATGTATAGAAATAATAAATTTCTTCTTCACACATTCTCCTGCAATGCCCTGGTCCTGTAGAATGAGCCCTGGCATTTTTACTGTGATTGCCTGTTTTTCTGTAAAATCACAGAAAAAGAGAGATGCTCGGGTCGAGCAGGCTGCTTCATGCACGTTCGCGCTCAGTCATAGCCCGTAGCATTTGCTATCCGTAGCTTTAGCAGCAGAGAGAGAGGCAGTGCCACTTTGTCGCTGTTCCTAATGCCTAGTGACAAAGCTAGCTACATTTCTGAGGACCCTTAGCTACTTTCTTCTAAATATTTCCTGCAAATTAGCAACAAAATAGCCATTTTCGCTCCGAACCGTTCTTTGAACGTTGTTTCAGCTGTCATCAAGGATATAAACGTTACAGATACAAAAGACGTATGTGATTTAGCTCACCTAGTAAAGCGTCGGACTCTCGTACAGAAGACCCGGGTTCGATTCTGGATGTGAATATAGTTTATTTAGAGTTTATTTTTTACATTAATGGTATATTTTTTACAGTAAGATGCCCAAATTTGTATTTGAGACTCACTGAACGGCATTGAATTCACAGATAAAAAAAAAAAAAGATGTGGATTCAACTTTCATTTTGGAACAATTTTTCAAGCAAGGGAAGGGAATGATCTGAGCATGCAGGAGGACTGACCCATCTTAAACCTTTGTCGGCTGTGCTGAAGAGAAAGGTACAGAACCAAATTATTTAATTAATTAGCTGCGCGTTCTCCTGTCCTCCGGGCCACACACACACACACACACACGGGACTGTCTCAGCTGTTATTTTCGTTAAGGAGTGTGCACGTACAGCATGCGCGCCTCATGCACGAGCCTACTATTGAAGCTGCCATTACGCTTTTGGCCTGAGGGGGCAATCGCGAGCATAAAAATTCAAAACTCCGTAAAGTCCCTTTAAGGTACCTTTGCAGGATAGTCATCAATGATCCTCACCAGGTCCTGGCATCGCTGCAGCAGTGGTTTGGTGGTTGCATCGGCTTTCAGGTTGGCCTGGATCAGGATTAGATTAATAACAGACTTCATAAACACAGATAAATTCATCAGACCAGGAGGCTGTGCTAAAAAGCGAGCTAACTCCAAAAACCAGGCTCTGTTTTCAAAATCCCTGTTTAACTGCCCCAAAATCGGTTTTGCTAATGTGGTAAGCCTGAAGCCCCTCCCATTCACCATGGTAACACATGCTGGAGATCAAACCTGCTCGTGTGTTAACTTTAGGGTCATGTGACCGCCACGTACGTATTAAACTAAAACACACAGCTACTCAGCAAATACAAAGTCCTCCAGTTTCTAAACATCCAGACTCTGGAACAGAACATGAAAACACCACAAATGTTGAAAACTTTAAAAAAAATATGTAGAGAAACTGAGCTGAAGTGAACTTCCAGCATTGCCATGGAAACATGTAAAGGATGAGTATTCTAGCTCAAGACTTACCTATTACAGCACGTATTGGATATGTACAACTATCTTTCATTTATTTTATCTGTGTTTTATTACTTAGTCTTTTGACATCTATTTTCTTAATGAGCACATCAAATCAACTTTTTTGTCGATAAACTATATAAATGAGTGTCTAATCATGCTGTAGACACATGCAGTCAATAATTTGGTACTTTAGTGCATCTTAGTTAAAATTTAAATTTTCTGCCTATAACTGTCAGTGTCACGCCCTCTTCAGGTAAAAACTCTGCACGGCATTAGAATAATTTGATTTTGTGTCAACACAGTTTACAGTGTAGGAGCTATTGAAATTAGAAAACTAAAAAATTCACGAAAGATCTGATTAGTATTTTTTCATAGAAGTAAAGTTTGTAGTATATAGAGCAGCTATGTATTGACCTGCATGCATTATTTTGTGTCAACAGAGTTTACAGTATAGGAGTTATTTATTTGTTTTAAAATATCACTAAAGTCAAAGGGGAAAAAAATAAAGAAAAGTGTAGTATTTTCTCTAAAAACAAAATGTGTAGTAAGATCAGCATCAAAGTTGTGATTTTCTGTGTGAATTTGGTGTCACTATAGTTTCAAATGGAGGAGCTTTTGCAATTTATATTAATAAAAGCTTCACGCTAAAATCAAAACCGTATACCTGGATTAAACTAAATAGTGTACGGTGATCAGCGTGTGTGCAGTGTTGTATTTTGTGAATTTGGTCACAGTGCAGTGTGTAATTGTGGACTTTTTCAGATAGTTTTTCCATCAAACGTTTCTGGTGTGATTATTTGTTGACGGTCCCTGAGCGCTCGTTTTGCTCCGTCGGCCGATAAGAGATCAATGTAACGCGTCGGGAGCATGTACAGTCTATGGTCGGGAGCAGAGCACGACAGAGAACGGTGTTTTTTTTTTTAAAGAAACGAGGTTGTAGCTTGTTCACTACTTTGCCACGATACCAAAGAGGTATGTTGTGTTTCTAAATACCCCTGTGTTCAGAAGGCATTGAGCAGCAAATGTCGAGTCTGTGAATATCTTGCTAACTTTCCTGAAGTTCAATCATCTCCGTTTTGACTCACCAGCAGGAAGCTGGGCTGGTGCAGCGTTGGGGCGCTCATCTTTCCTCCGAGTTGCTGTAGTCTGTAGTTCAGTCTGAAGTCTACATGGACTGGAGAGAATTCATCCTTTAGATGGTGGCACAAACTAGACTGTCGTGTTCAGTAAAGGTCTAACAGAGCTAACGATGCTAACGATGAAAGCAGCACCGCTATAGAGCTGCTACAATGGAAACTTCTCAGGAAACTAAACCACAACATTCAAACGTTTTAGAGGAAGCCGTATTTACTTTGTGAGCGGGACACAGCCACCGTGTCCTCATAAACCGCGTTTCCACCGGAGTTCAGTCGGAGTTTAAACAGGGACGCGAGGAGCAGCGGTGGATTCTTCTACTGTGGCGGACTTACGGCACAAAGCTGCCCGCTCCTCCCAACTACCGCCCCCTGCTGGAGACATCGGTTATTACAACAGACTAAAATTATTGGGGGGCAGTGATGTGTGTCTATAATTTATTTTTGGGTGGCACGGTCAGTGTTGGCAAAGTTCATTTAAAAAACGAACTACTTCAAACTTCAATTCATACATTTTAACTAGTTCATTTTTTTGGTTCATCATTGAAAAATTAAGTTAACTGTTCCAAAAACGAACTAGTTCATATATATATACATATATATATATATATATATATATATATATATATATATATATATATATATATATATATATATATATATATATATATATATATATATATATGAACTATATACATATATATATTCTCAATGAGGAAAAGCTGTTTGAATGGTTTTCATGAAGATTATTAGACAGAGGAAAGAGCCAGGCTGAGATAGGAAACAAGGGTGTGCCTCAAATTGCAATATTCAGAGTGCAAAACATTTAATTATTTTTAAATTAAGGAATTTCTCCTGTTCAGTGAATTTTCTAACTTGTTTGCCCAAAGAAAAATATAAAAATATTTAGCTTGGGTCATAAACAGCAACAATCAGCCCCAAATGATTTCGTAATTAACAAAGCAAATAAATAAACTAGTAGTTCGATATTACTTTTCTAGGTGACTTTGTCAAGCTCCTTTCTATTATCACAATGGACTATGCACACCTTATCATTAGCAGTGAGTTTAATATTTATGTTGACAATGCTACCAACAGATCTTCAGTACAATTGCTTGATTTGCTTGAGTTATTTGACCTTAAACAAAATGTCCATGCTCAAACACACGAGCAGGGCCACACCCTTGACCTAATCTTAACTAGAGATGTTATCATAGATGTGGGGCTATCTGATAATTTCTGTGTTTTCTCTAAGATGTAAGTCTCACCTGCTACTCTTAAATGTAGTTGTTCACAAAAAAAGGTATATAGGTGATCAGATAGCTGAGCTCTGGTTTTTGGCTAAAAACACAGCGGTTTTAAGAGCCAAAAGTTTTACCCAAAGGGGTTTTAATGGAGCGCGTTAAGCCCCGGATCTTCTTCAGTCCTAAATCCACCCGTTCCTGATCTAACGGGAACTTCCACAAGGGTATGTAGGCCGACGAAATGGCGTTGAATGTGTTTATGAATCTCCTAACCAAAGCTTAGCGCGAAGACATCACCTTCATTTCCCATCAGAACTAATCGCTTCTTTGGATTTGCTGGTTCTGAGCAACATTCCACACTACACCATTCTCCGTCTCATTCACCTTAGTTACACCATACATTTAGTGTTAAAGTTTGTCTAGTTTAATTTGTTTAGTAATAAATCTTTAAACCTTTAAACTCGACTCTCACTCTTCTGTTGTCTCTGAATTAATACGAAGCTGTTATCTAATCTCTGCAATAAAAAGTTCCAATCTTCTGGTTAAAATAACCCAACAGATCCATAAGGTTGATTTCATATTTCCTATGGAATCCTACGCCTTATGGCTTAATAAATAACATGTAATTTAGATCATTACATTGACAAAATAAGGACTTTCTTTTCATTTTGTGTGTAAACTGTTATATTTTGTACATCTTGTGGCGTTATGAACATGCTGTTTGTGTTAGCTTAATGTTAGTCATGTGACTAGCCAGTTTGCTATGCTAGTTAGCTGATTTCTAATCTGTATTCTTTCAGTTTTGCAAAGAGAAGGCAATGGTCAGAGGCCATTCTTCAATAAATCTGCACAACAAATCAATTCAAGTCTGTTTATTGGAGCATCGTTATCTCGCTGTCTAGCTGGTGAAAACTAGGAAACTAGGAGTGAGGACAGCACAATAGATAAAAGCGACCGAAATGAGTTTTCTCCGCAAGGTGAAGTCTGGAGAAGGACACAAAGGTTTAGAAAAAAGGGAGAGGCTAGTTCAGAGGTCCTGGACTGGAAACCTGGTTTCTCTCGTTCGGCTCAGAATAAAAAACAAAATGCTGTTGGTTGTTTATAAATCACAACAATTTAATATGTAGAAAAACAACCTGACATAAGAGCAGAAAGTGGGTTCTCTACAGAGACAGCTGAGGAGGTTCTGGTGCTGGTCCTGTCTGTCTGGAGTGGGGGACAGCCTGTGGACTGGACCAAATAAAACCTGAACATAACATGACACGTGTGTCTGTAAAAACTATTTACACAAATTTACACATCGCCATGGTCAGTCCATCCCTCCGATGTCATGCTGTTTGTACGACTGTGAGATCAGAACTCCTGCAGGCAGAAACACATCACATGGAGAAGGTTCAGTTAGAAAACCCAGTTCTCAAGTTTCACCTGGTCAAAGCAGCTAACACACACACGCACGCGCACGCACGCGCGCACGCACGCACGCACGCAGCAAGGCAGCAGAGGGAGGAGGCAGAAGCACACAGAGAAGCTGCAGAGGGCACATGGGGACAGCTTCAGCCTGGTGGAGGTCACATGATCAGGTCAAAGGTCAGAGAGGCAAAAATGTCCTGCTCTGCTTGTGTGTGTGTGTGGTGTTGTTCAGCCTTTTCTGGGAACGGTTGGTGATATTAACATTCTGTTTGTGGCACATTGGTATATGTGAGGGAGCAAACTTTTCAAGATGGTGGTGACCATGGTGGCCATTTTGAAGTCAACCATCTTAGATCCAACTTTTGTCTTTTTAGCAGGAAGAGGGTCATGTGACGCATCAAACTTATTGGGAATTTCACAAGAAAAACAGTGGTGTGCTTGGTTTCAACGTAACTTCGAACATCGAATCAACACGACGACTCTCTCTCAATAAAGGCCAACGACTCATCAGGGGATGGAGAGACGGGGTACCCAGAGTAGTTTCTGCTCGTTTAATTACAACAGACAGCTACAGCTTCTAAGCTTGACTCTCCCATATTCTAGTTAGAATTGACAAAGCTCCTAGGATGAGAAGCGAAACGTCTTCAAGAAACCAAAGAAATCTAGTTGCCTTGATCTGAACCCTTTTGGATTAGGGGCATGGATGTAATTTTCACTTTAGAAGTGGGGGGACACGGGGGTGTGGGGTGTGTGTGTGTGTGTGTGTGTGTGTGTGTGGGGGGGGGGGGGGGTTCTTTACAGTATACTCTAATGGGAAACAGGCTTTTCCGCTTGGCCATAGAGCTCAACCAGTGTCAATTTAATATAGCGTAATATTGTTTTTGGATGGTTAAAAAGTGCAGGGGTCAAAACTTGACTTTGGAAAAAGTGGGGGGACATGTCCCCCCTGCCCCCCCAAAAAAATTACGTCCATGATTAGGGGCTAGAAAAATACCTGGAAAAAGGCGTCGCCTGGAAGACTGAGAGCGGCACTGAGGCAATGACTGGCAGCTGGAGCTACAGGTGTTATGCAGAGAAAAGTTACCCTGCCTGCCAAAGGCTCCTCCTGCCTGCTCTGTCACGCAAACACGCATTGCTCAGCTAGAAAAGGTGAAATCTGCTTCAGCTGGCTAAATAACCAGGGTTCGAACCAGCGTCCGCACATGGCAAAACAAGATGAAAGACAGAGGCCTTAACCGCTGGACAACCAAGGCCGATACAACAGCAGACTTGTCTAAGATGCTGTTATAGGAATGTTTTGTCAGAGCGGGCGTGGGCGGAGCTTCACTGAAACACAGCGCTTTCTTTCCAGGTAAAATTCAGGTTGATGAAAATAACTCGTATGTAAGATAAATGACATCTCAATAGTGCCAACAGTGGTGTTTGATCATATATTGTGCCTACCTTTGCTCTCAAATGTGTAAAATAGCATGATATGACATCTTTAATGTCACTGACACACACACACAACACACACACCCACCCACCCTCCCCAGCTGGTGAGCACCATTCGGTTTAACATCATTCATGACAGAAGTCAAACTTCATGGCTCTAGATGTTTTAGGTCCTGAATTCCTGATTCCAATGACCAGATCAGGACCTCCTCTCCATACTGAGGCTCCTCCCTGGGGATGGGGGTGGGGCGAGTCAGCAGGGCTAGCAGCACTCCCACACTCACAGGCAGCAGGGCAGTTCTTACCTGAGGCCAGGGTCCCCTCTGCCCTGCCCTTCATCCCTCCACCTCCGCCTCCTCCTGCTCCTCCTCCCAGCCCAGAGCCGCCCAGAGCCTCGGGCATCACAGGGAAGGAGGGCCGCTCACCCCTGTAAGGCTTGGGCCGGAAGGAGAAGTCTTTGTCTTTACCTTTGGAGCCTTTAGGTCGGCCTGCGGTCTTCTTCTTGGATTTGCTGTCCCCCTTCACACCCAGGAGGGGGTGCAGCTCTGAGAAGACAAGACAAGTTTCTCATTAGCTTCTCACTTCTTCACCACCAGACTGCAGAACCAGTAGGGAACATGGTAAATGGCCTGTATTTCATGTAGCGCCTTCTAGAGTCCTGGGACCCCCCAAGGTGCTTTACAACACAATCATTCACACACACAATCACACGCTGGTGGTGATGAGCTACAATGTAGCCACAGCTGCCCTGGGGCGCACTGACAGAGGCGAGGCTGCCGTACACAGGTACCACCGGTCCCTCCGACCTCCACCAGCAGCAAGGCGGGTTAAGTGTCTTGCTCAAGGACACGACAGCGACAGACTGAGCGGGGCTTGAACACGCAACCTTCTGATTACGGGGTGAGCACTTAACTCCTGTGCCACCGTCGACCAAATACTGAGCCCAGTCCACCAGAACCATTGAAGCGTGGTGTTTACCATCACTGGGAACCCCCTGCAGTTCGATGGTGGTGGTCCTGGCCTTCTTCTTGGCTGGACCTCCCTCAGACAAAGGTTGACGCTGCTTCTTGTCTCCTCCAGCCAGTGTGTCTTCTGGAGCTCCAGCCTGGACCGAGGCGTCTGGTGGAGGACCAAAGGGGTTTTCCTCCGGGTCCTCCACCTCAGGAGCAATGGGAAGATACAGAAGAGCCTTGTTGTCCTCCAGCTCTTCATCACTACAAGAAAAAAGCAACACAGGTCAGACTAAACATCTGAACACAAACATTTCTTTGTAATGTGACAGCAGAAACCCAGCCCTGAATTTTCACCAGGGATCTCACCTATCTCCTTGACTCCGCCCCCCATTTGGCAGGAATCAGCAGATAGTATTTTTTTACTTTTAGCTAAAGTTTAAACACTGATCTCAGTAGGAAACTCTGTTACTTTAATTTAGTTTCAGTCTTTTGACTAAAATTCTTTTAGTCAACTAAAACAAACGCGTTTGTTCTGACATGATGATTTTCTACGTCTGTAAAGGAAATGTTAGCTCCACCCACTTCTACCTGTAAAGAAATGTGAAAAAGTCCCATTTGGATCAATAAATCTCTGTTTTAATAACAATAATTATTATATATTATATATATAATTATGAAATAAATGATAAATGAGCCGCACTTGTAGAGCGCCTTTCAAAGTCAGAGGACTCCAAAGTGCCTTACACTACAGTCAATCATTCATCCATTCACACACTGATGATGAGCTACAATGTAGCTACAGCAGCCCTAGGGCGCACTGACAGAGGCGAGGCTGGAATGGACCAATGGAAAATACCAAAAATGAACACCGACAGTTTAACATTGTGTCTGACAGTATTAATAAAGTAAACAAATCTGTATAATGTGCAGTAATATTTGTAAACATGACAGGAAATGACATCAAAACCTTCAAAGGTGTTACTCTAATAACACGAGAAGGTAAACTAAAGGCAGGAACTGCATTCAGGTGCGTTTATTAGAGTTTAACCTGCACTAAGGTGGGCCATTAGAACACCAAACCGATGAGATTGGCCGTAGCAGCGCCACAAGCAGCGCATTCGGTTCGGCTCCAGTAGTCTACGCCTGACCTCTCCCGCCCCCACCCCAGCTGGCTGCCAATACCGGTAGAACCAGAGGAAACCCCGGATATGTACTCACAAGTAAATACTTTCAGACCATCACACCAAACGCTTTTCCACTCAGCTGAGGACATTTTCTCCTTTCAGACATAATTTGTTCAACTGTTACTGGTAGCAAGTTCAAATGGCAGCCGGCGCTGTCAAGTCCAGCCTGTTCCATTTGCTGATTGGTTCTTCTTTCCGTTCTCCCATCTTTTCTGACTGGAGTTTTGTTGTCGTCTTTAATTCATCAACAAAAATGTCGCCGCCTTTCCTCACACAATACAACCCTTCACGTGCACTTAGCTCATCACAGCAAGACTTACAAGTCCTTCCACGTGTGAAACACTCGACTACTCGGCCACCCTGTTCTTCTGATGATGACTCAGATTCTTTAACTTCTCAGTTTAACTAGCACTGCCTCTCCATTCTGGACAACATCTGTCCTGTTAGAACCAGATCAGGTCCTGCAGTGAACCCTACTCCCTGGTTTAATGACAGCCTTCGCAGCCTGAAGCGCCAATGCAGAAGAGTGGAGCGCTTGTGGATGAAAACCCGTCTCCACGTCCATCTGCTGCATCAAAAGGATCTTCTGACTTCATTTAACTCTGTCAGAGATGCCAGGGTTGTCTATTTTTCCAACCTGGTGTCCCAGAACAAAGGGAACCCCAAGGTGCTGTTTAACACCATCAGCAGTATCGTCTCTCCTGCCTCTCCTACAGCCTCCATCCACTCTGTTGCAGACTGTGAGAACTTTCTGTCTTTCTTTGTGGACAAAGTCAATAAGGTTAGATCTAGCATCTCTCCTTCAGACTTATCGCTACCTCTCCTGACTCCAACCAGGCCCATCATCCTAGATAGCTTTGCTCCCGTTTCTTTGCCTGAGTTAACCAAACTAGTTAACTCTATGAAGACCTCTGCATGCCTCCTCGACATCTTACCCTCATCTTTGTTTAAAAGTGCTTTTCAGTCCATCGGTCCCAGCGTGCTCTCTATAATTAATGCTTCTCTGGTTTCTGATCAGGTCCCTGCTTACTTTAAGAACGCTGTAATCCACCTGCTTCTTAAAAAAACTTGTCTCGACCCCTCTCTCCATAGCAGCTTCAGATCCATCTCTAAACTTCCGTTCTTCTCCAAGATCTTGGAAAAGGTTGTGGCTAAACAACTCACAGCTGCTCTTGATGAACATAACATCTATGATAGCTTCCAGTCAGGTTTTCGTAGAGCTCATTCTGCTGAAACAGCTCTTCTTAGGGTCTCTAATGACCTTCTGACTCACAGTGATTTAGGGGACTGTTCTGTTCTGATCCTGCTGGACCTGACTGCAGCCTTTGACACTGTTGACCATCACCGGCTACTGGAGAGGCTGAGAGACTGGGTAGGCCTATCAGGAACTGCTCTGGAGTGATTCTCCTCTTATCTGTCTGAGCGTTCCTTTTCTGTGGCCGTCTCCAAGTTTAGGTCCTCCACCACCTCTCTTACCCATGGTGTCCCACAAGGTTCTGTGCTGGGGCCTCTGCTCTTCTTCCTCTATCTGCTTCCTCTTCAGCACATCCTGAGCTCCATCAAAGGAATATCCTACCATCTTTATGCAGATGACATCCAACTGTACATCTCCTTTAAGCCCCATGAGATGTCTAAGCTGCAGCTGTTCCACACCTGCTTAGACTCTATCAAAACCTGGATGGTGGGAACTTTCTACAGCTGAATGAAGATAAGACTGAGATCCTCATCTGTGCCCCAGACAAGCTGGTTCCCAAAGTCAGAGACTCTCCCGGGCAGCTTGCTTCTCACAACAAACCCTCTGTCAGGAATCTTGGTGTGACATTTGACCCAGCTCTCACCCTGGATTCTCATGTCAGTTCTCTTGTTCGCTCTTCCTTCTTCTATCTCAGGAACGTTGCTAAGCTGAGTCCCATTCTATCCCGCTCTGAACTTGAGACAGTTCTCCACACCTTCATCTCCTCACGCTTAGACTACTGCAATTCTCTTTTCACGTGCCTGAGCAGATACTCCCTGAACTGTCTACAGGTGGTTCAGAATGCCTGTGCTCGGCTTCTGACCAAGTCCTCCAAACACACCCACATCACCCCATTTCTCCTCCAGCTTCACTGGCTGCCAGTCAACTTCAGGGTTCACTTCATGATCCTGGTTCTGGTCTTTAGGGCCTTACATGGACAAGCACCACCGTACATTGGTGATCTTCTCAGTCCCTACACCCCCAGCAGGTCCCTAAGGTCCAGTGACCAAAGCCTACTGCTTGTGCAGCACCAGGCTAAAGGTCAAAGGTGACAGATCATGCTACTGGACAATGAACGTGACGTACTCACCGTAACGGATGTTGGTAAACAAGGCAGTCTGCTGTTGAAGAAGGCAAAAATACATCCTTTTTCTAAATAAAGAACTTAAATGCATCTATCTGCTCCTGGTTCTAATAAAGCCAAAGTCCTAATAGTCCAGAATGGTTGTAAAAGCTGTTTCAAACGAGCTGTCGCCATCTTGTTTCACTATGTTGCATCATCCCACCCACCAGACGAATAGAGGGCCCTGATTGGCCCACAAAGTGGATAAAGCGCTGTGATTGGTCCATAAAGCGGATAAAGAGCTGTGATTGGTCCACAAAGCGGATAAAGCACTGTGATTGGTCCACAAAGTGGATTAAGCACTGTGATTGGTCAAAGCAGATAGAGTGCTGTGATTGGCCCACCATTGTGGACCAATCACAGCACTCTATAGGATTGAAACCCCTCTAGAGAGCTGTGATTGGCCAGCCAGAATGCTGCTAGGTGCTGCGGAGGTTCCGATGGAGCCTTCCTAGACCAGACTTTGGTCTAGTTCACTGGGCTAGCAAGCACATTCACTGCCTTTTTTTAAAGAGTCAGAAGGCAACTCAATTGATGCTGTGGCGTTCCCTCAGCACACGTTTTAGTTATACATTAATATAATTTAATCCTGTTTCATTCTGTTGTCTTAACTACATCTCTATATATCCATGGACCACTGTTGAAAGCAGCTTGGAACTGCACTGAACCGAGACGAGCTGCGATAAGTAGGTACTGGTGGAAAAACCAGGCATCCACAGGACCCAGATATGACCCTGTGAAAACATTCCTTCAGGAACCACCCAGGGGTGTTACTTCAGACCTGAGAGTCAGGCAGGGTCCTCACACCTCAACAGATCCCATAATAAACATCCGCTCACAGGGTTCAGCATTCTAGTTTCTGCGTGGGTCTAAGCCCAAGTTTAGGTCTAGGACAGGAATAACCAATCCTGGTCCTGGGGGTCCACTATCCAGCACATTTTAGTTGTTTCCTGCTTGGCCATACGTCTGTTAACACAATTATCCATAACCAGTGTCACCGAGTAGAGGATGATGATAATCCCTAATCATCCCTGAGAGTACTGAAGGAGGAACATCTGATTTTGGAGTTCAGATGTGAAGAAACACCTAGTGCACCTTCTCACCTGCTGCAAAAAGCGACGATGGGATCAACAGTCGTCACGTCCACCTCTTCATCCTCAGCAGCATCTGCACCTGCAACATGAAGACCAACTTATGTGAGAGGTTTCAGGGGAATAAACCAGATGTTCCCTCTAATCACAAGCAAGTAAAAATAGACCCCTTCAGCCATCTTCTTTCAGTATGTTTTTTTTTTCCTTTGTGGCGCACGACTTTCGGGACTTGAAAAAACATCTGTCTTTGTCCCAATTAGTCCGACGGTAATAACCGTAGACCATGCAGATTTTGGGCATTTTAACACCCAGTCACCAGAGTGAATAGGGTTCTGTGCGGCGCAGGCTACTTCCGGACTCCTTCTGCATTTGGTGACTTGGAGGCAACGTCGTGAAACCCAGCTACAGTTTACCAGCAGTTACACTGAATCATTTCACCTTTCAGACACCTGCAGGACAAATCAGATGCTTTTTCTGTAAAACACAGAAAACAATTGGAGCCATGCTTTAAAACCTCCAACCTGGACGTGAGATCTTCTCTCTGTTATTGTAGTTTAATCATATTAGAGTCATTTAGACACACTTTGTAAAAACCTTTTCCCACATGTGTGAAACTTGTGCTGGTACGTTTTTACATTCTGTCTGACAGCTGAAGAGAAATTATTATAAAAATTTCAGACCTCTTATCTTTTACAATGGAATGTGTACAACCAGTAACTGAATGTGTATGAAATAACTAAAATAATGGTTCTGGGCTGGTTGGCGTCAACCAGGAGGAATGTACATGAAGGCTGCTGGGTTTGGAAGGTCGATGTTGGCTCAGACCTTAGACATTCACAGCACACATGCATGTTGAAGAGCTTTAAAAATATTTAGAAAAGCTTTTATTGTGACACAACTTTATCTCTGTTATTTACAGGTTTTCACTCTTATTTATTTATTTATTTTTAAACATCTTTTTCAGCATTTTCAATATAAAAGAACACATTATTCACTATACCTGTCTGCTCAGGTTCACTCCTGTCTTCATCCTCAATATCAAACTCGGACTCTCGCTCCTCGTACTCCACGTTCTCATCCAGCTCCTTAAAGTCTGGAGCAAAGGCACTCCAGTTCTCCTGCAGAAAACCAACAAAGAGGAGAGGTTTAATTGAAAGAAAAGAAAGAAAATTATCTTTTATATAAAAATCACGAGGCACTTCACAAGAACAAAAAATTCCAAATACAAAATAATCTTCAAAAAATGATTTAAAAATATGGTTAAAATTAGAATTAAAAAAATCAAAAATAAAGATTTGTGATTTAAAAAAAACGTAAGAAAAGGGAGAGAAAATGAATGGAAAAGAGGGAAACCAGTGGATCCCGGCAAAGAAAGAGCAGAACAAGGAGAGGGTGGTGATGAAGGTCCCACCAAAGCCTGAACAGGTGAGTTTAAAGGAGACCACTGAGTCCACTGATCTCAGGCTCAGGGGGAGAGAGGTCCAGAGTCTGGGGGCCACAGCAGCAGATGATCTTTGATCTTAAAGAGGTCCTTCACTCATATTTTTAACACACTTCAAGTGGTCTCTAGTAGGAATGAATGCCTTGTAAGGCATACTCTGGGGAAAAAAGCTCCAGTAGAGAATTCAGCTGGAGAAAGTAACTGCAGACGACAGGATTTGGACTCTTAAGACAGTGCTGAGGACAAACGCTGTGGTGTTGGGAAGCAGTAGCTCAGGAGATAGAGCAGATTGTCCAGTAATCGGAAGGTTGCAGGTTCGATTCTGGCTCCAGACAAAGAATTCTGCTGTTGTGTCCTTGGGCAAGACACTTGACCCACCTTGCCTACTGGTGGTGCCTGTGCTCAGCAGCCTCGCCTCTGTCAGGGTGCACCAGGGCAGCTGTGACTATCGTAGCTCATCCCCACCAGCGTGTGACTGAAACGTGCTATACAAGTGCAGTCATTTATCATTTGCTTTGTTTGATTTTCTGTGTAAACCTTGCCGACACGCTGGTGATCCAGAGAAGATCTTATGAGCATAAGATTTACCACTCCAGTGGATTTATTGCTGATTTTTTTTAGCATCAGCTGCAGATATACTGCATGTTTTCCTCAACAAATCTGCGAGAACGAAGAACAGATCTCAGAGCAGAGCGCAGGTCATCAGGGTCCTTTACCAAACAGGAAACCTCAAAGACTCAAGGTCAGACATGAACACAGGTTAACACACCGACATACAACCAATAGAAAGGTCAAGGAAGCACAACCAAGACAAGGTCGTTGTAGCCTGAGCATAAGGACTGACCTCCACAACACAGGGTCACAAGGGTCAAGGTATGACTCTGGTCAGCTGTAGCCAAGCAGAGACTTTGCCAAAGTAAACGGGACATGATAGAAACGTCTGACCCACTGTCTAAGATAGCATCACAGGTTAGCGACCCCTCAAGGGTCACTGAGATGTGAGGTTTCCGTTTGGGACCTTTACGGATGATTTTGCACAGAAGTGTATACTCCCCTAAAGGATTATTAGGAACACCACGCTAATACGGTGTTTGACCCCCTTTGACCTTCAGAACTGCCTTAATTCTACGTGGCGTTGATTCAACAAGGTGCTGAAAGGATTCTTTAAAATGTTGGCCCATATTGATAGGATAGCATCTTGCAGCTGATGGAGATTTGTGGGATGCACATCCAGGGCACGAAGCTCCCGTTCCACCTCATCCCAAAGATGCTCTATCGCAGGGGTGAGGAACCCTGTTCCATCAAGGGCCACTATCCAGCATATTTTAGTTTCAACCCTGCTTCAACACACCTGATTTAAATCAGCAGGTGATTAACAGGCTTCTGCAGAGCTTGATGAGCTGCTGAACAGGTGAATCCACCACTGAATCAGAAATGTTGGAGCAAAGATGTGCAAGATACCGGCCCTTGAGGACCAGGGTTCCCCACGCCTGCTCTATCGGGTTGAGATCTGGTGACTGTGGGAGCCATTGTAGTACAGTGAACTCAGTGCCATGTTTAAGAAACCAATTAGAAATGATTGGAGCTTTATGACATGGTGCATTATCCTGCTGGAAGTAGCCATCAGAGGATGGGTGCATGGTGGTCATGAGGGGATGGACATGGCTAGAAAGATAACCAGTGTCTACGTACCACTTGGTTCTGAGCCCAGATGGATACGACTCCACTGGAGATGGAGGCAATGATGGGTCGAACAGGATGCCACTGGAAACGAGAGTTCTGCTGTTTGAACCATAGAACACAGACCTTCTGATCTAGAACTTGATTTAAATGTTCTTACTGCCACATCCAGCAGCAGCTCCCCTCTTGTTCCATGAAGAATCTTCACCAGGTTTCCGATGCTTTTCTCCCAGATGTAGAGGGCGTGCTGCCGGGCTGAACCAGCAACGATGTACTCACCGTCACCAGAGAAACAGCAGCGCTTCCACGGAGTCCTGGGAGCAGCAAGCACACACACGCACGCACGCACGCACGCACACACACACACACACACACACATCAGAATTAGTTAACAGCCACAGCTAGAAGGTCAAACACACACACAACTACACACGCACCTGTTGACCAGGTCCTGGAGCTTCTGCATGGGTTCAGGCTCTCCGTCGCGACCACAGGTCAGGATTTCTCTGCCATCATAAACCCGAATTATCCGGTCTGCCGTGTTTATAAGGAAACAGCTGCAGAAACACAACAAGGTCAGATCGCTGAAGTTGTGTACGGTCTAAGGAAGGTCATGTGACCTTTACTGAGAGACTGCTCACTCTAGGACCAAACACAGGTATAACTATGGTCTCCTGTAGAACAGAAAACATGTGATTTTCCAACTTGTGAAGGACATATTAATGTTTATGACTTTTACCCTGTTTCTAATGCTGGGATCAGCTACAGGATCACACACATGCACATCCTTACTACAAACACATGACCCAGAATGGTCCTCTGGAGTTCCGTCTACATGGAAACTACATATCAAACTACAGACGTGAACAAAATAGTCGGCACCCTTTGGTCAATGAAAGAAAAAACCACAGTGGTAACAGAAATTAATTTCTCTGAACACAGAGCTGATGTGCCTTGGCAAAAGGTTCAGTTTTTGTCTAATCTGTCCATGGGACATTCTCCCAGAAGCTTTTTGGCTTGTCAATATGCAGGTTGGTATATTCCAGTCTGGCTTCTTTATACTTTGTTTTCAACAACGGTGTCCTCCTTGGTCATCTCCCATAGTCCACTTTGGCTCAAACAACAACGGATGGTGTGATCGGACACTGATGTTCCTTGAGATTGAAGTTCACCTTGAATCTCTTTAGTTTTTCTGGGCTCTTTTGTTACCATTCAGATTATCCATCTCATTGATTTGTCATCAATTTTACTCCTGAAGCCACGTCAAGGGAGGTTGGCTACAGTCCCATGGATCAGAAATATCTGAATATGTGCAACTATAGTCACAGAAATATCTAGCTGCTTAGAGACGGTCTTAAAGCCTTCACATTTAACTCAATCACTGCCAGTTGTTTCCTGATCGGTAAAGGCCTTCGCTGCCAGCATTTCTCACCGTTTTTACTGTTTTTTTAAGTCACAGAATGTTGCGCACTAGAATGATGTTGACGCCAAAACAACCAAAACAAGACTCAAAAATTATTCATTGAGAAGGAAGGGGGGGTTATAAATTACGGGAACGGGAACAATTTCATTTCAGAATTCCTTTTGCACGTACAACAAGTAAAACCTTTTGTATTTCGGTATGTGGAGCAATACTGTGGAATAGGATGGAGGGGACACTAAGGAAATGTGTTACTATGATTCTGTTTAAAAATGAATACAAAAGCAATATTTATACCAGGTACAGAATTGAGGAGGTTATTTCAGTTTGATAGTCTGTGTTTTAATTACTATTATTATATTAACAAGGACATTATTATATTATAATGTAATAAAAAAGGACAGGCATAAATATAAGCATTTTGCTTCTACCTGAGCCTTCTCAGTCACTTTGAATGTAATGATTTATGTTTTATGATTATATTATGTTTTGTTATATTTTTGACTGAAATATGGAATTTAAAAATAAATAAATAAATAAACCTGGCATTTTTAACATGGGAGTCAATGAGGATTTGCTCACTTCTGGTGCCAGCCCCTAGTGGATGAGAGTAGAACTGCAATTTTAGGCACTTACTTGTTAGGATCAGCTCAGGGTGTCTGGGATTCCTGCTTGGCCGCCCGCAACACAATAAAAACAAGTGATGGAGTTCTGTCAGGCCAAACAGCACGTAAGCACCGGGCAATTGGACGGTCTGTCCCTGCCCATGACCAGCTTAAGCCAGTCTTTAATGCCAAAGGAGGGAAAACCTTTCCATCATGAGGTGTAAAGTGGCTTGCTAGTATCAAAATGAGCCAAACAGATCTGATAAACGATTTGTCACAAAGTTAACCGGTGCTTAAGAACATTATATACAGCCATCAATTGTTTTGAACTGACAGCACGCAAACGTATTGTAACTCAGCTTCTGCTTCCAATTTTAGATTACGCAGATATACTATATCAGAACTCCTCAGTTGCTAGTCTTCACTCTCTTGATGTTATTTACAATAGCCTATGTGGTTTCGTTTTGAGGTGTCCTTTAAGAACTCACCACTGCTACATGTATGAACAAGTCTCTTGGAAGACAATTTCATTGGTTGTTATTTATTTTTAAATGTATTCATCTTGATTTTCCATCTTATTTGAAAGTCTTGTTAGTACCTATCAATGCTTTGTATTTTACCCGTTTTAGTGAGCATCCTTCATTTGTTATTCGTCGGTTTAAAAAAGAAGTTGAGAGTTATGCCTTCTGTGTTAAAGCTCCTCAGGATTGGAATACATTACCTGCTAACTTAAGATCTATTTCATCATTTCGTTTATTTCATAATTCTATTGATGAGCATGTGAAGCCAACTTGTAATTGTTTTGCCTATTGTGTTTAATATCGTAGCAGCACTCAATTTATGTTGTTTTTCTATTGTTAAATTTTTATCTGTTAATGTATTTTATATTTGTTGTTACAAGTATGCCTACAGATACATGGGGTAAGCCACAGAAAGTGTTATTATTATTATTATTTTTTTCTCTCTCAGTTTGTTATGGATTAACGACTTTGCCTTCTTATTATATTTACTTGTTGTATGGTAGGAGGACCTGCTCGAAAACGAGATGCCACATCTCAAGCAGTTTATCCTCCTGGGAAGAAAAATATAAGTTAAATAATAAGTAATAATAACAGAACCAGTCTGACAAATGATCTGACAGATCATTTGCTGCTGTGTCCCCCAGACTCTGGAACTCTCTCCCCCTGAGCCTGAGATCAGTGGACTCAGTGGTCTCCTTTAAAAAGCAGCTGAAGACTCACTTGTTCAAGCTGGCTTTTGAATGGCCTTCTTCACCACTCTCTTTATTCTGCTCTCTCCACCTATCCCACCTTCCTCAGGATCCACTTATTCCCCTCTTATCTATTCACTCTCACTCTTTCTTTACATTTTTAATCACAAATGTCTATTTTTTGCTCATTTTAAATATACTTTTAACCATTTTCTAAATTATTTTTTATATTTTTACATTTTTTGTTTTTGTGAAGCGCCTCGTGATTTTTATCTTGATGCAAAATAGAAAAGATATTTTCTTCTTCTCATTAATGCTGCAGGTCCTGACAACACATATATAGAATAAAAAACCAAAAGCGTTGAATGAAAACATGCCAATATATTAAAAAGGTGAAAAAATTACTATCAAGTCAGAACAATTTACTAGAAAAGCAAATTAATTTACTATATTTTAAAGGGACATTAAGCCGGGGTTTTTTTTTACACCTTAACAAATTCCTTCAAAAGAGGCTTCAGTGACTGTATTGGTAGAAACTTTACCATCTTCACATGGGAATGCCCTCTGCAGACCAGAAACAGCAATTAACTGTTTCGTTGAGCAGGTGGGTGCCTTAGGGGGCTCTCTTTGCTTGCCTAACGGAACATTAGCCATTTTCTGTGCCGGTAGCTAATAAAAGGCTATCAGTAAGCATTTTCAGTTTGTCGATTTTTATTAAAGTAACACAAGGCGAACAAAAAAAAGGAAGTTTGCTTTGTTTGTTGGCATCATGGTGGAGCCTGGAATTGAAAGTCGGTGAATTATGTCTTAGGAGGCTAAGCAAAAAGCTAAAACCAGGGTGAACATCGACGTGGCCTGCACTAGGTTAAGGAAGTTAAAGGATCACAGACTGATGGTGAGCTGGCTTTGATGCCACTGGACTTGCAAGCTGCTGCAGGTTGTTAATGACAGTTGTAATTCCACTTTCAACCAGTAGGGCGAAACAGCAGGAAAATGTTTGGTGTTACTTTAGGGACCTTAATTTGAGCTCATGTATTTTAATACCTTTTACTACCGCACAGAAACCATACTTTTATTAAGCACTTATCAAACAAAAAAGAAACGCAGAAGGAGCTCAGCCAGATGTGCTAGAACTCCGTGGCAGAGTTTGTATTTCCAGGTAAGATGAAGAAAGATAGGCTCACCTGCCCTTGCGGGCAAATTCAATGGACTTGATGGCAGTGGTGTTGCTGGTGCCGGTCGTTACTCTGAAGGATGCCACCAGCTCCTGACTATCTGTGTTCAACACGAGAATCTGCATCAAAGACGATAACAACAGAAAGTGTGAGGAGGGAGTATCTGGATGACCTTTTAACCCTGACGGTAAGAGAGGCGGACCTTTCCTTTGGCATTCCCAGTGTAAATATATTCTCCTCGTCGGTCGAAAGCTGCTACCACGTTCAGGTCCGAGTCATCGTCCACAGGCAGGACAACGTGTTTGGAGTCTGACAGAGTCAGCAGAACCGGGGCGGACTTCATGGGACACACAAGCACCTTGTCCCTGAAACACAAATGTGATTTCTAAATCCTGAGGCTGAACGAGCTACGCCTTTCTGATCAAAGTTATTTCAGAAAACATGACCAAGGCTGCTATTGTTGCAGTGCTCCTGACTGACCCAAGACCTGCAGCTGAAGCTTGATTTGAAGAAAATTGTCAAATAGAAATCTCAATTTTCTGTCGGACAAATCCAATTCAATCTTTCCACTAAAGGGTTCAGCTGTAGTGGATCCAAAACATACAATGAGCCAGATAAAACAGAAACAAACGGATCCGACACACTCACATGTCTCGAGGATGACACTGCAGTTTCAGAATGGGTGAAGGAAAGCGGAACCTCTGGTCACAGTCTCCAGTCAAGACGTCCCACTGGGAGACAATGTTGTCTGTAGAGGCACTCACCAGCTTGTGGCCGTCTCGACTCCAGCTGGAAAGGAAAACACAAACAGGTTATGTTAGAAAACCACAAAGATGTTAGCATCTCCACTTCAGTCAGGTCATTCCACTTTATTTAGTGTTGCAGATCACAGCTAAACTGGTCTCAAAGTGCAGGGAAAAAATCCACAACTCCAGTTTATCCCAGGTCCAGACTGACCCAATTAAAGACTCGGATTTAGGAGTTTATACAACACCTGTCAATAAGATATGCGCTAGAAAAGATCCGGTTAGGGTCAGAGTCTGGGTCATTTCACTCATTTACAGAGCACCTTCCACAGCCCTTAACAGAAGCAGACACACGAGAATACATGTAATGACTGCTTAGACAAAGCAAGCAGTGGCTAATGCGGGCGACTAGCCGCTATAATCGAGTATGGTGCGCTTCTTCAAAGATTCATAATTGTTTACGTCCGCATTTTAGATCATTTTCCTCAGCTCTACAGAGCACCTCAACTAAACAAAACAACATGCTGCCTGAAACTTGCTCTGATTGGTTCATCGGTGAATCTGTCGTGCAGACAGAAGCAGGCTATCAAATAGCGTGACTCAGCTGAGAAAAAACGTGAGCCCGTAGACGAGTCCAGAAAAAACGGCACAGGTGATGGAACACAAATAGACGGTTCTACGATCTCCGAGCTTTGGTAGATCAACATCACTTTATAATCCTTAACGATCTTATATCGTCAGATCGCACGGCCCTAGATCTAATCTTTAGCCACAAGATCCTGAGCAGAATGGGTGACAAATGGAATAAACGGGAAGCTCCAAAAGGATCGGGCTCAGAACATCAACAGGTGATTATTTCATCACTACACTGATGACAAAGGTGAAAAGGGTCAAAGGTTGTATAAGGTTTATTACCATAGAGAGCAGACTGGATGTATGTGTGCACTGATGATTTTAGCGATTCCTCGCGTGAGGAAGTCCCAGATCACAATGCGACCATCGTTGCAGCCCACAGCTAGCAGGGTGCCCCAGCGATTAAAGGTGCAAGTGAGAGCCATGCTGATACAGTCCAGAGTGCCATCTGCCTCCTATGCACACACACAACCAGAAATAACACTGTTTTACTATAGCGACAAACTCAGACGGATGTGTAATCAGAAACATGATCCAAAACCATAATATTGACTGATTTTATGACTCACCTCTGGATAATTCTGCCCGAAAGATTCTGCAAGAGAAACATGAAACAGTGTGTGAATTTGTCTGTGTGTGGGTGAATGAATAACAAATGGTCCCTGTAAGGCACCATTCAAATACAAGTCATTTACCATTTTTACCAAAAAGCATGATTTATACACCTATGAGTCGTGAGAAGGGGTGTAACAGTTCACGGAGAAGTGTTGTTAAATATACATACACACACATGTATATACACACACATTTATACATATATATATGCACACACACATATATACAGTATATATGTGTGTGTGTGTATATATATATATATATATATATATATATATATATATATATATATATATATATATATATATATATATATATACATATATTTGCGGCCGAGTGTGAAGCAGCTGGGATGAGGATCAGCACCTCCAAATCTGAGACCATGGTTCTCGACCGGAAAAGGGTGGCTTGCCAACTCCAGGTCAGGAGAGAGGTCCTACCTCAAGTGGAGGAGTTTAAGTATCTCGGGTTCTTGTTCACGAGTGAGGGTGGGAGGGATCGGGGGATTGACAAGCGGATTGATTCAGCATCTGCAGTGATCCGGATGCTGAGCCGATCTGTCGTGGTGAAAAGGGAACTGAGCCAGAAAGCCAGGCTCTTGATTTACCGGTCGATCTACATCCCAATCCTCACCTATGGTCACGAGCTTTGGGTAACGACCGAAAGAACGAGATCGCGAATACAAGCGGCCGAAATGAGTTTCCTCCATAGGGTGGTCGGGCTCAGCCTTAGAGACAGGGTGAGGAGCTCGGACATTCGTGAGGGACTCGGAGTAGAACCGCTGCTCCTCCAGATCGAAAGGAGTCAGTTGAGGTGGTTTGGGCATCTGGTCAGGATGCCTCCTGGACGCCTCCCTGCAGAGATGTTTCGGGCATGTCCTGCTGGCAGGAGGCCCCCTGGTCGACCCAGGACACGTTGGAGGTTACATCTCCAATCTGGTCCAGGAACGCCTTGGTGTCCTGCCGGAGGAACTGGTGGAGGTGGAGCTCCCTAGTTGGGATGCTGCCCCTGTGACCCGGATAAGCGGATGAAGACGACAACGACAAATACACACACACACACACACACACACACACACACACACACACACATATATATATATATATATATATATATATATATATATATATATATATGTAAGGATTCTATGCAATGTTTGATAAATGAGACCCCAGGACATTTTCTGTCTGATTGTAAGTAACGTGGCAGCAGCCTTATGACTTTATAAATCTTAATGAATCAACTCCATCCGATTTTGTTTACATCTCGCAGCCTCGCTCCACTGGGGTGGGGGTCTCGTGATGAAAATGGCTGCTGATTTCATAGCAGAATCTCTTACCTTGGTTTCGCACTGAAAGCAACAGTGTACCGAAAAGGCAGAGGAACGTCACTGCTTCAACTAGAATCCATTATGGACTGCTTCAAACAAGCAGCAATTTCCAGGTGTGTCCCAGACGAGGCACAACGTGCCATGCTGCTAAAGATAGGATCGGGTTCTACTTTCACGCCACTGAGGCTTCCAGTGTGATACCGGCTTTAGTTCTTTTTAACCTATCAAAAACAAATGTCATCAGTTTGGAAGTCTGCTTTTGTGTCTCCTTCACTAAAAGGTGGTGACCCGGCTCTATTAACCAATTACAGACCAATATTTAATCTGTGTGTCCTGGTAAAACTTCTAGAGACCCTAGTAAGTGAACAACTGAAAGAGTTTTTATATTCAAATGACCTTGTCTCAAGTCTGCTGCAATCAGGTTTCAGTAAACAGCACAGCACCATCACTGCAGCTACAAAGGTGATCAATGACAGACTTGTTGCTCTGGATAAAAAGCAGTACTGGGCTTCACTTTTTATTGATCTGTCAAAGACCTTTGACCCTGTAGACAATGCTGTTTTAAAACATAAGCTTCTCTGATTGGGATTGTCTGAACATCATGGTTCACAGACTACTTGACGGACAGAACTCAGTAGGGTTGTCACGGTAACCGGTGTTGTGATAAACCACAGTAAAAAAGTTAACAATAATAATAACTGTCTTGTTTTTAAAAAAAATATTATCTCTGTGGATTACCATGGCTGCGGTGTGGGTGCGGTGACCCTTACCAGCCACCGTATCATCTGCTGAAGTTGCCGGCGGCACATGCGCACTTTGTTGTTTACAACCAAAACTTTCTTGAAGCTAAAGCTGAAATAATGGCCAAAGGAGGAGACGGCAGCGCTCAGGACATGCACTATCCCTCAAAGAAGACAAAGTCGGAAGTACGGGCATTTTTTGGATATTTGAAGAATGCCGAGGGACAGTTGATAGAAGACGGCTATCCTGTTTGCAGCACGTGCAGAAAAAGTGTCTGTGAAAGGCAGCAACGCTTCAAATCTCATGACACATCTGCGTGACCATCACCCACAACTCTACAGTCAACGCAAGGCAAGTTAACGTTAGCGTTTTAGCTAAAATGCGTGATCCGAGGATTTGGGTTGAGGGAGAAGGCAACGAGTCGCTATATAAAGCAGCCGCAGCGCCGCTACCTGCATAAAACCGTGTTACGGACACCCCCATATTGAAATGACGCTATGCATTACGGGGCTCCCAGGGGCAGATAAGAGTTGGTCTCTCTCCGAGAATAATTATGAATTTAACAATGATTACTGCCTGATGACATTTTCCTAAATCTGCAAAGCTCACTGGAAGGACACAAACCGAGGACAATATTTTCCTGATTTAGGGTTTATTACTCAAGTAAGGGTAAAAAAGTATCTGATTAGATGGCTACTTGAGTACTGAGTATCATCTGGTCTAATATTTTTTAAATGACATCAAACAGATAAATAAGAAGTTATGGGCAAATATTAGTATTTTAAAGACTAAAGGGGAAAAATGTAAACAAATAAACAACATCATTATAAAATAACAAATTTTAGGCAAAATTTAGACACAAACTGAGGACAATTTTTCCTGATATACAGGGTTTATTTAGTTGTCTGAAAATGTAACGCATTAAAAAAAATACTGCAATAACACCGAAAACCGTGATAATTTTGGTCACAACAACTGTGAGGTTAAATTTGCACACCGTGACAACCCTAGAACTCAGTGCGTTAAATGTGATGGGTTGTTCTCTGAATTGTTGAGTGTTCACAAGGGAGTACCACAGGGTTCAGTTTTGGAACCCCTCTTGTTCATTATGGACAAAATGTGTCGGATGCTAATTTGCACTTTTACGCTGATGACACGATCATTTACTGTTGTGGACCACCACCCCCCACCCCCCCACCCCACCCCCATTAAAGCTGCTGAATTCTTACAGAAAGCTTTTAATGAGGTCCAACAAACACTTCTGCAGTTAAAATATGTCCTCAATGCAGACAAGACTAAGCAAATGTTGTTTTCTAACTCTAAACAAGACCTCTAAAGATGCCATCAGTTACCACTCTTAAAGGAAACATTATAGAGGTGGTCCACTCCACACATATAAATACCTTGGTGTCTGGCTCAATGACTCCCTCTCCATCAAGCCCATGTAGATAATCTTGTGAAGAAACTCAAACTCAGACGGGGTTTCTTTTTTAGAAATAAACTTTTTTCCTTTGAGGCAACAAAACGACTAGTTACTGCAACATTTCTGTCTGTTCTGGATCATGGAGACCTTTTGTATACGAGTGTCTCAGCACAGTATCTTGGTAAGACTGATGCGGTTCATCATGCCTCGGTGAGGTTTATTACTAACTGTAGACCACTGATCCATCATGGTGAATTGAGTTCTCCAGTGGGATGGCCTTTATCCACCAGGAGGTTGGGACATTGGTACACCTTCATTTATAAAGCCATGCTTGGATTACTACCCACCTACATCTGTAACTTAATCTCACTGAGAAGTGTAACTTCTCTCAGTCTAGAAGAAAACGATCAGCTGTTACTATGTGTTCTGTTTGCTCGCACCGATCTGGGTTGAAGGTCTTTTGTTCACTCTGCTCCTTCTGCATGGAACAGGCAGCAGGAAAACTGGAAATTAACAGAGTTTTTCTCCTTTGTTACATTTAAAACCAGACTGGGAACCCTTGAGAGGATTCTGTGTTTGTAACTGCCTTCTGTAATCTAGTACATAACATGTCTGTGGAGCTGAAACAACTTCTGCTGCCTCTGGGCAAGGACTGCCTAATTTTGGGCAAGGACTGCCTTGGAAATTAGGCTTTTCATCTCAATGGGACCTTCCTAGTTAGATGAAGAATAAATACATGAATAAAATTAAATATTAATTATAATACTTTCTCGTGTGTGCTATAATTAGTGATGTTTTACCCAAAAATTTGACTTTGTACTGAGTTTGCAAATCAGCCTCTGGCTATAAAACCAGGGCTGCTTAGTCCGTTCAGGCAACGTATTTTTTCTTTCCTTGGTTAACTGAACTAAACTGAGACTAGCTGGCTGTCAGACGGCTAACTAGGTATCTGCTGCCTCTTGGCCAGATGGTTGTGGTAAATGAGAATGAGTAATCAATCGACTCATCTGGGTAAATTAAGGTTAAATAAAATAAATAAAGACGGCATTCGGATGTTACTTAAGACAATGAGATGCGGCTAACTGGGTCATTTTAAAGACATTAAAACTTTTAAGTGTAAATTAATTTATCAGAATATTTCCTAAGAATACTATCAGTTTAAGATGTCTACCAAGAATTAACCACGATTCAAAAACTTTGATTAAAACAATAAGGATTCATAGTTCCTAGCTTACGATGCTAACATGTAGATCAGCGCGACACAGAAACACAAACAGAGAAACGTGTGCTAATTACCGAGCAGCTCGAGATTCATCGCTGGACGAAAAAGTATCCAAAGTTCTTCAACAGCTTGGTTCTACTGACGATTTATCAAACTTTGTTCGATTTATTTCACATTTGCAGCTACTTGGCTACCCTAGAGAGACACAAGCAGCGGAAAGGACCCTAAACGATGGACGGTGACCAAAGATGTGCCTGAACAAAAACAAAAAAAACGTAATATTAACAACACATTACTTGCTTGTTTGTTTATCACAAAGTAAATGCATTTATAATGTGTATATAAAACCGATTTCATTTTGCTTATATGTATTTAATGTATATAGGGACAGGTGAAATAAGCTATGCTTCTTTCTATTCCTTTTCGAATAATTTTAGTTTGTGATACTTTGATTTAAGTTGGAAAGTCTTATATGGTAAGGCCAATTTATTACTAATATTATTTTATTATTATTTATTTTTAACAAACTACATTTGTTGTTTTCTTTTTTTTATCTTTGTGAATTCAGCATTGTTTGACCTGTTCGAAATAATAAAAAAAATTATATACTTAAAAAATAAATGTCAAGCAACAGCAATGATAAACTCAACTCAGTCTCTGTTTAAGTAGCACTTATACCCATGTCTGCCGCTCACAGCTCCCCAGGGCATGGGTCAAATGCAGAGAAAAAAAAATTGTGGATGACTTTACCTGTAACGCTTATGTTGTATCGGGTCACTGACTAATGTCTTTACAGCAATCCTCATAAGTAAGCATGTAGTGACAGTGGAGAGGAAAACTCCCTTTTAACAGGAAGAAACCTTCAGAGGATCCTGGGATGGAGAAGACAGAGCACACACACACACACACACACACACACACACACACACACACACACACACACACACACACACACACACACACACACACACACACACACACACACACACACACACATTTCTGCAGGACTGGAAATTAGCATCTCTTTAAAGGGGGAGATCCTTCAGACCAAAGCTGTTAAAGACCTATCTCTATCCTGCCTTGCTTCTCTAAAGTCATTGAAAAGTTAGTCAACCAACAGCTAACTCAATATCTGGTATTACCTCCATGCAGTCCGGCTTCAGAACTGCCATGGATGTGTCTCTGCAACACTTAAAGTGGTAAATGACATCATATGTGCCATTGACAATAAGGAACATTGTGTAGCTGTGTTTGGCTAAAGCCTTTGACCCTGTAGACCATAACATCTTACATTGTTTAGGTTAGGGTTAGGAATAGAACCACATTGGTTATGGTTTGGGTTAGGCATAATACAGTCACAAAAATTAAGAAAAAAAAAGGAATACAAGTCAATGGAGGGTCCACACAAGCATTTAATACAAGTGTGTGTGCACCAGTTTGTATGGTTTGTATGGACAGATAAAACAGATGGGTAATAGGTGCAGCTGTAACACCTGCTGCTATTGTCAGAAAGAAAGGGTATCCATTCAGGCTGATTTATGGATCTTTGTTGGCTCTCAAGGTTATTTTATTAACACAGAGTGCATAGGTTAACATAACCCCAGTGCTTGAGAGCATGATGTCAGTCTAGTTCATCTAACAGTGCAATAAATGCCAAACGATTTATTACAAGTTCGCATATGACGTTTTTTCAGGGGTTTTTTAATAAAGGAAAATGAAACTGACATGCTGCAAAACAGGACATACTGTTGTTATGGCGCTTAGTTCACGTTTTCTTTAAAATCAAACTTGCTATTCTGTGAAATAGTAGCCTAGTGAACTAGACCAAATTCTTGCTTTGCAAAGTTTGTAATACATTTATTTAGTCTGGATTGCCGATCATAGGAGAGCCCTTCCAGCCAATCAGAGGCGAGAAAGGCGGGACCATCCTTGGACATTATACGATTCCAAATAACGCTTCCAGCCCCGTGCTACAAGCCACAGACCTTCTCGAATCACCGGAGATCAACTAGAGGAGGCGGAGGCTTTTACTTTGAAGGTCGTTAAAGGAAGCGTAGTGTGTTGTTGCATGTGCGCCACGTAGGCAGAAGCAGCAGCTAGAAAAAGGAGTCCAGAGAAGTTCGGAGAATTGCGTGTTCATTGCGTTTTTGTGCGTGAGAGGCGCTTATAGCCGGGTCAAGAGTCCGAGCTGCGGGTTCCGGACTCAGATACAGATTGTGGCTCTGAGGCGCGTGGGAACCATCATGGTGAAGGTAAGAACTCACCTGTTTTACCTTGTCTTGAACCAGGTTTCTCCTGGTCTGGCTTTGAGCTACACAATAGCTGCTGAAGGTCTGAACATTGCATGTTCAGGTCAGGTAACAGGTTTAGAGAAACATGTATTTCTTTGTTGTTGTTTTTTTTTTTTGTTTGTTGTTGTTTTTTTTTTTTGAGAAATCTGTTCCAGACTGGAGCTACAGCAGGAGGCCCAGCTCCAGCTGGTGGAAAGGTTTTAAACCAGTTAGAAAATCAAACTCTGGTTTGAGTTAAAAACAAAAACGCTTTTTAAATGTAATGCAAACAGATTCCTTCAGTGTCCTAAATGCGTGTTAAGTTGTGCGGACACTCATTCCCAGCTTGAACACAGGAGCTTCAGTCCTCAGTGGGTGTCTCCACTGACCACATTACTATGCTCCAGAACCTGAGATCAAGACACATTAAATTGGGTTAACTCTTATTTATTGTTCACATGAACAAAGAATCTTCCTCCTGCTCCAGAGTTACTTATGGAGTTCCTCAGGGTTCGCTCATTGATCCTAAAGTCTTCACTTTATGAATGTTTTTATGGGGTCTAAATGTAGTGCTGGGATGGCCGCATCGCTGGGTTGAAGGCTGGAAGTTGTTGATGACTGTAGCAGAGCGTGCATAGCCGCGAGGGACAGGGAGAAGACAAGTGTGCTTGATTTACACTTCTTCATGAGCTCCGCACACAGAGTGTAGGAAAGGTATCCTGCTACCATTACACTCATGTATCCGGTCCAAGATGGTGTATTTATTAATGTGTTTAAATATTTCAGAGACTTTATAACATGGACATTTTTGTGCTTCAGTCTCCTCCACCTCTTCATGCGGTCACCACGTCTAAACCCACCCCATCATTTTCAACCACGTTTGCTCTGTATTTTGTAGTCCCAGTCACGGGTGAATGAACGTTCATATTTTCAGACCTTTTCCGCGATGCGTTCTTTAATCTGTTCTGGGTCTGCCCAAGCCCCCACAATGCCGCTCAGAAAATGGTCCCATCCCGGAAGTAAGAAAAATTGCAGTTCCACCCTCATCCGCTGGGGGCTGGTGCCAGAAGCGAGCAAATCCTCATTGACTCCCATGTTAAAAATGCCGATTTCACAGCAGAAATAAACATGTTTACAGCCTGGTGCCAAAACATGTTTTTTGTCTAAATTATCTAGTTTATACTCATGACAACTCTGAGGGGGGTGAATTTTTTTCTCACTCTTCTGTTTAAGTGTTTTGAAAGCCTAAAATTCTGTATAATTAATGAGCATCCGACACACGTGACCGCCGCCTCAGACCCACGTGACCACAGAGCTAGCTCCGTGGAAAGGCCTCAGTACAGCCTCGGTCTGGCTTGGAAACTGCTCCGGCATTTTGAGTCTCTGTGTTTGTGTATTCTTCTTTGGATATTATTGGTGCAATTGTTGGACAAAATGACTTGCAGTGGTATTAATTGCACTAATAGAGCGTCCAAGGAGTCTCCACTTCATTTTTTTCGGTAAGTTAAAATCTATATTCGTATTTTATGTCACTGCTACCTTTAAACTAGCTGAGTTTACCGAAGTAGCTAGCTAACTATCAGTTTAACATGTAGCATGTACTGTTTAACCATGAAATTTAAATGTAAAATACGGTAAAATAATTAATAGGGCATATTTAGATGGGTAATAAGGTAAAACCCAGTGCATTTAAGATAAAAATGGGTTGAAATATGACGGAGCGCTAAGAGGGAGACTTCTGTGTCCATTCTTCCATCCGGTAATCCCCAGCGGTCAGGCCGGGCAGCCTGGACGATCCGGCGCCTATTTGCTGCGCCTAGCTGCTGCGCGGTCTGACCGCTCGTGGAGTTTTTCATGTCTGACTTTAACCGCATCTAATACTGTATTACGGCGTGAGCGCAACAGCGACAACTTAATATCGATGTGTAAGCAGCCTGAGTGGTAGGGTGTTTTCATCTGAACCCTCCAGCAGGCTATGCTGCACTAACTTAGCAACGTGACATGTCTCTGAGAAAGCGTAAAACACGGACGCTTCTTCTGAAGCGGAAAATAACACCTCTTCTTAAGCAGAGCAGGATGTCGCCTCGGCTCGTTCACGGCCGAGCCGGACTGAGCTCGGTAACATTGACCAAGCACAGCCACTGGGCCGTTGTAGCTGCCACCAGGCCTGCTGAAGGAACTCCAGCGGGTTTCATCAGACTCGTAAAGTTTCTTGTTTTTGCTGGGGATTTCTGTATTTTACCGCTCCCTCCTGCAGTCTTCCCCTATTAAAATTTAAAATGTGTAACTTTATGTATTGTGATGAATGACTAATATTCATGTTAAACTGAAACGTTAGGCATTTAGGGGGAAAAAACAAAATAATAAACATTATACAGATGTCAAATAAATCAAACTGTAATTAAACTATATATTTTCAAAGTCATATAGACAGCATGATGGTTTGTGTGATCCGCGCGGTTTCACTTACACCCCTTTAATGATCAGGCTGTTTTTTATTATTTTTATCAGCTGATAGCAGTTAAAATTATGGTAAAAAATAATTTTATCTGTTTTTGATAACTTAATGCCCAGGAAGAGCATCTTCCTGGGCATTAAATATAACCCAAATGTTTTATTATGAGCAGATCTGATGAAGGTTTAGAAAAGCAGTCTGCAAAGTAAAACTTGTTTAGAGTCCAAACTCTTACTAAAGCTTTTGAAAAGAAAAAATGGTTGAATTTTGAGAAATATCCACAACAGGGGAGCGAGACCTCTGAAAAATGTATATTTTCTCTGAATTCATAGAATAATGTGAAGATTCTGGGAAAAGTTGGGATTCTGAGATTAAAACGTAAATCTTTCTAATCATAATTCTGGCAGTTTTTGTGTCCTTCTGCTGTGGAAAGTCGTGCAACATGAAGATACTGAGAAGATGCTTACAACCTGTATTTTTATTCCATCCATAAATAAAATCATGAGCTATTTTTTTAATCCAAATTTGATCCAAAGGGCCATCGTTGGTTCCAGACCCGTTCTAGAACATTCCTCTAATCTTAAAGTCATCATCAGTTTCTTCATTTTAACAAATATTTATTTGTTCAAATATTTAATATTTATAACTGGAATATTTGTTCCTCCCTCTCCCACTGCAGTTAGTCCTGTCCTGCAACCCTGTTTTTGCAGCTTAGTGAAGCCAACCATCACTAACCGGGGGGTGGTTTTGGACCCAGAGATGCGGATGGACTCCCACATTAGCCAGGTGGTTAGATCCTGCTTTTCCCGGCTTCGCCAGCTACCAAAGATGAAGTCCATCCTGAAAGACGTGTCATATTTTCTCCCCAAGCTGGACCTGACCGTCATGTATCGGTCCAAAATAGTGTGATGATATTGTGTTTTTGTACATAACAGACTTTTTAACAGACAAATTTGTCGCATTCTCCTACACCTCTTCACGGGCTCGCCACAGTAAATATTCTATTTGGCAAGAGATAAACTTTATTGTATTTATCCTAGTGAATCTATAATTAAACGGGTAAACTAGTAGTAGCACATCCAACATCAAAGAAAGTAAAATGTTATTATCAGGAGAGGGAGAATGTTTAAGTGGTTAGCAGCAGTGTGCTAGCCGATGGCCCCCTCCATGAGGCCACCACAGCTCAACAGAACATCGTTGTAGCTTCTTCTGGGGAGAAAAACACTTAGAGAGAAAATAAAGTTAACAGCTGAAATAATACAGTTAAAGAGCAGATTGTAGAAGAAAGAAACCCCTGGGTTAAACTGGTCTGTCTACTGCATAATGCTGAACTCTTAACATGTGTCCTAAGGGAAGGACCTGATTGGTGTCCAGAACCTGCTGAAGAAGCACCAGGCTCTGCAGGCTGAGATCACAGGTCATGAACCTCGCATCAAGGCTGTCACCCAGAAAGGAGAGACCATGGTGGAAGAAGGTAGAGCAGGTCTGGTCCTGACATGTTTCTGAGGTGTCTGCAGGTTCTGGCTCACTTTTTTTGGGTCCAGGTCACTTCGCTGGTGAGGAAGTGAAGACTAAACTGTGGGAGCTTCATGGACGTTGGGACACGCTGAAGGCCAAGGCGTCCCAGAGGAGGCAGGACCTGGAGGACTCTCTGCAGGCCAAGCAGTACTTTGCGGATGCTAATGAGGCCGAGTCCTGGATGAGGGAGAAGGAGCCCATCGTTGGAAGTCCAGACTAAGGGAAAGACGAGGACTTGGCCGAGGTATGGAAGTCCCTTCCTGAGAAACTCCAATCGCTTTTCTTTGCTCTCTTTCCAGTCCTTCATAGTGTTTCTGTATTTGGCATTTCCTTCGGTTGTCTACCAGACGTCGTTGCTCGTTTAAGCGTCTCATGGGTTAGGAGTAGAAGTGCTGGCCTCGCACAGGAAGTGATGACAAACGTGTTCCCGTCGCTCTTATTTCAAACGGTTTACAAGCTGTGATGTGTGTTCCCGCTGCAGAGCAGCCATGACACGTGGCAGCCGGCAGAAGGCTCACGCTTTTCCACTAAACACCCGCAGAGCTACGTCTGCGGTGAACTGAGCAGGGTTTGTTTTACGGTGGCGGATCCGATTGGACCATCGCTGCGAGAAAGCTCCACTTGTGTCAGACGAGCTGAAGGTTCTGATGTTCTGCTCCACAGGCTCTCCTGAAGAAGCACGAGGCCCTGATGTCGGACCTGTCGGCTTACGGCAGCAGCATCCAGGCCCTGAAGGAGCAGGCCCAGTCCTGCAGGGTGAGTTCAGAATCCTCGGCCCGTCAGAACATTCTTATCCACCATGTTCTAACACCAGACCTGTTAACCCGACAGCAACAAGGTGATCAGCAGGTGCTTTTGTCCTGCAGGACCTGAAGGCCAATGAGTCCCGCCTGAGGGACATCAACAAGGTGGCATCTGAACTGGAGTCAGAAGGTCTGATGGCTGAGGAGGCTCCTATGGTTCAGGCTCAGGTGAGCGTCACCTGTCTGCAGCAGCTGGTCCCTCTCACTTCCTGGTTTAACTCTGCTCGTCTCTGTTTGTAGCAACAAGAACATCTGGGTTCTGCTCCTGGAAAGGTGCGTGTTGTCCTCCGCCTCCACCAGAACCAGACGTGGTGTTTATGTTACCACTCATTTGTTTGTTTACAGGATGAAGCCGACTCTAACACGGCGTCACCCTGGAAGGTGAGTTCATTCAGCTGATCAGAGGTCACCTCTGATGGCAGCAGTCACGGCCGACCGTGCTGACATCACACAGGAATTCAGGTGACCCGGCAGGCACCAGGTTTTGGTGAAAGTGGGGACATGTCAGCTGGTTGCCATGGCTAGTTATCTTTATGCATCTGTATGACTGCTGACTGGTGTGTGTTTCCTGTGACCTTTGACCTCAGACCGTACGGTTGGGCGTTCAGACGACGGCTAACTTTAATTCCATCAAGGTAAGAGGAAGCTCTTCCCTTCCTGTCTGAGCGATCCGTCTCCAGGTTTCTTCGTCCGGCGTCCAGCCCGCTGGCGTCCACCTTCATCTCACCTTCATCTCATCTCACTTCATTTATAGTGCAATACTTTCACATTATCATTTTCCCACACTTCTGTATACCTGTATTTTGTTGTTTTTCAATAAAGAATGACAAATTATTTAAGTTTGGTTTTTGTTGCACACAAATATATATCTGTAAAAAATATCTACAAAGCTAATGTTTACATAACAAGTATGATTGGGTTTTGCAATACGGCACTCAAGTTTATTTTAGTAAGATTTTCAAACCAAGTAAAGTTAGTAAAGAACACATTTCTATTGTCTGCTAAGAAACTGTTGGGATTTAAAATGGGCCTGTTGTACAAATAACTTGTAAATGATTATTCCTCACTTTTGTCTTAACCAAAGAAATTCAAGTAATTGAGCAAAAACATTTATTTTTAACACTACAGTTTATAAAACAGGGCGCAAAGTGTCGGCACATGTATGTATGTCGATGGTCCGCCCCAACCAAACCAAGAGACACAGACGTCAGGGAGGCCAAGGTTGTCTCTGCAGCTCTCTGGGCACCACGCCTCACTCAGCTGTCTCCAATGATCCAAATGGCTATGGAGGAAAAAATAACAGGTTTGGCCTAGCTGTTTAAAGTACAAAACCATTCATGAAGTGGTCAAGACAAGTACTTGGAACTTACACGCTGCGTTGTGTAGCTGATGTTGGAGACACACAGGCTGCCATGGTGACCTTTTAATAGATCTAAGAAAAAAATGTAATAAAAGAATGAAACTTAAAAACTCCCAGACCTCATGTCATATTTACTCATCAGCTATGGCTGATTTGTTTGGATCACAGTGAGTTACACTAATTCTAATATATTTTTATTTCTATTATACATACATACTTTTTAACTGTTATTTTCACATGACTGTTATCAGGCTCTCTTGTTCTGGTTCTGATGATAACTCTGTGTCTTCCAGTAAGTTATCTTGTGCTTACTTCATCTGTATAATGTCTCTTTACTTTTGGTAAATTGTACTGAGTCCAGAATAAAGGCTAGTTGACTGTACAAGATACAAACAAGTATTACGTTTTGGAAATATATGAAACACCGCCAGCATCTGTTAGAGCCTGTGGCGGGGTGCTGAGGGCCGGCTCCAGCCCAGGAATGAGCTCTACACGCCGGCCGGGAGGGTTTGAAACACCGCCATCCTCTCCTCTGCTGGCTGTAAATTCTGTTATGGTTACCGGTGCTTGTGTTGCAATGTGAAACGCTTGGTCTCAGATTTTGTAAGAAAGATAATAAAATGCCCCCCCAAAATACGACTTAAATATATTTTCTCTTCTTCATGATACATTTAATGGCTGGTGCGACTCAGGAGTGATAGCGCCAAAAAAAACTACTGAAAACTTGCTCAAAGCAAAATGTTTTCATTACGGAAATAAATTATAAACTTACCGATTTAAAACTTTTTTAATACAGGTACTTCTCACGAACAGGCGCAGAAAACCTCCACCTAAACTCCGTGTAAGGTTCAGGTCGATGGGTGTTCCAGTTAGCTCCGGTTGGGTTGAAGCTAGGTGGCTACATCCGTTAGCTCGGCTCCCACCTCCGCTTTAGCTTTGGGTTAGCCAGGGTTAGCTTCAGGTTAGCTCGTAGCTAGTTCGCCTGGGTGTCGTCACTCGAGCCCAGCCTTACAGCCACACCCTCAGCGCCTCCTCTCTTCCCTTTTATGGAATTGTCTGGGCTGGACGGAACCTGTGACACGGTCAAAATGGCGGTGGTGGACACCTCCCATTATGGACAGATAACGTGAAATTGAAGCCTATGGAATCGAATTGTCCAGTATATGTACAGTCTATGGGTCTGCCGCTAAATGTCTTTTTACTTTAAACAGGGTAACAACGGTGCTGATAACAGGAAGCGGCATCCTAACCAGGGCCGTGCAGAGACCTTTGACGGGGACGGGGCGGGTGCTCAAAGTAAAAAAAAAAAAAAGGGGGGGGGGGCACAGAGCAATCCAACAAGTTAGAAAATTCAGATAATGAGACCCTTGGGTTCAAACAGCATAATAAAAATATATCAGTTAGTGTCATTAGTGTTAATGTTAGTTCATAAACAGTAGTGTTAGTTTTTAAAGCTGACATATCTAGAGATGTTACAACCACATTTTTGCCCCTGATCCAAATCCAAGTTGCTTGATTTTTGATTATCTTCCAATACTGAGTCCTGTTCTGATACCAGGTGGTAGGGCTGTCGCGGTTGAGGAATTCCCCCTGCGGTGAGTCAGGGCAGCTCAATATTGCGGTATGCGATATTATTGCACCCCGTTTTTATTTATGAACTTAGCAAATTTGTTTGTTGATTACTAAACTCATGTCAATATTTCCTTTGAAACATTGTGCTTACATATTTAAAAAATGTTAGAAAAAATACATGGCCATTTTTAACACTTTATTGAATGCAGATCGAAGGGCAGTTACGGCATTTTCTGACTGAACTTAAAAACAACATTCAGGAGGTTTAATTTTGAAATGCAAATTTGGCTGCAACATCTAACAGAAATAAAAAAAGTGCCCGTTTTGTTTTGTAGTTTAAAATAAAGTATACAAAATGAGATGTCCTAGGCACTGTCATTTCACTTTCACACACAAGAATAACTTATAACTCGGTCATGTCCTTGTTGTGCGCAAGGAAAACCAGCATGTTAACTTTATGCGGTTTGAGAGGGGTAACAACATTTCCAGCGACACTTAAAACCCTCTCGGATGGTGCGCTTGTTGGGCAAATACATATGTACTTACGTGCGACTTTGGAGAGCAATGGAAATCTCCCATGTTTGTGGCGCCACCATGTCAGAGGGTTTTCATTAGGGGCAATGGGTTCCTCCTGCAGGTAGCGAGTGAGCTCCAGCTCGGCTCTAACTCTCTTCGGGACGGTTACAGATGACGTGCTTGTCCGTGACTTCAGCAGGTCTCCAAGCGTTTTTTTCTTTGCCGCTGGTGGCAGCACTGCCTGCTCCAAGGTCTCTGGCTGGGCTGCAGCTGACGCACTGACACCGCTCCCTCCATCTTCCATGTGTACTATTTCCTCGATCAGCGCGGACTTTACCTCTCAGCATGCGCTGTCGCGAGATTTAATCAAGTGCGGTAATGGCGGTGGCACGTCCTGCAGCGCGGTGGGTTTCTTAATATCGCGATATTTTCTTCTTGCGGTTACCGCGACAGCCCTACCAGGTGGTGACGCAACGCATTGTAAAAGAAGAAAGAAGTCGTCCTTCTGTCTGTATTTGTCATTTTGTTATTTTAGCCTGAAAAGGTTCCTCATTCAGGAAGTACATTTAACAGGAATCAAGATAATTTATTGCTATTGCACACAGGTATACAACCAAATATATTTTGGCCTACTAAAGACAGCTCAAGTAAGAGGTAGTAAAATAAATGCACCAAAGAGAGTTATCCAGTGGGATCTACAGCTATGTTAGCTGAGATTGTTTCCTGTCATTAGAAAATTCTTGAGCCCATTCCATGATCTCACTGAACTTAACACTAAACGTGAGAGCTCTGCTACCAACCTAACAACAACATCCTTTGGGCAAAGGCACCATCATCCCATATGTGGCAGGAGTCTCAGAGAAACTTGGAAGAATCTTCTCCAAACACAACATCCCGGTAAACTTTAAACTTTTTTTTAAACACCCTCAGACAGAACCTGGTCCATCCAGAAGAGAAAACACCCAAACAGAAGCTCAGTGGTGTCGTTTATGCAGTCTAATGTAGGAGCACTGTCCAGATGTTTACATTAGAGAAACTAAACAACAATTACACAAGAACATAAAGGTTGGTTTATGCTTGACGCGTCCGCGAGGTTCGCACGGCTCCGCTCGGCAAAATTGCGTCATTTTAACAACCACGCACGGCCCAAAATTTCCGCACCGCACGCCTAGGAAATTTTCTAACCACGCAGACGGTCGGACACGGAAAAACATGGCGGACTGGCAAGAACTAGTATGGCAGAGGTTCGTAACTACATACATTTGTATGATTCAGCTCTCAAAGATCACTGTGGTCAACATGTTGTTAATAATTCTTGGAGAGAAATGGCTCGCACTGTCGGAAAAGACGAGGACGCTGTTAAAAATGCTGAAATGCCATGTTGTAAACAACAGTAACTTCTACTTCTACTATGGTGTAGTGTTGGATGCATGCCGTAGAGCTCCATGCTGCCCCGTTCAGTTTGGGAGAATATTGGCTCACCGCAGAGACAAGCCGCATGAACCATAAACGTTGCGAGTTGTGAAGCGCGTTCCATCTGAGAGACGCATCACCAAGCGGAAAGTGAATGCGTCAAGCATAAACCAAGCTTAACACAACACAGGAGAGCCGCCTCTTCAGGTCAAAACTCTGCAGTCCACCTTCACCTGAAGGACAAGGGACACACCTTTGAAGATGACAAAGTACACATTCTGGTCAGAGAAGATAGATGGGGAGAGGAGTAAAAGAAGCTGTCAAAACGTGAAAACTCCACTTTAAATAGGGGAGGGGCTTAGGTTTCATCTTTCCAGTACCAATAATGCAGCTTTGAATCTCATTCAGTTTCAGTCTAGGTCACACCTTCCTGCATCTAATCAACATGATGACTCACCATCAATAGAGGCTAACGACTCATCAGGAGATCGGGAGGCCAGGTACTCAGAGTAGTTTCTGCTCTTTAAATAACAACAGACAGCTACAGCTTATAAACCTGACTCTCCCATATTCCAGTTAGAACTGACAAAGCTCCTCAGAGGAGAAGTGAAATGTTTTAAAGAAACCAAAGAAGTCCAGTAATAAAGTCATAAAACATATATAATTATGCTCACGTTCACTTTTACCATCTCTTTATGGGAGGCAGAAAATTTATCACGGTTAACCCTCTAATGACCATAAATATAACAGGTATTTTTTGTTTTGTTTTATGGCTTTAAAATTGTAATAAAAGTGCAAAATGTTTGTAACTCTGCTCCTTTTTTCAGAACAACCTCAGCTTTCAGTGCCTGGTTTGTATTTGTGTTTATGTTAAAGTCTGTAAAACTGCAGCTTAAATGAAAAAAAAACGGATTTGAATTTTCTTTACATTTATTACTAAACAGGAACGTCAAAATGACTTGAGCAAACTGTCAAAAGAACAATTTAAACTCAGAACTGCAAACACTCAGAAAACAGTGTTAACCCAGGCCTCACATTTTCCAGTCACTGTCTGTGACCACAGGTCTACGCTCTGGTCCCGAGAACGGGATACAGTAAGATAAATACTAGGTAATATAAAATAACACTCATACATCACAGCTGTAGCTACATTTCTACCAGCATTATGAAGATCAATAAGCCAGACAAAAGGTTAAATCTAAACATTTCATTACAAAAAGTCAACTAATAAAATTCTGCACTGATAAAATTATATTATCAGCTAAATATTTAATGTAAATATAAATAATGCTGGAATGAAGCTGAATCATTTAGTAAACAGTTGAGTGTTCAAATAAAAACTAGTGTGACTGTAATCTGTCCCTCATGTCACCATCTACAGAAACAGCCATCTGGGACACCTGACCAACCAGGTGGATTTTCTTTGTGATGTTTTGATAACTTTATAAAAGCTGCTGATGAAGATGATCAGACTATCTCCTCCTTTCGGTTCTCGCTCTCCCGTCGCGGTTCGCTCCGTTTCTTTCAGTGCCGCTGCAAAGCTGGTTTCCTCCTAATAGCGATTTTTGGAGTAACATGAATTACATCATGTAATACTCGTTGGAAAGCTCGTTTTATGTACTTTTAGAAACCGTTTGAATTATTTTTATTCGATAAGTAATTCAGAAGTTCTGACCTGGAGAATCCAGAGTGAGAAATATCAACATCTGTGATTCTTTGTTGTGTGTTTCTTCAGCACTTCAGGAGAAGTCTCTCTCATGTCCCATTTCCTGTCTCAGACATGCAGCTACCTCACTGCTCCACACACACTAGCCATGGACTCAAACACACATAAACAAAAGCTCTGATATTAAAATCCATCCAGCTGATGTGAAGCAGGCAGAAAAAAACTTAGATGAACGCAGACTCCTGCCCGCTGGCAAAACACTGGTCTGTCGTCTCCATGGCTACAAGGTAGAGCGACAGCAGGGACAACCAGTCACACATTAGTAATCAGTGAGCTTGTGGGTGGGTCTAAGGGAAAATAAGCTTCAGCTTGAGGCGGCTGCCTCCGCATGGTCCTAGTGCCTGATATGTATCACAGGATAACAGTTTTGTACGGTAAAATCTAACGAAAGACTGGAAAAAGGGCACTTTGGACAAAAGGGGCAGGTGCTCAAGCCCCCCCCCCCCCCACACACACACACACGTGCCTGGTCTCAGACAGTACAGAGATAAGAGATCTAAAACTATCCAGCAGCATTTCCTTCTTTTGCAGTTCAGCTGAGAGTCGTCGTATATCCTCTTTAAGGTTTTCAGTTCTTTTATGTGCTTTAGAAAGCATAAAGACGTCATTGTGGGGCAGAAGGAAGGGAGAACAGACATTCACGATAGCTTCAAGGTTGCTTACACTTAAGATGAGTTTCTTCTGTTGGATCCGAAAAAATTTGTATTCCAAGTAAAAGTCCAAGAAGTCAAAGAATCCAAAAAACATCCCAGAATCCAGAGATCGGTGACAGGGAAAACAGGTCTTAAGAGGAATTGCAGCACAAAAAGTAGGAGCTGAAGTAAACCTGTCGGCCACATCTGCAGGCTTCTTGATGATTACAACCAGTTGTCCTGTCCCTGCAGCTAAAAGACATCCCCACAGCATGATGCTACCGCTGCCATGCTTCACTGTAGGGACTATATTGGACAAGTGATGAGCAGTGCCTGGTTTTTTTACACACTTGCCTCGTCTCATCAGACCAAGAGTCTTTATTTCTCACCATCTCGGGGTCCTTCAGATGTTTTTCATTAGGGCTTTCATGTGTTCACTGAGGAGAGGCTTCCGACGAACCACTCTGCCATAAAGCCCTGACTGGTGGAGGGCTAAAGTGATGGTTGACTTTCTACAACTTTCTCCCATCACCTGACTGCATCTCTGGCCACAGTGATCTTTGGGTTCTTCTTTACCTCTCTCACCAAGGCTCTAGGAAGGGTTCTGGTCACCCCAAACGTCTGCCATTTAAGGATTATGGAGGCCACTGCGCTCTTGGCAACCTTAAGTGCAGCAGATATTTTTTGTAACCTTGGCCAGACCTTGCCACAATTCTGTCTCTGAGCTCTTCAGGCAGTTCCTCTGACCTCGTGATTTTCATTTGCTCTGACATGCATTGTGAGCTGTAAGGTCTTAAATAGACAGGTGTGTGGCAGTCCTAATAAAGTCCAATCAGTAGAGTCAAACACAGCTGGACACCAATGAAGGCGTAGGACCATCTCAAGGATGATCAGAAGAAATGTATTTTATAGTACTGTTTTATGTTTTTCATCTCTATTATTGTGTGACTGTTCAGCACTTTGGTCAGCCGTATGGCTGTGTTTATAAAGTGCTATATAAATAAAGGTGGTATGGTAAATGGAAAGCACCTGAGTTAAAAATTAGTGTCACAGCAAAGGGTCAGAATACTTAGGACCATGTGATATTTCAGTTTTTTATAATAAAGCTGCAAAAAAAATCTGTTTTTCTGTCAATACGGGGTGCTAGGTGCGTTAATGAGGAAAAATTAATTTAATTGATTTTAGCAAATGGCTGCAATATAACAAAGAGTGATCCTCTGGACAGGGGTGTGTCCAGGGAGTGGCCTGGGGTAGCACATGCCACCCTTAGAATCTGATTGGCCACCCCAGGTGCCACCCCACTAAGTTCCAGTTTAAATTGACTTTACATTGTCGACAAAAGGCTTGGGTTGTAAACTCCAAAATAGTGTGGTTGCAAGCACCTTTCACCTTGTTTTCTAGCCCAGGCATTTAGTATTAATATTATTTAATATTTTTTCATATTCACATACATAGTATTTAGAGTCCCACTCAACTCCAGTTGGTGGCAGTAATGCAACAAGAAGTGACTTGCTAACCACCACAAAAGTAGAAGATGAAGAGGAAAAAAAATGGTGATTGTGCAATGTGAAACTCGAATTCAATAGAAAGTAAATTAATTAATTAATGATTTGTGTAAATAAATAAATAAGCATAACCATTGGTGCCACCCATGAATAAACGAGTGCTCGACATGGGCCACCCCATTTTAAAAGTCTGGACACGGCTCTGCCTCTGGAGGTTTCTTCCTGTTAAAAGGGAGTTTTCCTCTCCACTGTCTCTGCATGCTTACTTAGTATGAGGATTGCTGTAAAGACTCTGACACTAGTCAGTGACTCGATGCAACCTGCTGGGTTCCTTATATAGGAACCTTTTTACTGATTGGCTTAATGACCTGACCTGTATTAGAATGTTTACTGTGTGAAGGTCCTTGAGATGACTCTGGTCCTGATTTGATGCTTTAGAAATAAACTTGAGCTGAATTGAGAAATTGATGGGGGGGGGGGGTTCAGAATATTTTCCGTACCCTAACCCTTCTCCAGATGTGAATAACAACTGTCTTATCTGTTTTCTCTCAGTAAATGGTTACAGGAATTGTCTGCCTAAAACAAACCTTTTCCATGTAGTCTCTTATAGTGATGTCACAATAAAGCAGTGCTTCTCAACTAATGGTTTTACCAATTAGAAACAAAAATTATTGGTCCCCTGAACCCTGCGGTACTCCAGAATGATTCCTTTATCCATACTCCCGGAATTTGTTTTTATTCCTGAAGGTGACTGTCTGGTTTGTCTCATCTAGAATGTAAATAGCGTAAATATGGACCCCCAGCCTGGGAGCAGTCTTACTTCGGAACAAGATGAACCAGCCAACTGCCAGGCTCCAGAGGGTAAGCAACCAGGGATGTGGCTTATTGCTGAAAAATCAGTTGGGAATGTGGTGCAATCCTAGTTAACATGTTGCTGCTGCTGCTGTGTGTGTGTGTGTGTGTGTGTGTGTTCTGCCTTCAGAATCTGGTAAGGATCATGATGTGCCTCCCCCTGGTGTGGTGTGGCGTCTGACTGGAGGTCTCTTCAACGTGACGAAGGGTGTGGTCGGTGCGGCCGTGGGTGGAGTAGCCTGGGTGGGCGGGAAGAGCTTGGAGATCACAAAGTCAGCAGTGACAACAATGCCTTCAGTGGGGGTGGGGCTGGTGAAGGGTGGAGTGTCTGCCATGGCTGGTGGGGTCTCCAGCGTGGGCTCCACGGTGGCCAATAAGGTTCCGTTCACCTCAAAGAGGAAAGACAAGGCTGAGTGAGAAGAAGGATCAAGATCTAATGATAGATGGCTGAATTTGCCGAGTGGCAGAAGGACTGCCCCATTCAGACACCACAGTGCCTCCTTTACCATAAAGAACTTCATGTTTCCTGAGGCTGGTGGTGGATCTCCTGATGGACACTTTGACCTGTTTACAGCTGAAGGCTCCCATCCTCTCTGATCTACATGTTTGTTGAACCTTTTGTGTTTTTATCCAAGTATTAATGAACCAGCGTTCCATCTTTTTGTGGTTATTCCAAGTCAGCCTTGTGGAACGTGTCTGCAAATTGACGACAGTGGAACAGCAGGCTGCTTTTACTCATGCTTCATTGTGAAACTTGTTTTCTGTCGGTGACGTGTTAAAAAAGCTGTATCAGAGAAAAAGGGTTTGATGTTGTTCAGACTAATCTGGTCCTTTAATCTGAGCTTTACCGACCTTTAGGGAAAAAAACTTTTTAATCGTCAGCATTTCAATTCAGTGCGAGGAGGAAACTATACTCGTTTTGGAAAATAAATGTGAACGTCGTCTTTATTTCGTTACATCAATAAAGTTATTTCTACATTAAAACGTGTGGACTGAAACTTGAAGGAGAGTGTTGAGTTAATTTTCTACATTTCATTACAGATTTGTAAATGACCACACTCCTCCCACACCTGGGTTTTTCCTTTTTTGACCACTCAAGCCTGTACCTATCAACTGCCTCTTGAGTCCCACAGACCTTCTTCAACTTGACAGCATTTCTAATCGCTGGTGTCCACCAGAGGGTTTGGGGGATACTGCCAATGACAGGCACCAACCACCCTGCGATCAGCTCAACTGAACTGAACTCTTTATTTATATAGCGCTTTACAGGTACAAAGTAACACCAAAGCGCTGTATAGGAAATAAAAGAGGCTGAAAAGCGACATTAACAGAAATTAGTACACAATAAAATGTGGCTTAACAGAATAAAATAGTACATACTGAAACAAGTAGGTTAAAAATTACAACACTAATGACGGGAAGGAAAGGCCTGGGGTCTCTTTTATAAAACATTGCATAGAATCCTTACTAAAACCGTACTTAAGCTCAGCAAAATAAATGTACCTACACCAAGTAGGTTTGTGATCTATAAAACAGTACACACAGCTGCACACGATCTCTGCTTTATAAATCAAAGACTAAGGAGAAAGGTTTCTGCCATAAATGGTCAATGCTTGTGGATACAAGTGAGGTACAAGATCCACAAGGCAGGGGGCTCCCACATGTCCCCTGTGGACATGTGGGAGCCCCCTGCTCCGTTCTCATTGTTGAAAAAATCTTATCGATCGCATTGAATGACCAGATTTTCAGATTTTCAAATCCATAGTAAAAAAAAAAATAGAGTTTTTCAGACGAAATGCAGAGAAGTGCTCTGTGGGCAGACAGGACAAAGCCTTAGGAAGAAAAGAAGAAAATATCATTGCTATAGCACCTCTCAAGATAAAAATCACAAGGCGCTTAAAAAGATAAGGGAGCGAAAGAGAGAAGCGTCTGTACTCCGAGTGCCTTGAAGAGAACAAGTGCCTTCCTTCTGTATATTGCTCTTTTTACCTCTTTGTGCACTTTGACCTGGGCCACCATTAACTCGTGTAAAGCTCTAGTGGTCCTTGCTGCAGAGTTCAAGAGTGTTACTTCTCATGTAGCTTTTAAACATGTATTTTACTTTAACCTTAAGGTGTGGCCATATTAGCAGCTTTAATAAAAATATGTCAAAGGCATTTTAATTTATGTGAAGCATTAGTTGTCTAGTCATGGTGAGTAAATAAAATGTTATTTCATTACAGAAGTTAACTAAGATTAATTATCTGCACAATTGTTGAAGCGACAGCCGAAAAAGCTTCGATAAACAGGTGTGGATGGACAACGTCATCTGGAAAACCACTTAGTCCAACCTCAACCATTATCTTATTAAAGAAACATCTGTTGAAACGAGGTCAAGCAAGCCCATTTGCTCACTCCCCGCCGGGGCGGCGGTAGCGGGGGAGTCCCCGCCACGACCGCGGCGGTGCCGCCCGCCCGATGTGTCGGACAAAGTTGAAGTTTTGCTACACCCACACCTTCTTCTGATATGAAAATATTAATTTCATATTGTATGTGTACTTAAAACTTGAAACAAAGTTAATAAAAAGGCTGCAATCATACTCCAAAAAAACGGTAAAAAAAATCTTACATTCTTCATCTTCACAGTGAGACTCAACAGGTGTAGAAGCCAGTCCCGCCCCCGTGGTGTCAACAGGTGCCTGTCGTGGCTGCAGATATTGTCTCACTGCATCTGGACACGACGATTCAAAAGTAAAATTAATTGGTTAAAGTTATGAGATACTGTATTGTGTATGTAAACAGCTAGCGAGGGTCCGTCCGTGGACTGTGCGTGGCAGGAGAGGCAGTTAGCTACAAGGGAAACGCACAAAGTTTCTTTGCCAAATTTATAAAGTCAACATACCTCTGCTTTGTGCCTGTTTTTTTTCTTCCTCCTTCCTTCGCTTTCGGAATGCTGATCCCGATGGCTTAGGTGTTATTTTCATTGTAAAAGATATCAAAAGTTTAAACGCGACAACAGGATGTCCTTCTACAGTGCTACCCACGCACGTGATCTACGGCACCCTTAACGGTCAAATGCATCGGAGCGGTGGCCCAAGCGGGAGCTCGTCATGCAGCCAGATCATTAGAATTTAAATATTGATGTTTTAATTTCATGTCATTTCAGAGGGGAATTTTGAGCATATAGAGAGTGCATTTCATATTGCAAACATAAATTTAATACACTTAAAAAAAAAATTTTTTTAATTTTGCGCCTGTGTCGCCTGTCGGCAAAGCCGGCCCTGACCAAGTGCACTTTGCTGAGACCGCAGGCAGGGCGACTATTCGGATTGGGCCTTTAATGTCTATGCAGCAAACAGCTGTTCTGTAAAGTTCTGGTTCTGTTTGACTGGTTAGGGGTTCTGCTGCAGAGTTGAACCAGCTTCCACCGGTTCCACTGGAGCAGGCGTTCATCCAGCGGCCGCTAGGGGGCGGACGATAAGAGAATTTGACACGACCAAAAACATCGCAAAGAAGAAGGCGGAAGTGACGAATTGCCAGTCATGTTTGCTTCTGCGTGTGGTTTTGGGTTTTACCGGAACGTGTGTGAAGCATATATGTAAAGGTGGGCTGATTCTATAGAACTGAACATAACTCGTGCAGCGGTTCGGTTGTTCAGGACCGACCGAACTGGAGAGGAGAGGATGCTGAGTGACGGTGAAGCCGCGGAGCTCCGGTCCTTCCTGACCATCGGGACCCGTCCGGATGTCAAGGCCGTGGCAACAGAGTCGCTGCTGGGTCTGTCTGCTCACAGGTGAGTCGCTGCTGGATCCGCAGCTCACCTGAGCATAACAGCAGCTTGCTGATGCCAGTGACGTCACACTGGCGTATCGGTGCACGTGTAATAGGTCTGTAGAGCAGTCGCTACACCACACCAGGGTCTCCGTCTGGACCTAGACCATGACCTAGACCCATAACAACAAACCTGCTGTAACCCATACCGAGCTGGCAGGGTCGTAGCAAGCTTTGGACATTTCATATTAAAAAGCATCAGTCTGGTGCGTTTAGAGAAAAAAGTAGAGCTACAGGCTGGTGAGAATAATAATAATAATAATAATAATAATAATAATAATAATAACAATAATAAAGCCCTTCATTGTCTCTCATTGAGGAAATTCTGGTGCACCGGCAGCAAAGTTACAGGTAAGTTAAGAAAAACAGATTCACACAAAGAAAAATAAGAATAGAATAGAGATTGTATATTATTTATAGCAAGGATGTTGTAATGACACAAATATATTGTATAAGATGTTATAATAGCAGCATGAGACTAGAGATGAAAACATGTACAATCATCCAGTGTTGGACTCAGATTCTGTGCCACTGAGGCAAAAACTGAAAAGGGATTATTGCTTTGATCAATGTGCAAATATATGTGTTCATAAAGACTGTACAAAGAACAGCAGACAAACAACTGCATGATAAAGTATCTCTACATGTTCACGGTATTCTAATATTATGTATATGTGATTGATTATATATCCTGTCCTGTCTTTAATCCACTTTGAACACCGACTACAGCGAAGTCCTCTGATGCATCCATGCTGCTCAGTACTGCGCTAGCCTAACCTGGAGAGGTAGTGTGTTCCAAAGTTTTGGGGCACAGATAGAAAAAGGCCCGCGGATCTTCTAACATGCCTTAGGGACGGTGAGGAGGAGCTGATCTGCAGGTCTAGGAGCACGAGGAGGGTGGTAGAAATGAAGGAGTTTGCTCAGATAGGGAGGTGCCTTACTGTCCAGCAATTTGAATGCAAGAATGGGCAACCAATGGGGTGATTTAAAGAGCGGGTCAATTGAGCCTCGGAGTCCTTCTCCACCCACGTATCAATTTTAAAAAATGCAACATTAGTAGGCGTTGCCTGGAGGACCGAGAGGGCGGAGCCGCGGCAGTGACGAAGACGATGGCTAACTAGACGAAGCTAGCTCCCTTCACTCTTGAGCAGTTATTAGAAGTGGAGGACGTTTCTCCCCCCTCCTTACACAGACACTCGAGAAGAAAGGGACCAAGTCTATTTGGAGGAGACAAGCGGACCTGAGTCTTATTGTTTTGAGCTTGTGAGTTGCCTGAAACTCCCAGAACCGACCCAACAGAATCACCTCTGAAAGGTAAGTAGCCGTTAGCCATAGCATTGGATTAGCTGCAGGGTTTGTATCCACGGCCCTAAAAAGCTAGTATTCAGCATGTTTTAGAGGTTTATCTGCTTCAGCACACCTGGTTTTAATCAGCAACAAATAGCTGAGCTGCTTAACAGCTAATCTAACCTGTTAAAGCAGGAAAATCCACTGAAACATGCTGGATAGCAGCTCTCCGGTAGCTCTGGGCTCAAGTTACAGTCTGCTGCATAAAGTTATGAAAATACCCCATGAGAAAATTATTCTGTAATGTGTTCAGCCCACTAAAACTGCCCTGATTTCTTTATTTATTTACTAATAACAGCTGCTCTCTCGGTTCTAGGTCCTCTGGTGTCTGCAGGTGGTCTCTGGTGTCTGCAGCTGGTCTCTGCTGGTGTCATCAGGATCAGGAGCTTCCAGAAGAATGTGCCTTTCAATGACTCTTTCCCCCTTATTTGTTATATTAATTAAATAAATGTCAATTTATATATTTCCTGTTTTTGTTCATGTCCATAAATACTTAAACATGCTTGAAATTAAAACGAGCTTTTAACAGTGAGGTGCTAGTTTAATTAATCACAATAGCTAGTTAAACATGCAACAAAAATGTGATAATCAATGTAATTTATAAATATCCATTAAAATATCAAAACTGGAATCTAAATGAGATATTTGGCAGCACAAAAAACTTGTCAAACACAATATTTATTATAATAATTGTAGGCAGACAGGAGACAGAGCTGATGGAGGTTCTCAGTCATCGAAGGATGGCTGAAGGCTTTCCAGGAACAGGAGATGTGGTGTTGTCTCTTCTCTCTCTATTCAGCAGGATGAGCTGATAGGTTACAGGTGTGTGAGGACATCCTCATGCTGTCATAACCAGATGACAGGAGTTATCAGGTGATCAGCCAGGCTAATGAGATGCAGAAAGAAAACAAATTCAGGACAGTGTACAATATGTGGTGTTGCTCACCTTATGTGCTCTTATAGAGTATTAATGTGTGCATGCCTCATGGCGTAGAGCCCATATTTTGCTGAGTGTCCTGCAATAATGCAGGTTATTAGTTAATTTACTTTTGATAACAAAAACAAAATATTTAATGTAAAAGTTATTTTCCAGGTGAATCAGCTCACACGTCACCACCAAGTATCACAGGGCCAGAATCAGTAGCCTCCGTCATGATGTAATCACATACTTATTTAATTGTTAATATCTTAAAAATTCTGAAATGTTTTAATTTTTTTTTTACCTTGAACAGTTCACTGAGCTTGCACTGTCACTGAGGTGGAAGCTGGAATCAACAGCAGACACCTTACATCTTGGTCTTTTCAGGAGGTCTGGACGCTCTGGGACTTTCTGGAAGATGAATTTTCATCATGGTCCCTGTGGGTCACCAGACACACTGCGGCTGTGAACTCCATTCTGGCTGGCTATGTAAAAACAAAGAAGCAGCACATTTATAAATGTTTAAAAGAGCATAAAATCACGTGTAACAATAATCTGTAAAACAAATTAAAACTAGAAGGTGATAATAAAATGTTTACATAGAAGATTATTAAAAATAATTCACCTTTGCTACAAGGAAGGCTTCACATCAGCCTGGACAAGTGCATTCTTGCAGCTAAATCAGTCTGACAACCAGTGTCTTGGGTAGATTTAGCCTGAAAAAAAAAATAGAAGCACATTGTTGTTGGGAGTTTATAAAGTCAGATAACATACAAAAGAATCTCCTATATAGGCGCTTTATAACATTCCTAGTGTGTGATCGTTGTTATAACGTAAAAGTCAGTCACACATGATGTGGAGAGCCTGAAATGCGACCTCCTGAACAGAATTCCTCACAGAACCGGGTCACAAGCTGGATTTCACGCTGTAATGCTGTCTGTCAACTAGTGCTGCGTCAGTTAGAGCCACTGTTGCAGAATTGCCGACTGACTAGCTAAAGGAAGTGAACCACGTCTCTCAGACTTTGCATTTAGGTAGGGAATTGTCTTTAGAAGATGTTAAAACGTTTATTTAGCTGACTCACCTCAGACTGGAGCCCGCCGTGGTGGGGGAGCAGAGTCGGTGGGCTGCATCTAAATCGCGGAAGAGCCACGGTGGGCAGCCTCCCTCTTCAAACGGAGACGTGCAGAATCGCGGGTAAAATGCCCACAGAGTCACCGCAAGCATACTACATTACACCATCTCACCAATACTAAGACGATATGAACACTAAACCCGAAATACTTTCCCAATTACACTAACAGCCAAACACTAACTAAACTACAATATCCAACAGCCAAGCTAACACTAAATAAGTATTTATAACACTAAAAGATATGCTAAGACTAGGATATGCTAATGCTATATGCTAATGCTGAACTACCGCTGACCTCCTACGCTCGCTTGCAAATCCAACTCCCACGCGCCACAGGGCGTGGCCGAGACTCTCGTTGCTTTTATAACTTTGGCACGGAGCTGCTACGTAGTACTCTACTGGTTTACGTAGTACTTTACTCTTTAGCCATTGGCTAAAATTTATTCAAAATGACTCAAATTCTATGTTTTCAGCTGAAGGTGGCGCATTACTGTGGTTTTTAGACAGAATTTTTAATTTTTAAAGAAAATTCACCAAAATGCTAAAATAAAGAATGCACACATTTAAAACACTATTAGACACTCATTTATACAGTTCATCAGCAAAAAAAAGTTAATTTAGACGTTACTTGCTCTTTAAGAATAAGTCAGCTCCAGTCAGAAACCTTGCTGCTGAGTCCTGGACGAGCTGAAGTTTGGACAGAGCAGCTTTACTGATGCTGTACAAGCAGGAGTTGGAGTGGTCCAGCTGGGATGTGATGAAGGTGTGAATCACTGACTCTAGAAGACAGACACTCAGGTTGGGCTTTAATTTAGAAAACAAGGAGGTTGAAGCAGGACTTGACTGAGCATTCATTTTCAGAACCGGGTCCATTTTTACTCCATGGTTGGAAACCGTAGAGGTGACGTTAGGAGGGAGAGAATGGAGGTTAGGTGGCTGGTGAAGAACATTTTATGTTATTTATTTTATCCAAAGTGACGTACAATACTTAACCTATAGGGCAGCGGTTCCCAAACTTATTTAGCCACGCACCCCCTTCTGTGTCCCAGCCCCCACATCAGGGCATGGCTATATATATACAGGTGCTGGCCAGTAAATTAGAATATCATCAAAAGGTTGAAAATATTTCAGTAATTCCATTCAAAACGTGAAACTTGTACATTATATTCATGCAATGCACACAGACCAATGTATTTCCGATGTTTATTACGTTTAATTTTGATATTTATAGGTGACAACCAATGAAAACATCAAATCTGGTATCTCAGAAAATTAGAATATTCTAAAGGCCAATGAAAAAATGTTTGTTTCTCTAATGTTGGCCAACTGAAAAGAATGAACATGAAAAGAATGTGCATGTATAGCACTCAATACTTAGTCGGGGCTCCTTTTGCCTCAATAACTGCAGTAATGCGGCGTGGCATGGACTCGATCAGTCTGTGGCACTGCTCAGGTGTTATGAGAGCCCAGGTTGCTCTGATAGTCGTCTTCAGCTCCTCTGCATTGTTGGGTCTAGCGTATTGCATCCTCCGCTTCACAATACCCCATAGATTTTCTATGGGGTTAAGGTCAGGCGAGTTTGCTGGCCAATCAAGGACAGGGATACCATGGTCCTTGAACCAGGTGCTGGTGGTTTTGGCACTGTGTGCAGGTGCCAAGTCCTGTTGAAAGGTGAAGTCTGCATCCCCATAAAGTTGGTCAGCAGCAGGAAGCATGAAGTGCTCTAAAACTTCCTGGTAGACGGCTGCATTGACCCTGGACCTCAGGAAACAGAGTGGGCCAACACCGGCAGATGACATGGCACCCCACACCATCACTGACGGTGGAAACTTTACACTGGACCTCATGCAACGTGGATTCTGTGCTTCTCCGCTCTTCCTCCAGACTCTGGGTCCTTGATTTCCAAAGGAAATGCAGAACTTGCTTTCATCAGAAAACATAACTTTGGACCACTCAGCATCAGTCCAGTCCTTTTTGTCCTTGGCCCAGGCGAGACGCTTCTTGCGCTGTTTCTTGTTCAAGAGTGGCTTGACACACGGAATGCGACACCTGAATCCCATGTCTTTCATGAGTCTCCTCGTGGTGGTTCTTGAAGCGCTGACTCCAGCTGCAGTCCACTCTTTGTGGATCTCCCCCACATTTTTGAATGGGTTTGTCGTCACAATTCTCTGCAGGGTGCGGTTATCCCTAGAGCTTGTACACTTTTTTCTACCACATTTTTTCCGTCCCTTCGCCTGTCTGTTAATGTGCTTGGACACAGAGCTCTGCGAACAGCCAGCTTCTTTAGCAATCACCTTTTGTGTCTTGCCCTCCTTGTGCAAGGTGTCAATGATTGTCTTTTGGACAGCTGTTAAGTCAGAAGTCTTCCCCATGATTGTGGTGCCTTCAAAACAAGACTGAGGGACCTTTTAAAGGCCTTTGCAGGTGTTTTGAGTAAATCAGCTGATTAGAGTGGCAGCAGGTGTCTTCTATATTCAGCCTTTTCAGAATATTCTAATTTTTTGAGATACCAAATTTGGAGTTTTCATTAGTTGTCACTTATGAATATCAAATTTAAATGTAATGAACATTGGAAATACATTGGTCTGTGTGCATTGCATGAATATAATGTACAAGTTTCACGTTTTGAATGGAATTACTGAAATATTTTCAACCTTTTGATGATATTCTAATTTACTGGCCAGCACCTGTATATATATATATATATATATATATATATATATATATATATATATATATATATATATATATATATATATATACATATATATCAGACGTCAAGCTAAACAGTCACTCGACAGACAGGGTTAAAAAAATATGACGACCTTTTTCCCCATCACTTTCATTTTTTAAATAGTAATTAATAAACATTTGATACCATTACAATTTCCTTTGATTTAATTTTAAATAAATATTTAGAGTGCCCAGGTAGCACACAATGCAATTTAATGGTTTTCTTAAATTAGGAACGTTTAACCTGTGCGGCCAGAGCGCTCTCCTTCCTTCTGCTCTGCGTAAACCTGAACTGGCCACCTACTTGTGCATAATCAAATGTCTATAGGGGAAAATATGGAAAAGATATAGCCATGAGGTTCACTTTTGCCTCAGACCGACTTGTTGCTTTTTTATGGTGTGGCTGAATCTGCGATCCGCTGCCACGTGGACTGGAATAACAAATGCTGCAGTAACAGGAGTTGTAGTCAGGTTCGGAGTCACTGGCTGGAGCGGACCGACTTTAATACGTCATCCCAAAATAGAAGCTAATATCTTAATTTGACCTGGAATGAAAAATGTTGTTATAAAACCTCTTAAAAGTTTTTATGTTTTTGTGCCCACTTACGTTTTCTTAGGCCCACCCACAAATGAGTTTCTGGCTACGCTAATGGTGACATATGACAGACTTCTCTGAGCTGCACAGCCATTACACTTTTCACCTCGCGCACCCCCCTAGCGGCAGCTCTCGCACCCCCAGGGGTGCGCGCACCACACTTAGGGAATCCCTGCTATAGGGCATGTTGTGATCTGTGGAGGAAACCGGAGTGCCCAGAGGAAACCCATGCATGGTAAATGGTAAATGGCCTGTATTTGATATAGCGCCTTCTAGAGTCCTGGAACCCCCCAAGGCGCTTTACAACACAATCAGTCATTTACCCATTCACACACACATTCGCACCCTGGTGGGGATGAGCTACAATGTAGCTATAGCTGCCCTGGGGCGCAATGACAGAAGCGAGGCTGCCGAGCACTGGCACCACCGGTCCCTCAGACCACCACCAGCAGGCAAGGAGTTAAGTGTCCTGCCCAAGGACACAACGACAGCGACAGACTGAGCGGGGCTCGAACCTGCAACCTTCCGATTACGGGGCAAGCACTTAACTCCTGTGCCGCGTCGCATTGTTGCATGCATGGGAAGAGCACAGCCGAGTTTTGAACCTGCAACCTTCTTGCTGCGAGGCAACAGTGCTAACAACTGCGCTGCCATGCAGCCCTTAATATCTCACCTTTCTTTATTGTTTTCTTCTAATCAGTAAACTTGACAAAAAAGCTAAACACATTGGCAAGAAAAATTATTTAGACATGGCTGATGCGCTGCACTGACAGCTGGAGTTCTGCTTCCAGAGATGGGTGCCGTTTCCTCCACTCCAAACCCGAGCTGATAGCCGCGCTGGTGGAGCTGACCTCTGACCCATCTGTTGCTATAGTGAAGGACTGTTACCACATCCTCATTAACTTGTCTGCCGATGAGACGCTGCATCAGGTGAGTCTTGGTTCTGGGTCTCGGTACCTCTGTAGTTGGTTACCACCTCTCACCTGTCTTTGTGTTCTCCAGGTTATAGTGAATAAGGTCAAAGTTCTTCCACTGTTGTTGAAGAACCTTTTGGACCCAGGATACTTGTTCTCCGATCAGATCTGCACCATTCTGTCAAACCTGACCCGGCACGAGAAGACCTGCAGGACGGTGTTTGAGGTCATTCTAGCATCTTTATACAGCCACGCTGAAGTGGGCCCACTTAATGATTAACCATGTGTGATGGACATCAGCCTGTTGACCAGTAAAACCAGCCAGGACTCCAACCAAACTGGTGTTTAGTTTTTGTTTTTTTGCGGCATTTGTTCCGCCTCGCTTGGTAGTAATATTGTGGTAATTGTCAGTCTTATAAACGGAGATTGTGCCTTGGCGCAGCAGAAGGAGGTGTCTTGATGACGTAGGGAGTTAATGCTGAGCTCTGACCAGCAACTTTATTCAAAATGAAAGTAAATGCGGGCCATATGTGGGAAGGAGGATCTTAAAATCTATTCTGAATTTAACAGACAGCCAGTGTTGGGAAGCTAAGACAGGATAGATGGGTGGGATGATGTCAGCTCTCGCAAGGGTACTCTTCTGTAGTGTCCTTGGGCAAGACACTTGCCTATGTTGGTGGTGGTCAGAGGGGCTGATAGCACAAATGGCAGCCTCGCCTCTGTCAGACCGTCTCAGGGCAGCTGTGGCTACATAGTAGCTTACCAGCACCAGCAGTGTGTGAATAATGAGGGCTATAAAATGAATCCCTTATTATTGTTGTTGTTGTTGTTAATGTTGTAATTGTTGTTATTGTCTCTTTCAGGTCCTGCAGGAGGACATTGGTCTGGCTAAACTGGTGGCAATCTTCTGTGATGAAAACTACAATCAGAAAGCCAAGATGCACTACCTGGGTCCTCTCCTGTCCAACTTGACTCAGCTACCCCAGGCCAGAACCTACATGATGGACCGGGACAGGTGGCTGGACACACACACACACACACACACACACACACACACCTAATGAAGCATCTATTAGATTGAACTGAGGGCTGTGTGTGCGTGCGTGTGTTTCAGGTATGTGATTCAGAGATTACTCCCCTTCACCCAGTACAAGGAATCAGTTGTGAGAAGGGGCGGAGTTATTGGGACTCTCCGTAACTGCTGCTTTGACCACAGTAAGAAACACACACACGCACGCACGCACGCACACACACACACACACACACACACACACACACACACACACACACACACACACACACACACACACACACACACACACACACACACACACACACACACACACACACACACACACACACACACACACACACACACACACACACCTGACTCAGATTTTTGAGGATCTCCAGCAGCATCTGGGCTGCTGATCTGACTGCAGATGATCAGCTAGATGGTGCGGGGATTCCTGAGGGATGCTTAGATGATAAAATCTAGACCTACATTTACACAGTTTAGTAAAAGTTATTTGTTTACCTGACATGTTCCAGTTAGTAGCTCTAGCCATCCTCAGAGATCGCCGATGATGGTGGCGTCACGTCCTTTTATCCGCAGGCAGCAGAGGACGGTGTCGCCCTCTACTGCCCGCCTCCTCCTTGCTGATGACACAGTCCCATGCCTGATGATAAATGACCCGCACTTGTATAGCGCCTCTCAGAGTAAGGACTCCAAAGCGCTTTACACTACAGTGTATCATTCATCCATTCACACAGATTCACACACTGATGGTGATGAGCTACGATGTAGCCACAGCTGCCCTGGGGCGCTGACAGAGGCAATGTGTATGTTTCATCGTCTCTGTTTATGGTCCCGTGTCCACGTCTCCTTATCTCAGTCGCTTCTTTGATCCATCTTTTATATTTCTGTTGTTCTGTGTTTATGATCCGTGTACCGTCTCAGTCCATTATGTGGGTTCCCCTTGTGCAGTGGTCTGTTACAGCTGATGTCTTTATTGTACTTTCTGCTTCTTGTTTGGCTGCTCTTATGTGTCTTCGACTTGTTTCCCTCTCGCTCTATTTTTCATGTGTTGAAAAATAACTTTTACTAAATTGTGTAAGAAAAGAACACGTCATGTTCTTTCTGAAGATTTATATTTATTTAGAAATAATCAAGCAGCGTCATTTGGCCATCGCAGCTCAGTGCCACTCCCCCCTAGTGTTGCAACCAGGGGCGCAAGACGTCTCGTCGTCTTCCTCCACTTATCCAGGTCCGGGTCGCGGAGGCAGGATCCCAACTAGGGAGTTCCAGACCGTCCTCTCCCCAGCCACCTCCACCAGCTCCTCCGGCAGGACCCCAAGGCGTTCCCAGACCCGATTGGAGATATAACCTCTCCAACGTGTCCTGGGTCGACCAGGGGGCCTCTTGCAGGCAGGACATGCCTTAAACTCCTCACTGGGCAGGCATCCAGGAGGCATCCTAACAAGATGCCCAAACCACCTCAACTGACTCCTCTCGATATGGAGGAGCAGCGGTTCTAATCCGAGTCTCTCCTGAATGTCCGAGCTCCTCGCCCTATCCATAAGGCTGAGCCCAGCCACCCCGCGGAGAAAACTCATTTCCGCCGCTTGTATCTGCGATCTTGTTCTTTCAGTCATTACCCAATGACCAAAGGTGAGGACTGGGCGGTAGATAACCGGTAAATCGAGAGCCTTGCTTTCTGGCTCAGCTCCTTCTTCACCATAACAGACCCGTTCAGCGTCCGCATCACTGCAGGCGCTGCCCCAGTCTGCCTGTCTATCTCCTGCTTCCTCCTTCCCTCACTTGTGAACAAGATCCCGAGATACTTGATCTCCTCCACTTGAGGCAGGACCTCTCTCCCGAAATTATAACCATTTATATTTTTGTTGGGTGGTTAAAGTTTGATTCCTGGTCCCGCCTTTTCAGCATATACGAAAACAATTTTTTTGGGCTCTTTTTAATTGCCTATTACTTTTGAGCAATTACACACAAATTTCAAGTTGATCAAGTGAAAATTGAAGGAGTTGTATGATCAAATACAGACTCTACAAACAGCCATTTTGGGGTCAAAATGGTGTTTTTGATCAAACATGGCTGACTTCTTGTTCATTTTTATGACATAGGTGCATGAGACTTTTCTGTGCAGCATGGTAAGTACTACAAGTGTACCAAATTTCATAACTCTACTATAAACATTTTTTAAAGGAGTGAGATTTTTCTTTTTCTAGAGGGCGCTGTTGAGCTATTTCTTTTGCGACATTCGCAATGGTTTTGAAATACGTACATTTCATGTACAATCTACACTCCCCTAAAGGATTATTAGGAACACCACACTAATAACGGTGTTTTACCCCCTTTGGCCTTCAGAACTGCCTTGATTCTACGTGGAGTTGATTCAACAAGGTGCTGAAAGCATTCTTTCGAAATGTTGGCCCATATTGATAGGACAGCATCTTGCAGCTGATGGAGATGTGTGGGATGCACATCCAGGGCACCAAGCTCCTGTTCCATCATATCCCAAAGATGCTCTATTGAGTTGAGATCTGGTGACTGTGGGGACCGTTGTAGTACAGTGAACTCATTGTCATGTTCAAGAAACCAGTTAGAAATGATTGGAGCTTTGTGACATGGTGCATTATCCTGCTGGAAGTAGCCATCAGAGGATGGGTACATGGTGGTCATGAAGGGATGGACATGGTCGGAAACAATGCTCAGGAAGCCTGTGGCATTTAAACCATGCCCACTAAGGGGCCTAAAGTGTGCCAAGAAAACATCCCCCACACCATTACACCACCACCACCAGCCTGCACAGTGGTAACAAGGCATGATGAATCAATGTTCTCCTTCTGTTTACGCCAAATTCTGACTCTGCCATTAGAATGTCTCAACAGAAATGGAGACTCATCAGATCAGGCATCATTTTTCCAGTCTTCAACTGTCCAATTTTGGTGAGCTCGTGCAAATTGTAGCCTCTTTCCTATTTGTAGTGGAGATGAGTGGTACTCGTTGGGGTGTTCTGCTGCTGTAGCCCATCCGCCTCAAGGTTGTGCGTGTTGTGGCTTCACAAATGCTTTGCTGCATTCCTCGGTCGTAACGAGTGGTTATTTCAGGCAAAGTTACTCTTCTATCAGCTTGAATCGGTCAGCTCATTCTCCTCTGACCTCTAGCATCAACAAGGCATTTTCGCCACAGGACTGCCGCATACTGGATGTTTTTCCCCTTTCACACCATTCTTTGTAAACCCTAGAAATGGTTGTGGGTGAAAATCCCAGTAACTGAGCAGATTGTGAAATACTCAAACTGGCCCGTCTGGCACCAACAACCATGCCACGCTCAAAATATCTTAAATCACCTTTCTTTCCCATTCTGACATCCAGTTTGGAGTTCAGGAGATTGTCTTGACCAGGACCACACCCTTAAATGAATTGAAGCAACTGACACGTGATTGGTTGATTAGATAATTGCATTAAGGGAAGTTGAATAGGTGTTCCTAATAATCCTTTAGGTGAGTGTATATTTGTGCACAAATTGGTGATTTTGGGGGGGGGTTTGTTTAGACCTCTAAAAAGCCATTTGAAGTGGCGGAAGAAAAATAATACTCAGAGCAGATACAATAGGCCTTCGCTGCTCGGGCCTGATAAAAACAAGTGGGCCCAAGGCGCTGCCCTGGGGAATACCAGGCTCATAGACTGGATCAAGGCTGCGGGTGTCCTTTGACCCTTTGCTGGGTTGTACCAAAGGTTAAAGGTAAAGCAGTTGGTGACAGGACCTGGGTCCACTGGGTGTTCCTCAGAAAGGCCAGCTATCTGATGGTGGTCCAGAGTTAATTTATCTCTTGGTGGAGCAGATGGGTCCTGTCCTGGAGATTGGGCCGACTTTGAGATGAGTAAAAATAACAAATGATGTAATTCATCCAGAATAAATTAAGCTGTCCATTTTTGGATTTTTTAGAAGTAAAAGTTTGACCTCCACCTCCTTGGAACATAGGTCCATGGTCCTCATATTAGGGTCTGATCTTCTCTGCAGCTCATCACCAGTGGTTGCTAAGTGAGGCTGTAGACATCCTGCCATTCCTGCTGCTGCCGCTGGCCGGTCCTGAGGAGCTGACGGAGGAAGAAAATGAAGGTGAGTCTGGCCAGTTAGATTTATTTTCTCAGGGGTTGATTAATCTAGTCTGACTTGACCAGAAACTTCCTGGTTTGTTTATTATCCTAAAGTGTTGAAAGTGTCATGTGAAACTTAAAAACAGGCTGAATTTTAGGACACATAAAGGATTCAAGTGCTGAAACAACTGTGAGGAAAACCAGAAGTTGCTAGTCAGACTCCCAGACTGGATAACATCCAGATGTAACAGAACAGCTCGATCAAGAAAACGACTATGCAAGCTTTGAGAAGTTTGCTCATTTCATTTCCAAGCATAGCTTGCAACCCTGTGTCATCCTTACATGCCTTAAAACCACCTTCAGAATTAACAGTAAGAGAAGCCAAACGCACAAAGATGAATGCCTTCATCACCAATGTAAACAAACATTACAACCCAACATCTGCAACTAAGTCTAACTCAGAGGAAACAAATTTAAGAGATGCACCAACACAAAACTCAAACGTGAGTAAGTGTTTTTGCTGTAGAGAAAGTCACACAATACATAAGTGCCCCAAACTCACAGGTGTCTGCTGATGGGAAGAAAAACATGTACATGAAAACAAACTGTTTCGCATGTCTGAGGAAGGGTCCTAATTCTAAAGACTGCAAGAGCAGAGCCACGTGTAGCAAATGCAAAAGGAGCCATCCAACTCCTCTACTCAAAGACCGCCCTCCAACAGACAACACTGACCACGGCACAGCAGAAGAAAATGTGACCTTATTGCAGGGCCTGAAATTCACAGCGGGATTGCGGGCATTGCGCATTATACAAATGATTCTCGCAAATTTGGGTTTTATAATGCGGGAAATTCCCGCATACAGCGAACATGAACGTAGTCGTGAGAGAAACCACTTCCACTACACCCTTCGTGCGCTGCACTCTTCTTCTCCCCACTTATTAAAAGATGAGCTTCCTCTCTTGCTAATACACCAATGGTTGTTTTTTAAGGCCTGGACCCAAACATGGACCGCTGGTTAAAACGCAAGTCTGACGTTATATTAACTGAAGGACCTGCTCCCAAAATAATGTCACAAGAAAGCCTTAGCCCCACCGCCGAGGTGGCGTTGATACTAGTGATGACACGAGTCCTTCAGACTCTCGAAGTGGTAGCGTCAGTAACGTTATTTATTTATCACCTGTATCGGCTCCTAGTTGCCGAACCCGGTGTGGTCCACCACAGAGAAAGCTGCTCTAGCATGATGACTTTAATTATTCTACAGAGTATTGCTCAGCCTTCTGACGCTCACGCCCACAGACAGCCGGTGTGATCAGCTCTGAAAAGCGTTGATCAGAATTCGCAGATCACGTTTTTTTTATTTTTTATTTTTTTCCCAGAGATCGGCCACAGATTCTTTTTCCGGTCAGCAGCCTGGGAATCAAAATAAAAACTTTGAACGATTCCGGGAAAAACTGACAGTTAGTCCCAGTTCCAGTCGATGCTCAATGCCCAACCTGGGTGATGAATCCTTTCTCTGGCTGTACGTTAATAAAACCAAAGATATGCTGATCGATGTGGAAAGTGTCGAAGAGCACAAATAGCTCAGTATCACCAGCAAACTGACATTTCAGGCATATTATCAGACTGTCTTATGAAAGGGTGAATCAGTGTCTCTTTTGCCTGAGAAACTCTCATCCTTTGATTCTGATAAAACTGCTGACTTAGTTCTGTTGTGCTTTGACTGAGTTGGTTTTAGGGATGCAACGATACCTTTTTTTTCAAACCGATACGATACCGATACTTGGATCTGAATACTCGCCGATACCGATTACCGATACCTATACTTCTACCACACAAAAAAATGCAATGATTTGGAATACAGATTTTATTTTCTTCTCTGCTTTCAACAGGAAAATACTGAGGTAGAATAAAAGTAAAATATATGAATAACAATAATCACAAAACTAAAATATTAGGTGAACAGAAATGACAAGTTACAGTGAAGCCATTTTCAAGCAACTGCATTGGTATCGGTTCCTGGTATCAGTTAACTTTTACCGATACCAGTATCATATCGGTATCTGCACCGATACCAATACCAGTATCGGTATCGGTGCATCCCTAGTTGGTTTTATGCTTTTGTTTGGAATTGCTACAACCAGAGCTGACTGAATCAGACAGAGACGTGGTCCAGTATGAGCCAGTATGAGCCAGAATGAGCCCCGACACAAGAAGAGGCTGGCTGGATACCACTATGAGGTCCGGCTGCCTCTGTCTGGATGCAGTTCCACGACCCTTTATTGGTCCATATCACCTCAACACTGTGCTGTTGGCCGTACTAATTGCTTTATAAAAAACAAGTTCAACAGAACTCAAGTCTCCTGAGTGGTCATTATGTTGTGATCATGTTTGTTTTTCCTTTTTTATTGTTTTGTAATATTGTGTGTATTGGCTATTTGTCCATAAAACTTAAACAAAAACTAATCAAATACTTTCAAATGGCCCCTGGGCTACATCAAGGGTTAGGCTTTACGCACGGGTAAAAAAGGATTCAAACCAAGCAATGTCCATGCCAAAATTGCGTTTGGTAGTGGTTTATTAACTCAAGAAGCAAGATCACAGATTTTTGCGTCTTCTCTGTCTCTGTGGTAAAAAACCATGTCCCCTCGCAGCCCTCGCTGCTCCACCCACCTTGACCTATTTATACAGATAATCACCCACACCTGACCAATAAACTAATTAGCCAAAATAATAAACAAAAAGCATAATGCAAAACAAACAAAATAGCTTCAACATTGTGTTTGATCTTTACGCCTCACCCGCTGCACAGCAAATTTACTTTCTGGTACAAATAAAGCCTTTGAGTGGGGAATTGTGGAGATTTACAACAGGAGCAAAATAGTAGAGTAAAAACAACGAAACACATAAGAGAGGCTGAATATATACACGTTCTTGAAAATAACTATAAAGATTGTGGGTTTAAAAAGGAGATGGTGGAGGATTCCAGGGAATGGTCAACGCTGAATGGTATGAATTTGCATAGTGCCTTCTTCTACACCAGCAGCCCAGGAGGCAGAGCGGGCTGTCCACTAATCCGAAGCTTGTGACTTTTTCACTTGTAGAGTTTAGCTTCAGCTCAAACTGTACGGCTTCCCCGCAGAGCAAATCTCACGAGTCGTGCTCACTGTACGTCTGGTAGCAGCACTTCAGGAAATAGCAGTTTTTACACGTCATACTTTTTTGTGTTTTTCATGTCTGTTGTCCTTCGGGTGCTGTAGGACACACAGGGACTTATGGAGTTAGGAGGAGGAAGACGAAAGAAAGAAAGTAAATCAATAATAATTAGATTAATCAACGTTTGCAGCTAGAGTGAAACACAAAATGTGTAAATGTCTAAAAGAGCAGGGATGAACAAATGCAGAACGGTTATCAGGGTCCTGACGTCCAAAGCCAGTTCCTGCTCTAACTAGTCGGTAGCCTCCCAGTCATGGTTCTTCTCACTTGTTGCTAACTTAAAAACTAGGCTTACTGTGAACTAGAAAAATTGCATTTATTGCACAAATGCTGTTTGAATGCTGGATAGCTGAAGCTTTAAGCTGAAGCTGCTGAACAGCTGAACTGAAGCTGAAATTAAGCAAAACTGTCAAAATGAGCTAAATGTCTTGAAAGATGTTGAAGCAAAAAGCACCAACAAGCAAATAAAGCACAAAAAGTAAGTGAAGAATAGAGAAAAATAATGCTAAATAGCAAAAACAAAAAAAAAACTTAAATCTGTGAACATTAAATAAAAATCTGGACAGCTAAAATGTCTAAACACCTGTTATTTCAGTTTGCCAAGTTGAACAGTTTAATCATGTAAAGATTAAACTGTGAAATTAGCAGTTTATGCTAAATTTGGTAACTGATTGCTGAAGTTGTTGAATAGCTGAAGTAAGCTGAAACTAAGCTAAATTGTCAAATGAGCCGAATGTAGTGAAAGATGTGAAAGCAAAAAGCACCAAGAAGCAAAAAAAGCACAAAAAGTAAGTGAAGAATCAAGAAAACTAATCCTAAATAGGAGAAAACTCAAATCTGTGAACACAGTTTAAAAAAATTGGACAGCTAAAATGTCTAAACACCTGTTATTTCAGTAGGACTAGTTTAACAGTTTAATTTTTACATTTAGCTGAACTGTGAAATTAGCATCATATGCTGAATTCAGAAACTAATTGCTGAAGCTGAAACTAAGCAAAACAGTTAAAATGAGCTGAATGTTTTTGAAAGATTTAGAAGCAAAAAGCACAAAAAGTGAAGAACGGAGAAAACAATCCTAAACAGCAGAAAACTGAAATCTGAACATTATTTAAAAATCTGGACAGCAAAAATGTCTAAACTCTTGTTGTTTGAGTAGGACTAGTTTAACAGTTTAATTTTTATATTTAGTTGAACTGTGAAATGAGTAGCATAAGCCGAATTCAGAAACGGATTGCTGAGGCTGCTGAATAGCTGAAGTGAAGCTGAAACTAAGCTAAACTGTCAAAATGAGCTGAATGAATTTAAACATTTAGAGTGGTGAGAGACATTTTTTTTAAATTTGAATTTTCTCAATCAAATGAACCGTACGACCACAGTGTTTGGAGTAGTCATGAATCATAGCTCAAAACGAAGGTATATTCGTTAGTTGTAAGCCAGCATGTGTCTCATTTCAATCGGACCTACGGTTCTCTCGGGACAACGCCGGAAATGGAGCAAGGGAGGGTCACTGCTCCCATCTTTCCCCATTATAACTTTTGTGAATTTTTCTGAAAATTTCAAGTCGTACCTCAACTTCTACCTGCCATTTTAGAAAAACCGTAAAAGATATCAAAAAGCCTCTTTAATATGTTAAACAGGAAAGTCTTGTGAGTTTGTTAAACTTTGAATGAAGTCTCTGAGTTAAAAGGAACCCTATAGAGTTTGAGGTCAAAAAGTGATAGGAATTTGCTGAAAATTGACGAATCCCATTCATTTCAATGGGAAAATTTTCGCAGAAAAAGCTTAATATCTCAAAAAATTTTAAAGATATCAATGCCAAAAGTAATAGCCGGAAAGAACTTAACAAGCTGAACGTTTTGATATAAAATTGTTGAAATAGCTCAAAATTTGAAGAAGAGGAGGTTCAAAAAGTGTACGGAAGCAGAATAAGAAGAAGAAGAAAGAAAGAAAAACAGGAAAACAATAGTTTGAATGCTTAACAGCATTCAAACAATAAAACTAAAACCGTAGTAAATTTTAATTTTCAACATTTCTTAAAGAACACAGCATGCTGGGAAATCTGTTCCATTCAACCAGTAACCAGCATGCTGAAGCCTAAACACCAATGCTTCTGTTAGGATCCGTTACCCACTTGTTAGGTAATTTGATTTTATCCCATATTACCTTAAAGGACGACACACCCTTTGATAGAGAGAGAGAGTAAATTGATTATTTGTAATGTCCATGTGTGTGTGTGGCTCAACCAGCCCCCACTCTGCTTCAGCCTCAAAGCTTTCTCCTCACCTGCTCTGTATACCTGCATTCTCCAATTATCTGGTAGATAATATTTAACCTCCATAACCCTGGAACCTGAAATAAACACACATGACAACAAGGAAGACATTTTACACTGAATTAGCCAAATGAGGGGGAGATCACCATGACACATAACTCTCTCCAGAGCTAGCTGCCAGGCGACTCCCCCTTCCTCAAGAGTCTTCAGTGGTTTTATTCACCAAATGGATGGGGGGAGAAGGCGGACCTTCTCAAGCTACAGAGTTACAGAGTTCTCTCAATTAACATCTTTGCTCAACCTTTTTATGAACATACCAACACAGAGATTCATGATGTGTAATGGGCATCTTTTAGGTCTCAAAAAGGTACATTTATAAAAATACCCAACACCACTCTAGACTGAGTCGGCTTGTGTTAGCTTCCATAGTTATCAACTGAAAATGACAGTTGGGTGCTCAGCGGTGACTCTATTTTGTAATGGTTGCATCACCATGTGAGTGGGGCAGAAAGCAGTTCAGCACCAGTTTTGAACCAGAAAACTGGTGCTACAACAGTTGAAAATGAAAAAACCAGTGCCAGGTCGGGCTCTGGCACCGATCCGGCTCTGGAACCAGCTTGGTTGAAAAACAAATCCTGAGACTTCCTGGGAACAATGTGGTGGGGGTCGGGGCAGGGATAGATTTAGGAACCATGGGTGAGTGAGGATACATTCAGCTGGTATGTTGTCCATAGGTCTCCCTGTGGACCTGCAGTTCCTCCCCGAGGACAAGAGACGAGAGGAGGACCCCGACCTACGGAAGATGCTGCTGGAGGCGCTGTTGTTGGTACTGATCACACATACACACGCACGCACGCACACACACGTGCACACACACACACACACACACACACACACACACACACACACACACAATATCAAACTCAACACATCTGTCTCCCACTCAGCTGACGGCGACCAAAGCCGGCAGACGAATGCTGAAGGACAAGAATGTTTATCCAGTGATAAGGGAGTTGCACCGCTGGGAGAAAGACGCTCACGTTGCAGCAGTCTGCGAGAAACTCGTCCAGGTAGGAAGCATCTAAGGCCGTGTCCAAAGGGCCAGAGGCCTCATTTATACAACCTGGTGTAGAATCTCCACTAAAACCTTTACACTCAGCCAAAAACAAAAATATACTAACGCAAACTAATTATCCGACATGTAAAACTCTGCTGACACCACACCTGTCCTAGAAATAAGTTCAGGTGTTTCTGGATCAAATCCCGCCCCTACACACCCGTTCTCTACCATAAATGGACAATGCAAACTACATTATGAATATTGTGCGTATAAATAAACCTGCTTACTGGTAACCATGACAACCCAGGCTCTGGGACTCAACAGGCACAGAAAACTTATTTTATTCCCATCCAGCGGCATGATGCTGCAGCATCGGTGGGCTCAGGAGCTGCAGAGCGATCAGCACCTATACATAAATTAAAAAAAAAGTAAAGAATTGGTCATATGCAGCCTATTGCCAATAATCATGATACTATCAATAAAAGTGGCACAATGGTGCGCAGGGAGGGATCGCTGTCTTTTCCAAATCAAAGATACTTTATTAATCCCAGAGGGAAATTAGAGATCTACAGGGAACCATTAATGAAAACATCTAATTTAACCCCAAAGGGATTTAGGCAAGAAATATTCATCATATCAAACAAACATCAGCCCGATGGTCGGCTAATCCTCGCTAGAGGAAGCTGGTTCTGACAACTGTAAGGAAACCCGACAGCTGCACCTCTGCCCGGTTTGCTGCTGTACTGCTTCAGGTTATAGTTTGAGATAAACTGTTGCATGAGACGTGGCACAATTAATGCACCAATCAGTGATTGGAAGACATATGTAAGTAACATCTTAAAAATCCATCCATCCATTCTCTTCCACTTATCCAGAGTCGAGTCGCGGGGGCAGCAGCCTAAGCATAAAGGCCCAGACTTGCCTCTCCCCAGCCACTTTGGCATGCCCCTCCCAGATGACCGAGCTTCTCATCCTATCTCTAAGGGAGGACCCAGATGCCCTGTGGAAAAAACTCATTTTGGCCGCTTGTGTCCGCGATCTTGTTCTTTCAGCCACTACCCAAAGATTAAGTTCCGATGAAGCCAACAGGACCACATCATCTGCAAAAAGCAGAAACCTGATCTTCAGGCCACCAAAACGGATGCCTTCAACACCTTGGCTGTGCGTAGAAATCCTGTCCATAAAGGTTATGAACAGAATCTGTGACAAAAGGGAGCCTTGGTGGAGTCCAACTCTCACTGGGAACAAGCCCGACTTACTGCCGGCAGTTCGGACCAAGCTCTGACACCGGTCATACAGGGACCTAACAGCCTGGTACCCCATACTCCCGGACTACCCCCCACAGGGTCCCCCGAGGGGCACGGTCAAACGCCTTCTCCAAATCCACAAAACACATGTAGACTGGTTGGGCAAATTCCCACGCACCCTCCAGGATCCCCCTAAGGGTATAGAGCTGGCCAAAAAGACCAGATAGGACTCTTTGTTCAGCTTGACAGAAACCCTAACTGCCAGTGTCCACCAGCAGGTTCGGGGCTTGCCGCCACGACAGGCACTGATGACCCTGCGGCCACAGCCCTGGTTGTCACCTTCCTCAACTGTGGAGGCCCATTCGGACTCAGTGTTCCCCACCTCTCCCAGAGTGTTTTGGAAGTTCTGTCATGGGTAGGAATTGAATCTCCTTTTGACAGGAGACTCCACCAGACATTCCTAGCAAATCCTCACAATACGTTTGGGCCTGACCAGCATCCTCCCCACCATTGGAGCCAACTCACCAGGTAGTTGTCCATTGACAGCTCCGCCCCTCTCTGCACCTGAGTGTCCAAGACATGCGGCTGCAGATGACAACCAAGTCAATCATCGATTTTCTTAAAATTATTTTATTTTATTACAGATGTAATTTGTACAGCATATGTCTGTGTGCGTGCGTGCGTGCATATGCATGTGTGTGTGTGTGTGTGTGTGTGTGTTCCCGCATTTTCCATCGAGTTGCTCTTTGGAAATACTGTGTGTGTGGAAGGTCCCTTATGTGGTTTTCCGAGCCGTTTTGTGCGTAAGCAGTTTTAGGATTGACGACCAGGTGTGTCCCTCCTGCAGAACTCACCTGTGGACACAAACCGAAGTCTTTTTGGGGATCTTGAGTCAGGCATCATGGTGCATTAAGTTAAGTCACCTTGTTTAGAGGGGGGCGGGGCATGGGTGGGGGGTGGGGGGTGGAAATGCAACAATATGAGGTCAAAGCCAGTGATTCCTTGTGCTGCTGTCTTTGTCTTTCCAGGTACTGATTGGGGACGAGCCAGAAGAAGGGATGGACAACCTGCTAGAGGTGAACATCCCAGAGGAGGTTGAAGAGAAACTCAGAGAAGCCGATGCAAAAGAGCAGGAGGAGCTGGAGGAGGAGACCAGGAGGAGAAGGGAGGAGAGCGATGCTGAGCAAACAGAAAGAGAAGGGAGGGTGTAGGACCTTGGGTATAAAACTCGGACCCTGCCCAGGACCTCTGATCTCTGAATCTGGACTTTCCTGACATTAAAGGGTTTCTGTTCTCTGAACGTTCTGGGGGTGTTTTTTTCTTTCTTTCTAGGATTAGATCCATCAGGTACCTGAGTGGAACTGATTGAAGACATCTTGGTTCGTGTAGGCCTGGTTTGAATTTGGAGTTCTTTTAGGCAACAGTTAAGAAAGAAAACGATGGGAAAATGTGGCAGCTCTAATAAACCCAGACTCTGGTGTAAGAGCTTTCTGGCAGTACAGTCGGTGAGATGGTGAATTTAGGGGCTGAGGGAAAAATGGTTGAGTTTAGCTAGCTTCACATCCAGGATGGCAGAGGGAGCATTAGACATGGAGAAAACTACTTTAAATCTGGTCATGTGGTCAGGAGTTTCTATGCTGCAGAGAAGAGATTCTGCTGTCATGTCATAGATGACATGTCTGATTTGTGTTCATTTAATTAAAATAAAACATCACAGAGATGGTCCACACATACAAACACCTTGGTGTCTGGCTCCATGACTCCCTCCCCTTCAAGCCCATGTAGATAATTTTGTGAAGAAACTCAAAAGAGACTGGGTTTCTTTTTTAGAAATAAACTGTTTTTCCTTTGAGTCAACAAAACGACTTGTTACGGCAACATTTCTGTCTGTTCTGGATCATGGAGACCTTTTGTACACGAATGCCTCAGCAGTGTCTTGGTAAGACTGATGTGGTTCATCATGCCTCGCTGAGGTTTATTACTAACCGTAGACCACTGACCCGTCATGGGGAATTGTGTTCTCCAGTGGGACGGCCTTCTTTGTCCACCAGGAGGTTGGGACATTGGTACACCTTCATTTATAAGGCCATGCTTGGATTACTACCCACCTACATCTAACGTAATCTCACAGAGAAGTGGAACTTCTCACAGTCCGCGTACAAACTCACATCAATATTTCTCATAAACTGTAGTACACCGTGTGTGATTCAGGGTTTTATAGCCCCGTTCTAACCCTGGTAGCCTAACCTGAAAAAAAATACCCAGCTAGAATATGCAGAAAGCAGACACTGTGCTAAGCTATTTATTTATCTTGTAAACAAATGTATGCACTGCACTGTCAGATATCACACTGTAGCATTGGAAAAGGCTAACAGTTATTTGTTCACAACAGTGTCAGAGGTGAAATAGACAGCTGGGTGTCCAGCAGCTTTCCTCTGCTAGGAATGTTGTGTTCTTCCCTGAATCAAAACCACTCCAAAGCAGAAAACACACTGCTCCTGATCTTGTCTTCAGAAGATGGTCACAACATCTCCATCGCCTGATTTCTCTTCTGCCACAATTGACATCCCGCTGCAACTCCAAGGTCTCATGCAGAAGACGAGACTTTTCCTTTTTAATAAAAATCTTATTTTGTCTCATTAAATAATTTTTCACAAGTTAAATACAATTATCTACATCATGTCTCTGATCTTCAGATAACTCAGAAGTTCACTCACTCGCTCTGAGAGACGGCTTCGCCTGCACACCGGATCTCCAGGAGTGTCCATGTTCCAGGGTGCAAAGACTAAACAATAGACTAACCCAAACCCAACAACACCCTCAGACAGAAACTGGTCCGTTCTAAAGACAAAACACCCAAACAGAAGCTCAGTGGCGTCGTTTATGCAATCCAGTGTAGTGAGGACTGTCCAGATGTTTACATTGGGGAAACTAAACAACAATTACACAAGAGCATGGCACAACACTGGAGAGCCACTCTTCAGATCAACACGCTGCAGTCCACCTACACCTGAAGGACAAGGGACACATTCTGGACAGAGAAGATAGATGGTGTGAGAGAGGAGAAAAAGAAGCTATCTATGTCAAACATGAAAACCCTACTTTAAATAGGGGTGGGGCTTAGATTTCACCTTTCCAGTACCTATAATGCAGCTTTGGACTTCATACCTAAGCAGCTTCAGTCTAGGTCACATCTTCCTGCATCTAATTAACAAAACGACTCATCGGGGTAGAGAGGAGGGGTACTCAGAGTAGTTTCTGCTCGTTAAATAACAGACAGCTACAGCATATAAGCTTGACTCTCCCAGATTCCAGGCTGAACTGATAAAGCTCCCCGGATGAGAAGTGAAACGTCTTCCAAGAAACCAAAGGAGTCCAGCTGCCTTCATCTGAACCCATTGGATTACCATGACCTGTATGACTTCGAACCTTCGCCAGCATGTCAGGCTTCCTGCTTGTCAAGCAGATAATAAAGTTTATTTTGAAACAGTCATCATGACAAACATGGCGACGGAAGGAGGAGACTCGTGGATATCCTGTGACGTCGTTTTAAAGAAGAGTTTGTTTACATTGTAGTTTGTTGGTATTTCATGTCGCGATGATGGAATCGGGTCCGTTTCCAGAGGAGGTTCCGGAGAGGAGGGTGTGTGTGGTCGGTTCGGAGCTGGTAGAAAACTACACGGTAAGAACCGGACCGGCTCCGGGGTGCAGCTAGTCTGCTAGCAGCACCGACTGATCTTTTTTTATGGTGTTAGTAAGATGATTGTGTCCCAGGCCGCGCCCAACACGACTTTCATCTCTCTGTCTTCTACTGCTGACATGCTGGGACGTCCAGATTCATCCAAACGCGTAGGACCGTCTGGTCTTACGTCCGTTGTTGTAAATATTTGAGCTATACCACAAACAGACGGGTTTACCTTTGATGGACGTCGCTATTGTTCATCTGTACGTGAGTGGGCAGAAGGTGGATATATGATCATCTGTGTGATGTTTCAGGTTTATGTGATGGATGTGACAGATGGACACCACAGATGGACGGTGAAGCATCGCTACAGCGACTTTTATGAGCTCCATGAGAAGGTAAAGATGGTTGTTACCCTCACGCTGACACAAAAACAACAGGAGCTTAAAAGGGAGGTCATGTCTGAATCACACAACTACAGTTTGTGTGGAAGCATTCTCATCTGGGTCATGATGAGCCTGACTCAACCCTAACAAGGAGCCTAATGTGTGTGTGTGTGCGTGCGTGTGCGTGTGCGTGCGTGTGTGTGTGTGTGTGTGTCTTTCCAGCTGACTGTAGAGAAAAAGGTTGACCGTCAGCTCCTTCCTCCTAAGAAGATTTTGGGAAAGAACTCGAGGTCTTTGGTGGAGCGGCGTCAGAAGGAACTGGAGCTCTACTTACAGATGCTGCTTCAACAGTTTCCAGAGGCCATGCCCACTGCACTCAACGTTTTCCTGCACTTTCACCTCTATGTGAGTCACTGACTAGTGTCAGAGTCTTTACAGCAATCCTCATACTAAGCAAGCATGCAGCGACAGTGGAGAGGAAAACCCCCCTTTAACAGGAAGAAACCTCCAGAGGATCCTGGCTTAGTATAAGCAGCCATCCACCACGACTCACTGGGGTTGGAGAAGACCACACGCACACACGCACACACACACACACACACACACACACACACACACACACACACACACACACACACACACACACACACACACACACACACACACACACACACACACACACACACCAAGTAGTGTTGCTATGGTTACATTGTGATTTCTTAGTAAATATTCTATTTGGTGAGAGATAAACTTTATTGTATTTATTCTAGTGAATCTATAATTAAATGGGTAAACTAGTAGTAGCACATTCAACGTCAAAGAAAGTTAAATGTTATTATCAGGAGAGGGAGAATGTTTAAGTGGTTAGCAGCAATGTGCTAGCCGATGGCCCCGTCCATGAGGCTACCACAGCTCAGCAGAACATCATTGTAGCTTCTTCTGGGGAGAAAAACACTTAAAGAAAAAAGAGTCTCCTGTCAGAAGGAGCTTCAATTCCCACTTCCGACAGAACTTCCAAAATGTTCCGGGGGAGGCGGGGGACATTGAGTCTGAATGGACCCTGTTCCGGCACTCCATTGTTAAGGCGGCCAACCGGAGCGGTGGTCGCAGGATCGTCGGTGCCTGTCGTGGCGGCAACCGCCGAACCCGCTGGTGGACACCGGCGGTTAGGGATTGTTTCAAGCTGAAGACAGAGTCCTATCAGGTTTTTTTGGCTTGTGGGACTCCAGAGGCAGCTGATGGGTAACGGCAGTCCAAGCGGAACGCGGCTCGGGTGGTCGCCGAGGCAAAAACCCGGGCATTGGAGGAGTTTGGTGAGACCATGAAGCAAGACTTCTGCATGGCTTCGAGGAGATCCTGGTCCACCATGCGGTGCCTCGGGGGGGGGAAAGCAGTGCGCTACCAACACTATCTATAGTGGGGACGGTGTGCTGCTGACCTCTACTCAGGACATTGTGGATCGGTGGGCAGAATACTTCGAAGACCTCCTCAATCCCACCGACACATCTTCCAGTGAGGAAGCAGAGTCTGGGGACTTTGGGTTGGCCTCTCAAATCTCTGGTGCTGAGGTTACTGAGGAGGTTAAAAAGCTCCTCTGTGGCAAGGCTTCCGGGGTGGATGAGATCCGCCCGGAGTTCCTTAAGGCTCTGGATGTTGTGGGGCTATGTTGGCTGACACGGCTCTGCAATATTGCGTGGACATTGGGGGTAGTCCCACTGGACTGGCAGACTGGGGTGGTGGTTCCCTTATTTAAAAAGGGGAAACGCAGGGTGTGTTCCAACTACAGGGGATCACACTCCTGAGCCTTCCTGGTAAGGTCTATTCAGGGGTTTTGGTGAGGAGGGTCTGTCGGATTGTTGAACCTCAGATTCAGGAGGAGCAATGTGGTTTTGTCCTGCCGTGGAACACTGGACCAGCTCTATACCCTTAGGGGGATCCTGGAGGGTATGTGGGAATTTGCCCAATCAGTCTACATGTGTTTTGTGGATTTGGAGAAGGTGTTTGACCGTGCCCCTCGGGGGACCCTGTGGGGGGTAGTCCGGGAGTATGGGGCACCAGGCCCTCTGATACGGGTTGTTAGGTCCCTGTATGACCGGTGTCAGAGCTTGGTCCGCATTGCCGGCAGTAAGTCGGGCTCGTTCCCAGTGAGAGTTGGACTCCGCCAAGGCTGCCCTTTGACACCGATTCTGTTCATAACCTTTATGGACAGGATTTCTACGTGAAGCCAAGGTGTGGAGGACATCCGTTTTGGTGGCCTGAGCATCAGGTCTCTGCTTTTTGCAGATGATGTAGTCCTGTTGGCTTCATCTGAACGGGATCTCCAGCTTTCGCTGGAGCGGTTCACAGCTGAGTGTGAAGCAGCTGGGATGAGAACCAGCACCTTGGGGGGTGGACTACTGGCGGTTGTTAGTAGGGCCCTTTGGGGGCCTTGGCGGCGGCCATGGGTTGCTGCCTGGTGGCTGCATTGCCCCTAAGTGGGTCTGGGTGGGGGCCTGGGGGCTCGGGGTGTGGTGGTGACCGGCCCTGTGTGGGGATCTGGGCAGGGCCTTGGGGGTCGGGTCTTGACATGTATGCTGCAGGGAAGAAGGCGGGAACATGTGGCAGTGCCTGACCCGGGTTTAGTGGCTTCAGGTAGACCTTGGCTCCTCTGTGGTCCCATCATGGGGGAGGGGGAGTGTTATATATTCTGGAAGCTGTGCAAATGCAGGGATGGGAGTAGATATTCTGCTGGGGTGGGGCTGTGTTGGTTCCCTCGGACTCCATGGAGCTCTGCGATGCTGCTGCTTTGGGACCTGGCAAGATGGGCTGGGGTCTCCATGCCCTGGGTGGCATTTTGGCAACGGAGGTGCCTATTGGGGCCAGTGGGGGAGCTGGCTCCCTGGATGGCTTAGGCCAACCAGCCATTCCTCCCCATCCCCACACACATTTTTCTCCTCCTGCTCCCTCACATCATCACACAAACATGCACATAGGACCTTGGGGGATGGACAAGTCAGGGGGTGCGGGTATGGACCCCATTTCCGCATTCCTGTGGCAACCTGCCCCCCAATTTTATTTGCACATTAAACACTTCCACCAACGACATTCCACACAAACACACACTTAGGGCCTTGGGAGTGAGCACATTCAACGGCATCTGGCAAGGGGATCTTTCAGCTTCATCCCAAGTGCCGGTGCCCACTTCCAATTTTAAACTGCACTTAGACACAGAGGACTGTGGGGGGGAAGAGGGGTGGTGTAGTAGCATCAGCTGGCGTAGGCCAGACGATGCTTGCACTGCTCACCACACCTCATCAACACGCACCAACACTGTATTGGAGCAGGGGGAGGGAGACTAGGGGGTCTTAGCGCACCTCTGTTGTCGCTTGGCTTCCCGGGGCTGGAGGATAGGAGGGGGATCTGGCCGTCTGTCTGGGGTCTGGGGTGGTCGGTCACTTTGCTCGGCGTTGGGCAGGGGAGCCTGCTCATCAGCACCCCAGCAGGAAAGGTCGAACTCCGAACATTGATGGTTGTACCCTTTGTGAAGTAGTACCAGGCCCTGAGTGAATAGGGTGTGTATGGGGAGCATGAGTGGGTGTCTGGCATGCATTTTTGTATGTCTTGGGTTGTAGGTTGTATGGGAGAGCATGAGGGAGGGAGTGTGTGACTGTGTTTGTGTATGACTGTATATGTCAGGTGGGGTCTTTGACTCCTCCCCTCTCCTGGTACTTCTTTTGCTGCTACACATCTTCGCCTCCCCTTCCGCTGCCACACTTGGTGTGGAGTGTGGTGCCTTGGTCTGCCTGAGTGTTTGCGGCTCCCAGGTCAGGGGGTTTAAGATTTTTGGCATCTGCCTGATTAATCTCGGTGGCTGCCTGGTGGGATCTGAGTCCCTGGGCTCTGTTGGCTCGGGCATCTGGTCAGGATGCCTCCTGGACGCCTCCCTGGTGAGCTTTTCCGGGCACGTCCAACCGGAAGGAGGCCTAAAGGTAGACCGAGGACATGTTGGAGGGACTATGTCTCTCACCTGGCCAGGGATTACATTGGGATTCCCCCAGAGGAGCTGGCCCAAGTGGCTGGGGAGAGGGATCTGGTCACCCTATTGCTGGGTTGAACTCTCATTTGAAATAGTGTTGAAACCAGAATCGGCAGCTGTTTAAAGTTGAAATAACTTTGTCTCTTTCAGGAGATTAATGGCATCACGGCAGCGCTGGCAGAGGAGCTGTTCCATAAAGGTTAGAAACTGTCATAACAAAGGCCATCAGCCAGATGTTTTCTGCTGTAGAACCATAGATGTCCAGCCTGCTGGTTTTCCACCTAAGCCAACAAGAGTCCATCTTATATAATAATAAACTACAAGACTTAGATTCTTTAATCAGCATTCTACAACACAGACGTGACCATTAACCTGGCCCCAAACACTGAAAGAAATCAGACTTTTTGCTCAAGTCCAAAGAAAAACGCAGCCTCCCTGCGAAGGTTCTGGAGAGGGTGCTGGGATTGTGCAGGAGCTATGGAGTTCTGGTTCTGGCCAGCATTGACCAGCTGATTGTCAGATTAATCATGTTCATAATGAACATCTCTTCTTGCTGTAGGAGAACAACTGCTACAGGCGGGCGAGGTGTTTTCTCTTCATCCGCTGCAGCTTTACTCCATCTCACAGCAGCTCCGCCTCGCCAATCCCACCTGCTTCAATGGAGACGCCAAAACCGACCTGGGACACATCCTGGACTTCACCTGCAGGCTGCGCTACCTTAAGGTCACAAACCTTTGGTTAAAATACCTCACTGTCTCAGCAGGGACTGGTCTCACTGGGTCTTTCTCTCCTCATCAGATTTTTGGGACCAGAGGTCCAGTGGGAACCAGTAATATCCAGGAGAGCAGTCTGCCCTTTGACCTGTCCATCTTTAAATCACTGTTGCAATTAGAGGTAAACTCACCTGAAAACAAACACACACCGGGGGGGTGGGGTGGGGGGGTACGGAGGGGGACGTAACTCAGTCTCTCTCTCCTCCGTTCCCTGAGCCGCAGGTCAATCCGGGTATCCAGTTGTTCCAGGGCTTGGAGCGATCTGGGCGGATCTCTGGCCGCCAACTCATCCTTGATTCTTTCAGACAGTCCTTATTAAAATGCATCAAATAAGGCATCATTATTCCAGCGACTGCTGGACATTAGAGCATGAAAGTCTAAAATATATTCCGTCACTGGTCTTAGCCCCTGTTTGAGGGAGAACATACCCCGAGCTGCCTCTCGTTCAGGGCGAACTGGATCAAAAACCCTCTTTAATTCCTCAGAGAATTCCTGGAATGACCCGCAGATGGCAGCATTGCTCTCCCATGCGGCTGTTCCCCACTGCTTGGCTTGACCTGACAGGAGAGAGATAGTGTAGGCTACATTGGCCCGCTCGGAGGGGAAGGACGACGGCTGCAGCTCAAATGTTAAAAGGCCAGCTGTGCTCTTTGGTGTGAGATAGTGATAGAACCTTCTACCTTAGTGCACCATTCGGTGCTTGGCTGCAGATCCATGTTAAAGGCAAGATCGTACTGTCACGGTCAGACCTAGTATCGATCAGCCGGATCCAACAACAGCCATACAACAGAGAAAGTTTTAAAATGTTTATTTACGGATTTGGTACAGCGATCTGGACCCGCTGGAGTCGGTTCCGGGCAGCGTGGCCTCCTGAAAACAGCAGCAGCGTTCTGTGGTGAGGGCTGCCGATAAAGATGATTACTCCGGTCCAGACAGGTACTAAGGCGATAGGCAGCAGAGGTCGGGCAGTAGGCGGGCAGACGGGTTTAAACGCTCAACCGACTGACAAGGCAGCAGACAATCTCGCACTGAGCAGAAGGAGCCAGGTGCTTAAAAAGGGAGCAGCACAGGTGGAATTAATAAGCTTAGATTACTGTTGCTGCAGGGAGACAGGAAAACACACAGACGTCAGGGGCCTCATTTATCAAGCTTGGTTACGCACTAAACGGGGTCGGAAAACTGCATAAGCAACTTTCCACTAAACTTTGGGATTTATGAAAAAAATACTTTGTGGAAAAATGTGTGCAACTTTAAGTTGACTAAGGACCTGGCTTACGCACATTTTGGACATGGAGAGCACCTGCAGTGCTGCTGCTGAGAAGGATAAAATTATGAAATCCTGCAGCATTATCACTTGTACTGCTTCATTTTCACACAGAACAAGACCCCCCACACACACACGCATGCACGCATGCACACGCACAGCCTGAAGCACAGAATACGGAATGCAGAATATCAGCAGGGGGACAGATTGAGACAGAATGTCATGTGTCATGTTACAGTGACCCGATTAATCATGTGCCCTGGTTACTTGTACACGGGAGATCTCCGTTTGGGTGACTGGCTAGCGAGCATGACTTTCACCTGGGAGTCTGGGGATCGAATCCCAATTGGACCTTTTTTTTTTATATCCGCCACAGATCTCTCTGAAGAACTCAGCATTGACGGCTTCAGCAACGCTGTGCCACTCTGTGGATTTTCTCTTATTTGTTTTGCAAAAGCAATTCCTTTAATTTCTCCACCTCACCCACAGGTACCTCAATTTCTGCTTCTGTGAAATAGCGCTTCCTTGATCTGCCTTGATCTACGGCCTCCATCGCCATTGGCGGAGCGCTGCAACAAGCCGGCTTATGTATATGCATGAGATCCACAAGGCACTTTGCATTGACTATTTACGGCAGTAAGTGGGCGTGGTGAGGGCGGGATGTGACTAAAATGCAGCTGAGAAACTTTCTCGTTAGTCTCCGATTTATGAAGCGGGGATTGCGTGCAGCTGTGCGTACTCATGTTTGATAGATCACAAACCTACTTGGTGTAAGTACATTTTTTTTGCTGAGCTTAAGTACGGTTTTAGTACGGATTCTACGCAATGTTTGATAAATGAGACCCCTGGGCATGATCATGACAGGAGCACACCAACTGTCATCTGCTCAAATTTCATGTTTCTTCAGCCTGTTTTAGGTTTCGCGTGCACTGGAATAGATGTTCATTCCTGATGACGAATGGATCCTCATACTGGCAAAAGGTGTTTGAATACCTTTGTCCTTAAGAGACCTTTTTGTAGCAGCATTTTCTCTGCGTGTGTCTCTGCAGGCTAGGAGTGTTTTTTTCCCCTTTTATCTGCAGAGTCGTCGACAAAGAAGCGCAGAATGTTGAGTTTAGACTGGATTCTCAGAGTTTAAGTAGGACAGCAGCTTCCATGCAACCAACTACTCCATGAGCTAAAACCGGAAGTCTCTGGGTCACGGGTTTTAACTGACTGCACATCCTGCTGTTTCAGCTCACTGAACAAATCAGTCATGTTTGTGATGAAGTCGAACTGATGTCTCTTCCAGATCAGCGACTGCAACTCTCGGCAGATCTTGGGTCTGCCAACTCTCAGGTCCAGTCTGGCCACCATGAGCATTCATCGCTCTACAGAATCCATGATGGTACATTCTCTTTGAAACTAGGTGTGACCGTTTCTCGGGATGTTTAACCTGACATGAACTTTGTAACTCTTACCCAGGTGGTCCTGGTGCCGGAGGCTAGTGAGTTTTCCCAGTGGGAGCCCGAGGGTGTGGAGTCTAGGTGTCCTGTCACAGCGGTCATTCCCATGTGGACAAACCTGACTACTCTGGACCTAAGCCATAACTGCATCAGCAACATTGACAACTCCGTGGTGAGTGCATCTGCTGCCCAGTGCAATTGTGGAAAATTTTCATGGGAACGTTGGAGACACACAATAATGGGCCATTCCCATCTGTACCGGGTCGACCCGGGCCGGGTAGCCCCAGTCGGCCCCAGCCTGGCCCGGTTGATTCCACACATCCTTGTCTTAAGCCCATGTGGGCTGATTCTACCCACCAATCAGAGGCTTGCTCTAATGGAAGGTGTGAATTTGCTGTCAGCAGTGGGTGTGTTGGCCCTGGTCGGCCTGAAGCAGACCCCCTCGAGAAGAGGGCTGAGAATGAGCCCTGGTTGGCCCGGAAAAATACCAGGCTACCCAGATATATAAACAACCTACGCTACCCGGCCCGGGCCGACCCGGTACAGGTGGGAATGGCCCATAAGAGAGACCAGTCAGCCTTTTGTCTTATTTATTTCCAAAGGCATAAAACACATTCAGGTCTCACTCTATGGACATGTCACAGAAATTAGCCCAGAATGGAAGAATACATACTGCTATTTAGTTCAGCACACACACACACGCACACACGCACGCACGCACACACACACACACACACACACACACACACACACACACACACACACACACACACACACACACACACACACACACACACACACACACACACACACACCAGGGCTGTACAGTATGACATATATGTCACACGTGAGAAGAACAAAAACTCTGTGCGATAAACTATCTTTAGACATAGCACTCACGGAACATCTTTACAAATTACAACTTTTTATTACAAAAGGTCAGTTACCTGTTTTTCGTGTAAGGAAGATGTGACAGGCAAAGCCATGGCACACCACTATTCCACAGCTTAGGGACAGCATGCAAGAAGGCTTTATATCGTGCACCAGGTACAGTTAATGGTGAGAGTTCAGCGGTTCGCAAAGACCGTTGTGGGACAGAAGGATTAATGATGTCAGAGAGGATCCTGGGCAAGAAGGATCTTAAACGATAAACCAACACCCTACCTTTAAAAGTCATGCAAAAGGAGACGGGCAGCCAATAGAATCCATGTAATATGTGCGCGTCTGTGAGAGTTGGTTGAGAAACTAGGTGACAAACAAGGAAACCTTTTTCAATGGGGTTAAATGGCACAACTGAAAGAAACATGACTTGATAGTGGCGTGTATGTGCAGTGTTCAAGTCAGCTCATCGTCCAGCTTCGTAACTAGACTAAAGACAAAAGACTGAAAGCTAATAGGGGCAGCAGATAGATTAGGTGCAGTATTATTGTGATTTCTTGGTTGAAATAAGTTTTATTGTTTAAGTGTAAGAAGCTTGCAGAAAGCCAGATTTTGCTTTCTGAGAGGCAGTCCAGTAGAGTCTGAAGGGTGTTGGGTGGAGTAACAGCAAAATAAATTTGACAGTCATCTGAAGAAGAAGAAAAAGAAGACTATCTTTTCTATATCGCCTCTCAAGATAAAAATCACGAGGTGCTTCACAAAAACAAAAACAAAAAATGTAGATATAAAAAGATTTCGAAAACTATTAAAAATATGTTTACAGTGAGAAACAAAAAAATGTAAGGAAAGAGAGAGAGAAAATGATTAGGAAAAAGGGAAATCAATGGATCCTGGGAAAGGTTGAATAAGAGCAGAATAAGGAGAGGGTGATGAAGGTCCCACCAGAACAGGTGAGTTTAAAGGAGATCACTGAGTCCACTGATCTCAGGCTCAGGGGGAGAGAGTTCCAGAGTCTGGGGGCCACAGCAGCAAATGATCTGTCACCTTTGGTCTTTAGCCTGGTGCGTTGCACAACCAGTAGGCTTTTGTCACTGGACCTCAGGGACCTGCTGGGGGTGTAGGGACTGAGAAGATCACCAATGTAAGATGGTGCTTGTCCATGTAAGGCCCTATAGACCAGAACCAGGATCTAGAAATGAACCCTGAAGTTGACTGGCAGCCAGTGAAGCTGGAGGAGAAGCGGGGTGATGTGGGTGTGTTTGAAGGACTTGGTCAGAAGTCGAGCACAGGCATTCTGAACCACCTGTAGACGGTTCAGGGGGGTTCTGCTCAGTCACGTGAAAAGAGAGTTACAGTAGTCTAAGCATGAGGAGATGAAGGTGTGGAGAACTGTCTCAAGTTCAGAGCGGGACAGAATGGGACTCGGCTTAGCAATGTTCCTGAGATGGAAGAAGGCAGAGCAAACAAGAGAACTGACATGAGAATCCAGGGTGAGAGCTGGGTCAAAGGTCACACCAAGATTCCTGACGGAAGGTTTGGTGTGGGAAGCAAGCTGACATACTTGCTTAGTATGATGATTACTGCGAAGACACTGAGAGTAGTCAGTGACTCAATCAATCAATCAATCAAGTTTTATGTATATAGTGCTTTCCACCACCCTCAAAGAGGGCCCAAGGCGCTGGACAAGAAAAGCAACAAAGATAAAAGTAGCAAGTCATAAAAACATTAAAATAAGAAACAGACATTTGTGAGAACAATAAAATGCCAATGAGATTAAATTTAGTTAAAAGAACATTTAAATGAATTAGTTAAAAGAAAGCTAAGAACAAAAGTGAGTGAGTGAGTTCAAGATGGCGCTTGTGAGGGTGCACGCAGCGAGCTGCTCGTCTTCTTCACGCAATGGAACCTGGCGTTTTATTGGCTTTTATGCACTTTTGTTGTTTCTGATGCTTTTTCTGAACGGTGTGGCTTCTCTGGTGACTTACGATCGAGCTGCGCTGCTGAGGCTTCGTCCTCCTGTTGATATAGCGGGCGCTGCGCGCTGGGAACGTCACGGATGGCGTTGCTGTTTGTACTGCCCGTGTGCTCTCTCCCCCCCGGCCGTGATTTGTCGGCCTTCTGTCCGCCCCAGCTCGAGAAGGAAGCATCGCAGAAGACGGGGAAAGCGAGGTAGCCGGTGCGTGAGACGTCGGGCTGTGACCCAGTGGCTCCGAGATGTCAGATGGATTACTCTGCGCCCTGCCTTGTGAACTTGTCCAGCTCTGAGGGTGAGCTGGCACCGCACCAAGGCCATTCGGCTCGAGGACCTCACCAGAGTGGGTTTTGCTGGAAGAATCTGCGTGTGGTTACGGGCTCTGAGCTGGAGGAGATGGTCAATCAGATTGATAATTCAATACCACATCTTATTGATCAATTAATAAGTGTAGCTAAATCCACTACGCTACATTTTACTATTTATCTTTAACCCAGGTGAGATCCTTCTGACGCTGACTCTTGTTCAAAAAGTGGCTTGACACAAGGAATGCGACAGCTGAAATCCGTGTCTTGCATACGTCTGTGTGGTGGTTCTTGAAGCACTGACTCCAGCTGCAGTCCACTCTCGGTCTCCTCCGCATTTTCGAATGGGTTTTGTTTCAAAATCCTCTTCAGGATGCAGTTATCTCTGTTGTTGTACACTTTTTCTACCACATCTTGTCCTTCCCTTCGCCTCTCTATTAATTGGACACAGCTCTGTGAACAGCCATCTTTAGCAATTAGTTTTTGTGTATTGCCCTCCTTGTGTCAGTGGTCGTCTTTTGGACAACTGTCAAGTCAGCAGTCTTTCCCATGATTGTGTAGCCTACAGAACTAGACTGATAGACCACATAAAGGCTTTTGCAGACGTTTTGAGTTAATTAGCTGATTAAAGTTTGGCACCAGGGGTCTTCTATTTTCAACTTTTTCACAATATTCTAATATTCTGAGATACTGAATTTGGGATTTTCATTAGTTGTGAGTTAAAATCATCAACATTAACAAAATAAACATCTGAAATATATCAATCTATGTATAATGAATGACTAATGTACAAGTTTTGTTTTTTTAATGGAATTACTGAAATAATTTTTTTATGATATTCTAATTTAATGACAAGCACTTGTACAATACAGGCGAAAAGTTTGAACACACCTTCTCATTCAATGTGTTGTCTTTATTTTCATGACCATTTACATTGGGAGATTATCACTGAAGGCATCAAAACACACAGTGTAAAAGCTTGGTATTTTTGCATTTTTATGCTTGATTTGAGAAAGCTCCCCACATTGTCTGTTGTAGAAGCTAATCTCTAAAGTGGAGTTTTTGGATCTGAGCTACAACCATCTTTCCTTGGTCGAGAACCTTCAGGTATGGATCGGCTCAGTGTCTTTTGTAGTAAAACTGTTTAAAATGTTATTTTAATGTTTTTGTTTGCACCATTGGCGAAGCAAATACAACCTTTTTCGTAGTAAGAGACTCAAGTACCTCTATCTGCTCAAGTGTCAAAGAAAAACTCAAGTCTAAAAAATCCAAAGTTGATGCTAAAGCCATTTCAAAAGAGCGCCTTGACTGTGCCAACACCATATTTGTTCTATTTCTCTGTCTCAGACCTAGCATTAAGCCCGCCCAACAAACATAAGTTGTTAAAGCCAATGGTAGACCTGCAGACACTAGAATGGGGCATGGCTAGACTGAGCTGCTATGGTTGGTCTGGATCTCTAGGCTAGTTGAATGAAGTTTCTGCAGACTGAAGATCTTCTGCTGTTATTGGGTCAGTTTCTTACTTTTGGTTTTTGGTTTTAGCATCTGTACAACCTGGTCCATGTGGATCTGTCCTACAACAGCCTAAAAGCTCTGAATGCTGCTCACACCTGTCTGGGGAACATTAAAACCTTGAGCCTGGCTGGGAACCAGCTGGAGAGACTTAGTGGCCTCTCAAAGCTCTACTCTCTAGTCAACCTAGACCTCAGCCACAACCAGGTGGCCCAGGTAAGAAAATGTTCATTACACAAGTCATTAAACATGGAATTCTTTATTGTCTCTCTCGGCTCCCTTTATTTTCAGTATAAATTCATTATTCTCATATTTCTGGACCTGAAGTCTTTCATCATCGTCGTCATCATCTTTATTTATATAGCACCTTCTAACTGCCAGAAGGCAAACCAAATTGCTGTACACACATTAAAAAAGTTTGAATAAAGACAAATAAAATTTTAGAGACAGAAACCACTAGAGACTCACCAGTGTGACTTTTATTTTTTCAGCTGGAAGAAATCAAGAATATTGGATCTTTACCCTGTTTGGAGATACTGAACCTTTCCAGTAACCCTGTATGCATCATTCCAGACTACAGAACAAAGGTTTTGACACAGTTCGGAGACCGGGCTGCAGAGGTAGGCCACCATAAATGCAGTTTATGTGCTAGAATGTGCTTATGCCTGGTCCAGTTTTCTTAACCTCTTAAACCCAAAGGACCCAGTACCGGGTCCTGAACTACTTCTGGTTTCAAAGTCATTCCAAAACCATACTTACTGTTCACCAATATAAGCAAACTACACATGTATATAACGGGAAGAAGCTAGTCTAAACAATAAAAACATTGTTTTCCACCTCAGCGACACCTAATTCACACAATGAGCCTTTAAATAAACCGGAAGTAAAAAATCACTGACTCCACATATCAAGCAAAGCCTGAGGAAAACACACAACAGTGACAATAAAATACGATCCTATCCAGAAAGCCAGCCACCCAAAAATAAAGCCACGATTCTCTTCTTTCAAACAATATAAGTATCATTTCTGTACCTTACAAAAACTCACAAAGCCAGCCGCGATCAAACAGAGAACAGCACAGCTCTTTATCGGCAGTCAGCAGCCTAAAGTCTGTCTTACCTTTGCTGATTTGTGATCATAATCCGTGTTCCGGTAAAAAATCCACTCGATTCGTGTAATCCATTTTCCCACAGTCAAAACGAACTCATTCCTCACTGTTTTTGCCGTGTTTTGCTCCCTACAGGCGAGTTAGAAGTCCGCGACGCCATCTTAACCAGAAGATTGGCTCACCCCTTGAGGAGCTCCTGGTCTTGTTGTTTCAGTTTGGATACAATGAAACGCAACACCACTTGATTCTATTGGCTCAGAGCTTTAAGGCGTGGTTTGAACCACACAAATTGTCCAATGGGATCCTGAGATATCTGTAACATTTAATACATATGACCAATAAGATGTGATATTCCATACAAATATGAAATATCAATCTGATTGATCTTTGAATGTTTGATCAGAAGATTCTAGGGTTCTTTGCTTCTTCAGGGACCATAAACACACTTCGTATTAATTCAGACAGAGTCAGTATATAGTTTGTAAAATGAATTTAATTATTTTTCCTAAACTAATAATTTATACATGACAAGATATGAATAATGAGATGTGGTGTGGTGGATGTGAGGTGTTGTGATGGAAGCTAGATGTCGTAGCAACCGTTCTTTGTATCTGAGAGAAATTGTGAAATCTGGGTGTAAAAGAATTTGTTGTTTGTTATAAACTAGAGAGTTGTTTATTCATAAAACCTCATCAGACACCAGTGTGCAGGCTTACGGTACCCTTGTATGAGTTGCTCCCGGCGGTCTGGAGGTTTGCGGTCAGAGTGGTGATGTCAGTGGACGTCGAAACCACAATACTCAAACATTAGTAGCATCCTCTGAGTTCAACTTCCCCGGCCATGAGATGCAACCCAGGGTCTGCAGATTAGGTGTGAAGTAGCTCTGAAAAGAGCTGTTGTGTCTGTAAACACTTGCATCGTCGCAGAAAGGCTTTGACTGAAGGTCAAAGGAGATGGTTTCAAAAAGGCTTCTTTCCCGATTTGGCCTAATCGGGGTTCAGCTGGAAACTGAATTAATCAGGAAGTAATTCTTGTTTTATTAAGCTACTTTATGATTTCCGGGCAAGTTTGGCAAATCAGAATTTTACACATTTCTGAGTGTTTACCAACATCCCTCAGAAAGCCATGCCCTCCTCAGATACAAAGATGTTTTTAACCTTAACATGAATCTTATTGAAATGTGTATGAGTGTAAACAATGATTAACTTGTTAAATCAAACACATAGTGATTTGTGATATAAATGGATCGTTGTAAGAGCAATATTCATTTAAACTTCATTTATTTAAGCACAGATTATTCAAACTTTTAATTTAAAAAGCTTGTTTATTCATCACATATGATTATTTAAGCTTATGAGTTGTAAAAGTCATGGAGTCTTCACTTGTTCATGTTGATGTCTGGTGTCCATGCAGTGTGTCGGACCTTGGGAGAGAATGTTTGTGTGAATGTTTTGTCTAAATGGACTGTCAACTTGCGCTAACAGAACCTTCTGGATTTGGAAGGCCAAATAGAAAGTGGATTTATGCTGTAGATGAAAGGTTATTATGTTGAGCAATATGTAGGTGAAAATGGACCCTTTTGGACGTTACATATCGTCGCACGTATCTCTTGTGTGCCATGTGCGCATGACGCACGAGGGAGTGTTTACCTGCAGCGCTGACTCTCTCGCTAGCATTTATTGACGAGAGGAGCTTTTCAGGTAGTTTGCTGGTTTTGTCGACATCTTATTTTTACAATGGCTGGAAAAAACAAGAAGTTTTTCACCACTAAAGAGGTCCTGGATGTGTTAGCTGATGATGGCGGCGCTAACGTGTCCGGTGGATGCATCTTCTCATGAGGATTTAGTCTGCACAGATCAGGACAGTAGTGACCTGGATTATGAAATCCCTTCTTCAGAAAGGTATGTAACCCATTTCCCTTAACTATTTTATTTGATTTGGTATAAAATTACTGATAAATTTACCAAATAATATATATTAATATATGTAGTTATTTATGTACATAATCCTGTCTACATCATCAGTTGGGCTTGTTTTAGTTTTTCAAATAAGTCTTTTTTACTCTGTTATTGTAAATGAGTACAAATTTACTATATAAACTTTGATTTTGTGTAAAATTATGGATATATTCACCAAATAATGTATATATTCTTTATTTATGTACATAATCCTGTCCAAATAAGCATATTGCTCATTTTCTCTCTTCAAATAGGTCTTTTTCTCCTTCTTATTGTAAATGAATATAATGTTATGACATAAACTTTGGTTTTTGTATAAAAATTACTAATATATTTACCAAAATATATATATTTTCTGTTATTTGTCTACATAATCCTGTCCACATCAGCATTTTAGCTTATTTTCTCTGTTCAAAAAGATCTTTTTCTCAAGTGTTGTTGTGAATGGATATGTTTTTACATCATGTTTTTTTTTTTCCCATGCGGCTTTACAGTGAATAGCGATGAAATGGATTAGGAGTACAAACCACCATCACCTGGACAGGTATCCTTCGCTCGGCCACAGGCATGGCCACGCCCATCTTCTTCTGCTCCAAACCCAAGGAAAGGAAAAGCCCCAAGCTCATCTTTACTAAGTGGAAACCATAAATGTGTTTGTGCAGCTCTGACAGTGAGTGATTTGTAGATAGATAAACTTTATTGTCTATCACAAACTGAGGCAGAAATTCACCTTTGACATGGCTCACCTTACAATACAATCCATATCCCATTCACACAAATGTATAAAAAGACAATTAAAAGGTATTAGAATGTTAACAGTGTAAAAAAAATAAAACTTTAAGAATTCTAAATTGTAATTGCGGTGGGAACAAATTATTTCTTATAGATAGCTTTCTTGGAACCCTGAACCTCCTTCCTGATGGAAGTAACTGAAAATGTGGGTTCGATGGATGGGTTGAGTCTGCACTGATCAGGGTAGCCTTCCTGTGCACTGCTCGCTCGTGAAGAACAGAAAGTGGGATCTGAGGTGAACCTGTAATTTTGCTGCCTAATTTAACAATGCGAGAGAGTTGTGTTTTGTGTTTAACTGTGAGAAAGTTATACCAAGCTGTAATATTGAATGTTAGAATGGATTCAATCAGTGATTTATATACAATTGTTAGGATATCCTTGTTCACATTGAGTGCTCTTAGCTTACTTGCCACTTCTTTCCACCGGAGCCGTCAGCAGCACGTTACTGCAGCAGCATGTCATAGCTGCTGATAGGAACCGCTGTGGTCAACAGAATCTTTTCCACTGGAGCCGTCGGCAGCGCGAGTCGGCCGCGTCTCAGGAGCAGCATGCCGCGGCCCTTACGCGCCGGTTCTATTTTCTACGCGCAACGCCTCTGAAACGGGTCGAGTTCGACATTTTTGGGGAAGGAAAGACAGGAAATCGGACGCGGAAACGGAGCGAAGCTCCCGAGATTTTCAGAATAAAGAACATACTGCCTTCCGGTTGCTTTACTTTAAAAAAAGTTATTAACTGTGCGGCCTCGTGAGAAGTTATCACCTAGCTAGCGGTCTCCTTTGTTTTTCAGGTCCATATTGGCGATTATAAAATGGACAGAACATTAAACACAAACCTTTTGGAGCCATGTTGTAATTTTCTCCTGCTTGTTGTGTTTACTGACGACGTCACTCGTGTGACTTCATGCTCTGTCGGTGACAGCTGCTCCCCTGCTGCTTCGCGTCTCGTGGGAAGGGCCAAGCAGCAGCTTACGCGAGCAAGACGTGCTGCTGCAGTAACGTGCTGCTGACGGCTCCGGTGGAAAGAAGGGGTTAGCAGGTGGAGTCTTTGCAGCGCTTTCTTGTAGACACTGTTGCTGTGATTTGCAAAGGACAGGTGGTCATCAATTTCTGTTCCCAGATACTGGAATGACTGAACCTGCTGCACAGGCTGACCCTGTATGCTGAGGGGTTCGAACAGGGATGTGTCTGCCTCACTGACTGCCCCACAGCACATTTCTTTAGTTTTTTAGATATTCAGCCCCAGGTGAAAGTCTTCAAATGTCTGGACCAGATTGCTGACCGCCTGCTGATATTTAGACATGTCCTCCGATGTCTTCACTGATGCCACCAGTGCCATGTCGTCTGCATACTTATACAGGGCCATTCTCTCACTATGGCACCGGATGTTGTTTGTGTAGACCGACAAAAGCACTGGAGACAAAAAGCCTTGTGGCAGTCCAATGCTAATGACACTTTTCGTGGATTAAAATCCTCTTAAAAACACTTGTTGTGGCCTGCCTTTCAAAAAGTTGTGGCTCCATAAAATCAGCGTTGTGTGGAGATGGAGATCTGAAAGCTGTTCCAGCAGAAGGCTGGTGTCTACTGTATTAAATGCAGAAGAAAAATCCATGAATAAGATTCTTGTGTATGGTTGTGTAGAGTCCATGTGTTTAGTGACAGCATTTAGAAGTGTGAGACTTGCATCCTCTACACCACATTTTGCCTTGTAAGCAAATTGTAGCGGATCCAGCTGGTCTGAGATAAATTTTGTCAAGTGTCCTCCCACTACCCTTTCCATGCAATTGCACAGAACTGATGTAAGGGCCACAGGTCTAAAGTCCCCCAGTTCTTTTGCATGAGCTTTCTTGGGGATCGGAATTATCACAGATTCTTTCCATTGCTCTGGAAAGAATCTGTGATAATTCACATTACATTTTCATAGCCAACCTGATTTTTATGTATGATGATGTTTCAGTTTTCTCAGTTTTCTTGATGTAAAATTCTATTTTGAATGTTGTTGTTAATAAATTTGCTCCATTAGGAGTCAAATGAATTCCTCGTTATGATTTTCCCTTATTTTGAACGGATTAATATATGCTGGGTGGATTTTCCCCCAAATCCTCAAAAACATTATTTTTAAGTTAAAAATTAGGAAAAAAAGAACTTAAAGAAAAAACCTGAGAATTTCCAAATGGCACAAACTGTGCCAAAAGTTGCCCAAAATGGTCCATAAGAGGTCCACCTGGACTTCTATCAACTAAAACCTCTCTAACTTTTCTATACTTCCTTTTTTTTCTTTATTTTTGAGTCAGCAAATGTTCAGACCCTATTCTATGGATTTCTAGATGTTTTAGGCTGCAACTAGGTATTTTAGAAGGAATTTTAACATCATAAAGTGGATTTTTTTAGGCAGAACAGATTTTCGTTCTCATTTCTGCTGTGTTCCAGATCCTTTTACTCTCAATCAGTGACATAAGTGTTGCTTTTTAGACTGTTGGAGTAATTTTTAGAGTCTTACATTTATTTGCTACCAAAACAGCTCAAATAAACCTTGTAGTTTATGAGATATACTCAAATCATTTTGGGCATATCTTTTTAAAGAAAATCTCTTGAAAAATGACCTAGGGTTCAAGAGGTTAAAGTCGCTACATTTTTTATGAAGATTTTCTTTGGAAATCATGAAGTGGAAGAAGAAGCAACTTTTTATATAGCGTCTCACAAGATAAAATCATGAGACTCTTTACAAGAGCATTACTAAAAGTTTAAAAAGATTTAAAAATAAAAAAATAAAAGTCATCACAGGATCCAGAAGAGGACAGAACTGACTGAAACAACAGCATGAGGAAGTAGAGGATGAGGAGGAGGTCCCACCAAAGCCTCAACATGTGATTTTAAAGGAGACCACTGAGTCCACTGATCTCAGGCTCGGGGGGAGAGAGGTCCAGTGTCTGGGGCCACAGCAGCAAATGATCTTATGCAGTTTTCAGACCCCGATATGTGTGTAAGCAGCTTTAGAGTTGAGGCCCCAGGTGTTCAGATAATCTGGACAACTGTTGCTCAGGTTCATCTTTAAGGTATTTTCTAATGTTTATTTTTTAAATAAAAATATTTGAGAAGAAGTTCTCATTCACAAACATGACCTGGCCGAGAGCCTCGGAAAATAGTACACACAGTCTGGCACTTTGAAAGATCATTGTTTTTCCTAATACCACTAATATTATTACTGTGTGTGTGTGTGTGTGTGTGTGTGTGTGTGTGTGTGTGTGTGTGTGTCATGTTGTCAGATTTGTCTGGACTTTAAGGTGACTACAGAGAAGGAGCTGGACACAGTGGAGGTGTTGAAAGCCATCCAGAAAGCTAAAGAAGCTAAAGACCGGATGAGCAGCAGTGAGACAAAGGTGCCGCTGTCATGCTGACGTAGACGACCATTACTTATGACCACCATTAGAAGCTTAGAAGTCCTCTCCTTCAGTTTTAATTAGACTTGCCTACATTTTCTTTTAGAATGTAGAGTTTACGTTTTAGTTGGGTCCTCTTTTCTTTTGCTGTTGTCAGGCTAGTGAGGCGACCAGACTTTCTGCTACTCTTCCTGTCACCTCCTCCTCCCCCAGCCCGGCCCAGCAGGCTGCCTGCCCCAGCCAAGGTAATCATGTATGCATCAGGCTGATTTTTGGAGACAGTAGTAGCGGCCATTTTTCTCATACAGTACTGTCTTTCATAAAGCAAGGTATATCAATGTGTACATTTTTTTATTACTTATTTCTTGAGAGATGAGATTTCTTGTGTAGATCCAGATGTTAAGAATCAACATTTAGAAGGTAGAACAAAGGTGACATACAGAATTGTACTGCAAGGATGTCTTGAATTACCAAATGAATACGACTTCAAAACATTTGTATAATCTAACAAGACTAGATTTGATGAAAAAAAATGCTACTTTGGAGGTCTTACTTACAGCAGAGTTTGGAACGGGTGGGAAACATTCACTGGATGCAAACTGATGTATCATAAGATCTATGGAAATATTTGGAAATGTTATTTATGTACATAAATAGATGTAACCTTGGGAAAAGTCCCAGCACAAATTTTCTGCCAATCCAAGCGGTTGATGTTCTTCTCCGGGGGTCTCATTTATCAAACATTGCATAGAATCCTTACTAAAACCGTATTTAAGCTCAGCAAAAAAAAAAAGTACTTACGCCAAGTAGGTTTGTGATCTATCAAACATGGAGTACACACAGCTGCACGCAATCTGCTTCATGAGTCGGAGACTTAACAAGAATGTTTCTCAGCTGCATTTTATGTTTATGTTTATTTATTTGGCAGACGCTTTTATCCAAAGCGACGTACAATTTTTAACTTGTAGGGCATGTTGTGATCTGTAGGGGAAACCGGAGTACCTGGAGGAAACCCACGCATGCATGGGGAGAACATGCAACTCCACGCAGAAAGGCCACAGCTGAGTTTCAAACCTGCAACCTTCTTGCTGCGAGGCAACAGTGCTAACAACTGCGCCACCATGCAGGATTTTAGTCACATCCCGCCCTCACCACGTCCACTTACTGCCATAAATAGTCAATGCAAAGTGCCTTGTGGATCTCATGCATATACATAAGCCGGCTGTTGCAGCGCTCCGCCAATGACATGGCGACCATAGATCAAGGCCGATCAAGGAGGCACAATTTCACAGAAGCAGAAATTGAGGTACCTGTGGGTGAGGTGGAGAAATGAAAGGAAGTGCTTTTGCAAAACAAATAAGAGAAAATCCACGGAGTGGCACAGCGTTGCTGAAGCCGTCAATGTTGTGAGTTCTTCAGAGAGATCTGTGGCGGATATAAAAAAAAAAAGGTCCAATCGGGATTCAATCCCCAGACACCCAGATGAAAGTCACGCACGTTAACCAGTCAGCCAAATGGAGATCTCCCCTGTACAAGTATCAATTGGGTCACAGTGACAGGACACACACTGTCACAGGCGCATGACATTCTGTCTCAATCTATCACCCTGCTGATATTCTGTATTCTGTATGCTGTGCTTCAGGCTGTGTGAGTGTACCCGCGCGTTTGTGTGCGTGTGGGGGGTCTTGTTCTGTGTGAAAACAAAGCAGTACAAGTGATAATGCTGCAGGATTTCATCATTTTATCCTTCTCAGCAGCAGCACTGCAGGTGCTCTCCATGTCCAACATGAGCGTAAGCAAGGTCCTTAGTCAACTTAAAGTTGTGCACATTTTTCTGCTAAGTTTTCTTTCACAAATCCCAAAGTTTGCGTGGAAAGTTGCTTACACAGTTTTCCGACCCCATTTTGTGCGTAAGCAAGCTTGATAAATGAGGCTCCAGGTCTCTATTCCACAGCTGCTTAATAGAATCAAAGCCTGAGGTTTCCATAGAGCAGGGCTATTCAAGTTTGGGCCTCAAGGGCCGGTATCCAGCACGTTTTAGTGTTTTCTCTGGTCCAACACACCAGATTCAGTGTCTGAGTCACCTGTGCAGCAGCTCATCAGGCTCTGCAGACAACACATTCTCACACCCAAGGTGTCAAAATATGACGCGTGTGACCAAGCCTCAATATATGACGATTCGCGATGCCCCAGCGCATCAGGAGACGACGATCAGGGACACGCTGGTTCACGTGGCTCCGCTGGCGTCACTGTTTGACGCGCGCAGTCACACGGACATTATTCGACTATTTAACCTTCCCCTCACCCCAATTCTAACCTTAATTAAGGTCCATAAACTGTGAACTTAAGGTTAGGATTGGGGTGAGGGGAAGGTTAAGTAGTTCACAAGTAGTTCTAATGTCCGTCTCACCACCGGCGTCGGATACCTACGCTGTGGGACGCTGCATCAGCTGTTTGTCCCTGATCATCGTCTCCTGACGCGCTGGGGCGTCCTGAATCGTCATATATTGAGGCTTGGTCACGCGTCATATTTTGACGTCTTGGGTGTGAGAATGTATTGCTGCAGAAGCCTGTTGATCACCTGGGGCCTCATTTATAAAGCTTGCTTACGCACAAAACAGGATCGGAAAACTGCGTAAGCAACTTTCCACGCAAACTTTGGCATTTATAAAAAAAAAACTTTGAGGAAAAATGTGCGCAACTTTAAGTTGACTAAGGACTTGACTTAAACACATTTTGGACATGGAGAGCACCTGCAGTGTTGCTGCTGAGAAGATGCAATTATGAATTCCAGCAGCATTATCACTTGTGACCCCAGCTGATTGAAATCTGGTGTGTTGAAGCAGGGTTACAACTAAAATGTGCTGGATACCGGCCCTCAAGGCTCTTCTTCTTCTTCTGGCTCTCGGAGGGTGCAGACGCTTTTTTCCTCCTCTCCTCCATATCTTAACCTCAAGGCCTTTGTCTGTCTCTGTGTGCTGGGTGCACGGCTGCTTCTGCATTTTTTCTGGAAACTGGAAACTGAAATCACTAAAATGGATCTCGTCGGTTGGTCACTCAACGCGATTGATAAAATTTTTTCAACGATGAGAACGGGAGAAGGGGCTCCCGGATGCCCCTCCGGGACAGACCCAGTTGGACACATCATGGACTCCTGAAAACAGTGGAACTTGATTTGTTTATCTCAGCTGTCTGTGGAGGACTCTGAAGATGTGTGGATGTTCGTGGTGTTGGTGTCAGGTTTCCTGCTGATCGGCATTGGAGGCTACCTGGCTTACCGGAAAATTAACGAGCTGTCAAGGAATATTGACCTGATCCCTGAGCTCAGAGATGGATTGGACCACGCTGTGAATTCACAGACTCACATAATTGTCGCGATGAATCGTAAGCTTGGAACTTTTACCGAGATTCATTCATTGGCACAAAAGATGGATGCCATCAAGGATAGAGTGGAAGAATCAGCACGGATTGGGATAGTTTAATGTCCATTATTGGGATTTTGAGAGGTTGAGGACCAAGGAACTGTAAGACAGAGAGGAAATTATCTCTGTCTTGCCCCAAAACAATTTCTAATCTGAATCTGGTGCCCTTGAGCCTGCAAGGCTCCAACGAAAACTCCCCCCTCAGAAGATATGTGTCACAATCTGCTCCTGCCTCCCTGACTGATTACTGCATGCCTTTGTGATTTCTAGGCTTGATTACTGCAGCTCTCTATATGCAGGGTTGTGTCAGTCTTCACTGCGTCGCCTACAGGTTGTGCAGAACAACGCAGCCAGGTTCCTGACTGGGACCAGGAAATGGGACCACATCAGTCCAGTTCTGGTCTCCTTGCACTGGCTTCCGGTTCGCTATCATTCACACTTCAAACTCCTCGTCTTTGTTTTTAATTTCTTCCAGGGTGGTGCTCCCCCCATCTGGCCACGCTCCTGGACAGACATTCCCCATCACGCGCTCTGCGCTCCTCTGACCAAGGCCTGCTCGTTGTCCCTCGTTCTAGGTGTCTTACTCGCGGGGACCGGGCTTTCTCAGTACTAGCACCGTCACTATGGAACCAGTTGCCACCCTCAGTTAGGCTGTCACCATCTCTGCCAGTCTTCAAGAGCCGCCTAAAAACACACCTCCTCCGCTTGGCGTTCCCTGAATGTATTTGAGTTAGGCCGTCATTTATGTTGATTTTATCTCACAGTCTTCATTGGTTCAATTTTTCCCTTGTTTTACACATTTGTATTCTACTAGAATGTTTAACCTTTTTTGTAATTTGTAATCTGTAATTTGAATTTCTTTTATTTTCTGATTTATTCACTTTATTTGACTTTCTACTGTACCATGTTCAGCGCCTTGGGCTTCCTGACAGGGTTGTGGAAGGCGCTTTATAAATAAAGCTTTGATTGATTGATTTGATTGACTGTGTCTCTCTCCTGCACTTAATTAGTCTTTATTGTTCTCACCTGCCCCTTGTTAATCCGCCCATGTGTTCCTGATTGTTTCCCTGAGTATTTATACCTCCCGTCTTGTTTGAGTCTTTGTCGGATCATTGTTTGTTGTCAGCGTTGTTTTTGTTCTGTCGTTCCCGCTCTGCCATTAAAACTACTTTTATTTCATCCGTGCCTGCATTCCTGCCTCCTGATCTGCTCCACCACACATGGTCCGCCGTCATCCACACCCTCAACGTGACAATATGTGGAATGTGCCGTCGCTATGGCAACTCAACTCTGTCTCCTTTCCCAGCCTGGGCGGGTCTGCGGGAAGGCCGCTGAATCGTTCCAGGGTCTCTGCAACCCTCCAACCCTCAATGCTCCTCCCCCATCCACACTAAGGTGACATGCACTGCTTATCGTGGCTGCGGGAACTGAAGTGGGGATAGTTCCAGCCCACCACACAGCCGTGTACCAAATCACCTTACGAACTGGTGAAGCAGTTGGTTGAAACCGGAGGCAAGCAGGGGTTGTTTGCGGTGCTCAAATTATCTTTTTAACCAGAATCACCATGTCAGTTATTTTTCTGCTCACCGTGATTATAGAGAAACTTTATTTGTTACGTAACGACAATGTTCGATCGGTTTATCTGACTTAGCTGTGCAATTATAACCTAACACGGCTAAATATCGACATTATTTGTATAAACACATTTCTATCAGTGAACGTTTTTGTCGTTAATGGTTTTTAGGAAGTAAACAACACTTTCTCTGGCTACTTCCAGCTTGTGAGTAGCTGACCTGCGTGTAGCTCCAGAGTCTCTTCTGCTGCTGGAAGGAGCCGCCATTATTGTTGTCTTTCCGGGCGCGGCGGCTCCCGCTCCATCACGTTCTTATACCTTGTTGCCTTTTCCTTGCATGGATGTTACTGCAGTGGATTTCAGTCTGATTTTTTTCCATTTTTCTGAACCCCATCCTGTGTTCAATCAAGTCTCCCTCGATATAATCCTCCTTGCGGAAATGTGCACCACAAATCACGGAATTGTTCGAGACTCTACTGCTGACAAAATACTGCCTTTTTACCCCAACAAATCTCACCCACGCACAGAAAGCTGGGTTTTTCTGCTTTGGGAATCAGAAAACACGATGCCCAGACAAACTGAAGTTTATACAACCCCTACATACACAAACATTCACCATATTTGAACTAGTTTACTTGGGTTTTACCTCAGCAACTGTAAATGACCGATTTAGAGCTCGTTGTCCTCTCGTTTGCCTCTGCGTTTACCTCTGGGCACGTCACGTGACTCTAAAACCGTGCGTTTTTTGGGGGGCGCTTGCTCTCAACCCTTTATTTAGTCTTTTTAAACACCTGCTCGTTATATGGAAACCTGGGAGTATAACCAAAGTAGCTTTTTTACATTAGATTATGCTTTTTTGCCATTTTAAAGAACATTAAAGATGGATTTTAAGTACGGTTTTAGTAAGGATTCTACGCAATGTTTTATAAATGAGACCCCTGCTCAATAGCCAAGTCATGGTATGTGTGACAAAATGAAAACAAATATGTTGCAAGTCTTAAATACATAAATGTTTTGCCCCACTCACTGCTAAAATAATTAAACCAATTATCAATTCAATTCAAAGATACTTTATTAATCCCAGAGGGAAATTAGAGTTTCAGTACACACAATTCTGAGATCAGACATACATACATAGGCATAGACAGATGGCAAGAATTGGTGACTGTGGTCATTTGCAACCCGAGTCGCGCTACCTTAATAGAGATCAGAGAAGAAGAAGAAGAAAATATCATTTCTATAGCGCCTCTCAAGATAAAAATCACGAGGCGCTTCACAAAAACAAAAAAAAAATGTTAAAATATAAAAAAGCATTCAGAAAGTGTTTAAAAATATATTTAAAATGAGCAAAAATAGGCAATTGGGATTTAAAAGAAAAAATGTTAAGAAAGAGAGAGAGTGTATATGAAAGAGGGAAATCAGTGGATCCTGAGGAAGGTGGAATAGGTGGGGAGAGCAGAATAAAGAGAGAGGTGTTGAATAAGGTCATACAAAAGCCAGCTTGAACAAGTGAGTCTTCAGCTGCTTTTTGAAGGAGGCCACTGAGTCCACTGATCTCAGGCTCAGGGGGAGAGAGTTCCAGAGTCTGGGGGCCACAGCAGCAAATGATCTGTCAAGAGGGTTTATATATGAGGATTGAGTCAGGTGGAGGAAAAAAAGGCACTTCATAGTTACCCTCCACAGGGAGGGTAGCTTAGCTAAGCGAAATACACCTCAGACAGAAATGCAACAGACTTCAGACATTACACAACATAAATGCCCACTAGGTGTGGAGGTAGGGTTGGGGACTGTCCACACATCAGTGCATGCAGCTGCGATAAGCAGCACTCGTCACCTCTGTTCGGACAGGGGAGGGAGGTAATTGGGTTTAGAAAGCACAGTGACTCCTGGAACGATTCAACGGCCTTCACCGGTCTCAGTCCCGTCCAGGCTGGGATAGGGAGACAGAGTTACCATGGCAACGGCAGCATTCCACATTTCTTCTGAGGGGAAGTATTCATTTCTGCCTCTCAGGCTCAAGGGCGCCAGATTCAGATAAGAACTTGTTTTGGGGCCAGACAGAGATAATTTCATCTCTGTCTTAAAGTTCCGTTGGTCCTCAACCTCTCTCAATCCAATAATGGCATATATTAATCTATCCCAATCTATGCTGATCCGACAACTTTCTCCTTGATCGAATCCACCTTCTGTGCCACAGTCTGAATCTCAGCCAAAGTTCCAAGCTTACGACTCATCTCGACAATTATATGAGTTTGTGCATTTGCAGCGCGGTGTAATCTGTCCCTGAGCTCCGGGATTGAGCCAATATTCCTCGACAGCTCATTAATTTTTTGGTAAGCCAGGTAACCACTCAGGCCAAAAAGCAAGAAACCTGACACCAACACCACGAGTATCCAGACGTCTTCAGAATCCTCTACAGACAGTTGAGAGAGGCAGATCAGGTTCCACTGTTTCCAGGAGTCCATGATATGCCCAGCTGGCTCTGTCCCAGAGGGGCATCGAGGAGCCCCTTCTCCCATTCTCATCGTTGAAAAAAAAAATTTCAATCACGTTGAGAGACCAACTGACCAGGTCCATTTTTAATAATTTCCGGTTTCCAGAAAAAGTGCAGAAGCGCCGTACACCCAAAGACAGACAAAGAGCTTTGGGATAAGATAGGAAGGAGAGGAGGAAAAAAGCGTCTGTACTCTCCAAGAGCCGAGATATAGTATGAAGTTGTTTCATTTAAAATCACACTTTGATAACTGTGTGTGTGTGTGTGTGTGTGTGTGTGTGTGTGTGTGTGTGTGTGTGTGTGTGTGTGTGTGTACTTTTGATTCAGCGATATATAAACAATCCTTATTAATAAAGTATGAAAGGAAAAATGGAAATAATGGTCTGTGGTGATCAAAAAGAAGACATTTGAAGAATACTTTTCACGTGTCTGATCAGAACCTCCCTGAACCGTCTACAGGTGGTTCAGAATGCCTGTGCTCGGTTTCTGACCAAGTCCTCCAAACACACCCACATCACCCCGCTTCTCCTCCAGCTTCACTGGCTGCCAGTCAACTTCAGGGTTCATTTCAAGATCCTGGTTCTGGTCTGTAGAGCCTTACATGGACAAGCACCATCTTACATTGGTGATCTTCTGGTTTGCCACTTACTCTTGAGAAGCTCACAGAGATTTTTGACTGTTGTTTAGAGCACATCTAGCTGGGTGCGTCTGCATGAGGTTCTACAGTGCTTCAAAGCATCACTTAATAAAAATGTGATGCTTGTGAAAGTCCTGAGATGTTTTCTCTGATGTTTGTTTTCAGACGTAACACGCAGAGAAGAGGCCACAGTCCCCTCCATTGTCCTCCTTTCTGTGGACAATCCCCAACCCTCTACAGCTGACCCCATTCAGGTGCGACACAAACACACTTCCAGATTAGATTACTTCATTAAATACTAAGAGACACAATTTCAATCTGTCTGTGTTCGTTTTGGTATTTTCCATTAAAATGAAATGTGAATTTTTCAAATTTCTGTACAGTTTTGTGTAGGCATGCTTAATATTTCCTTTACACAAGTTGAAAATTATTGCATCAGAAGAAAAATACAGTTATTTTAGTCGACTAAAAAAGGACTAAAACAAATTGTGACTACAGTTTAAGAAAAGTTTAGTTAAAGACTAAAACTAAAATTAAATTTCTAAATTAACACCGCACAGAAACTCACCAATACACAGTAAAGTTATTAGTTCAATTCTGATTTCATGTTAACATTGAAACATTGAAAGCTGGTGAGATGAAGAAGAACAGTGTTGACTTCATGTGTTCATCTGCAGGTAGAACAAGCTTTGCCACACTGTGGAGACCCAACAAGCAGCTCTTCTTTTTCTGCTGTCTGGTTTGTATGAACTTATTAAAGCTTTATTGTGTCCGAAATAAAAGCTGCAAAGTGTGAAAGTTGTTCAATAACATGTCAAAATAGAAATCAATTGGAAATTAAATAATTTAGAATGGTTGAACAATGGTTGTGTTCCAAACATTCACTCATTCACCCTGCAGTGACTGCACTAATCTGTGATGGTGTTTGAATTTCACTTTTCTTTCTATAACCGTGTAAACGAATCATCTGGTCCAGTAAAAGTCCTGTCTAAACATGGTCTATACCACAACAGCAGAAAATGCCTATGATGCACTGCTGCCTGAACTAGCAGATCATGCTAATATTAATATAATGTGATTGTCTGACTAGTTATTGATCCTTGTTTAGCTGTCTGAGCTGTAAAATGTCTTGTCTGGCTGAGCTCCATTCAAACGCGTTTCAAAAGAAACATTAAAGGTGCGTGATGTAAGAATGTAATCCTGTGGTCACGTTTGGGTACTGTTGCCCGTTGCCAACCTTACTTGTCAGTTTCTCACTCCTGTTCCACGAGTTTCATGGCTGCTTCCAGCTTCAGATCAGCACCAGAAGATTTTATGAGGAGTGAAGACCAGTCATACACAGTAAGATGAAAAGTAGATGAACACATTTCACTGTATTACCCAGTTGTTGGTAAATGAAAAAGTAGCTTGAGATATTTTTAGAGCAGACTATTTGCTTCTAATTTCTGTTTGTATTGTTGGCTCAATGTTAGCCTCTAGCCTGTGGCACTTGATACTAGAGCAAAACAAAATGAGATCATGGCTTCTTAGGGATACAAGAAATAAGTATGGGTTGCTTCTGTTTACTGGCTTCAGTTCTTCAAACAGCTCTGGAGCTTTTTGTCTTCTGGTTTCAATCCTGCTGAAGCGAGGGAGCAATCTAGAATGAAAGTCAGAATGTGTATTCACACAGCAGGAGAACAGCTTGTACAAAGTTTGCTGATAACAGCTCATCAGGGATAACATGTGGCTTTAATTGATCCAGCAGGATAATCAGCACTGCTCCATAAGGGGGAGGGTGATAAGCATGCAAAGAAGCCCCAGCAAGAACAAAGGGGGAGTAATAGGGCAATTATATTAGAATAAAATCATCAGGATTTGTGATGGAGGCACACAACTCCAATAAGCATGTCAGAAGGTACACTGACAGCAGAACAGTGAACTGGTGCGTTCTCACAGTGCTTGAATCAGCTCATTACCTGTAAAGGTTGGTTTATGCTTGACGCGTCCGCGAGGTCCGCACGGCTCCGCGCGGAAAAGTTGCGTCATTTTGCGTCATTTTAACAACCACTCCCCTCCACCGCGTCTCCGCACGGCCCAAGATTTCCGCAACGCGCACCTCAGAAAATTTCTAACCACGCGGACGGTCGGACGCGGAAAAACATGGCGGACCGGCATGGCAGAGGTAAATACAGACATTTGTATGATTCAGCTCTCAGAGATCACCGTGATCAACATGTTGTTAATAATTCTTGGAGAGAAATAGCTCGCACTGTCGGAAAAGACGAGGACGCTGTTAAAAATGCTGAAATACCATGTTGTAAACAGTGATTTCTACTTCTACTATGGTGTAGTGTTGGATGCATGCCGTAGAGCTCCATGCTGCCCCGTTCAGTTTGGGAGAATATTGGCTCACCGCAGAGACAAGCCGCACGATCCATAAACGCTGCGAGTTGTGAAGCGCGTTCCATCCGCGAGCCGCATCACCGCGCGGAAAGTGAATGCGTCAAGCATAAACCAAGCTTCAGAAATTCAACAATGGTTACGTATTGTAACCCCAGTGTTGGGTAATTTTATCAATCCGAGATTACCTTAGGGAAAGTTTAAAGCACAGGGGGTTATATTAATCAATCAATCAACACCAATGTCAATCATAAACAATCAGTTTAGACTTTGCAAAGTGGAGAGAAAAATCGGTACACACCAAGACTGAAACCAGTTCGTTCTCTCATCAGACTGACGTCCTCCGAAAGCATTTATTGAAAACACAAGCACACACAAAAATGAAGCGCACACACACATTCCTTAAGCTACTATGTAGACTTTCAGGTGGGAAGCTTGTTAGTGAAGGGAGTCTAAACTCCAGGTGCACCCTAAATCAACAAAGCAATTTCTAGACTTTCTCAAGGGAGTTTTACTAATAAAGGTCGGTTCTGAGGCAAGGTCAATCCTCCCTGTAGGAACTAGTGGAGACTGGTATCTGTCAACAGGATGAAGCTGCGTTTTAATAAGCCACCAGATGTTTAGCAGTGAAGACATTAATATTAATTCAATAATAATATCAATTTTTACTTAACAATCCTCCCTGTAATCCTCCGTAATTGACAGTGTAATAACACAACAATAACAATACTATGATTAAGGTAAATATGTTTGTAGTTGTAAAAATCAAACTCTAACACACAAAAACATCACAAAATAATTAGTGACCCCTAAAAGGCTGTAAAATACGTAACAACCTGTAACAAAAGGCTGCATCAATAGGTGGACACCTGTAACAAATGGGTGATTATAATAATGATTATAAAGACAAAATAAAACGATAAAAGATAATAAAATCAACTGAGCTGATAACTAGGACATCAATCCACAACGGTTACAGAATTTGTAGTTTATATTGTTGAAATCATAATGAAATCAGCTTTATTAGGCAATGTATTCTTTTCCGTCTTCCAGCTCCTCTTTGCTGCAGGAGCGTGCACTGTACCAAAGCATTTGTCATTAGCTTGTTTACCATACTCTTCAGACAAGGGATTGCACAGCTTATAACCAAGCTCATCATGACTAGGATAAAAATAACAGGTGCAAGACATTTTAACAAGAGCTGATACCAATTACCAGTAGTCAGCCAATTCATGTAGTTCCAGGATCCTCCAGTCGATTCTTTGGATTTCAGGAAGTTGCTAGAGGGGGAAAGTTGATGTAAAACGTTAATGTATGCAGCTCTAACTGTGGCAGAGTTGAGGTTAAAGGGCTTGTTCGTGGACTGGACCGTGGACTGGAAACTGTAATTTGAACAAAACAATGTCCTCTTCAGGATGGTGTTGCATTTTTGTGGTTTCGAAGTGGGGAAAGGTGATGTAGAAGAGTCCTTTGGGGTCGTCGTTGTGAGGGTCGCGGCTTTCGTCGATGGATAAGGGGCGGAAGGTCATAACAGACTTAAACTCTCTTACTTCAGCTCTGATGTCCTCGTAAGGACGGCCCCGTCCTCTGTGACCTCATGTGAGGTGCAGGCAAGCCAGGCTGCAAATTCCACATCATTTGCGTGGCAGGTACAGGTAGAGAGAGCTTCTGCATTTCCAGATGTATCCTTCAGGAGTCCCCATTCCCATGACTGAGGGGACCGCAAGAACATGTTTGTTTGTGTTCCATGTGGGGTAGAAAGGTCATCCAGTCATTACAAGGCTCATCAGGGTCACATTTATGGTGACATATCCAGGGACATCAGACCGAGTTGTCAGCCAATGTTTCTTGGCAGGGGATTTAATCCATCCATCAGCTAGGAGAATGTCATCACAGATGTATTTGCCTAGACGAATCGTGAAGTTTAAGCATGGCGTGGAGAAACAGAAGGGGTCTTTTCCTGTGAGGCGAAGGAGATGCAACCCCTGGGAATTAGATGCGTTAGTTGATGCAGAAAAGTTGGCAGGGCGTGTCCAGTGTCTTTGTTGATGTTGAGGTGAGCAGCAGTGTGGGATGGTGCACTTCCGTCCCTTAATAGCTTGGATGGTGAGGGCGTGTAGCAAACATACAGTGTCATTCATCGAGGTGGGGATAGCTGTCATTGTGGGGTTTTTCACATAATAAAAATTCCAATTCAGGTCAGTTCATTAAGCCAATCAGAAATAATGTTTCCTATATAAGGAACCCAGCAAATTGCATCAAGTCACTGACTAGTGTCAGTAACTATACAGCAATCCTCATACCAAGCAAGCATAAAGCGACAGTGTAGAGGAAAACTCCCTTTTAACAGGAAGAAACCTCCAGAGAATCCTGGCTCAGTATAAGCAGCCATCCTCCACGACTCACTGGGGATCGAGCAGACACACACACACACACACACACACACACACACACACACACACACACACACACACACACACACACACACACACACACACACACACACACACACACACACACACACACACACACACACACACACACACACACACACACACACACACCTTGAAAACAAGGTTGGCTGAAAAAAAAGCAAGATACCCAGATGTGAGTACAAAATACACTACCCAAGCATGTCTGTGCTGACCCAGATGTGAAAGTGCCAGTTGAATCTGGAGTTGCAATATGTAACCATTGTTCATACCTGAAGCTGCTATTCTTCAAATCAGTTCTTTTCATTTTATTTATTTTGTGCTTGAAACTTGAACTCATGCTGCTATCACATATATATGCTTTTTCAAAATGAAATGACCATCATGTAATATCTTCAGCCCATAATATACTGTCCATCCATCCATCCATTTTCTATCCTGTTAAAAGGGAGTTTTCCTCTCCACTGTCGCTGCATGCTTGCTTAGTATGAGGATTGCAGTAAAGACTCTGACACTAGTCAGTGACTCGAAGCAACCTGCTGGGTTCCTTATATAATAAACTTTTTACTGATTGGCTTAATGACCTGACCTGTATTGGAATGTTTACTGTGTGAAGGTCCTTGAGACGACTCTTGTCGCGATTTGGCAGTATACAAATTAACTGAATTGATTAGAAAATTTAATCCAGCCTCTTGGGCCTGCTCCTCTGGGGGAATCTCAAGGCGTTCCCTGGCCAGTCAAGAGACATAGTGCCTCCAGTGTGTCCTGGGTCTTCCTTTAGGTCTTCTTCTGGTTGGTCATGCCTGGAAAACCTCACCAGGGAGGAGTCAAGGAGGCATCCTAAATAGATGCCTGATGCCTCAATTGGCTCTTCTCAATGTGGAGGACCAGCAGGTCTACTCCAAACCCCTCAAAGATGACCAAGCTTCTCACCCTATCTCTAAGGGAGAGCCCAGCCACCCTGCAGAGAAAACTCATTTTGACCACTTGTATCTGTGATCTTGTTCTTTCAGTCGCTACGCAAAGCTCGTGACCATAGGTGTGGGTAGGAACGTAGATTGACTGGTAAATCGAGAGACCACGACAGACTGGGCACAATGCCCACATCACTGCAGATACAGCACCAATTAGCCAATCAATCTTGCACTCCGTCTTCTGCTCACTCATGACATTATTACACTTCTCCATGTGGGGCAAGACCTCATCCCTGACACAAAGAAGGCATTCAACCTTTTTCTGACTCAAAACCATGGTCTCTGATTTAGAGGAGGTGATTCTCAGCCCATCTTCTTCACATTTGGCTATGACCCTCTTCAGCAAAAGCCAGAGATCACGTTCTGATGAAGCCAACAGGACATCATCTGCAAAAAGCAGAGACCTGATCCTCAGGTCACCAAAATGGATCCCATAAACACCTTGGCTGACCCTAGAAATCCAACTTACTGCCGACAATGCAGACCAAGCTCTGATACCAGACATACAGAGACCTAACAGCCTGTATCAGAGGGTCTGGTACCCCATACTCCCAGAGTACCCTCCACAGGTCCAACCCCACCCCCACCCCAAGGGAAGAGGTCAAACGCCTTCTCCAATTCCACAAAACACATGTAGATTGGTTGGGTGAACTCCCACCCACCCCCCAGGATCGCCCCCTAAAGGTATAGATCTGGTCCAGTATTCCACGGCCAGGACGAAAACCACATTCCTCCTCCTCAATCCGAGGTTTGACAATCCGACGGACCCTCCTCTCCAAAACCGCTGAATAGACTTAACCAGGGAGGCTCACGAGCGAGATCCCCCATTAGTTGGAACACATCCTTTGGTCTCCCTTATTCTTTTGAGTGAGTGAGTGAGTGAGTGAGTGAGTGAGTGAGTGAGTGAGTGAGTGAGTGAGTGGGTGGATCAGTGAGTGAGTGAGTGAGTGAGTGAGTGAGTGAGTTCAATTAAATTCAATCCAAAGATTATTAATCCCAGACGGAAATTAGAGTTTCAGTACACACAATTCAGAGATCAGACATACATGGGCAAAGACACATGACAAGAATTGGTGACTGGTCATTCACAACCCTGAGTCACGCTACCTTAATAGAGATCAGAGGGTTACATGAGGATTGGTTCAGGTGGAGGGGAAAAAAAGGCACATCAGAGTTACCTTCCACCAGGAGAGCAGCTTTGCTCTGCAAAAAAAAAAAAAACTCAGACAGAGATGCAACAGACTTCAGACATCACACAACATAAGTGTCCACTAGGTGGGGTGGTGGGTTTGGGACTATCCACACTTCAGTTCCTGCAGCCACTACAAGCAGCGAGTGAGTGAGTAGGGAATTCTTCCACAACTGTTTTCTCCTGTTCTTGATCCTTCAGGCCACTTGAAGCTCCCTGTGCTGCCTGCAGCGCCCCCTGGTGTCCTCTCCTTCCAATTCATCTGTTCTCTTTGTTCTCTGACAAAGACTTCATTACCAAGCTCTCCCAACTGCTCAGCTTAGCCTTGAAAGAAAAGAAGAAAAAGGAGTTGGAGAGGAAGGCTGAATCCAAAGAGGCTCAGTTTTATGTCTGTAGCACGGATGTGGGCGGTCACAGGTAATTTCTAGAAATATTCTCAGTCGTTTATGATTTATTTGTTTCTTAGATTCCCAAATATTAATTTTAATTCAAGTGTTTTTGACCGTATTTGTATACATTCTTCTTCATGATGCTTCTCCCATTCTGCTCTGTAAAAGCCTGAACTTTATTTCTTTTAGCTGCTTGGAGAGCTGAAGAATGCAGAACTTTAGAACCTCCATAAGAATTCATATAATTTTGAATGTTTTTCATCTGAAACCAGTTGTGATCTCCCTCTGATCATGTGACTGCAGTAAGATCAAGTCTGAACAGCTTCAGATTTGTTCAGTTGTTGCTGCCTACTGCTTTCCTGGTAATGGTTGATTCAGCATCGTGTGACTGAGCCATGAAAGCAGATCAGCACTGGTTTGACTCCTACTGGCGCTTGATTCTTCCTGTCATTGTGTAATTTGTTTTTTTTTCCACAAATTAGATCGTAATCTGTTCACATCAGATCCAAATCACACAATCAGTTATAGTAGGGTTTAAAGAACCTTCTGCTTGGATTGAATCATCTCTCCAACTTGAATAGCCAGAAAAAGTAGGACCGACACACCCTGAAGGACCAGACTAGTTAGGGTTATGGTTAAGTAAATTAAACAGGGCATAACTGAAGGGTTATGATGACATGGTAACACTAGCTCACCCTAACGAGACAGGGTGTCTCCCTCACAGAAGGAAACTGGAAGCTGGTTCCACCAGAGAGGAGCCTGAGAACTAAAAGCTCTGCCTCCTGTTTTACTTTTAGAACCTCTAGCAACCAAACCTGCCGTCTGAGAGACAAGCACTCTGCTGGGAGCATCTGTTTATCTGCAGTGTGATCTTTCAGAGCTTTGGAAGTAAAATTTGACATCCAGTTCTGGATCTTACATGAAGCTGATGATGTGATGCTTAAGCTGAAGAATCAGAACTCTGGATTAGCTGGAGAACTCTGATGGTGCTTACACATTAGGATCAGTACGGTCGGGTACGGTAACGGAATTTGGTTTCATCCCTGAAGTGACTCTATTTTACTTACTGCTTCCTCTGCAGTCCAACTGGGACGGAGGTGACACTACGGAAGGGCTCCCGCATGGGTGATTCATTTTCATCCTGGATGATGTTGAGTAAGCATCTCTGTCAGTAGCACGGTGCTGCCGCCCAGTGGGACAGGGAAAAGAGAGCTGTGTGTGTGTCCTCTGAGCAGCAATCCCCTCTGCACGAAGCTCTTGCCACAACTGCTCAATAGGAGGAGAGAGCAGCGAGTGTGTGTGTGTGTGTGTGTGTGTGTGTGTGTGTGTGTGTGTGTGTGTGTGTGTGTGTGTGTGTGTGTGTGTGTGTGTGTGTGTGTGTGTGTGTGTGTGTGAGTGAGAGCGGAGTTTGAGGACACACACGGCAGTGAGAGAAAAGGGAGCAAATTAATTTGTGTTTCAGTCTCCGTCTTTGTTTATCTTAATAAGGGGGACACAATGGACTTTCCCGCACATCTTAAATGCTGCCCACGTGCTCAGGGATTTCTGTATTCCTGAGAAGTCCTTCGGAACTACATGCAAACACTACCCTCCCCGTACAAGGCCAAAATGATGCTGTCCTCCCCTGACTGTACTGACCCCGATAAGTAAGCGCCACAAGAGAACCTTGAGAACATCCTAGTCTGCAAGTAATACATGCATGGGCATGTTTATCTGCACCACTTTGGGTCAGCATGGTCCTGATTTTATTAACAATCTACAGATGAATGAAATGTACCCATTTATAGGACGTATCCTTATCATGAAGAACTCCACGATCCCTACAGTTTTTTTCTGGAGAAGCTCAGGTCTGGAAACCCACAACCCCCAGGTCTTCATGTCTTAAAGAGTTTCCGATCAAAACTGATCTAGTTTACGGAATTTGATCATCCACCTCTGGTTTCTGGCTGCTCCTTCATATAAGTTATAAATGAAGCTAAAGTTTGTATATCACAGACAGACAGATGTTTTATATTTCTGCTTGCAGTCCGAGCTCCAAGGATGGGTATTTTGAGATGGGCCTGGATGATTCATTGGAAGAGCCAGTCTGCTCCTCCCCGTCCTTGGTCAATGCTCATGTTGCTGAGGAGGACCTCCTGGAGGAGGTTCTTGTCCGCAGAGTTATGTGGTGCTGCTGTGTCTGGGTAGATGAAGAGGTGAAGCAAGGGGAGGCATGTCTGGTGCTAACAGACCGACTCTTAGGACTATTGACATGGTCACATGACCCTATGTCGACCAGTCAGGAAAGAGGTAAGAACCTAGTTTTACTCTGAAAATTGGAAATACATTTTATTTTTGGATGGAAGTGGTCAGGTGTGACTGAATCATCATTATCATCATCATCAGAAACAGACTGTCATGTATTCTCTTGTCTATACCATGAAAAGTTCAAAAAATCTTTCTATTTTCTCTTTTACCAGAAAAAGATTATTAATTTATTTCCTCCCAGCACCTGATCCTCAAATGAACCCAGCCCTAGGAAACCCCCAGATGCCCCAAACTCAGCTAGAGCTAACCCTAACACTTAATGTGTTTACACAAGCAGGTGTTTTTGGGGCTGCCAGCAGAGGCTTCCAGCTGTGCTCTGTCATGTAGTAGTCCCAAGTCTAAAATGGCGCCTGTGATTCCTTTATGCTACTCATTATTTTCACTTAGTCAGTCTGATTAGTTAGGTCACCAAGCTGAACTGTGATCACTACTGAGTGATTTTAAGGACGTTTTTACTCACAACGCTAGTTGGATCCATTAGTTTACCGTGTTTTATGCTACGCTAAAGCTAAAGGAGTACAAAAGGGTCAGGAGAATGACTGGGCTGGATACAAATTGTGTTTTCCCCACATATCTAACTCTGAGAAAATGTCAACAAACATTCTGTATGCTGGTGAAGGTTCTCAGTCATCCAGGTCATGGTAATCCAAAAGGTTCAGATGAAGGCAACTGGACTTCTTTGGTTTCTTGAAGACGTTTCTCTTCTCATCCGAGGAGCTTTGTCAATTCTAACTGCAATATGGGAGAGTCAAGCTGTAGCTGTCTCTTTTATTTAACGAGCAGAAACTACTCTTGAATACCCCTCCTCTCCGTCCCCTGATGAGTCGTTGGCCTCTACTGAGAGAGAGTCGTGTTGGTTAGATGCAGGAAGGTGTGACCTAGACTGAAGCTGCATAGGAATGAGATCCAAAGCTGCATTATAGGTACTGGAAAGATTAAAGCTAAAGCCTAATTTATACTTCTCCATCTGCGTCGAGATGGACACATGCTACACCGTTATGCATCCACAAGAGCCCTTGACGGGCTTGGGGAGGAAGACGGAGACATGCCCCAGATTTTAACTATCTGTTGAAAGAGACGGAGACCGCATTCTTGTGATTGGTGAGAACGCTGCCGCTTCCTGTTTTCATGATGACCGAGCTTCTCACCCTACCCGTGGACGGGAATGAGGGACAAATTTGTCCGCATTAAAAGGTCTCTGAAATACATTAAAACAATGTAAACACACTATTGTGGACGGGATTCATGACTTTTATGGTGGCAGGAAACCTCAGAATATCGTTGTGCCCTCTGTTGTCCTGGAGGGGAATTGTTTCTCAACACTCCCCAGCTGACGTTGAAGTCTGACAGCAAAATGTGTCTGTCAATTCGTGTGTGTCTCTCCCTCGCGGAGCTGACGGAAAGTATGAATTAAATGTAAATTAAATTTAATGTAGGTTTTTCTCGTTTGACATAGATAGCTTCCTTTACTCCTCTCAAACCATCCATCGTCTCTGTCCAGAATGTCATCTTCAAAGTGTGTCCCTTGTCCTTCAGATGTAGGTGGACGGCTGAGTCTTGACCTGAAGAGGTGACTCTCCAGTGTTGTGCCATGCGCTTGTGTAATTGTTCCTCACTACATTGGACTGCATAAACAACGCCACTAAGCTTTTGTTTGTCAACAGAATGTTGAATGTCAAAGGACAAAATTTCATTTTTGGGTCCAGTAACCCTTTAACTCATTTGCTGCCAGCATTTCTCACAATTTTTACTGTTTTTTTAAGAGTCACAGAACGTTGCGCGCTAGGATGATGTCGACACCAAAACAACCAAAACAAAGCGGAGACTCACCTCTTACATCAGGAAGAATCTGCGCGTTTCAAGCATTATTCGTTCTTTCATAATCAGTTGTTGAACTGTGATCAGCAGAAGCTTTTCCGGTTCACGCCTCATGGCCCAAAACGATCTCCTAACACATGGATTTTCTGCTTCTTGATCACGTGACGTGTGACGTATGCGGATGAAGATCGGCTTTAGAGCTGAGGTGTTTGTTCTCATGGAGCGGGGGCTCGTCCGACGCCCACACAATAAAAAAAATGCAAATGACGACCCTAGCCTCCATCAGATTTAATTTGTTACCAGGTCTGCTCAAAAGGAACCTATCGAAATGAACTGCTATTTTAGATAGACTTTATTGAACAAAAAAGAGTAACAAACAAATACAAACAAGTTTTAGACACTTATCTAAACATCCTAGGGTGGCCATTCTGTTGGTGGGGTCCCTCAATGGCGCCGTGTAGTTAGTTTGTGTTGTGTTGCTGTAGTGGCCCTGAGCAGGTCTGCTATCTACACTGAGCTGAAACCAGTCTAGCTGTGCAGAGCAGGTGCTGCTGGTAAAGACCTATTAGATCCAACTAACAAATGGGTCTCAGGTGAGTTATTGTGCAGCTTTTCATTTCAGAGGTAAATCTGTTTTCAGACCTGGACCAGATTCCATCAATGGAGAAGGTCCTGTCAGGCCTTCACGTGGACCTCCTGGTACCGTACTCCCAGCTCCTGCTGTCCTCCCAAGTTGACCTTCCTTACTCCTGTCTCTTCTTCGGGCTTAGAGCCAACCTCACCTGCCGGTACTGGTACATCTTCTCTGAGGCAGAGGAGCTCCGACAGACTAAAACTGAGCTGAAGGCTCTTCTCCAGGTCAGAGAATCTCATTGGTTCTGAAATAATTTATTTGTATTTAAAGGTTTGTTTTGCACCTCCTTCAGAGCAGAACTGATCCTTTGCCCTGGTTTGATCCGTTTAAAATCCTGATTCAGATCAGGAAGGTGTGTGTGTGTGTGTGTGTGTGTGTGTGTGTGTGTGCGTGCGTGCGTGCGTGCGTGCGTGCGTGTGTGTGTGTGACCTCCCTCGGGACTGCAGATGTAAAATGGCATCTGTGCCAGCATATGGAGCCTTAAGCCTGGGCCACACTGTGCGTTTTCAGCTGTAGCGCAGGACTACTTCATGCCACACTTAGAGGACTCTAGCGACATTTCGGTGAGCCAAATCGAGAGCTCGAATTTTCAATTTGAGAGCAGGATTTAATATCTTTGCTCTCCACTGTGGTAATGCTTGTACTCAAAATGTCATTTCTGTTTCATTTATACTCCGCTCTTCATCAAATCTTTGCTTCTGCACTCAGATTTAAAACTTTTTGCACAGATATTTTCTTCATGTGTGCTAAATTTCTCTTTGCATGGATCAAAACTGCTCTAACATCTGTCCTCTGTGCCTGCATTTTTTCTGCTCTCTCTCTCAAAACTTGGAAATATAATCTCCTGGCAACCGCGCGGCTAATGGGAAAACTGTTTGGAACTGCATGGTGACAAACTTGGGGTGCGCTTGTTATCTTCATGTGGGCTTGCTTGTGTGGTTTGAACAGATAGCTACATCTGCTTTTCCTGCACTGAAAACAGGAAAGCATAAGAATATATTTTGCGTATCCTTCAAATGTTTCTGGTTTAAACATGTCTCAGTTTTAAAATGTTGACATGAATTCAAAGTTTGTGTGAAACATTAAATTCCCGTTTTCTGGAGGAAAAGAGGAGGCGCTTTAGAGGAAATAATCAACTCTTCAGTTCGCCATTTCCCCACCGCATCAGTTTCGTGAATAAACTTCATATTTATCGGAGTTGCCTTGCAAATTTTCCACAAGAAGGTAAGTTCAATTCAATTTTTCAATTCAAGTTTATTTATAAAGCACCAAATAAGGACCAGAGTCGTCTCAAGGACCTTCACACAGTAAACATTCCAGTACAGGTCAGGTCATTAAGCCAATCAGTAAAAAGTTTCCTACATAAGGAAGCCAGCAGGTTGCATCAAGTCACTGACAAGTGTCAGAGTCTTTACAGCAATCCTCATACTAAGCAAGCATTTAGCAACAGTAGAGAGGAAAACTCCCTTTTAACAGAAGAAAATCTCCAGAGGATCCTGGCTCAGTATAGAGTAAAGCTTTACTTAAAATATCAGTGTGTAAACTGATGTAGCCACTTCACATTTGACTTCATCAAGATATCAGTGTGTTTCCCTTTTAAAAGGAGGATGGATATCGAACAGGTGATGAAACTTAATCGAACTGACGATAGTTTTCATTGTCTTTCTTGCCCAAAGTGCTTAACATAAAAAATGCAAAATACAATGAAATGACAACGGTCAATTAAAAACATAAAATAAGCACACACACAAAAATCTGACACAAAGAGTCATAAAAACAGGAACACCCTGTCAGCCCAAGGTGTGAAAAGCTTTGAAATAAAAATAAGTCTGCAATAACTTTTTAAAAATAGCAACAGATGATGCCTTCCTAATGGTGACTGGTCACATGTTCCAACGAGTAGGCACCGCCACTGAGAAAGACCTAAAACCTCCTCTCTGTAGCCTCGCCCCAGGGATATTCAATCTAAGTTGGTCAGCCAACCTCAGTCCACAAGAAGGAACATAATGCACAAGAAGCTCAGAAAGATAGACCGGTGCAGGGCCATTTAAACATTTATAAGCAAGAACCAAAATCTTAAGTTGCACACAGATCCTAACTGGGACCCGGTGCAGAGAGGCAAGAACTGGAGTGATGTGATCAAATCTACAGGTGCCAATCAAAGGATGGCCTGCAGCATTCTGAACTAGCTGCAACCTAGTAATACACCTTTGAGTAATGCTGTGGTAAAGACTATCGTAATAGTCTAGGCGAGAAGTTACAAATGCATGTATAAGCTTCTCCAAATCGTTCTTAAGAAAAACAACTTCACCTTGTAAAGGTTTCTCATTAGAATGCGGATGTCCTGTTTCTGTTTACTTCAGCAAATGGAACAGAGCTCTGACCGGTAGGGTTGGGCATCATTTGGTTTTGAACGGTTCCAATTCCTTGTTTCGATTCCGGTTCCTATCGATTCCCGATTCCGATTCTTTCAAGACATGGCATGTTTTACATGAGCTAGCTAACCACAGACTTGATGAAACAATCTTAACTTCAACATGAATTTTAATTCTATGAACAATAACATCACCTTCATTTAGACAAAAACATGTTTGAGAAAAAAAGACTTGCAGCACAACCAGTGTGTTTGTTTCTGACCACAACCAAAGTCTGGAAGAAGCCTCTGGGATGAGAGGCTAAATGTCTCCAATATATCCAGAAACGTCCAGCTGTTTACAGCTAAAACTCTCAGGATGATCATGTCCAGGATGACTGAGAACCTCCACCTCCATGCTGTAGCAGCGATCAGTCAGAGCAGAAAGTGAAACTTAAATGTAGCTGGCTGCGTCTGACTGCTGACGCTCCGTGTGTGTTTTTATTTCTGCAGTGAGGCAAACTCACACCATCCAGAGTTTGTTCTTTAAAGCTTCTATTAAATCCACCGTGTTGACGTATTTTAACAAGTGTCCTCTACACTGCAGTAGTTAAAGTTTACATGACGGAGTAAAGGTTTGGCAGACGCGTTTATTTATATTTGGCTGCTGCACGCCGGGTGGGGGGAGGGGGGACTCGGTGCTGCACACAGACAGCTGGTGTGATCAGCTCTGAAAAGCGTTGATCACAATTTGCAGATCACGTTTATTTTTCACGGAGATCGGCCGCGGATTCCTCTTCCGTCAGCGTACTAGGAATCGAAATAAAAAACTTTGAACGATTCTGGGAAAAATGAGCAGTTGGAACCGGCTCCAATCGATGCTCGATGCCCAACCCTACAGTGACCGGTCACAAGAAAATATGGGTGAAGACAAAGGACTAACATGTGGAACGTCCAAAAGGGTCAATTCTCACCTATATATTGACCAACATAGTGACCTTTCATCTACAGCATGTATAAATTGTTAGTTTAGGAAAAATAATTAAATTCATTTTATAAACTACACACTGACTCTGTCTGAATTAATACGAAGTGTGTTTATGGTCCCTGAAGAAGCAAAGAACCCTAGAATCTCCTGATTAAGCAATCAAAGATCAACCAGATTGATATTTCATATTTATATGGAATATCACATCTTATTGGTCATTATTAATATGTAATAATTGCTACACATGTGAGTGAACGGCTGTAGTTTTAGGGAAGACTTTTCAGATAAATGATATTCCAGTCTTATCGGTATGTTAGGTGACCAAGGGCAGTCTGCCTCTTGCTGCACAGTCACCTGCACACACACACACTCAGGTGTTTTTCTGGGACGTCTCATTTGATACATTTTTGCTATTCCTCATACTGTTAATGAGATCACAAAGTGTTCAGCTTTACGTTTAAAAAACGTGTACATCGGTGTCACATGACCCTGTAGAAAAGCTCTTTAGATGCAGGAAACAGACCAACTTGACTACCCTTCCAGGGAAATTCACCTTACAGCCATGAGACAAGGCTAAGTCTGTCAGTATGTTTAAGTTTTTAGCTGTTAGCACGCACGCACACACACACACACACACACAGTCAGGCTGTAACTGGTGTGCAGGTTGCAGGCTCTCCTATGTCCTCTCACTGCTTTGATGCACAAATGTCAACATAACGAGATGCAGTTATTAGTTAGGGTGTTTCTACATCTTTGTTAACCAAACTGTTTATCTAAATATATGTTTACTTTATTTCTCCTGCATTCTCCAGACTGCCAACAACGACTCCGTTCCTAAATCCACTCTGGATGTTTTGATCGGACTTCATACTGGATCTTTTCAAGAGTCACCTGAACATGCTACACAAACAGAACACACTTCAGAAGTGAAACTAATCTTTTTTTTTTTCATTTTGATAAATAAAAGCAGAATAACGACTAAATGTGTTTATTGTTGAGGGAATATTGTTTGACCCACTGTGGGACGCAGATTACTGTGACAAATCACTCAGTGATGTTAAAACATTTCACTTATCAATAAAATGGATTTTTCTACATTTTAAATTGATGTTCTGGCTCCAGAGAAAACTAACATGAAAATTAGATGTGTTCCTTTTTTTGTGGGTACATTTCCAAAGTCAGCATAGGATCAAGTGATTGTTTCCTCTCATGTTGTTCACAATAACAGTGCTTAGTTTGTATTTGTGGCAGAATAATCTGGTTTACAGTGAGGTTTCTTAAAATATGTTTCATCTTTTTATACCAAGTCAAATGTGGTTACATCATTGAAAATTACTGTTAATGTATAAATATATATGTTTTACTTTTATCCATAGTTTTCACTTGTTAGAATGGATGAGTGTGATTTTGCATCTAGGAACTTAGTGTTTTAATATGTACTAGCATGTTGATTTGTTGAGTTCTTTTATTTGTGTGAAAGCTCATTGTGACAATAAATAATGTTTTTTTTTCAACGTGTCTTGTCCAGATGTAAAGCAATCAGAAATGATGATGTCTGATTGCCGAAGACAAGCCTTACAATTTTAATCTTACAGGTAGAGCAGTATAGATTCAGCTGCAGATACCAACACTTTATTAGAAATGTTTTTGGTTGTTTTAAAGCCCAACGGAGACAGAAATGAAAGAGAAAGGGGAGAAGAAGAAAGCTTTCATGTCTTTTTATGTTTGAGCTGATAAATGGTAGGTTCAAAATTCCTATTTCAGCCCAAATTTATTTGTTTATTTATATATTTAACCTCTATATAACCAGATGTTGATTGAGAACTCATTCTCATTTACAACTATGATCTGGCCAAGAGGCAGCAGCAACAGACATATAATTAGCATTACACCAAAGATAGAGAAGATAAAAGATAAACAATAAAAATAAGATAAAAACATTTAGACGTACAGACAAAGGACTGTTCTCATATACAATACGTACAAGCAATCAAAACAGACTTTAAACAATCTTTAAGTTCTCAGAAGCAGTCACATTGATCAGAAACTATTGATTGCAATGAATTATTGAAGGTAGGGTGCTGTCAATTATTGCCTCCGTGCTGTTTTCTTGGTCCTCCAGGCGACACCCTCTTTTGAAGTACTTTTCTAACAGGAAGTCTGGTTGAAGTAAGTCTCCACCAATGGTGTTACTCGAACTTTCAGGTGAGCAGACTGTTGGTGCACAGCTGGCTGGAAAGGTTAGAGATGAGACTCAATTAGCTGTCATGTGAACAAAGCAAAGCGAACGAGTCAGTATGTACTGAATGTATAAAGTCTGTAGGGCCAAAGTAAAAATTTTGTTCTGACCAGCTTGAAAACCATTACATTGGCAAACAACTTCCTCTTTAAAAAGCATGTCCTGACTAAATGAAAATAGTAACATGGAGCAGGAAGCTGATAGAGCAGATGCAGCTAACTGTTGAAGCCACACAGGATAACCTGCTCAAAAATCAAGCGCACTTGAGGAGGTTTGTCTCTGCCCAGTCCCTCACCACCAGCTGGCAGGGAGGGTTAAGTGTTTTGCCCAAGAACACAACAGCAGAATTCTGTGCCTGGATCGAACTTACAACCTTCCAATTATTGGACAACCCGCTCTACCTCCTGAGCTACTGCTTCCCTTTAAAAGAGAGAAAAGCACTGCTGTTGTCACTTCTTTTATTAGAGTCATAACATGAACTCCTAAACGCAGTGGTCCGCTTGTTCACTTGTATAGTTTCCACCGTTGCTAATGTTTCTACTCTTGTTGCACTCCCATCAGTAGCTGTTCACGTCCATCCCTGAGTGTGTTTTTATTGGCCAATTGCAGACGGGTTTTTAAGCAGTGCTTAAATACTGTAGGAGTCTGAATTTGGTCATGAGACGGCTCAATAAGCTTTCAAATTACCATCATGGTCATAGCTTTTTGTCACAATTCTGTTCATGACAAGGGGTTTGTCTAGGATGCACGAAAAATGCACAGTGTGGTACGGGCTTAAGACCAAGGTTCTGTTCCAAGGAAAAAGAATGGGAGTTTATGAGCCAATAAAAGTTATTTTCTGATTCTGTTTGTTATCCATCCATTTTCGGCCACTAATCTGGGGTCGGGTCGTGGGGACAGGAGCCTAAGCAGGTAGGCCCAGACTCTCCTCTTCCCAGCCACTTGGACCAGCCCCTCTGGGGGAATTCTTAGGCATTCCCTAGCCCGCCAAGAGACAATAGTCCCTCCAGCATGCCCTGGGTCTTCCTTTAAGTCTTCTACCAGTTGTACGTGCCTGGAAAACCTCACTAAGGAGGTGTCCAGGAGACCTAACTAGATGCTTGAGCCACCTCAACTGGCTCCTTTCGATGTGGAGGCGCAGCAGGTCTGCTCCGAGCCCCTGCCGGATGACCGAGCTTCTCACCCTATCTCTAAGAGAGAGCCCAGCCACTCTGCAGAGAAAACTCATTTGGCCACTTGTATCCACAATCTCATACTTTCGGTTGCTACCCAAAGCTTGTGACCATAGGTGATGGTTGGAACGTAGATCAACCAGTAAATTGAGAGCTTTACCTTCTGACTCAGCTCTCTCTTCAGCACAGCAGATTGGTAAAACGCCCACATCACTGCAGATGCAGCACCAATCCGCCTGTCGATCTTATGCTCCATCTTTCCCTCACTCATGAACAAGACCCCGAGATACTTAAACTCATTCACTTGGGGCAGGACCTCATCCCTGATCCGGAGAAGGCATTCTACCTTTTTCCAACTAAAGACCATGGTCTTGGATTTATATAAGCTGATTCTCATCCAAGCTGCATTCGAGACTCAATCCTTAGGCCACCAAAACAGATCCCCTCAACACCTTGGCTACGCCTAGAAATCCTGTTCATAAAAGTTATGAACTGATCGGTGACAAAGGGCAGGCTTGGCGGAGTCCAACTCTCACCTGAAACGAGTTCGACTTACATGCCGGCAATGCGGACCGAGCTCTGACACCAGTCATATAGGGACCTAACAGCTTGTATCAGAGGCCCTGGTATCCCCTACTCCCAAAGTACCCTCCAAAGGGCCTCCCAAAGTCGAATGCCTTCTTCAAATCCACAAAACACATGTAGATTTGTTGGGCGAACTCCCATGCACACTCCAGGACCCTCCTAAGGGTATAGAACTGGTCCAGTGTTCCACGGCCAGGACGAAAACCACATTGCTTCTCCTGAGTCCGAGGTTCGACAATCTGTCAGACCCTCCTCTCTAGAACCCCTGAATAGACCTTACCATCCATAAACACATCCTGCACCCTTCCCCATGACGGACAAAATTGTTCATGTTAAATAGTCTCTGAAATATGTACATAAACGCAATAGTAAATACACTCTCTTGGACCGGATACGTGGCGCGATACCCCAGCAAAGCGCTACGCCCTTTGTTGTCCTGGCGGGAAATTGCTTTGCAACACTCCCCCGATGACAGAGAAGTCTAAAGGGAACAGATCTCCCTCAATGCGTGTGTGTGACTCCACACTCGAGCTGACAGAGTATAAAAACAGCCTTCCCCGTCGTAAGTATGAATCAGGCTATAGTTTAAGAGTGGGCTCTACTCCATTCGTCCTTGCTAGCCTGTTGGAGAGCCCTTGTGATGATGAATAATGGGTTTTGCATGTCTTCGCACCAACGCAGACGGAGAATTATAAACTAGGCTTTAGGCTCCCCGTTTTTAGGTGCATTAATACTTCAGTACGTTTGTTGATGTCTTGCCTAAATGAATGAACCAGGATTGTGAGTTCTGCTCTGTATCCTGTTTAATGTCTCTAACTAACTAACCCTTCTGGTTTGTTTTTCTAGGCGTCGGACCTACAGAACATTCCAGAAGCCCTGGCTGCTCCTCAGCTCCTACCTCCTTCGCTCATCAGCTCCTGGGAGCAGGAGGAGAATCTGGCAGCCCAGGGAGGCTATCCTTCTCACATCATCTGCTGTTCCTCCTCAGACACCTCCTCCCTGCCCTCTGATGTGGTTTCTGAGGATCCCCACCTTCTTTCGCTCCTTTTCCTCACCCACAGACATCTTTGGGTCCTCAGGATGGACTTCAGAGACCTGGCTGTCCATCAGTCCTCCTCCTCTTCTTCCTGGGCCAAGTTGGTTCGTGTTCCCCTTGGCTCTGTGGTTCTTCATCCCAGAGACCGAGATGCTCAGATGGGGGACTGGACCAACCTCAGGTCCTGTTCTGACCCACAGCATCATCTCAGGTGACCCACCTGAAGCACACATTTAAACACTTGATTATTTTAGCTGGATTTTAATTAGAACCTTTCTAGGATTCATCACTCAGTGGAGCTGCTCCTCGGGGCTCATCGGCTGCTTCTGCTCTTCCTTCTGGCCCAGGATAAGACCTCCTTCCTGGACAGTCTCTACCAGAGGAGAGCCTCTATGGATGGTCTGAAGATGGTGGCACTGCCCCAGTTGTGCAGGTCTGGATCCCACAAAGCTGCACCAGGTAAAGACCAGCTACTGTTTCCTATCAGGTGTTGTGTTCTGCCAGCTCCTGATCTTTGTTGTGCTTGCAGGTGTATTCAAATCAAGAGACGAGTGCTGCTGCTGCAACAGGAAGTCCAGGTGCTGCAGGTACATTCTGTGGTCCACATCCACATCAAGTTAGTGGTTTTAACTCAAAATGTGAAAAGCATTTTGTTTTTTACCTTATCAACAACACCTTCAAAACACAATATTCTAAATAAAAATTATTCTATGCATGCGTGCGTGCGTGTGCGTGTGCGTGCGTGCGTGTGTGCGTGTGTGCGTGCGTGTGTGTGTGTGTGTGTGTGTGTGTGTGTGTGTGTGTGTGTGTGTGTCTGCTCTATCTTCTCCATCCCCAGTGAGTCGTGTTGGATGGCTGCTTATACTGAGCCAGGATCCTCTGGAGGTTTCTTCCTGTTAAAAGGGAGTTTTCCTCTCCACTGTCGCTGCATGCTTGCTTAGTATGAGGATTGCTGTAAAGACTCTGACACTAGTCAGTGACTCGATGCAACCTGCTGGTGTCCTTATATAGGAAACTTTTTACTGATTGACATAATGAACTGACCTGTGTTGGAATGTTTACTGTGTGAAGGTCCTTGAGACGACTCTGGTTCTGATTTGGCGCTTTAGAAATGAACTGAATTGAACTGATGATGAATTTAACGTAATTTTTTAATGTGTTTTTACTAAACAACTTTTTACTCTAATGCAAGTAAAAGTTAAACATGCTTGTCAGAATTAGAATCACAGAATTGTTTTTCAGTGTTCATATAAAACCTTTTGAGCCACGTAGCTGTGGGAGTGTCTCATGCAGAACATTTTTCAACCACATAGGAAAATGAGCATAGCAGTTGACTGCCATGACCACAGCTACTGTGCTATGGACAGAGCCCCGCACAACCACGTTAGCATAATATGATGGGGAACGAGTTGAAAGTCCACCAAAGACATTCATTAAACATCTAATATGAACAAAGTTTCAAATATGAACACATTTTGTAATTACTGTATTTATAAACTGCCAAAACATTTTTTCTCAGTTAAGTGTTAACCTTTAACGTAAAGGAGTCTGTTCGGGCAGTGGGCACTGTCACAGCAATTCATATCTGTAGCTATTGGTGTTCTCGTAGCTATGGGATGGCAGTCACAGACATTTGTGGCTACAGGCGCGCCTTCGTGGCTTTGACTACAATCGGAGCTCGGCCTCCCTCCTCACAAGTGGGAAAGTAGCTTCTTCTGAGACATTAAATTTGTGTCTGACGTTTTTCTGCTCAGCTGGGACTCATCTGGGTCTAAACTCAAAACTGAGGGGAACCAACTATCCCATCACCTGGTGCCGGGACTGTCTCCAGGACTGAAGCTCCTGGCTGGGCTCAAACAACAGCAGCTGCTGACCTACTTCCATAGATATGTAGCTGTGGTAGGAGAATACTCTCGACCTCTAGTTCCTCTGAGCTCCACTGACATTCTCACGTCTCAGTAACTTAAAGGGGTCTCTGTTGTTTTGTCTGAACTAGTCCCACCCGGAGGAGCTGAGACACGTCTTATGGCTTTCTGTGGTTCTGTATAAATCTCCAGAAACCGAACTTACCTGCTGTCTGCTTCTGTCCAACGACTCCATCTACTTCCTGTTGGAGGACTTGCCCACGAGTCATTGCTCAGGTGATTGGTTCAAGCAGAATGGGCCTGTACCAGAAATGAATGGATATTCTACATTTTGGAACAATTTTAAGTCTTGAAGAAAATCTGGTTATGTAAGCATGGGCTGAGATAAAGGTGAGTTACTTGGTTAGTTACTGATGGGGCTGGGCAATATAAAAAAAATTGTGTTAGTTTTCAAATCAGTGAATATCAATATCCATAGATATTATTTCATTTTATTTTTTTTATAAAGCAGCCCAAAGTGCGGTCTCTAGTAGGAATGAATGCATTGTAAGTTGTTCTCGAGGGGCAAAAAACTCAGGTGCACCATTTCTCTGACCTTAAAGTGAGCCACATCACAGCTGAGGTTCACACGGCAGGCTTTGAAGTCTTACTTCCTGATATGTGGACATCTCTCCTCTGATTGGCTAACAGCAACACGCCGCCACCACTGACTCTGTTTGATCTGCAACGTTGATGTTTTATCTCCACAAATAACACAAGCCTGGAGGAGTTCTGCTGTGTGGTGGAGTTACTAATGCTAACTGTTAGCTTCTACTAGCCTACACCAAAAACAGCCTTCCCTGTTGTGAGTCAAGATGGGTGAGTCCATGAATGTTAAGTGACAGTGATGAAATACAGTATATCCACTAGTCAATCATCACAAGTTACCCCTGTGGTTCTTTTGCCTTATCAAAACACAAGAGACAGACAGCTTTGTCCAAACACAGCGTGGGGCATTTATTTGTACAATTCATCAATACATCACCAGCAACTCAGGGGACAGCGTCCAGCCTGGAACTAAAATAGCCTCGACTGGAACCTTCTGCAAAAGCCCTCTCTCCCTCAACACGCAGCATCAGTTATACTCGTGTTCCTGGCGCTTACTCCCACATTCCTTTGACTTCGGGAAATGTTGGGGTGCTGTTTTCACTTCCCAATATGGTCAAAGAAGTTAAGACTTACTGAAAGTTACATAAGTTGGACTGAAAAACATGATGTTGAGCTGCACGTACGCAGAAGCTGGACTGATAAACAAGATGTCAAATTGCACGTACACAGAACACTGCTTTTAGCTCCTACACCCTGTTATTATCTTTTCTTGTAAATTATAACCAAACTTTCGAGCGTTTGTGCCGCTTAGATGCCATGTTTCCCGCTCTTGTAAGCTACGCAACGTGTGTGGTGATGTCATTCGCGCTGACTGGAATTGATGATCGTTTGCAAAAGTGCCTAGGAACTGAAGCAACATTGTTTCACCACAGATAGTAGGTGACGTGTACGCTCCTTTATTACACATGGTGAAGGTTGAACGCGGCTTCGGTGACACAATCACGCATGTGTTCAACTATCGTAAGGCTCCATTTCTGACCTGCTCCCACCTATCAGAAAAATACTGGAAAATAACGTGTGTGAAACAGCGTCGGAGGATCAGTTATGCGCTTTTGCTCAGCGTGGTGTACATCTTGCAAACGAAAAATAATTTATCAGCTGCAGAGAAATTACCCCAAAATGCCTTATTGCAGGAAGTGCTCTTCAGGTGCAGCAGCAGCTCAGGAGGTTGTCCAGTAATAGGCAGGTTGCTGTTGTTTCCTTGGGCAAGACACTTAACCTGCCTTACCTGTAAACAATGTCACTGAATGTAGTTTTGGGTTAAAACCTGAAATCATGAGCAGGAATGTTGGAATTAATCTGTTTCTGTCCACCAGCGTTGGAAGTCTCAGACTCTAAAGAACTGGAGGACGTGAGTCTGTGCTGCTGCCTGTCCTTCAGACTGTCTGACCTACTGGCAGTCAACGTGGGGCTGTTTGACCAATATTTTAGACTCGTAGGTGGGTGGAATCTCTTAAAATTCAATGTCATTAGAGTCCAGACTCCTCTAACTTTGTCCTTCCCTGCAGGACACTCAGCAGATCACATTGTGTGCTGCCTCAGCAGGGACAGCTATGCGACAGGCATCTTTCTACAGGAGCTGATGTCTGCTCTTAGTCTGCACCAGCAGCAGCTTCCACCTCCAGAACCATCAGATCAAGACTTCTACTCCCAGTTCACCAACACCAACACAAGTAATAAACAGCTTTTCCTCCTGTTAAATGAGTGGTTTCAAGATATTTTAAACTTTTCAGGACAAGGATAGACCCATCTAAGATAAAACATTACAGCTGCCACTTTGGAGACTTCATGTTTTTCTGAAATTCAATTCAGTTTATTTATATTGCACCAAATCACAACAGTCATTAGAAGGCACTTTACAAAGTAAACACTCTAGTTGAGTTCAGTTCATTATGCCAGTTGGATTTAATTTTTTTAACCTCTCCTGTCCGGGCAGTTGAAGCATGCAGAATTGTTGATCTGGGTGCCGTTACATGCTAGAGCAGAATTACTCTACAGCAAGAGGGATGTGGAATATTCCTTCTGTTGCGCCATAGCCTTTATTATGCTTGTGGCATGTTAGACCTGTAGGGTTTGGGAAATTGAGTGCTTTAAGAGCTCAATAAATATATTACCTCTACTTATGACCAGTAAGCTGTGATACTCTTATCTAAATATAGAATCTCAACTCTGCTTGGTCTTTACGGTGTTTATCAGAAGATCTAGGATTCTTTCTTCATTAAGGAATTGTACACAATTTGTTTTGATTCAGAAAACAGTCAGGTTTATAAAAGTAAGAATTTATTTTACAAACAATTAAAACATGACAAGTTAACTAAGCATTTACTATGATGGATGGAACTAAATGTGATGTATGAACCTACGTGTGAATGCGATGTTAGTCAGAACTTCCTTATCTAGGAGAGCTGAGTTCTGGATGTAAAAGGATTTGGGTTGCGCTAAGCTACGAAGTTGATTATTATCAAAAGCACATCAGACACTATCTGTGTGTCTACTTCACCCGTTTTTGGAGACCCACTTGGTGGATCCGAAGGTCAGAGCGGTCGGCAGACCTCTGGCACCGAAGGGCTGTGGAATACCGTGGCACCGACGCTTAAGTCCAGAGATGTCTCGGGTCACGGCAGACGGATGGAACCATGCATCTGGGACTCTTAAGGAGTCTAAACAATATCAGCTTGTTCTGCAGGAACTCTTGCTGTGTCAGCTTCGCAGGTGCAAAAAGATTTTGACAACGTGTCAAAATCTTTGATGGTTAAATAGTATTTTGCTTCAGATGGCCGGTCTGAAGCTTTCTCTAGAACTGCTGAATCACCCAGAGTGGTCCAGTTTTAAGGATCTCATGTTATGATTTGCATAACCAACCAAAGGTTGACAAGTTGAGGAATGGTTACCAAGACAACCTCAGAAACATGCCTTCTTTGATACGGAGGCTCTGACTAGGGTAAAAGACTATCTATGTGTCACGAGTGCAACTTAACCTTACTTGAGCTTGTGTGAGTGCAAATGGTGATGACCTTGCCATGTAAACAACATAACATAACATTCATTTCACACTTCAATCATTGAGCACAGATTAATGAAACATTTCATTATATTATAATTATTATAAGTAGCAATAAACAAACATTTATTTAATGATTATCTAGCTTGTAAGTTGTAGAAGAAGTTCATATCTGATTTAGGAAAACATTCATTGACTTAGCAACTGATCCGAGCTGGAGTGTTCCTTATATGGAGGCATGAAGACCTGAAAGATTGGACCTTGAGGAGAGAATGTTATTGTTGACATTTTGTTATCTGTGTTTAGAGCTGCAGGCTCAGCTCCAGCTGGTGGGATGGAGGCAGGCCAATTTAAAGGGAACACATGCAGTCTTGTGTCTCCTTTTTTGACCAGATGTTGAATAGATGTTGAATGGTCAAACTGTACCTAAAAACTGACCATTGCTGGACGTTACAGACCACATTTGCTTATGTACCGGAGTGGACAGGCCGGGAGAAAAGAGACATTCAACACAAACAAGTAAAGAGAGAGAAGGGGAAATGAGGGGACAAAAGTACACAACAAATAGACAACAAACAACAAACACACAGATGGGACAAAACAGTGTTGTCATCATGAAAAAAAAATACAGGGCCACACATGCCCCAGCAGCCAATAGCCTTCAGCAGATGGGCACCAATAGTCCAGCCTTTAGGGCTGACCCAAGCCCAAGGAAGAAGGGGGGCTAGCCAGAGTCTGTCAGGGCACCAACCCCCAGCCAAAGGTAACCCATTAGGGGTCACCAAGCCTAGAGCCCCCAGTTTATAATAACGTTACCCCCACCGATATAGAACTGCCCAGAGCTAGACAACTGCAAACCCCAAGGGCCCACCCCAGCACCCCACAAGGGACAGCATGGGGTGACCAAGCCAACATGACCCGGTTTCTGGCAGAGTGAGTGCCAATCCATAGGAATTGTGAGGCACCTTTGACCGTGAAGATTGGGGGGCTAGACAGCGGAAGACCCTCCCCATTCAGGGAGCAGCCTCCATAGCAGCAGACACCCCAAGATACCCAAGAGCCCAAGCCAACAGCCAGCCACCATGCACGAGCCTGGGCCTCCAGACCATACCCCAACTCGTGGGCACCCATCCCCACCCGTCCTTTCCCGCAACACCCCCAAAGCCCTGCAGGTAGCTCCAGGTTTTCCAGTTGTTGTGGAATTTCTTTTAGAGACTTAATAAAATAATGAGAAAACAGTCCATGGTTCAGTCAAAATGGTTTAATTTCAATATTCCAATATCGAAATGAGGCGACCGTCACAGAGTCAGCCATCCCAAAGCATCCTCAGGAGTGAGACGTAAAATAATTTTTAAGTACTCAAAAGCAAATGTGGCTCCTCTCAATGTGGAGGAGCAGCGGGAGAAAACTCATTTTGGCCAATTGTATCACCAATCTTGTTCTTTTGGTCACTACCCAAAGCTCGTGACCGTAGGTGAGGGTAGGAATGTAGGCCGACTGGTAAATCAGGAGCTTCACCCTCCGGCTCAGCTTTTTATTCGCCATGACAGTTCGGTACAATGCACACATCAGTGCACCAATCCCCCTTTTGGTCTAGCTCTCCAGCTTTTTTTCACTCTTGAACAAGACCCCGAGATACTTAAACTCTGTAGGGCTGACAAAAACAGCCCTTTATTTTTAGTTTTCTACCCTGACACCAGTAAAGTATTGAAAAACAGATAAATGAAGACGTGTATGATCATTTGGAACATAAGAATAAAGCTGAGACTACCCACTGCCCCCGAAGAAGTGAAAAACCGAGGTGTGTGTTCCTGAAGATCATTGTGAAGATGAAAAAGTCATATTGATTGTTTGAATTGAGGATCTTATTGCAGCCATTGTCAAATCCTCAAAAGTGTAAAGGAAATGGTGGGAGCAAATTTTTAAATTTGTTTGTTTATTGGTGGTAAGTTGGCTTCGATTGTGGGGGAGTAAACCAGTCAGACCTGACAGGCCTAAACACATTGTGAGGGTCTGCTGAGAACGTCTGGCAAAGCCTCCTGTCAGAAGGAGCTTCCATTCCCATCTCCGACAGAGTTTCGAACACATCCTGAGGGAAGCGGGAGACACTGAGTCAAAGTGGGCCATGTTCCGTGCTTCCATTGTCGAGGCGGCTGACTGGAGCTGCGGCCGCAGGGTTTTCGGTGACTGTCTCTGTGGCAACCCCCGAACCCGCTGGTGGACATCAGTGGCTAGGGATGTTGTCAAGATGAAGAAAGAGTCTTATTGGGTCTTTTTGGCTTGTGGGACTCTAGAGGCAGCTGATGGGTACTGGCAGTGCAAGCAGAATGGAAGTCATGGAGGCAAAAACCCGAGCATAGGAGGAGTTCAGTGAAACCATGGAGATGGAGATGGAAATGGAAATGTATGTTTATTTCAAAAACTCAATAAATAAAAGTAGAAAAATGTTGACAATCAACATTGTTTGAAATGGAGGAATGTTGAAGAATACAGCAATTTCCTAATGTTGTGATTCTCACACATATGGCAATGAAACTCTTCTGATTCTGAATACACTTCTAAGGCCCTACCCCCTTTACACATTTTACACTTTTATTTCCAAATAAAAACCAAGTCATCAAAACAAAGGTTGTCATCTCTAAACTGTCATTAATTTCTGCATAATTTTTTCTGATTTTTACTGCTCTTCATCTATGTACACATTAAAGTGTGTAGCGGTCACACTATAGTGTTGTGGGTTTTAATTTGCGACTGCAAATTAATTATGACCAATATGATGTGATGATTCCATATAAATACGAAGTGTCAATCTGATTTATCTTTGAATGTTTAATCAGAACAGTCTAGGGTTCTTTGCTTCTTGTGCGAGGATCAGATCTCTTGATGCTGCGTGACATCTGGTAGATATCAGCAGTAGTGACAGTTAGGGATGGGTACCTTTGACATTTGAATCGATCCGGTACCAATTCCCGGTACCTACGAATCGATACCAGTACTTAACGGTACCAATTTTCAATACATTTGAGTGTTTAATATTTTTAATTCTCTTTTATAATTAAATATATATTTTTCTCAATATATAACCATATTTGATAAATATCACGATAAATAACATACAGCTGTTTGTATTTTAACATCGTCCTTGTGGTTTTATAAGTTGATAATTAAACTGAAGCAAACATCTTTACTGTGAACTAAATTTACTGTGTATCTTCATTCCTTTTACCATCCTTTTTCAATTGATTTTTCCTACTGGGAAGTTAGAATTTCCCAGGAGAAAGCGAACGCACCATTAGATGATAACAATGGTGGCATAGGAATACAGCATACCATTCAAATGCTCTCGTAATAATTAGCCGGTATAGCAGTAGTTCACGGAATGTACTTCGTGATTGCTTATCCGCACGGAGCTGTGACTGTAGCACTTTTATGCTAAGTCACGCTACTATGCACGGGTACAAGAAACGTGCGTCTGCGTCGCTAAAACAAACACAGCTTAAGACATGATGTCTGGAATATTAACCACAAAAGGTATCTCCGGTATGCACTTCGGAATTATGTCCGGAATTTGGCGTCAGATTGTAGTTTTAATCGCAGCTGATCAGGCCGGGATTAGGATTGTAGCTTTGTGATAACGCCGGAAAATATGATTTATCTGTCTTCCAGTTACACAAGCATTACATACAAGTAAAATAAAGCGATAGAATGAACACACTCACTTTTAACAACAAATTGCCATATATGCAGCTTAGTGCAGACACAGAGTTTGGTGAGAGAGAGGGGCAGCGCCCCCGAAGGCAAGCGGTTCAGCAAAACAACTGTTTAATGTATTTAATGAGTCAGAAAAAATACGAAGTGTAAAATGATTTGAATAAGACTGGTTTGGCTCGCCACTTTGTAGTGGTCACACTTTATAGCGTAACGACTGCATATTAATTATGACCAATAAGATGTGATGATTCCATATAAATCTGAAATATCATCGCTCTGATTGATCTTTGAAGTTTAATCAGAAGATTATAGTTACTTTCACTTGTTCAGGGACCATAAACACACTTTGTATTAATTCAGACAGAGTCAGGTATAGAGATCCTTTTCAAAGACAAGAGAGGAGAAATGAGTTTTGATCCGAAAAACCACAAGCTAGTCTGCTGAGAACTACGTTTGAATTACGTAATGATGAGATCGGCTTAACCTCTCAACAGATTTTTCATAAATGCTTTAAGGAACAAGTTACAGGGACACAGCCAATAATCTGTTATATCTTGAATGGAAACAACGTGATTGGTCGATGGTGATGTTTAAAACACTTTCTAAAACATCACAATGAATTCTGTTACCATTGTTGGTGTCTGTCATTTGATGTGTGTGTGTGTGTGTGTGTGTGTGGGGGGGGGGGGGGGGGCTTTGTATTTGTTAAGTTGTGTCCATCGGTTCTTCTTCTTCAAAGCCTGTACGTGTCTTTACCACGGCCCTAAAATTGCCGTTACTATGGCTGAGACAAATGTCTGACTGGATGCTGAATGGTTTAGAGTTGGTAAACCTAAATTCTTTACTTGTCTTAGAGAGAGTCAGGCATTTTCTGAAAGGGGGAAGTGTGTGTGTGTGTGTGTGTGTGTGTGTGTGTGTGTGTGCGTGTGCGTGTGCGTGTGTGTGTGTGTGTGTGTGCGTGCGTGCGTGGGGTATTACGTATGAAAGGGAGGGCCTGTGGGAACAGTGAGGTAAGGTATCCTAACACAAGAGTTATCAATCCTAACTTGACGTAAAGTGGTGCAGATTGAATACATCATAGCAGATTATCAATATACTTCTTGATAAAAGGGACTACAATCAAGAACATCATGCGCCATTACACAACAGTCATCAATTCATTTCTTGACATATAGGGTCATTAAAGGTCATATCACAAAAGGTCATAAAACAATACACCTGTCAAGTTTGACGAAGGGTGGTTTGTGGGGAAAGGGCATAAAGGTCAAAGAACAATAGGCTGTCTAAAAGTTTGATGAAAGGTGGTTCCTTATATCTGTCTAGCAGTCTGAGATAAGGGAGGGAAAGCCTTTTGTGGGAGACCTTTGCCAGTTTATTTATGTCTGCGTTGAAGAACAGTAAGTGAGCAAAAGGTTGATTTGTGTATCTGAATTCTCCAGCTGGCGTAACCTTGACTTTGCAGCTCTGGCGTTCATGAAAGGTTACTGTGTCAATTCGATGGTGAAAATTTACCCTTTTTATTCATTACATCTTGAAATGGCTTATATTTTCACTTTGCTTTAGGTCATCTGTTAGACCATTCCATATTTAATACCTGCCACTAGGGATGTCCCGATCAGGTTTTTTTGCCCTCGAGTCTGAGTCATTTGATTTTGAGAATCTGCCGATACCGAGTCCTGATCCGATACTTTCGATACATTAAAAAAAATAAAGAAAAGGAAGAAACAGTTCCAGAATGTTCCTTATTTTTTATTTTATTACCTTTTTATTCAATTTTTTAACAACAGATCACTTCTGTGAGGCAGCTTGAACAATCAATAAATAACATAAATTCTTCACTTTTGGACTTTATTGCAAATATAAAAAGTCTAATATAAAAACAGATAGCACTTCAACTTAAAATACCTGGCAGGGGTCTACTTTGCCTCGGTCCCCAAAATGCTTAGATACGTCCCTGCGCATTGGACGGAGTTTTGAAGATGATCTGAATTGTATCAACTATATAAATACTACATGCTGATAAATTATTGCTTTATACAGGTACAAACGTGTAGTTGGATAAATCTACCTACGTTTTATTTTTTTAAGAACTTTGTTTTGTTTTCTTGGTTTTTATTTTCCTATCTTCCTGTCCTGTCTGTCTCTGATCTTCCTGCATCTCCCAGTCCTCCAGAAAATCTCCTGCCTGCTTCCTTCTTTTTCACCTCACAAGTAACTTTTTAACTAGCAGATCAAACTGATTTATTGACCGCAAAAAAAGCGGAGTGTGCGCCGCGCTGCCCGGCTGCGCCAGTGACGAGCGCTGCAGAGCGAGCGCATCCACACATCATGCTCAAATACAGACAGAACTTACCAGAGAGAAAATGAACGGACACAAATGACTGTGTTTTAATTATATATTTTTTGGTGACGACACTTAGAAACTTAGAAAATGTTACTGTGGCCGTGTGCAGAACGCAGCTGGAGTTCATGAATAATCAGCGGTCTGCCTGCCGCTCTCTGCATCTCTGCTCAAAAGAATCCCCGCTACGCTGAGTCCATGTTAATAATATAATCTAGGTAGAAACTGGATCTCTTTTGTGCTCCTTCTGGGTGTGTAAGTTAAGGGCATCAGGGGAGCCTGACAACCTTTAAGGACAACCAGGTTGCTCTACTGTAATTTGAACCCAGTATCCACTCCGGATCGGGGCTTGGATCGGGAAGTAAAGTCCGAGTCCCGATTGAGTCTGAATTCATGTGATCGGGGCCGATTTCCGATCATGTGATCGGATCGGGACATCCCTACCTGCCACTGAGATACAACAACTTTTAAATGTTGTTCTGAAAGCATGCGTTTTAAAATTTTGATTTAGCTCCTAGGTTGTACCCTCAATCCTCTTCATGAAACAATTTAATTATTTTTAGGGGAAGTTGGTTGTGTCTTGTCTTATACAGGATTTGTGTTGTGTCTCCTTTTTGTGTTCTTAATTGATTCAGTAACCTGCAATTGGGTTGTGTTTGGAGCTACACACTTGCGAGTGATAATAAAAAGGCTGCTCGTTCACAATTGTTTTGAATGCAGGCCAAACTCCATGACAGATGTGTCAGTTTATCCTCCGTTTGTCGGTGTCTAACTCTTAGTCAGCATGGCTGCACAAACATATAGGTCCTTTAAAGCCCAGAAAGTCCCACTCAGACTTGTGTTTATGTTTTTGCCTACCCCTGCAGGTAAGATGCAGAACTACGAGCTAATCCACAGCAGCAAGGTGAAGTTTATCTATCCCAGTGAGGAGGAGATGGAAGACCTGACCTTCATTGTGGCAGACAGGAAGAATTCAGCACCCCCCTCCTCCTGTAATATCCTGCTCTATTTGCTGGTGTTTCAGGTGGGAAATACTTCTGTTATTTTTTTTTTTTAGCCAAGCCAACTTTATTTGTATAGCACCTTATAACAGTATAAAACTGACCATAGTGCCTCACAAAAATAAAATAAAAACATTGAAAACAATGCACAACATAAAAACGTATAAAAACTAAAGCTTAAGAAGTAAAACTAAAAATACTTTTAGGCTGAGTTAAAAGTCAAATTATAAAGGTCATGGTTTTCAAAAGAGATTTAAAACCACCACAAAACACATGGATCAAGCAGGACAGTCAGCCAGCCTTCACAGGTTTAAGATAAAGAAGTAAACATATAAATATAAAAATTCACTAAAATAAACTAAATCACACAAAAAGACACAGTTTAAAAATCTTAGAAAACTGAGTTGTCGGGCAGCAGCGAGCAGTCACGCCAGCATTCACCCCCACCACACCGCTATTATGGAGAATTGCTTTTATTTGAGAGGAGTCAGAGTACAACTCAAAATTTGTTTCAGTCCACAAAGTGTTATTGATCATTTTAAATGTTACATTATTCAGTCATCAATTAGGAACACAAGGATGACTAGATGTACAAGTCTCAAGTAAGTCTTAATTCATTATCCTCAAGTTTGAGTGAAGTCTCAAGTCTGATATTTCAAATTTCAAGTCATTTAAAATCTTATCGACCTTATTGATCCCAAAGCTGCTTGATAACAGCCAGTGAATAAAAATAGAAACAAAAATAGCATTCCTAGAGCTACTCGTGACTAGCCCTCAGAACCATTATATCCAGCAGGATCCAGGGAATTCGGGTACTTATCTGCCTCATTTGGGTCCAAGACAAATAGTTGATTAGGTCCATGGATCAACTTGATGTTAGCCAGGTAAAGCATGTCCAGACAGATAAGAGGAGAACCACTCCAGAGCAGATCCTAATAGGCCTACCAAGTCTCTCCACCTCTCCAGTAGCAGGTGATGGTCAAGTGTCAAAGGCTGCAGTCAGGTCCAGCAGGACCAGAACAGAACAGTCCCCTGCATCACTGTGGGTCGGAAGGTCATTAGAGACGCTAAGAAGAGCTGTTTCAGTAGAATGAGCTCTACGAAAACCTCTCAGGTCACTGAGGTAGTCAAAAAACTCCCCGGTGACAAGGCTCTGGGGGTGGATGAGATCACCCAGAGTTCCTTTAGTCTCTGAATGTTGTGGAGATGTGTTGGCTGACGCGGCTCTGCAGTATCACGTGGACATGGGGGCAGTTCCACAGGATTGGTAGACTGGGGTGGTGGTCCCCCTATTTAAAAAGGGGGACTGCAGAGTGTGTTCCATCTACAAGGGGATCCCACTCCTGAGCCTCCCTGGTAAGGTCTATTCAGAGGTTCTGGAGTAGAGGGTTCATTGGATTGTCAAACTGATTCAGGAGTAACAATGTGGTTATATGTGCCCCTTTTTGTTTTTACTTTGAGCACATGCCTCTTCAAAAGTCTCTGCACGACCCTGCCCTTGAGTACTGTGTAGGCCTGTGTACAGTCCTCATTTTCCCCACTTGCCGTCTCATCTTCAAACTTGTGTTCTTCTTTGTCTCTAGACATAGTTTTTTTTTCTTAAGACTTGTCTGTCCTTGACCGCTGCTCATTATTTGTCAGTTTGGAATTCGCGTTCTCAATATTTTCGTAGTTTAAGGGAGATATTATCTAGTCAACTCAGTAGCTATGTTCTATGCTGCCATCTTGTTCCGCACCGTCCCGGAAGTCCTTCAACATCCATTTTCTATAAGAAGCTAACGCAGGAGATAGGTGTAGGAGACAATTTTTATATTCAGCCTGCATGAAAAACTCAGAATGACGATCATATTTCAAAGAACGGGTAAAGTGAACTTGGTCTTCAAGGTCATTCAACTAATGGGCCAGGTTGAAATTGAGAACTCTAGTTTTTATGGATTTAGTGCGTTTACATGCACATCTAAAGGCTGATTCATGCTTCTCCGTCTGCGTCAGTGTGGAGACACGCAACGCCATCATCCATCCTGGTGTAGGGCCCCGGCAGGCACGCAAGTACGTACGGAGTCGAGCCCACTTTTTTAAACATCCGTCGAATGAGACGGATAACGCAAGCTTGTGATTGGTCAGGGTACCGCTGTCGTCTACACCACCGCCATTGCACCCTCAAAAACATAAACAGAGCCGAGGATAACTGGTGGCAGACACGGAGAAGCTTGAAGAATACCTCGCGAAAAAACTAAAAATATGAACGTTTAATTCCCCCGTGATTGGAGGAGTGAAAAGATACGCAGCAAGCGTTTTATTTGTGGACGGAAATGACAGGAAACGTGGGTTTAGAGGTGGGGAGCGCATGAAGAGGTGGAGGAGGATGAGAGACAAATTTGTCCGTGTTAAAAAGGCTCGTATATACAAAAAAACAATATAAACACACTATCTTGGACCGGAAACATGACAGGGTACCACAGAACAGCGCTATGCCCTCTGCTGTCCTGCCGGGGAATTGCTTTGCATCACTCCCCAGGAGATGGAGAAGTATGAGAGCAAAACACTTCCTTCAATCTGTGCGTGTCTGTCCCTTGCGGAGCTGACGGAGAAGCATGAATCAGCCTTTAGTCAATCATAAGTAATAAACTGGAAGTCTTTATCTTAGTTTTAGAAAACCCTTCTCTCGAATGAAGTTCATTCCACTCTGCTAATGTAAGTGATGTCATGCTCCCTTTGACTTTGGTATTCTTCCGTTCAACCTATCCACCTCATAGAAATGAGTACGTAGATGCCCCATTGGGTGCTGGAGAACATAACAGCATTGCTGCCATATTGGATGGGTTCCTCACTCTCCAAACCCAACGAGTCGATGCAAAGTGGGCAACTATGCCTTTTTTGTGTTGAGCCTACAGATCATGTGGGATTACTACGTTGGATTACTATTGACTTTAATTTGTAATTATTTTTTTATTCTATTTATATTTTTATTACCATGCCATATGACTGACTTTGTAATAAAGCATAATTAAATGTGTTTTTTAGCATCGTAATTTTCATCTTGAGAGGCGTCGTATTAAAAAAATAATTTGTTCTTCTTCCTCGGTAGAAATGAATGCACTGGGGGCAAATGAGACCTTTTCAAGATGGCAGCCGACCACTATGGCAGCTTCTATAGCAGCACCAGTCCACAGGGCATCTACGTATACGATGTCTGTGATTCACCTTATTCTTATTAACTGTGAGCTTTTGCATGAAAAATGCGACCAACGTCCATTTGGTAACATTGAGACAATGTGATCCCTTCGCACTAATCCTGTTTTTATGGGCTTCTAGAAACAGAAAATGTCTGAACACTAGCTGTCACCACCGTTACACTCCTTCTGCCTACTGCACCATTGGGGTGGGAGGACGATCTTAAAATCTGGCCAAAGCTAACATAATGTAGCATTTTAGCTACTTTGTGCTACAGCTGACTTGGTATGTACTATACCGTTGGATGGAGTTGCACTTGTTACTTTGTGGTGACATTATCAGAAGACCACTTCTGTGGTCTCGTCTCATCTGGAAGAGGAGGGGTCCAGCCTGTCACAGCTCAAATGAGTGGTTTACATGCCATATCTTGGTACTTCAGCTGAATTACAACCAGTTCACCTTCAGCCAGACTAACACGTTCATATAAATAAAAAAAACGACAGTCCGTGTAAGGCCTTAATTTGGTTTTGTGATACACATGTAAACACACTGAGTGTGAAATCAGTCTAAAACATCTTTGTTGTTTCCATAGATCCATTTTTTTCTTTCTTTTCTTTAGTTTCGTTTTTTTAGCCACCTCAGTTTCCCCCTCCATCTTCTGGGAAAGATGTGACTGACTACTTTTTTTCTTAGCTGCCCATGAGATTTGTGTTGGATCCCATGGGATCCAAATCCCATTGCAGGGCTCTAAGATAATGGTCATATGTTTTTTTTCCTCCAGGTTCAGATCCCTAGCCAAAGTTGTGTTCTCTCAGGCCCGTCCAGTTCTGGCTCTACCCCATCTCCTGTTCTTCAGCCCCGGACTCTGATCCTCACCAGCACTGACGTGTTACTGTTGGATGAGGACTACGTCAGCTATCCACTACCAGACTTAGCTAAAGAACCTCCATCCAGGTGAGCCATCTGGACCAGCAGTGTTCTCCTGGTGAAGGAGAACAGGCAATGGCTGACTGGTAATCAGGAGAAACGGGAGATTTCTCATTGTCCTGGCCATTAATCCGGCTTCCTCAGTGATTGCCGACGGTCATGACATGCATAATATCTAATGAGCAATCCGTGATGCAGCTCATCAGGGCATCTCCGCTCCTGATGCTTACACAACCGGAGCGAACTGGGCACAAAGACACCCCCTCCTCTCACTTTGTCGGGGTCTGGGAAAGCGCTGCAGACACCCCCCACCCCAGAGCGCGCTACAGCACCACCGCACCTTTGTCCCCAGAGGCAAAATGGACCTAGACGGGCCAGGAAAGGAGAGATTGAAATAGAAGAAAGCTCTGGCCACAGATGCATGTCCAGGCAGGCCTGTATGTGATCATGTTGGGAGAACCGGTTTAAGGTTGGAGTTTATCGGCCAGTTTAATAGTCGCACATCGTGCAATGCTGGGTCGTGGGGTGGGTTGAAGAGGGAGAAATAGTGGCTGTCAGGAACAGATCATGATGATCAGATCATCAGACTCATAACCTTTAGGGACGGAGAGCAGTGCTTTGGGCCAGTACCGATACCGACGCCACTTCTTAATATAACCTTTCAGCATAGCAGCACTTTTTTCTAGGGAACAGTGCGTACCAGTAAATTTTCCAGGAGATTGGTTGAAATCTCAGAGATTTCTGAAAAAAGAAATCTGTTTGTCCTCAAACACCAGTCATCCACAGTCGTGGCACGCACTCCATGAAGGGCCGCATTTTGCACAAAATGCGCATCACTGCCACAAGGCGCACTGTGAGTCACCATCAGCTCAGGCAGAGTTAGAGAAATAAAATTGTTTTCCCACACCATACACATTCCTGCAGCAGCAGCAGCAGCTGGGATGTTTGTGACCACAAAGTGCCCACTTTCAAATATAGCACACTCTTCATGGATCCACCTGCCTGTCGACACATTCAACCACTTAATCAATCAAACTTTATTTATATAACACTTTACATGCAAAGCAAGCAACACAAATTGCTTAACAGATTAAAATAACCCACATTCCCTCCATTTCCCACACTTAAAACAATTATGACAGTTTCACCCCCAATCCACAAACCATTCCCAGGCGCGCGCACACACACACACACACACACACACACACACGCACACACACACAGACACACACTCGTACACATAACACATTCAAAGACCACAGTAAACACTAGGCTGAGCCCAGAATGGACAGGTAATGAAAGACACGCCATCTGCCTCGATAGCAGCAGTTCGACGGCAGCAGCCAAGACACCAATCCAAGGTGCCCTGGGAGGGAGGGTGGCAACCCCCGCAACCCCCACCAAGGAGCGCCCCAGCCGCTGCCACCGACCACCGGTCCCGAGGCAGAGGGCTCCACAGAGGAAACACTGGAAGGATTAAAATACGTAACATGTAAAATCACAAGAGCTAATACGGATAGTAAAATATCCAATAAAATGTGATTATAGAAATAAAACAACATAAATGTGTACCACAACAGTAATTAAAATAAATAAATAAGTGAAACAAGCAATGCAATACATAGTAATCAGTTAAAAGCTAAACTAAAAAGGTGGGTCTTGAGCCTGATCTTAAAAACATGAATGTTCTCTGTGGCCCTGAGATCCTCTGGCAGCCCGTTCCAGAGGCGAGGGCCGTAATAACTAAAAGACGCCAACACTAGTTGGTCAGGTGGTGCTGCTGCCATCAATCATAGCAGGAATGCATACAGTGTCAGCTACCTTATCTTTTTTTTTCCTCTCCCCTGCCTGAGCTGATGCTCACGGTGCTGAATGCACAGCACACCTTACAGCATTGATGCACCTTTAGCGCAGAATGCAACTCTTCTTGGAGCCGTGGATGGACTGTGGATGGCTAATATTTAAGGATGGGCAGCTATTTTTTCAGAAATCTCGGATACGACTAATAAATACCTGGAAAATTTATTGGTATGCACTGTACCCTAAAAAAACTGCCCCGGTGTGCTGAAAGGTCCAAATTAGAAATGGCAACGGTACTGGTACCGCTGCGTACCGGCCCAAAGCAATGATATCTGTACTTAAAAAGGATATGAGTCTGATGATCTGACCATCAGCTCCTGATCATCGGTTCCTGACAGCTGCTGCTATTTTCTCCCCACCCCACCCACTCCTCCACAGCATTGCACACTGTACACTGCCCATAATTCAACTGGCCCAAAAACTTACCTTAAACCAGTCCTCCCAACATGATCACATACAGGCCAGACTGAACATGCACCTGTGGCCAGAGATTTATTCTTTTTCAGTTTCTCCTTTTCTGCTCCGCCTTTTATGGTCCGCCTTGGTCTATTTCACCTCTGGGGCCAAAGATGCAGCAGTGCACTGGCAGTTGGGAGGTGTGAGAGGAGGTGGTGTCTTTGTGCCCAGTTTGCACTGTTTGCGTGAGCATCAGGAGAGCGTATGCCCGGACCCTCACATGACTGATTGTTCACATTATGACTGTCAGCAATCACTGAGCAGGACAGATTAATGACCAGGCCACTGGGAAATCTCCCATTTCTCCTAATTACTAGTCAATTTGATTCAAGTTTATTTATAAAGCATCAAATCAGGACCAGAGGAATCTCAAGGACCTTCACACAGTAAACATTCCAATACAGGTCAGGTCATTAAGCCAATCAGTAACACGTTTCCTATATAAGGAAGCCAGCAGGTTGCATCGAGTCACTGACTAGTGTCAGAGTCTTTACAGCAATCCTCATACTAAGCAAGCATGCAGCGACAGTGGAGAGGAAAACTCCCTTTTAACAGGAAGAAACCTCCAGAGGATCCTGGCTCAGTATAAGCAGCCATCCACCACGACTCACTGGGGATGGATAAGACTGAGCAGACTGAGCAGACTGAGCAGACAGACAGACAGACAGACAGACAGACAGACACACACGCACACACACACACACACACACACACACACACACACACACAACATATATACCAAGTAGTGTTTCTATGGTTACACTGTGATTTCTTAGTAAATATTCTATTTAGTAATAGATCAACTTTATTGTATTTATCCTAGTGAATCTATAATTAATTCAACAGGTAAACTAGTTCGCCCCTGGACTCACCCATCTTGACTCACGATGGTGAGGGCTGTTATTGATTTAGCGTGCAGGAGAGAGCAGAGTCAGTAAAAGATTTGAAGAGCTGTTAGCCAATCAGAGATGAGGTGTCCAAATATCAGAAAGACTCCAAATCCTGCCACACAGCGTCGAGCAGTGTTCGCTTTTACTCTTAATAATAATAATAATAATGCATTGAACTTATATAGCGCTTTTCTAGACACCCAAAGACGCTTTCACACACTCTCACATTCACACACTGCTAGTGATGGTAAGCTACTTGTAGCCACAGCCACCCTGGGGAGGTCTGACAGAGGCGAGGCTGCCATTTGGCGCCGTCGGCCCCTCTGACCACCACTAACACAGGCAAGTTGGGTGAAGTGTCTTGCCCAAGGACACAACAGCAGGATATCCCTGGCGGGAGCTGGGATCGAGCCCATGACCCTCCGATCATGAGGCAACCCGCTCTACCACCTGAGCTACTGCTGCCCCCAAAAAAACTCTTGCTCACTTCTAGGTCCTGAAACAAGAGCGCTAGAGCAATTTTCCCTCAAAGATTAACTCACAAGTCTTATGGAATTTTTTCATTGGAAAGCATGGGGTCTTTTGGATTACCATGACCTGGATGACAGAGAACCTTCATCAGCATATTTCTGTCTTTTGTATTATTTATTACAGAAGGCATAAAAATGTTGGGTCTCATTCTATGAAGGTCACAGAAATGAGCCCAGAACTGAAGAATACATGGTTTTATAGTTTATCAGTCGCACACACACATGTTAACAAAACAAAAAGAAGAGCCACCCAAGTCTCCTCTCCTGGCAGGCTGCACACAGCTGTATAAACAAACCTTGAGCACGGGAGCACGTCTACACACAGTGAGCCAATACTGAGAAAGTTGGTTACATATTGTAACTCCAGTTTCTATGAGCCTAGTCTAAAGGCGGGCATACACTGTGCGACTTTTTCACTTGTAGCACTCAGCTTCAGCTCAAACTGTACGACTTCCTCGCAGAGCAGATCTCACGAGTCATGTGCTCACACTGTACGACCCAGTTCTCGGATGCGACCTGACTGCTCACACCGTATGTCTGGTAGCAACACGTCGGACCTAAAAAAATGCTAAAATTAACAGTTTTTTCACAACACGTTGGACTTTTTTTGTGTTGTTACTGATGTCTGTTGACCTTCGGGAGTGCTGTAGGAGGACACGGGGATTTATGGGGGTTGGATGAGGAAAACGAAAGAAAGAAAGTAAATCAGTGTTTTGTGATCAGTTTAATTTGACACGCATGCTTTCTTGACAATCCTTGTTATTGTGTGTGTAAGAAAAAGTGTAGAAATAAAAACGAACAACGTGTGTTAGTAGGGAAATAGCTGGCGAGCGGTGTTGACGCATGATTGCGCATGCGCCGTGAGCGGTTCTGGTACTTTTTGGGTCGCAGCCGCTTCAACCCTCACGAGGGATGAGCCAAATTTCAAACCCGTCAGAAGTCCCTGCGAGCTCACGATTGCAGATCGGTAGTTGGTCTTGTGGTGTTAATTGCCTCTCGTAGCCCACTGTATACTACACGACGCTCAGTGCAAAACTCGCCCCAATCTTGTGGATTCTCACACGAGTGGAAAATTGGCTCAAAAAAGTGCAAAAGTTGCACAGTGTATGCCCGTCTTTAGCCCTTAAGCTAGCTGCCATTGGAATAATGTAACTCTTGTGACCAATCGCTGAAGAGCTTTGATGTACGCTCACCTACTGCGAGCACCCCATTGGTATATAAGTGGGGAGACTCCACTGTTTGTCTCCTATGGCTCTTGGTCCTATCAGAACCAGTGGGGCCATTAGCTTAAGGGCTGCGGCTAGACTCGTAGAATCTGGGGTTACAATATGTAACCAACGTTCTATTTTGTTTAGCTTTAGCCCTTAAGCTAGCTGCTTTTATAATATAATATTGCGCAGCTGGATGAGTTTATGCCACACTGGTTCAGCTCGGACCATAGGGATGCATTCATAGGAAAGACCCCCTTACTGAAGAAATACTCTCTAGATAGAGGGCTGATGCAGCCAGAGAGAGAGAGAGTGTATGGTTCACAATGTGTATTCACACAGCAGGGGAAACTCAGGAAGAGTTCTCCTGAACCACACCCAAACAGGTATAACAGGTGACCTACCCAACTCGTAGGGCAACAAGCACTGCTCCAGACAGGGGGTAGGTGACCAGTGGGTCAGAAGAAAGCCTCAGTGAAACCCAAGGAGGTAGTAATGGGGCCTTAATGAAAACCCATGAGGAAGGGCTATAGTAGTGCGTGACTCAAGGTAAACATGCCAGCATGTGACCTATGCATTTGTGGTAGGAAGCAGAAAATAAGCTTCCTGTACATCTCAATCAGCCCATCAACGCCCTAAGCACTGAGAGAGAGATGCATGCTAAATACACATCTCACGTTGAGAACGAATGAATGAACAAGAGGCAGACCAAGCTGCAGCCAGATCAACACACCATTCTTCATCACCATAGAAGGGGAAACCCTCTGATGGAATGCTTTCTCAGCTCATCAGGGAATTATTCGCTCGCATTAGTGAGTGAAATTGCTTCACACAGGCAGTGTGTGAAGGTGCTGGGCCCACAGAGGACTTCCGATGTTCTACACAAACAGACTCTATGAACATTGCATCTCCATGGTGCGTGAGATACTGCAACCAATCATTGGAACTGAGAGTGGACAGAAGTAGTCTCTTCATCAAGATTGTGGGGAGGGTGTAAATTTCATCCTGGGGGAAGGCATTTGCTCTTGTCGCTCAAACGTCTTGATACAGCCCTGGGTGTGGGACTGATTTAGATGGTAGTTGAATGAAAAGAAGCCCTGGTTATTAACGTGAATGAAGGGTGGCTCTCTGCTCCTCACACCAATGCTGAAAGCAGTCCACTTACTGCAGGAGTGGAGGAAGCACGTGTACACTAAATCGTGCGAACTAACTCAGTCATCAGGGAGTGAAGCCTCCAAGCATTGTCACCACTAAATGTTTCCCGAGCATGGCTGTGTCTACAGCTCGCTGCTCCCACAGGAGACGAGCCAAATGCCGAAAACAAATTCCACATGTCAGTGTGTGCGACAACTAATGGGAACTTAACATTTAACTGACTTCAGCGATCAGCTAAAACCACTATCCCACTTACGGGTTGATTGTTCAGACCTCCTGTCTGAAAAGACATGTCCTTTTATTTATTTGGAATCGGCTATAATGATGCTCTTCACAATCTGCTGTACACCTAGGGACCAAGGTGTGGGGCGCATGTGGGACTATCAGGGTCAAAGGGATCTGTATCACCCGACAGTTGATTCAGAAGTCGAGGAATAAGTGAGAAAATGCATAAGAAGCATCTTAGCATCTATTCCACTAGGGTCCAATATTGTGGGCTCAGGGATAAAACACAATGGAACTGAGTGTTCTCGTGTGCGGCAAACAGGCCATGGTGGTTAGCCAAGGCTGTTCCAGGTCTGAGTGATCAGACTGGGATAGAGATGCCAAACTGACTGGAGTGGCCCTCCCGTGGACATCACTGTTTCCACGTTTAGGATACCTGGAAGGTGGACCTGAATGACAGCAAGCTCACCTGCTCAACACAGCAGTCCTGCTGAGCGCATGAGTGGGAGTGAACAAACTCCACCATGGTGGTTTATGCAGATCGCTGCTATAAGATTGATATCTTGCATGATGCATGAAGCAAGACAATTTATCATGCTTCTCACTGTCAGTGTGAAAAGGATGTTCATTTACTTTGGCAGATATGTGGAGAGGCCAGTGAGATCCTAGCATAGAGAGAGCCCACAGGCTTTATGACATAGGAAAAAAAAATGCAGTGATGTCAGCATACCGTAGACGTTAAGCTCTGCAATTGCGTATTTTGGTAATATATATCCAAGCCGCACCGCTTCAAAAAAATTCCGATGGTTTCAGGGTAATAGCTGAACTCGGGAGAATCCGTAGGGGTCAAAAAACATTCCAGTCCCGTCTTGTTCTAGAGCAATGGCCAACCAATGTTTGCCGGGCTTAACAGATGGGTGCGTGTTTACAATGAAGTGGCATGGTTGCTGGAGATGTTTTGGCAACGCAGTCAGCACATCCAAGGCCAAAACACCCAGAAATACACCCCCAAGCAGGTGCGAGAGTATTTCCTGTAGCTCGTGATTATTCATTGTTTATTCAATGATAATCAACCATCACTTTCCTGTTTAAGTTTATCTCCAAAATAGAATCGTAACAGGCGTAGACGATCAGCGTACAGGTATGAGGCAAAACAGAGCTGCAAATCTCATCTCCAACCTCAGGTTACCACTAGTCACAGGAGACAGTGCGTCAGTGTTCTCATCCGAGGTGAGATTGAAAACAAACAGGGTGTATCCTTATTCATATTCCATGTGGTTAATCGCCAATGGTTGGTCCTTCAAATGTCTGGACGAAGACGTAAACAGGGATGCTTTGGAGGGTATCTGTTTTCCGTCTTTGCAAAGGGCCAAATATTCCTCATGCATGTGATGGAAATTAAATGGTGACAGATCTCTTCTTCTTGTATACGACTCATGATCAACTAAAGACTGAACTATGTATTTAGGAAATGTCCCAAAAAAAGATTCTCCAAATTGCATATCCTAGAATTTTCAGAAATGGAATAAGTTTTTATGTTGACTCTTGAGAGTGGGTAGAGAGTATTTCCCTTCAGCAGAGTGGATTCATGCCCCAGGTAAATGGCGGGGAGACCATCACTTTTTTAACAAAGAGCAATTTACCCAATAGCTTCAGCTTAAAGGTGGAATCACGTGGCCCTCATCAAACAAAATGAGTTGCTGGCCCTGGTCAGGTTAACCCTCAGATCCACAGAGTTCAGAAGAAGTATTTCGGTGAAAAATATATTGGCGTGCAGAGGCCCCATCAGGTACTCCTCCCTTGAGTTTTTTGTAAAGTTTGCTCTTTGAGTGAAACCTCTGTTACTTATATAATCAATTTCCCTCTGGGATTAATAAAGTATTTTTGAATTGAATTTGAATTGAATTGAATTGAATTTAATAAAGTAATTAGTATTTTGATTTCACAGGTCGGTCACATCTTATTTATTGACTAACACTTTGATGGATTAGCTTTATTAAAATAGAGTTCTTTGAAAAGAAAAAGAGTTCATTCTTCGTTCTTCTGTTGAGCCGAAAATAAGCAGGTTAGAAGGAATGCATGAGACCTTGAGACTATCTCTCATGCAGACTAGTCTTGAGCAAAGAAGGGGGAAAAAAACACAGTCTTCCGTTCCGTTACATTTTATATCTATATTTCAAATGTGGCTTAGATTTAGCTTGTTTATGATCTTATATTAATTAATTGGGGCACCACCCAGTCTTTGTTAGTGTGACTGGGAACACTCCAGGGGAGATTTAGATTTTGTTCAGGGTCATCAGTCTAAATTTTAACACCACAAATTAGTCTGAAAGCTGAGTTCTTGTCAGAATGCGCCGGCTATTCTTGAGATTGCTAGAAATAATCAGGCGTGATTTACGTTTTGTGAGTTTATTACAACATCAATAACATTGACAAAAGGACCAAACACAGCTTATAGTTTCATGCATGGAATTAAGAAAATTGTTAACTCAAAGCTTTATGGCAGTGATAGGAAATAACTGATCCGTAATAAAAGTGGAAATTCGGTGACACCAGGGTTATAGTAACTATTAGTAATAATTTCTGAAAGGAGAACCAAGGGAAGTTGTGTGTGTGTGTGTGGGGGGGGGGGGGGACCTCGTTATGGCAGAAGAAGAAAGGGGATCTTGAAGGCTAACGTGAATATGGGATCGAAATAAAAACACGCCATAAAAAATGGACTAATCTGAATTCAGTAATCGGGCTTGTCACAAAAGTCAGCCAGATGAAAATGATTCACAGACCTTTTTTCTCTCATTGCCAGAGGGTGGCCAAAGGGCTGATGTAGCTTGGAGTCCTTGCTCATGAAGAGGCTTCTGGGACTGTAAGATTTTGGCCCCGAGTTGGTCAGCGGAGTCTGTTGAGTTCAGGAGAATCTCTTTCCCCGGGAGTGGCTGGACTTTAAGGTGTCTTCATTTCAGCTGCACCGAAAATGTGGAATTCAGATCGTGGGCCCAAATTATTCCAAATGGAGCCAAATCATCAAACTGTTCCAAATTGCTCTTACTCTTAATATAAAAACTCGACGAACACGCAGACTTCCGGTTTCACGTAGGAAGTCAAAACAAAACAACAGAGTTGCTTCTAAGTTTTACCGTAACTTTTTAGAGCTAATTACTGTAAAGCGCCAGGTTCTGCTGGGCCAGATGGAAAACAGCCCGCAGGGATGTGCTTAAGGCGTCCTTTGTTTTTTTCTCCTCTGCTAACACAAGGTTTGCACTGTGGCTTTATAACCTTCTGAGTCACACCCACATGTATTTCGCTCATTAACCACTGGACACCGGATGGCACTGTGGCTCTTTCAAATAACCTCTACCTGTCATGACTTCCAATCCTTCACCCTCCTCTGCCTCTTCATTCAGTCTTTATCCAGCACACCTGGTTCCTCTCATTTCGCTCCAGCCAAGCCCTGTTTTCCCTAGCAACTTCAGTCTGCACCTTATCAACTCCATTCATCTCACCTGTTCCTGTCATCAGCTTCATCCACTTCACCTGCTCCTGACTCCTCAGCTCATCACTCACACCTGCTCCCCCTGCTTTATATTCTCCAGTCAGCCACCAGTTCCCTGCCAGATTATTGAAAGCCCACGCAAGTAAATCTTCCAGCCATTCACCCTGCCTGATCTCAGCCTCCGGACCTCGTTTTTCTCATGATCCCTGTCTTGAACTCTGCCTGCCATCACGACCCTCGCCTGTCTTCTACCACGTCTCCAGCCTGCTCCCTGTACCTGCTTGTGCCGATCTGGTTTTGACTCACGCCTGCCCTCCGACTCTGTCTCCTGCCTCGCCCTCCTCGGGTAACTCCTCATCCAAGTAAAGACTTTTAAGGAACTTTACTGTGTTTGGCGTCATTACGGGTTTTGTGAGTTCGTGACACTACCTTCTCCAAGATGGAGAGTCCATGATCTCAATTTAACACAGCTATTCATATAAAGCCTCAAAAAGTATTACTTTAGCATCAAAGCATTACTTTAAAAGTGAAAGAATAAAATTAATGTCTTAAAACTGAACAGTTTTACCATTAGCATGAATTTTAACTGGAGAATCAAAAATTGGCAGAGGTTTAACATAAAAAAACACAAAACAAGCAGTTAGGTTTGTAACTGATAAGATTTTAACTTAGAGCACATTGATTTCTAATGGTGAACAAATCTAAACACCTTTTAACTGTGGATCAGGGTCTTGATAAAGACTAAATTCTGCAATGTTCCAGAACATGCCCTGAGAAGGTTTTACAAGCCTTCAAACCTTGGGGGAGAGTCGGGGCTTGGCAGGTTGACATGGGCCCAACCAAGTCCTGATAATGTCTGTCTTTTCGATTGCTTAAGGAGGGAAACTAACAAGTCACTTGGTAAAATTTACGTTCCTGGGAGAAAATGTAGGAGTTAACCAGATGTTCGAACTGCGGTCCAGTTTCAAAGTCCTCTTTTTGTTTTCTTCTGCTAAATGTGAGAGGAAAAACTTTGTGAAAATAGTTATGTTCTCCTTCGTGTGAATACAAACAAAGTTAATCAGAGGATATAAAATGTGGATTTCCGCTACAGTCCTGTTCCAATTTTTGTTTTGCCTATTCTGCAAATTCCGTGTGCCGAACTGGGTCATCCTCATTGAGATGCTGCAGTAGCTGGAGTTTGTAAGGGTGTTATTTGTGAGTAGCTAATATCAGCCGAAGGGATGTTGAACTAATGCCACTCTCCAGTGACATGTGGCAAGTGCTACCCTGTGGGCTTTTGCTGAATGAAGCTAGGACAGCCGCTGATATTTCTTCATTAGTGACCGTTTTCATGCGTCCACATTTTGGCAAATCCAACACTGAACCTGTTTCACGAAAATGAGCAAGCAGTTTGCTAACTGTACCATGGGAGATGGGTGGTCTCGTAGGGTGTCTTGCATTGAAATCTGCTGCAATGACTTGGTTACTGCGTTCACCAGATATCAACACAATTTCGATCTGCTTCCTCACGTGTTAACCTCATCGACATGTCAGTGGCTGTGAACAAAGAGAAACTTGTAAATAACTCACGAAAGAATAAAATTACATTCAAACCAAGCACGCCGTTATTTTTCTTGTGAAATTCTCAATGAGTTTGATGTGACACGACTTTTTTCGTATTGAAAAACAAAAGTTGGATCCAAGATGACCAACTTCAAAATGGCCATCATGGTCACCACCTATCTTGAAAAGTTTGCCCCTTCACATATACTAATGTGCCACAAACAGGACGTTAATATCACCAACCATTCCCATTTTATTAAGGTGTATCCATATGAATGGCCCGCCTTGTAGAAGTCCCTCTTGTATTCAAAAGATAGTAAAAAATTAATAACCTGAAATGAGTTTATAAATGTCTGGATTATTTTTTTATTTGTTTTTTTACATTTCATCAAAATTTAAATTACATTTTAAAAATTAAATGTGTTCATGATCATTTAAAATGTTTAGTTAATCTTTTATGAATGACTGGTGTATCAAAATCTTATATTTAACCATTGACAGTTGTGACTTTAGAAAGTTAAACATTACCAAACGTGTTAAAAGGTGTTTGTAAATGTTTACTTTATCCTTATTTAAGCATTTGTAAATGTCAACTAAAGCACTTTGTGATTCTATGTCAGTGATAAATGCTATATAAAACAACCAGCAGCCGGCAGAGTCCCGGGAGATATCAGTGGCAAGTCCACAGGCCCGCCCGCAGCCTCCCACCCCCCAGCCGGCCGAGCCCGGGACCCAGCAAACCGGGACCCAGTGGCGACCACCCCCGCTGGGGTCCCAGCAGAGCCCAGGGAACCAGATCCCACCATGCAGCCACCGGGATTGATCAGGCAGACGCCAAAAATCTTAAACCCCCTGACCCGGGAGCCATGAACACTCAGGCAGACCAAGGGACCACACTCCACACCAGGTGTGGCAGGGGGAGGGGAGACAAAGATGTATAGCATCAAAAGAAGTCCCAGGAGAAGGGAGGAGTCGAAGGCCCCACCTGACATATACAGTCATACACAAAAACAGTCACACACTCCCTCCCTCATGCTCACACATACACATACAACCAAAGACTTACAAAAATGCACGCCGGACACCCACTCATGCTCCCCATTCACACCCTATTCACTCTGGTCCCGGTACTGCTGCACATGGGGTACAACCATTACCGGTTCCCAGAGTTCGACCCTTTCTGCTGGGGTGAACAGGCTCCCCCGCCCAACGCTGAGCAATGCAACCCACCACCCCAGACCCCAACCAGATGGCCAGATCTCCCTCCTTCTATTTCTAATACTAAATAATTAAAAAGCAAATCATGATGCCATCTTTTAAACAGGCTGTATATAAAAATAAGGCATGACGTCTTCTTCCATTAAACCAGTTGTACATGAAAAAAAGGCATGATATCTTCCTTTAAACCAGGAGAGTGGATGAAATAACTTAAAGTGCAATTAAGGCCTGGTACCTTCCTTTAAACCTGAAGATTGAATGAACTAGCCCTTGTGCAGATCATCAAAAAAAATCAAGAATTAAAATAAAGCAGATCTGAGCTTACAGTTACAAATTCTTTTTGATGAAAATAAGGGTGTCTACACTGTCTGGGGAGAGCATGGACCTCTTTGCAGTCACTATGTCTCCTGCTGTTGAGAAAACCCTCTCGCTAGGCACTGAAGTAGCAGGCACAGCTGGATAGTATTTTGCCATCATGACAATGTGAGGGTATTTACCCTCATTGATTTTCCACCATTCCAGTGGAGCCATGGATTGTAGAATCCTTGTTTTCAGTGGCAGGATCATGGAAACAGATGGACCAGTTTCAGTGCTCATTGGTGCGGTAACCATTTTGAGGGGTTTGAGCACCTGGAGGACCTCCTCATCCACTTTCACATCATCATCAGACAAAATCACATTGTCTCGGACATTTTTTTCAGGGTCTTGTCTGTTGGTGCAGAGTACACAGCTGCTTGCTGCTCAACATAACGCTGTTGTGACATCATGTATGAGCTTATGAGTAGGCAGCTGTAGCCAGCCCCAACATAATTCTCAACTGGAGTGCCACCACATCCAGCGAATAATCCTCAGCCACCAGGAGATGTCCTCAGGGGTATACGTGAAGAGGTCCACTCAGTAGGGAGCTTGAGCTGAAAGAAGTGTGGCATAAATGGGGCCGGAACCCAAGAACATACCTTATGTTTTGAAGGTTTCCACTCACAGCCATGAGGTGGATCACAGTTGAGGTTAAGTGCATCTGGAAAGTATTCATAGAGCTTCACCTATTTCACTTTTTTGTTTATGTTACAGCCTCATTCCAAATTGGATTAATTTCATTTAACCCATAAAATGCAACACACAACACCTCATAATGATAATGTGTAAAGAGTGTCTTTGAAGTTGTTGCAAATACACTGCTCACAAAACTTAAAGGAACACTTTAAAGAAACACATTAGATACATCAGATCTCAATATGAAGTTGGATATCTATACAAATAACAACAGGGCAATGTCTTAGGAACAAAAGGATGCCATGTCTTTTAATGGAAATAAAAGTTATCAGCCTGCAGAGGGCTCAGTTGTGTAGACACCCTAAAATTGGAGTGAAATGAAGATGTGGCAGGCTAGCCCATTATTTCAAAAACAATTTCTGCTACTCAAATTGCTTTTCAGTATCTTGTGTGGCCCCCACGAGCTTGTGTGCATGCTTGACAACGTCGGGGCATGCTCCTAATGAGACAACGGATGGTGTCTTGTGGCATCTCCTCCCAGATCTGTGTGAGGCCATCCCTGAGCTCTTGTACAGTCAGAGGAGCAACCTGGTGCCTCCTAATGGACCGAAACATAATGTCCCACAGATGTTCTATTGGGTTTAAGTCAGGGGATAGTGAAGGCCATTCAATTGTTTCAATTCCTTCATCCTCCAGGTACTGCCTGCATACTCTTGCCACATGAGGCCGGGCATTGTCGTGCATTAGGAGAAAACCAGGACCTACTGCATCAGCGTAGGGTCTGACAAAGGGTTCAAGGATTTCATCTCTATACCTTATGGCAGTCAGAGCACCATTTCCTAGGCAGTAGAGGTCTGTGCGTCCCTCCATGGATATGCCTCCCCAGACCATCACTGACCCACCACCAAACCTGTCATGTTGAACGACGTTGCAGGCAGCATAACGCTCTCCTTGTCTTCTTCAGACTCTTTCATGTCTATCACAGGTGCTCAGGGTGAACCTGCTCTCGTCTGTAAAAAGTACAGGGCACCAGTGGCAGACTTGCCAATTCTGGTGTTCTTGAGCAAATGCCAGTCGAGCTCTACGGTGCTGGGCTGTGAGCACAGGGCCCACTACAGGACGTCGGGCCCTCAGACCATCGTCATGAAGTCTGTTCCTGATTGTTTGGGTAGAGACATTCACACCAGTGGCCCTCTGGAGGTCATTCCTTTGGGCACGAGCAGTGCTCAGCCTGTTCCGCCTTGCACAAAGGAGCAGGTATCGGTCCTGCTGATGGGTTGTGGACCTTCTACGGCCCTGTCCAGCTCTCCGAGAATAACCGCCAGTCTCCTGAAATCTCCTCCATGTTCTGGAGATTGTGCTGGGAGACACATTAAACCTTCTTGCTGCAGCACATGTGGATGTGCCATCTTGGAGAAGTTGGACAACCTGTGCAACTTCTGTAGGGTTAAGGAATCACCTCAAACTGCCAGTAGAGAGCCAAAACTAGCACGAGTGGAAAACCAGCCGAAAAAGATCAAGAGGGAGAAACTTGAAATGACCTCTACATGATAAACCAGTCCTGTTTTGAGGGTTTTGTAATTGTTGCCATTTTAGTGCACCTTTCATTGAGTCCATGATCACCAATACAGCTGAAAGTGATTAACAATGCCCTCAGCTGCTTAATCAACCAGGAAATTATCAGACAGGTTTAATTGATTTCATGCCAGGCCCAATAAAAAAGTGTTCTTTTAATTCGTGTGAGCAGTGTATATTAAAAATAAAAAACTTGAGAAATCACATGTACGTAAGTATTCACAGCTTTTGACGTGAAGCTCAGAATTGAGCTGAGGTGCTTTCTGTTTCCACTGATCATCCTTGAGGCGTTTCAACAGATTAATTGGAGTCCACCTGTGGTAAACTAAGTTGATTGGACATGACGGAAAGACACACACCTGTCTTTATAAGGCCCTTGAGTTGGCAGTGCATGTCAAAGCACAAACCAAGCATGAAGACAAAGGAACTGTGTGTAGACCTCTGAGACAGGTGTTGGGGTTATTAGGAGCGAACAATTAGTAAGCTTCAACTTACTTTTGGATTCTTCAATAAATTCTGTAAATATGGGAATATTTACTGATTTATTAATTAATTAAGATATTCTTAGATATACGGGGCACCATTCCCCTTTTTCCGGGGAAAAATTGAATCCAAAACTCTTATCAGTCTTTCTTGAAGTTCGTAGAATCCTTGGAGCAGAGACTTCTCTTCGACACAACAAAGCTACTGGACACAAAAATCTGAATTTTATAACATTTAATTAACAATTTGTCAAATGAATAAACAGTGGAATAGATGAATAATAACCGTGTGATATGATTGAAGATGGATGTGTTTGCATGTGATGGAGGATGTATGAATGGGGTCCTTTGTTCTCACAAAGGAGTAGTGTGTGTGTGTGTGTGTGTGTGCGTGTGTATGGATTCAAAATGGAGTCTTGAATACAAGATGGCTGACCCCTTTGTCTGGCTAAAGTGTGGGTGGCAACTTGCACTTTAACTTCCAAAGCACTTAGAATCAGTAGTAACTTAACCTTAAATCACTCAAAACATTTCAAAAGATCATGAAACAACACAAAAGATTAATCACAAATTAATATCTTTTAGTTTCAGCCTGGCCATGACAGAAACCATTTTAAGATACCAAACAATGATCAATAAGCAGTTTATTCTTTCAAAATGACCCGACGGACGTGTTTGGGACGAAAGAGGAAAACACGAAGCTACTTTTTAAGCAATAGCGCGGTTTTATTGCTTATTCTGGACTATAGAGTTAACGGAAGAAGAAGGAGAGAGAGAAAGAGATGAGTTGCTGATCACCAGAAAAGCGAGGCGTCCCTCCCTCTTTGATTTGACGGTTCTCCGTGTTTCTCCGCAGCTTTCGGCGTCGTCCGTCGGTTTGATGCTTTCTCCGTTGTTTGGCGTTCACGAGTGTTTCTCCACGGGCTGGACAGAGACAGCAAAGTTTCTTTCTGTGCTGAGTTATAACTTACAGCGTGCTTGATGGAGTTGTTGCTTTCCTCCGCAGTTCTGTGTCCTCAAACATCAGCTGGAGGGGAGCAGAAACGAGCAGATCTGATGGGCTTGCAGTTTAGTTTCCAGCAGTTCCGTGGGCTCAACTCGGGCACTTAGAGCTTCCGCGTGCTCAAGTTGTCGGAGCGTTGACAAGCGTGTCCTAACCGCCAGGTATCCTGGGCAAAAGAACGAGGATTCTTTGTCTCTGCTGAAGATTTATGGTCTTAGTTCGCGGGAAAAGCTCCACGGCTTCCCGCACATGCGCAGAACGTGTTTCTGGTACTAGGCGGTGACGTCATCACAATGCTTCCGTGTGCAAAGCATCATGGGAAATGAAGTTTCTTGGCGCTGGTGTGATTATTTGCTTTTCAGAGCAATTTAAGCACAGTCATTTTGGAGAAAATCACTGCATAGTAATTTCCTCATGAGGTCAGACCCTCAACATTCCCCTTTTTGGTTTCGGGGATCGCGCCCAAAGCTCGATCGTCGGAAGCACAGATGGGTTTGTTCCTCATGAACGTAGGTCGACTTGATTGTCGGAAGCACAGGTGGGTTTGTCCCTTAGGACGTTGGTCTCCTTGGACGCCTTTGTCTTTGGTCTTTGTCTTGGATCCTGGCGCCTTTGGTCTTTGTCTTTGTCAGGCACAAAGAGGATAGGAAACGGGATAGTCCCCAACGCGCATAACGAGAAGAAGCCACTCACGCAGGTGGTACGCAATGATGATGTCGTCCATGCGAGAGGTAGTAGTGTAGAAGGAGGAAGGTCGGTGGGCGGTTAACTCCACGAGTGGACACAAAGGCATCTCACCGCCGGCCATACAGTTCAGTTTATGGAGCACGCGGTGATGTACGAGGTCCATAGTTCGCAAACGCGCATTGACCTATGTGGTCCCAAGATTCCCCCCTTTTTGGTCCAAAGGGTGGATCAGGACAGTCTTTGGCTAAAACAAGGACCATAAAACTAAGAGGTACTACAATGTGCTGGTGTGTCAGACAGAGTCATTGACAGACTGAGCTGGGCCGGCACATAACCACTAGTCAATATGTGACCAAGTAAGAAACAAAAATACAGAAAACCCCCCAAAAAAAAAATGTAACATATAACATCCAAGAAAATTCATAGCAACCTTGAGGTCTCATAAAATACATTCTTAGGTCATACATTCAGTGTGTAGCTTATAAAGAATGTGACATAATGCAACACTCAGATAAAAATGTGAGGTAGACTAAAGTGAGAACTACTCTTAGGTTTACAAAATAATAAAGAAAATGTTGCTCACCCCCTTTAGACAGGTGTGGTACATTCACGCTTGGATTCTCCCCGAACGCGGTCACGAGGCACACCGTAGGTGAGCAAGTGCATCTTATCTTGGAGTTTCTTAACACGCCTGTAGGCGGAATAAGCAATCACGGCCGTGATGAGCCATCCCATCCCCAGGGCGACCAATGTGCAGATTAAGGTGGTATAATCTGTGTCAATGTAGCGTCAAAGTAAGTTCACGCGGGGTTTGTGTGAACTTAACGAGTTTGGTTCCTTCAATCAGTAATTGTTGGTCAATTTCTAAATCGAAGGCAAAGTTATAACCCTGGAAAGCGTCCATGATCTCAATCTCTGAGTCATGCTGTTCGAGGTTGAGATGATGGAGTGCCAGGTTTCTAGTTCAAGGTGGAAATGCCTACCGTCCTTTCAAATACCAATGTTAGCATCGACCTAAACCTATAGATGTGAGGTGTCTCAATTATGGGAACATGTAACAGGAAACCGAGTTCTAATTTTCTGCATCAACGTGAATGGAAATTGCACTACCTAGGCTGTACGCTAGGTGGATTTGTGAAAGGTGCACAGTAGAGGGGTAGCAGCTGTCAAGCTAACTTTGAGCAGGTCCAGTGGTACCAAGTACGGGGAAATACGACTTTCAACCAAGCTGTCCAGCATGGAACTTACTTCCCTGAGCAGGTTCTACATCAAATCTCTCACCACTCGTGTGTACACAATATCCTGAGGTATGGTTTCAGACAAAGTCTTGATTGCACGTAGAGATTCATTAATCAGAGCCTAGTGTAGGTACCAGAGTACTCTGTAAGGTTTTAGTAGGTACATCCTGTTAGCGGTCTAGGAAGGAGTTTGTCTTGGTTAGTGAAAGTGACGGCGGGGGGGGGGGGGGGGGGCTGGTTCTTTGTCGGTTAGTACATGTTAGTGGGTTAAACGTGCACTTTCCCCCCGTTTCCATTTCCATGCATAGAACTATGTCGAGACTACGTCTACCTCCTGCGGGGAGTCTGGTCTCTGTACCCGCGGGGATGGTTTGACGTAGGGTTTGATTTGGTTTGCATGCATCCATTTGTAGACAGGCTCCTGTCTCGCTTTGGTGATGCGTAACCTGTATGCAACTGGAGAGAGTTTTGCCACGATCTCAAATGGTCCTGACCAGCAGGGCAGGAACTTCTTAGGTTTGCGTGCCGGTTGGGCGAACCGAAAGTAGAATACTTTGTCACCCACCTCGTATTCGCGGCTGGTTGTCTTTTGGTCGTAGTAGGCCTTAGCGCCTTCTACGTTGGTCTCCAGTTTCTTCTGAGCGTGCGCGAACGTAGCTCTGAGGTGTGTTTTCAAGTCTGCCACATACTGGTGAGCGGTATAGGCAGTGGCAACACTGACATCCTCTGGGTGATACAGGAGGTGCAGTGGTAGAGTCATCAGTCTGCCGGTCATCATCTCAAAGGGCGTAACCCCCGTGGATCGCTGTGGAGTGGACCGTATGGCCATCAGGACCAGAGGGAGCTTGACGTCCCAGTCCTTCCCAGTGGAGCAGACGTACTTTTTGAGCATAGAGACGACCGTGCGGTTCATCCGTTCGACCTGTCCGGATGACTGTGGGTGATAGGGGAGGTGGAATCTCACTTCCACTCCCAGAAGTTCAAACAGGGACGTCATTACACTGGATGTGAAATGAGTTCCTCGGTCAGAGTCAATGCAGAGTGGAAGTCCCCATCGACTGAAAACGTGGTTAATCAGCAGTACAGCGGTTGTGACGGCTGTATCGTTTGGCGCTGGAAGGCATTCCACCCACTTTGTGAAACTGCAAGTTACAGTTAGCATATATTTGTTTCCTCTTGCCGATTTGGGAACCGGTCCAACCCAGTCGATCTGCAGGTGGGACCAAGGGAAGGTTATTCCCCTGCGTTGCAGTGGTGCTCTAGCAAGCGGCTGGGAGGGTTGAAACTGGGCACAGACGAGGCAGCCTTGGACATAGCTGTGTACGTCCTTGGACATCGACGGCCAATATGCTACTTCTGTCAGTGACGCGAGGGTAGCTTTTGCTCCGCGGTGACCTCCAACCGGAGTGTCGTGGGCGTAGGCAAGCATGACTCCTCTGTGGTCAAGTGGAACAACCCAGCGCGGCGGGCTGTGATCGTCACGCATGTAAACTAACAAATCGTTTTGTAGTTTCAGATGCGCGAGTTGACGATGCAGGGTTACCAAATCTCGGCTTGCGCCAGTAGGTGGTGACGGTTGTTTAGACATCGGGCCCTTTTGGAGAAGCTCGCGGATGAGCTTCAGGTCAGGATCTTGTTCCTGCATGGTGACTAGGTCCGCGTCATGTGGTTGTCTGCCTAGAAACACGGGTACCCCAATGTTCTGAGGTTCGTCTGCCTGTTTAGCATGGCGACGAGTAATCGCACAGACCTCGTGAACGGCCTTGGGAGGAAGCCACTCGTCTTTGAATTCCCAGCAGGTTCCCTGGTCAGCACCGAGCTTAGCAAGGCGGTCAGCTTCGTCATTACCATCTTTCTCCGGACCTATGGTCCTGGAGTGACCTTTGACCTTTTTCCAGTAGACCATTATGCCTTTCTCAGTGGTGAGCAGATCACACGCTAGGAATAACTCCGAGTGTTTCACGTCTCTGTTCCTGGCATTTTTCATGTTGTTCTCCTTCCACATGGGGAAGTGAGATATGAAGCTGTGTCTAGCGTAGT